TAATATTTTGAAGAAAATGAATGAAATACTGATTCACTCATTCACAGATGAATGTCCTAGGTAAGTATGCGTTTTTTGCTTTCCAATGAATTCGAAGGATCTAGAAAATAATGTATAGAAGTTTGAAAAACTACTGAAACACGCTTTTATGTATAGCCAAACTGATGAATAGAAGTAGAAAATAAAATAGAAAAAGTGTGTTGATACATATTCAACTGAAAAAATATTTTTTAGAAATGATGTTTAATGCAATACAAAGTTTGCCAGGTCAGCTATATAGTGCCTGATATAACTATGTCTGATGTCACCATTCCCACCAAGTCCTATAACTATGCTCGGTATTTCAATCAGCAAAAGTCTTTCTAAGGATAATCATAATCAGGTCAGATCCATTGGCGCGAAATCTGCTCCACAAAAACTTGGATTTTCGTTTCTTGCGAAAAGCTGCTTTACACCTCAACAACCATTTTTGAAAATAATATATTTTTCACTGATTTGATAGATCAATATTGAAAAGCTAATTCTAGGCTGATTCATCAACCATATTTTCGAATTTTTCGCTCATCGTTTCAAGCATAAAAATCTATCAAAAGCATCTTTTATGACGATTTTGCAAGACAAAATGTTAGTATTGATTGTAAGATCAATAACTATTCCATTTCGGGTTTTTTCGCTGCATATTTTTTAAAACAAACCTGATGTGGCTTTGCTGTCTTCGGGCGAACTCAGCAGAGCCACTTTTAAAAATTAGTTATTTTTGTATCTAGGGCGCGAAATGCTACTTTGGTGATCGAGATCTGATTTTTTTAACGAGGCGTAGCCGAGTTGAAAAAATAGTCGACATGACCAAAGTATTTCGCGCTCGAGTTGCAAACAAAATTTTTTCGACAAACGTCAAAAAATATAGTTTCAAAGTAAAAATATGCTTAGCTTGATATGAAAAATAGTGTCGAACTGGCTTAAAAGGTCTCCCCCTATCCTCCCTAGTTACGCACGATGTTCCATGAACATAAAAGGAATTTTCTTTCGTGCGCTCCAAGAGATAAAACAAAGTTATTGTTGAACATTCAGGAATAAATGATTTCGTAGATGTTTGCTCGATTGAGGACCTTGAAGTTGAAATATAAATATCTCATATATTTTACATAACAATGCGCGAAGTAGGTACTTCGCGCACTGTTTTACTTCGCGCATTGTTTTGTGCAAGTTATTATGGTAACGTAGGAAACTGAAAAAAAGTGTCACTTCGCAATTTGTTATCAATGCGCGAACCTTGTCATTTTTTGACGTTTGTAGAAAAAATATTTTTTTTCTGTGACGGGAAAAAAGTTTGACATTTCATCTCTGTTGGCAGGTTATAAAATGTCACTTTTCATAAATTACTTTTTTCCCGTGGGAAAAAAGTGAGTACTTTTTTCCCGGATATATATCACATATATATACTCTGTTAATGGCTTTTGTTGTGCTATAGTTCTGAAAAATGAGTCAATAATACCGTCTCCGAGAAAGAACTGCAAGTCCTTTTGTCTTCCATTCGACTTCGCGGTTTCGTATATTACTAAACAACTACTGAATTCGCAATTTTTCAAAATCAAATCACAGAATTGAACTGACAGAAGTGACATCAGATATTTGATTACTTCAAAAGAATGATGAAGATGCCTATAAAACGCAGGTGTCCCTACTGTTAAACACTTGAAATTTCATGTCGATAATTTTCAGATTTGGAAATAATGTAATATCTTCTCAATATTGATTCGTCCTTCCTTCTGTCACAGAAAAAAATAGTGTATTATACACGGGAAAAATATTAGATTTTAGCTCACGGTTTTTTGTCTCCCTCCGCTACGCGTCGGGAGACAACACAACCTGGAGCTAAAATCTACTACTTTTTTCCCTTGTATAATAAATAACTATTTTCACCGATTTGATATATCGATATTGAAAGTCAAATTGTAGACTAATTGATTACCCTATTTTCGAATTTTGTGCTCAACGTTTCGAAGCAAGAAAAAACAAGAAACGATTCGTAGGTATATATGCGTTATTCACTATACATTTCTATCAGAAATGCATGATGTAAATATTTTATTAGTCAAAGTGTTAGTATTGATTGTTAGCTCAATAACTATTCCATGTTAGTGAATAACGAATCGTTTCGTTTTTTTTTTGTTCGAAACGTTGGGCAGAATATTCGAAAATAGGGTAATTAATTATCCTGAAGTTGCCTTCAAATCAGTGAAAAATGGCTCTGCTGAGTTCGCCCGAAGCCAGCAACATACGTTTCTTTCAAAAAATAAGTAGCAAACAATTCCAGAATGGGATAGTTTTCGAGTTTACAATTAATACTAACACTTTGCCATATGAAATCGTTATAAAATATGCTTTTGATAGAAATACATAATGTACAGTGGATGACGCGTATTTCGACAAATCGTCTTGTATTTTCTCTCTTTGAAACGTTCGGCCGAAGCTAGCAAAGCCACAGATTTTTCGATGATAGAGAAGAGCAGGAAATTCGGGAATGGGGTAATAAATTAGCCTGAAATGAGCCTAAAATTATAAGATGTGTTTCATGTTGAACATCGAAAGTAGCTTTGTTAGCTTCTTCAGTATGTTTCCAAGTACTTAGGTATGTTCTCCAAAAGTTATAAAAAAATCCAATACCTACCTCCTCTCCCTATCTCCCTACCTTAGATAAGGATTCCCTTCCGTGCGCTCCCAGCGAAAAAAAAATACAACATCCCATATTTGGTATGTATCGCTCTAATTTCGAAAATATCCTGTAGATAATATAATCATCATACCTATACCTGTTGGTCAATTATCAAAAATGACAAAATATCTAATCACCAGCGCCAAAAATCGAATAGGTACTGATAAAAGTTCAAAATATTAGTAATTATGAGACCACTTGACTGTCTTCGATGAATAATCAACCGGTTGTCAGTGAGCGGCAAAAAGTAATCAAGACGGTGTCGCGCTACTTTATGTTCGGTGTCCTCGACGTGCCGCTCGATGAACATACGATTCCAGCTTCTTCAGGTTGATCCCGCCCCTTTCGACGGGGAAGGGATAAGACAGGAAACTGATAACATTCGAATAATTTCGAGTGGCATATGGCCTCTTGCAATGAAATTTGAAATTGAATAATTGCCATTTGAATTATTATTTTTATATTGACATTGACCAGTAGTTCATTAAATGACAAAAACTACCTTATTGGTATTAAACATAGGTACTTCTCGTCTTGAAAAGTAGTAAATATAATGGGTAGGTTCTATGTACCTATAGTACGGTGGAAAATATTTATTTATACAGCATGGTAGTGAAGAATATCAGTATTAGGGGAGAATGGGGGAATGGTGGCCCCTACGCATTTTTCTCTATAAGTAGATTATTTCATGGCAATTGATCACAAAAACGAGGAAACAAATATACATGATAACATTCGTTGAATATTCGAACAAAAACGAAAAAAGTTTTTCAAAGTATAAAAAAATGGATGGCTACCGTTACAGATAGTTGGGGTAATAGTGGTATATGATCAGAACCCCCAAAAATTTAAATAAGTAGTTCAAATGCAATAATCACAAGTTTTCACTATCAGCACACGGTATTTATGTGCCCAATTGCCACAGAGACTGCATTTCAATCAAATATCTGCATTTTTCCCGTATTCGCCACGCACTAATTTGTCGTTCTGTTATCAGTCCAAGATGCTTCCTCTGTCAGCCTACAATAAATTCTTGGCATCTAGAAGATTATTTCTATTGCTCAACATAATGTTTCATTCAGCAATGGGGTTATGGTGGCCTGCCAGCATTTCCCCGACACGACCGGTCACCATGACATCACCACACATTTCTTACAATCTACATTCATGAAAAAAACTTATTGTTACTAGAGCCACTTATTGTTTGAAGAGTTCAATATAAGGTATATAACAGAGATTTTTGGGTCGGTTTCTCAAAATGTTCGTCTTCATCAACAATATCTCACGCATTATATTTTTGGGTCGGTTTCTCAAAATGTTCGTCTTCATCAACAATATCTCACGCATTATATACAGGGTGATTCACACGTTCATAAACTCTTCTAGACACTCGTTTATTACCCACTCGCTCCGCTCTGCTGTGCTCGTAAATACTTGTTACTAAAATGACGTTTATAACACTTGTTACATAATATACTATTTCACCACTAACAATACATGATACATTTCAATCATTTTATTTCTGTGAAACTGCCATAGCGATAGAGTAGTTGGCTTGTAGCCCGATTATAACTGATATACTTATTCTATTATATCATAAAATAATACAGTCGATAAACTATTGTTCCTCAGAAATTCCGTTTTTGATTTTCAACTAACTAGATAGTTTCAACAATGGAAGTACATATCTGACATGGTGTCAGTTTAGCTTTGGAAATGCATGAGATATAACGCTCTAAATTTTAGTATGCCGAATATCGGAAAGGATAACTTCTTTTCAATATAAAATATTCGATCGATCTCGTAATTTTGGGCCAGTTGTAGCCGTATTACCCAGCCCTAGAAAATATAATTATACAAATATTCCAAATTCATTTCTATCAACGATCAGATATCGTTATGTATTCATACTGTATCTAATATAAAAGTTATCATTATAAGATAAACCGGACCACAGCGTTTCAAAATACGATATGGTGTATCGCGGTTTCAGATCGCACACACCCCCTGTATTTAGGGATAAGAAATACCCACAAAGCTCTGAAAACTAACATCACGTATCACCGTCTAACCCCACAAGAACCAATTCATCTAATCCAATCAACTAATTACCGGCAAGATTGAAGCGTAACAATGAGTTAATCCATTGAGAAAAGCCTAATTGAGACGACTATTCCAAACCGCATCGATGCCCCCCTGTGCCCTAAGTAATTGTCCACTACTTGTGGTAAAATAGCCACTATTATTAGTCTTTCACGAGTGCACAAATGGTCCAGAGTAGAGCCGTTGATTGAGGTATACGGTGAAGTCCAGTGCTTCACTCAGATTCGGCTTCAGTCTCTCAAGGGAATACCAAATTTCATAAGTGATCTAAGCCGATATGATTCTTCTGGTGGTCAATATCTTCTGCGAATTCAATATATTGTTGTTGGTGATCAGTTCCTGCCTAGGCGTTGATGAAGTCAGTGATTTTAGCAGTCCACCTACTACTGTTAAGGCCAGAGAAAATAATACGGTCTTGCTGCCTTGTTATTTGAATACCATATCTAATGGTGAGTTATTTTTTCTTTACTCGAACTGCTGAAAAATGTATGTTATAAACCGACTTGTGACGTTTATGAGGAGTCAGGAACCTGAGACAACCATTTAATTTTGGATGAGCAACATTTTACGACTCCCTTCTACACACTCTCTACTATACTGTCATTGTTTCGTTCCTTGAATTTTCTTACCCTCAAATTGACAGCGATTACCAGAAGCATTTTTCAATTTACTTTTTCGATACTCTTAACAATCAACCTTAAGGACTAGAGTATCTCCTTAAGTCTCCGAACAGACACTTAACCATTTAATTTCTAAGGTCCAAAGTGTGACGTATCTATATAGAAGTAGTAACAAAACGGAGCTTGATGATAGATTCAGTCATAATCATCAATTTCTCGAATCGGGATCCCACCAAGCAACAATCAGTGTTGATTGCAGGGAAGATAAAGGAATTATCATCGTGGAAATGAAACATTAGACAGTGGCATCAACTCGAAAGTTTATAAAACAGATGAAATATGTCTAGTTGCTATCTTTCGAATTTCTGTTATCTGTTAAGCATTTCTTCGACCATCAATATAAGTTACTTCAGATGGTCGAACAATGTTCATTTTTTTAATCCCAAATAATATCACAGCGGTGTTGGAGTTCCACTTCAATGTTATAAACGGTGATAGTTCCATCTCAGTTTTTGTCAGCTCTTGAACACTTTCTCAATATCAGAAACGAACGAGGAAGAAATGTTGACAACATAAACATGGACTTGGCAACAATTCTCGAATGGGGATCCATTAACTTGGAAGATTTCAATGCAAACAAAACACAAGCATGCCTTTTCTCTAGAAGAGCCGATCTCACTGTGCCCAACATAAGCTTGCCAGGAGTAACCATACCTTTGAAGACATCCATTTCGATGCTTGGTATTACTATCAGCAATAACCAAATCACGTGAGATCAATTGCTAAAAGTGCATCCCAAAAACTTATGGTTCTCTGTTTCGGACCAGGAGCTATTTCACTTCCAGTCAGCTGCTTATGATCTATAAGGCACAGATCCGACCTGTCCTGGAATACTGTTCCCATATTTGAATTGCAGCACCCAAACATACCCTGAAACTGTTGGATTCTGTCCAAAGAATGGCAATTCGTCTCGTGGATGATGCCTTGCTTACAAACTCACTCAATTCTCTGGAACACCATATAAAAGTTGGCGATCTGGCTCTATTTTATAGATATTTTCATGGACGATGCTCTTCTAAAATATGAACAATTGTTCCTTCCTTGGCGGTCCCTGCAAGAATAACCCGTCGAGTTGAGGCTTCGCTCTCCTTCGTGGTCACTTTGGAGACCTGCAGAACATCTCTTTCCAAAGACTCGTTCATCCAACGAACAAAGGAAGGTGTTCCCCAAGGCATATAACCTCCAGAAATTCAAGAAGAACACCAATTCCTACATATCCCTTTTCGTGGAAACCAGAACATAAAGAAAAAAAACTTTCGAATCTCTTAGGAAGTCGAATTGAAGAAAAAATATGTGGATGTTCATATCCACAATCCTTAGTGTATCTATAATTGGTCTCCAGTGTGATTATATTAGGTACCTAGTCCTTGCGACTCATTGTTACTTTTCTGGTTAACTGGGACTGAGCGATAATGAATCAACATTGAGATTTGAGAATGGAGAACATAAAATAAATAAACAGACTAACTGTTTTAGCAAATGGAATCAAAAAGATCTGACAGTTCAGGTTATCTATTCTTCGACCACTATAGCTAGTGTCAACCTGAAATTAGTAGAGTCGGGTCAAATAAGGGGATGCAATGACAGCTTCTTTCATGTCACTGGCTCGCTTTTACTGACCAACTGAAGTATGAAAGCTTCTTCTAAGACTTTTGTGGTCGATAGCATAGACATTATGAACAAAATCAAAAAGGCTCACTGTCGGACCAATCACCATCGAGATTTTTGCATCTATTCTTCAGTAACTCATCCCTTCTCGTCAATATATCCAGAATAGCGTTAGACGATGGAAACAATTTCCCAACAGTTACCTACCGTATCTAATTTTATGCAAATCACTTCGAATCACAAACAATAAAGTCTTTAGAACGATGGAAGTACCTATACTGATATACCGACGTACAAAACATTGACCTTTGGTCGCACGACAATGGACAATGCCCAATGCCCATGTATGAATTGTATATGAGTAACCAAGATCTTTTATTCCTTCGTTAATAGAATAATGTAAGATTTATACTTCCTCATTTGGACGTTTGTTTAGTAAACAGTAACCCACATGTGAAAAGGATCAATAAAACCATCCTTGAGTTCTCTGCTGGAATGATTTTGAATCTGATTGTTCTAAAAATAAGAATAGTTGAATATGATGAAGTAGATATGCTGAGTAACATCTTTGGTAACATCCTGTTTAGTGTTTTTAGAAGCATATCAATTTGTCTACATTGGAATTGTACTTTTCTCTGTAGTAGCGGTTGTTATGATTGAAAGTATATGCATGGACAGTACGTGAACAATTGTTCAAGTATCAAACAATGAGAGGTTTTATATGCATGTCGAATTTATGACACAAACCAATTTCATATTGATTTTCACATGTATAAAAAATATAGTACTCTAATGAGAAATCATATCATGATGTTCTCAGGTCATTGTGTAATTATGAAGTAAAATTCAACCATTGGTTTCTTCGTCCCATGCCAGCAGAAATTATGGGGAAAAGTCTTCCTGATGCCAAACTTTCTTTTTGTTTTTTGCATATAGCAAATATACCTGCTTTTATATGCATATCAGCGATGATTGATAATTATTGCCAGAGAAAAATCATCAATAGCCTAACTGAGAGTATCACAAAACTCATGATTAACAAGACAAGCAAGTTTTCCTCTCCAAAAAAGTCAAAGAAGCCGTCATAAAGATTGAGAACTCATTGCCCCAATCACTTCATTATAGTGGATAGTAATCAGAAATATTGTTACGCAAGTCGTACTGTGTATATTGCATTCGATATTTCTGTCTTTTTACACATTCCTCATGTATGTTTTAAGACGTGGAATTACAATATCCATTTAAAAAATGTACAGAGGTGTGAGGAGAAAAATGGCACCACTATCTGACCTTCGACGGTGTTTCAGGACTACTACCTAGTGACTGTCCTGCATGAATGAGGGTTCAGCCCAAAATTAGTTTGCAGGCGGTTAGCACCTTATCTTATATACAATATACCTTTGAGTATAATATCCCACAACATTCTGGGAATGCCCTCAGACATTATGCCTAAAACTACCAACATTCACACGTCCTACACTGTGGTCTTCCCTGAAAGAGAAGAATGGGTTCGAATTGAAAATTGCTCTAAAACTTTGGAAGGCGTCGGAGCCAGAATATACGGGATGAACCCAGTAGTGAAACGCTCATTCAGTATGGGTAAACCAGCTACGATATTCCAGGCAGAGGTATACGCCATTGAAATGTGTGCAAGGGAGCTGGAAAATCGACACCACACACAAAAAACAATAGAGATATTCTCAGATTGTCAAGCAGCACTACACTTGGATCCAACTGCTTCAAATCCAGCAATAACGCAATAACGTTAACCTAGTCTGGATACCAGGTCACACAGGCCTAGAAGGAACGAAATAGCGGACGTCCTAGCAAAAGGGGAGGCCGAAACATCGTTCACTGGGCCAGAACCGGTAATCGGTATAGCACATAGCACGGCCAAGAATGTTATAACATCCTGGGCCGACAACAAAAGACTCGAGTATTGGCGTAGTCTACCAGACCTAGCCCATTCCAAAGCATTCATTGCTTGTACAAGGAACAAACAGGACTCTGACAAACTACTAGAACTCAGTAGAGCACATCTCAGAGTTATAGTCGAGGTTATAGTAGGTTTGCTCACTGGCCACTGCAAACTCAAACACCACATGCACAAAATCGGACTTGCACAAGATGCAGAGTGCCTTCTATGCATGGAGGAGGAAGAAACGGCTAAACACATTTTATGAATATGCCTTGCAGCGGCCAGAATCAAATTTTCAACATTTGGCAATACAACAGTAGGGCTAGAAAACCTGATGAATTGTTCTCCCAACGTACTCCTTAATTTATAGGTATACTGGGAGAAATCTAACCATAGGGTGAGCCACAATAGGCCATAGGCCGCAGACATGGGCCCACTCACGTTTAACCTAACCTAACCTAGCCCTTACTCTAATTCAAGCACAATTGGGCATTCTAGGAAACAAACAATCAGATATATTGCCCTTTTCGTTTAATGTTGGCCGTTTTTCCACACAGTTGAACTACTAAGTGGTCTGAAGTTGCATTTGATTTCCAGAAGAGACGTTCATCGAGTCGATCCGATGGTACAAAAACGAAGATCTGTTAGCGGACAGTGGTAATGGGTCTTTTTCTCTTCCCGATCGACACGTCCTGTGGGAAAATGGCTCATTACAAATAGCGACGGTCCAGCCTGGCGACACTGGCGAATATACCTGCGAAATAGAGAGATCCGAGCCGTGGGGACCCGTCAGACAAAAGCATGCGATAGAAGTGTTACGTGAGTATCAGTCCAGGATAAAGCATCTACACGAATGTCTACGTTCTACACTCACCAACAAAAAAAACTTGCCAAATTGTTCGCCCTCTAACTTTTTCGATTCTTGCCCGATTTTGGTGGAATTTCGACCAAATCATATATTCATGTTTCGGCATATTAGCATGAGTATCAGGCCTTGAGAAAACATGATGGCTTGATCATTATACAGGTAAAACAAAAGTTACTCTTTCATCCTCAACTTCTTAACGCCCTGTGGGAAGGGTGAGTGGTAGAACTTAGCTTCATCATGTTTTGGATTGGAGTGTGATGTATTTTTTTATTCTAATAAAAATAATTGAAAACCATTATTCAACCTTCTGCTTCATCGTGTCTTGAATTGAAGTGTGAGTCTTTATCGTCCATTCTCAACACCATGGTACTAGATTCACCTCAATATCTCCTTTTCAAGAGTGTTTCAAGATAGTATGGATTTTTTTATTAGTATAAGTAATAATAATTCAGAACCCATAGAGCATATCATCTTTGGGATGGACTCCAGAGGCTCATCCGCCTTCGTCCAGCCTTGTCACATATTCTTCAAGAGCTACGATTCGCCCTCCAAGAAGAATTTCAGGAAATTTTTCATAACTACTTAAGACATTTGATCAACTCGATGCCACTGCGGTTGAATGCTGTAATTCAAACTCGAGGAAGACGTACTCGTTGTCAACTACAGCTCTGCTTTCAGTGCTTTCTGTTTGTTTTTTGTAATTCAGATATTTGCCAGTAAGTACTGAGAAAATGAGTTAGGAATAAGTAATATTGATTCTTCAAGTTGTTAAACAATAAGTTTATGTAGGTTCTGATTATTGTTAATGTAAATTGTAAAATACCATGCTTTCCTAAAACACTTGTATCTTTTCTTGAAAATAAGATATTTACGTGAATCAAAAGCTATTATGCTGAGAAAGGATCACAATTCAATTCAAAGCATAATGAAGCCAAGTTCAACCACTCAATTTCACCACAGGGCGTAAAGAAATGAAGGGTGAAATAGTAACTTTTTCTGTATAATGATCAAGTCATCAGCTTTTCACGGGAACAAATATTCCGGCCAACATTCCGGAAAATGAATCAACGATTCGATCAACATTTCACTGAAATCGGACGAGGGTTAAAACATTACAGAGTGAACAATTTGGGCAATTTTTTTGGTGGCCGGTTTTTTTTTGCCGGTGAGTGTACATCGTCTCATGCGCCTCTAATCATGAGGTATCACTCAATCTCCCCATTCCATTTAAAAAACATCAGGTGAGTTCGGTAACACTTTTTTATTTTTATTACAGATGCACCCTCTGTCGACTTATTTCCTCCAACTGCTTTCCTCCAAGTGAAATTGGGAGAAGAAGTTAGGATAGCTTGCCAAGGTGGTGGAGTTCCGTATCCGATAATAACTTGGTCCAGTAAGGTAAATATATATCATGATTGAATGGTTCATCTCCTTCTAACATCTATACTAGGGGTTCCAATGAGAAACAGAAATGAAAAATTTGGATTCAATGTACCTGTACCTGTACCTACCTGTACAAGTGTACATGAATTATCGTAATTGTATTTAGCGGAAGCATTATTTGTTAGCAATTGACAATTCAAATCACTTTATTAGTACTATTGACAAAATAAACTGCATCATAACTTGTCACAGAGTAATGCCGTGGTAAATATAATGTGAAATATTATTTCAGAATTTGAAGTCGGGATTCTGAACTGAAAATAATACCAAAGAGTTCACAAAGACAAGAAATTTGGGTTTCCATAATTCGATGAAGGAGAAATTGACCATTTTTTCGATGTTCATTTGATCGGGGTGAATATTGCCTTGCAAACTGACCTGGTGGCAGCGTACTCTAAATTCTATCAAATGAATTATTATATCAATTATCAACATGTACAATTTATGTCACGAAAAATTGAGATGGGTTTTCTTTTCCAGGGAGAAGAGTTGCAATTGATTGACAATCGAGAAGTTCTCAAATTCACAGCTTCTGATAGACAAATGGCAGGAGTTTACGAGTGTTCAGCGGCAAATGGCGTTGGTGATCCAGCCAAAGCATCTATCGAACTCAACATAATTTGTAAGTAGGTGACATAGGCAATGAAGTAGAGTGTATCTATATTATGAACATATTGTATGCAGGGTGACTCTTGAGATGAGAAATGCCACATACCAAGCGAAATGGAAAAGGTATACATGACATTTCATTTGGTCTTCTTTTAGGAACATGCACGGAATTGTGTGAAGTTGCCATGACATTCCAATAATCAATATTTCAGAAATGATTCAACGTGATTTCATCAGATTTGCAAGCAATAGTCCTTCATTGAAAGTATCTAGGATGACCTTCTATAAAAGAACAAATCCACAGCCGCACGTGGGAAATTCCATCTAACCTTTGGTAGCCATGACAAAAGTCAAAACCATTGACTTGTTGATCAGTTTTCACAAAAAAATCTGTAGGAATCAAAAAATCAGACGAGGCATCGTAGGGGCTCTTCAATTCGCACAGCACACTCTGGTTGAGTGAAAAAATATCAAACAAAAACTTTTGAATTGATTTTCAATTTTGAATTGACATATAACTCTCACAATTCAAATAATGGAATCATTTACGTTGAGTTCTAGCTCATTTTTGTTCGACGGGGATTGAGAAGAATGAGTATAGCTGGAAGAAAAAAAAAACACATGTCTGTGTTAAATTTATTTTCAAGAACATGATCATTGAAAAATTCATACTGAAAGGTTGATTTTTGATCATAAATCTAGATAGATACCAAAAGTCGTAACTCTTTTTCTTAAACTATTGTAATTACCTTCGAGTATATCAACCTTGACATTAATGAAATTTGAATCTCTGATGATCTTCCTGAATCTGACAAAATGTTTCGTGAAATGTGATGACGAATTCAACTTATTTGTCATAACAAAGGACATAGTAATTTTCGCAACGAGTACAAAAGAGTATATTTGCTGCATGATGCATAAAGTTTGCAATTCGAGACGATGTCGTTAGCTGCAATCATACTGAATGCAACAAATATGCTTTTTGCAAATGTTGCACGTTTCTTTCTGCGATCGAATTGAAGTCATTTTCAACAAAAATTTCATTGTAGAGTATTTCACAAGACAAGGATATTCTTGAAATAGTTCGAGTGCAGACTCAATATTTCTCGAAGAACTATATCGCTCTCTTTTTTATCCAAAGAACCAGAGAATGACCTTGATATAATAATATTGGAAGCATTCTATAATAGGTTTCCATATGTTAATTTCCAGATCCCCCCGAAGTGATGACGTCACGCTCCTGGATCCACACAGCTCCCGGCCACCGCGTCCAGCTGGACTGCAGGGTGTCCGCGGATCCGCAGGCAACGGTCACGTGGCTCAAGGGCGAGACACCCGTCGCTCTGGACGCGAGAGTACTGTCAACTGTCGAGGGCGACAGGCACAGCCTGCTGATCAGGACGGTACAGAGGAGCGATTTCGGGATATACACTTGCAGGGCCATGAACGAGCTGGGTCAGGGTGAATTGGCCATACAGTTGTCAGGTGAGCGCACTCTGAAGATTTCTTCTCCTGTTTTTTCTTCTTCTCTAGTGAAAAGTTCGTTCCTCAGACTAAAGAACGATAAATGAATCATTCAAAGAGTATACGCCAACAAGCCTGAGCAAATTGAATGAGCTAGGCAGTAACAATAAAGTGATCCTCCTCTGGGTGCCAGGGCATATCGGTGTGGAGGGAAATGAACAAGCAGACACTCTGGCACGACAAGGGGCTTCAACGCCACTGATCAGACCAGAGCCATTCTGCGGCCTTGGAAATTCCGATTTCCAAGGAGAACTTGAAAAGGCGGAAGGAGCCTTGAGAGCCAGACAATGGAAAAGACTTCCAGGACTGCGGCAGGCTAAAGATCTCCTTGAAAATTTCAACCGAGAAAGATCTAAGACACTGATAAACCTCAGCAAAGGAAGTCTCAAAGCAATAACGGGATTCATAACAGAGCATTGCAGATTCAGAGAACACCTAAGGAAGCTAGGCTTACAGGAGAACGGCACCTGCAGATTCTATGAGGAAGAATCAGAAACACCCCATCACATACTGATAGAGTGTGACGCTGTACATCACAAAAGATTGAACATACTGGGAACACACCAGCTGACTGTGGAAGAAATACCACAACTAGATCTCCTCAAAATCATAAAATTCCTGAAGGAATTGAATCTGGAGGGGCTGCTATGAACAAGAAATCCTTGATATAGCAGAAGCAGATGGGGCACAATAGATCTAATCAGTCCATACAGTTGTCAGGTGAACGCTCTTTGAAGATTTCTTCTCCTGCTACTTCTCTAGTGAAAAGTTCGTTCCTCAGACTAAATAACGATAGATGAATCATTCAAAAAGTATACGCCAACAATACGAAACGCCAAACACGGTTAACCGAATGATATCGAAAACTGTGGGGATAACGTAAACACTTGTAGGGCCATGAACGAGTTGGGTCAGGTGAAATTGGCCATATTGTTGCTTCTCCTCCTTCTTCTTATTCTCTATTTTCTAGTGGAAAGTTCGTACCTCAAAGTAAATAATGATAGATAGACAGAACGACTCATTCATAGATGAATGTATTCAAGTTGAGTGAATCTCAAAACTCATCATTAACAAGATAAGCAAGTTCTCTCTCTTCGAAAATGAATTTTCAAAATTGCTTCGAATAGTTCTTCGAAATATTAAAATATATTTCCTCACATAGATAGACTCGTTTACATATATATCATATGTTTATGCACACAACTGTACTCAAATGCACAAATTTGTATTTTCCACTAGAAGCAATCTATTGAATACTATTCATACAAGAATCACATAATATCATTGAATGAATAGTTATAATGTAATATTTTCTTAACATCCAGTCAATTATTGTTTCCATACAAACCAGTATAATTCACATAGGAAAATGATGCCGGCAAAAGTATACGAAATAATCAGCATAGCAAACAATCCAACTAAATTAGGGAAAGTCACAGTGCTTATTTCATTATGAACTTCCATCATTTCGTTTTCCCTTTCAATAGTGAACACGTATTTATTCAAATTAATCGTATCGGCAATCTTGGTGAGGCTGGCAGTTATACTATCAACATATGGAGAGTTTTTATGTAACCGATATGCCATCACTCCAGGAACTACTGCATGCTTCATACGATGATAGGGATTTTTTGCAACTTTCCACTCCCTGATAATCGCCGATATTGTTGTTTCAGCTGCTATCACAGCTACTGGGTGTTTTCTCCACAACACATCAATCACTGCATAGAGTTCTGTGAAATTGCATTGTGGGAGAAGAATTTCCGGTATATAATTATTGTGAAATTTGTAAACGTAAATAGGCATCCCACTATTATACAAATCTTCGATAGTCTCGATATTTTCTGATTCTTTGTTGAGAAGCACAGACATGAAACAGCTCTGAAATATGACGGATAGTAAGAGACCAAAAAATGAATAGAATGTAAACACTATCTTAGTGCTTTTAGATTTTTTGTTCACATTTATGGGTCCACCATTCATGCAGATGATCCCAGCTAAAAAAGATTCGGTGATTGAGAATTCCTTTTTTAGTGCTGCTATGACTGCCACTACTAAATTGAGAACAAGTAAGACAACCAATGTTGATAAATTGTACAAATTAAACATGTTTGTCATCTCAGTTGCTTCTGAAATTTTCGGCGTCAAACCGATCAAATTATTATGATTAGGTATGAGTACGTACTCATATTTTTTCGAACTATTATATGTGAAAAAAACGTCCACCATAGCGAAGTCGACAGATACGTTTCTCAATGTTTCTGAAAACTCATCATTGTTCTCTTTGATAGGAATTTCAACTATCTCCAAATTGGCATTCATCATCTGTACCAACATTTTTAGACGTATGACATGAATTCCTCCCCAGCTACCATCAGATTTTTTATTAAATGGATAATTGGAATACATTCCCACCTTAAATTTGTATCCTCCTACATTCAGTAGTTTGTTCGGAAAGAGAACTTCTGACGTTTTCTTCTTCCTAGTCAAATTGGAAAAACTTCCAAGGAAACCGTTGTATGATACTACTTCTACTTTGTGGTGAGCATAGACCAGTACAAAATTGAAGATACCCATTTGCCAAATTTTCTTCATAGTGGAATTTACCCATTCATTATCCCCAATGCTCTGGCAAATTATAATGTGAATCTCAGCTCTACTATTCCAATTCGCATCATCAGTGATGTTGTCTAGGGTTTCGATAATCTCATGATAGTTTTCGATAAAAAGAAAAATGCACTTTGTGACTAATAGATGCTTCTGATCCCGCAAACTAACCTCGTTACTGATGAGTTTCAACGGCAGATCATTTCTTGTCAAAGACCAGTCGATCAGTTGTCCACAATTTTTTGTTAAGGTATTATAATAGACACAAGTGTGAAAGTTGGGCTGATCTAAGTTTTTGAAATAGTTGATCAATGTGCATTCAGAACAAGTCTCTGTTTCTGTCAACTTTAAACACTCCAGTTGCCCTATGCCACAGCTGAATGAAATCAAAAGGAGATACACCAGCATGATCTCGTGTAAACTGAACCTCACCTCATATGTTATGTGACTATACAAGAAAAACACTTTTTTCATTATACAACTCTGCATAATCAACTTAAAATCATCAATAAAACATCCAAACAATTCAATAATTGCTTTGTTTTTTTTTCTCAATAATCAATTTATTTTCATCATGTGGACACTATCAGAAATTATAATCTAATCGAATAAGCCTTGAAAGGGGTTGTAAGTACGTGGACCGTCGTGGACGGGAAAAATTCGACGCCATCAAGGGTCAAACAGCACACAAGGTGTATAATGAAATAATACAATGTAGTTCAAGTCTGATATTTGAGAAAGTGCTTGCATCAGGATGTTATGCTCTGCGTGTAGGGGCCAATGAATTTTGGTTACAAAAACGAGCCATTTGATATTTATGTAAGGACCAAGAGTGTCATGTAGGACACTTTTCAAACAAAACAAATTTACATACTGACGCCACTGACGGTTCCATCTTTGTTTATACTTGAGACAGTTTGCTTGATTTTTAAGAATAAAGCCTTATATGAAGTCAATGAGGGGATTACTCGCCAAAATGGTAATTTGAAACTTTCACTCACTCCGCTCTGCTCCGCTCGTGCTTAAAATACTCGTTACTGAAAGGACGTTTATAACACTTGTTACATAATATACTATTTTGCAGATAATTATCGAAGTGATTAACATAATTCAATGAGAATTTAATTTTAAGGATACAAACAAGGTTCTCTCCTATATCCTATCACGTATACAGGGTGTCCGCTAAAAGGAGGTCAATCCATTAACCATATATTCCTTGAACAAAAATAATATGAGTTTCTAAATACCATTTTTCATTTTAGCCCATCATATTCGATATACAGGGTGTCAAAGTTGGAAATTGAGTATTGTTTTTAGTTAATTACTCGCGTATTTGATAAGATATTAATCTCAAAATTGGTACATTACTTCAGCACAAAGAGTTACATCGTGTGAGGAAAACATAACAGAAAATAACTGTCAAATATTCAAAATACTGGGGGTCAAGTACACACTTACTCCCATATTTTTTTTGTACGTGCGCTAATGACTTCCTATCTATTTTCCTTCAAGTGTTCAATCATTTTTGAGTAATTTGTGTTTCTTGTAAAATTTCGATTAAATCATTTGTTTTTAAGAAAATTCGAAAAGTACTGGTTATTGTTTGATGCCTATGCGGCTTAAGGTAATCTCATAATGTTCACATACTCCTATTTATTTCGTCGAAATTGGAAGAGGGCGTATCCGTTTACGTACGAAAAGGTAAATATGGAAATACCGGGTGCTCAGAGCGAATGTATTAAAATAATTTTTACAATTTTTCAATTTTTTTTTTCTGTAAAAATTATTTTAGTAAGTACATTTGCTCTGAGCACCCGGTATTTCCATATTTACCTTTTCGTACGTAAAAAGATACGCCCTCTTCCAATTTCGACGAAATAAATAGGAGTATGTGAACATTATGAGATTACCGTAAGCCGCGAGGCATGAAACAATAACCAGATACTTTTCGAATTATCTTAAAAACAAATAATTTTATCGGAATTTTACAAAAATCTAAAAATACTCAAAAATGATTGTACACTTGAAGAAAAATAGATAAGAAGTCATTAGCGCACGAACAAGAAAAATATGGGGGTAAGTGTGTACTTGACCCCCAGTATTTTGAATATTTGACAGTTATTTTCTGTTTTGTCTTCCTCACACGATGTAACTCTTTGTGCTGAAGTAATGTACTGATTTTGAGATTAATATCTTATTAATTACGCGAGTAATTAGAAAAAAAACAGTTTTTAATTTCCAACTTTGACACCCTGTATATCGAATATGAAGGGCTAAAATGAAAAATGGTATTTAGAAACTCATATTATTTTTGTTCAAGGAATATATGGTTAATGGATTGACCTCCTTTTAGCGGACACCCTGTATAATGACGCAAAAATACTGACATTGATGGTCCTCATAACGTCAGTCCTCGGTTCACGGGTACAGCATTTTCACATAATTGAAAGGATACAATCTCTATCATTTTCCTAATAACTGATTACAAAACTCATTTTTTATTAATACAACTTTCCAACTTTGGAATTTTTCGATTCTTCAATCTGAACCATGATAATTCACATAGAAATATGATGGCAGCAATAACATGGAAAACTATTAACGCACAAAAAAACCCTATCAAATTGTTGAAAGTCAAAGTGGTCTGTCGATCATTAACTGCCACAAACTTATTGAATCTTTCTAAAGTGAACTGGTATCTGTTCAGTTCCAATGAATGGACAATTTTGCGCAAACTGACGAAAAAATGATCAACATATGGTGAGTTTTTGGGAAACAGATATCCTCTTACACCAGGAACAATGTCATTCCTCATTCGATGATGACGATTATTTCTTACTTTCCTCTCCCTCATAGCAGCTTTTACTGTGCTGTCAAGTGATATTATCGCTACAGGTTTCCCAGTCATTATTGCTTCAACCAATACAGAAGAATATGTGAAATTGCATTGTGGAAGTAATATTTCGGGTATGAAATCTTCGTGGAATCTGCTTACGTATATAGGCAAATTACTTTTATGTAAATCCTCTATGGTATCGATATTTTTCTGTTCCTGATCCAGAAGAACTGCTGTGAAATTACATTGAAATATGGCGGATAATAGCAGACCAAAGAATGAATAGAATATAAACAGTATCTTGGTACTGAATGGTTTGTTTTTCATATTGATGGCTCCTCCGTACATACATATGAACCCAACTAAAATAGATTCGATTATTGACATTTTCATTCCTAGTGTTGCCACTATTGCCACCACCAAATTGAGGCCGTTCAAGAGAATCAATGTTGATACATCGTAAAAATAAAAAATATTCACCATAGTGTTTGTTATCACATTCTCTGGAGATAATCCGATCAAACTGTTATGACCAAGTATTGGTACATATTCTAATGATCTAGAAATATTATATGAGAGGAATGCACCAACTAGAGCGAAGTCGTTGGATTTGTTTCTCAACATTTCTATGAGCTCATCTTCGCTATGTCTCATGGGAACTTCAACTATCTCTAGATTCGCATTCATCATTTGCATTAAATACTTCAGACGTCTGACATGCTCACCATCCCATTTACCGTCTGATTTTTTGTTGATGGGATACAAAGGAGTCATGCCCACCTTAAATTTGTATCCTCCTACATTCAGTAGTTTGTTCGGAAAGAGAACTTCTGACGTCTTCTTCTTCCTAGTTAAATTGGAAAAACTTCCAAGGAAACCATTGTATGCTACTACTTCTACTTTGTGGTGAGCATAGACCAGTACAAAATTGAAGATACCTTTTTGCCAAATCTGCTTCAGAGTAGAATTGATCCATTCATGGTCCTCAATCCTCGAACAGACAATGATGTGAATATTAGCTCTACTGTTCCAAAATGTATCGTCACTTATATTATCCAGAGTATGGATCACTTCTCGATATTTCTCGATGAAAACGAAAATGCAGTCGGTGGCTGGTAAGTGCTTTTGGTCCAGGAAACTCATCTTGTTACTGATAAGTTTCAAAGGTGCCCTTGTCAAGGACGAGTCTATCAATCCTCCACAATTATTTGTCAAGGTATTATAATAGACACAAGTACCAGAGTTCGGCTGATGTAATTCGAAATTATCGAAATACTTTATCAATTTATTTTCACGGCATGGTTTGATAAACTCCAGACAACTTATAGGTGCTACATTATAACTGAATAAAATTAACAACGAATTCACTAACATTATCTCGTGTAGATCAAAACAGTTCCATAAACTCGAATTCATTGAACTATTATATTCAGATATAATACTAGATACGTCATTATTACCTGAACGCGTTACGTAAGTAATCAACTTGAAAGCTTCAATAATAACAGCAGGTTAACAATATTAGAAACGATGAAATAGTTGAATCATTTTGTCATAAATTGATTACCTAGTGGAGTGTCAATATAGATTTTTTTCAATAAATTGGACTGAAATATTACCGAAGAAAGTATCATAATAGTCCAATCAAATAGTATTTTCACTTGAAAAAAATTTAAGTAGTTGGTTTCTTTGTGGTTTCATATGTTTTTGGAGGTGCTGAATCTGAATTTTGCAAACAAAAATTCCTATAGCGTTCCGAGATATTCGCAAATAACAGCAAAATTAACGGACTTTTTTAGGTTTTTTGCCCGAAACTCGAAAATTATACGTTGAATCAAAAAGACTGCCCTATAGAAAGTTGAAGTAGATAAAATTTCCTAAATATAATTCATATTGCTCATGAATGTAGGACTAATGAAAGCGGAGATAGAGCCAGTTGAAAATTGATCAAATTTGCGTACTTTTCAAAAATCAGCGTTTTTCGTCGGCCAAATCTACGCATTCCTCGAAGTAACGAACTATACTCGGAACTATACTGCCTCATGTGGAAGAGTCCTAGCCATGTCGACTTGTCACTGTACTTAAGTATATTCATATCAACTAGGAAGAATATTGTTTTTCTCACCTGTCTCTTGTTATTCGTTAACGAAGTAGAAAAATCAATTTATCTAGCAACGAATATCAGAAATGTCATACATTTGAAGAAAATATAGTAGTGCTTCAGCTCTTGTTTGCTGAGACTCACTAGCTTACGAATTGTTATTGAAGAACTCTTTCTTCCTCGTTTACCTGGAGCTGCTCATCAACAGTAGTAGAATTTTTCACGTCATTCTCATTTTCTGAGCTCTGTGATGAGGTGGCATTTGCTTATCTCACAGAAAGGTGAAATGTGAGCTCTGCACTTTTTTGCTAGGCGATCAGCTGCCTCATTCCCTTGACGCCTTGGAACCCACATGAGCGAGAACTGATTCTATAATACTTATTCATCACAAAATAGGTAATTTTGATAGTTTGAATAGTATATCAGTTTTTTATAAAACATTTCAGAGAATATCCTACAGCATTTGGAATTCCAGCGTACCTACAGAATTTAAATTATTTACAATAAGAAAACAATGACCTATTTATACGTTTTGGAGCTTTAATGAATATAGGTTCATATGATCCAAATCATATAAGTTGAAAGGATGAACATGAGTGTGGCAACTACGACTATAAGGAGTCTCCAAGTCCGAGCGCTCTAACAGACGTTCATCTTTTTTCATAATTACAAAATTTACATGAGCTCGATAGGAAATTTGATGATGCTCTTCCAATATGTGCACAATGCTATGTCTCTGAGTTATACGTAAAATATGAATTATCTGCGAAAACCGATGAGAAACGCTGTTTTTCGAAAAGTACCCAAATTTGGTCAATTTTCAACTGGCTCTATCTCCGCACCCTCCAGTCCTATATTCATGTGCAAGAAGAAAGTTATCTAGGAAATTTTATCTACTTCAACAAAAAACCGAAAAAAGTGCGAAATTTCGCTGTTTTTCGCGAATATCTCCAGGAAATTTTGTTTGCAAACTTCAGATTCGGATTCAGCACCTCCAATAACATTTAGAACTACTATATGTATCTACGAGAAGAAATCGTATTCCGAAGGGTATATGATAATACCACACTACATCGACCCAGTTCTCTCAAAATAGTAGTAACTGTAACTCACTGAATCGAAAATAAACGTTTAATACCTCATTCGAAACAATTACCTTTTTGAATTCCATTGACTCCCTCATATTCCGAACGTACCTTATGCTGAATATCAGATGCTTGTCTTGAAATATATCGGCAAGTGAGGAAATTTTTCTTTCATCAGAATCATATTGGAATTTTCATCTTATTTTCAGGAGTACCAAACCCTGGGGTCTTCAAGAAAACCGAAGTGAAAAATCTGAACGCTAAAACTTCGTACACCCTCATATGGGAGGTTGATAGCTACACTCCAATAATCGAGTACAACCTATGGTTCAGGCCTTACAGGTAAAATATCTTTCAAGCTGTCGAGAAAAATGTTTTGTTGGGAATCGATCTGAGAGTAGGTAGATAGTTTGATAGAATTCTAATGCAGTCGTTCATTAAAACGAATATATAATATCTCATCACCGGAAGAATTAGCTTTTAGGACTTGAGAATCAAATTAGAATTCGTTTTTGCTCTTGGGAAGCTGATGAATCTTGAATAAGGGCAAAATTTTATACACTGTGTTATTATAAACATTGTATTCGTTGAGCAGTACATAGCAGTTTAATTCTTCCAGGTCCAGAAATAGTGGTGGACCTCCTAGCTGGACAAAGTTGACAATTCCCACGGAGCATAGTTCTGGTCCAGTTTATTCTAAATCCTACACAATCAAAGGACTGAGAGAGAAGTATGTGTATGAGGCATTGTTGGTATCCAGGAATAGGTATGGCTGGTCGAAACCATCGCCCATTTTGAGGTTTGCAACAGCTGGGGCAGGTGAGAAATAATAAAAGCTATGCCTTTTCAACTTCAAATTGATACTTATCATCTTCAAAATTCGGATAATGATCGTCAACTAAACAATATGAAATTATTTAATTTTGTAGAGAATCTATTGAAGGTAGAAAACACGAAATTCCATAAAAACACAGATTTCGAATTTTTATTTTCACTTATTCATATCATATTCCATATATCGACTGTAACGAACACATATTTATAATTATAAAAATTCTTCATTATTATTTATATTTAATGAATTTGTTTGTACAATGATGTGATGTTCTTGAGTAATTTGGTCATCCTTTTTCCTTCACGTTGTTTCTCTATTTCGTCCTGATTCAGTTGATTGGTGTCAAATTGAATGAGTTTATTCTCATTTTGATTGTGTTAATCAACTTGAATATGTCAATCCCCAATTTGCAACTGTTTGTTCTGAATTTGAGGATTTCGAATTCGTTTACCAATTTGGATGTGTTTAATTCCAATTTGAAAGCAATAAGTGCTATGCATGATATGTGTCCTCCTGAAGGATAAATCAGTTTTCAAATGGATTCAGATACACGTTTGTTTGATATTAGATTCTAACAATTAAGTCAACGATCAAAATGTTGACATCATATTAGTAAAAAACGAGATTTTGATTTCGTTTGGAGGTCAGTATACCCTGTCTATACAAAAAGGAGTGATTAAAACTAAATCGAAAACTTATCGTGTTGGTCAATAAGAATATATTTCCTCCAGAATTTAATGGGTAATTCATTATAGTTGGTACTATTTTTCGAAAGCTATCTAGTGTCGTGATATGAATTTCTGTTTCCCATTTCTCACTTGTACTGTATATGTAGGTTTATATAGGAAGATAGTTTGTCAAACTTTACACTCATTCTATTATAGTCTTTATCACCTCACAAATATATTCCAAATGTTTACATGGTAGACACCCTTAGCATCAAAAGCAATGAGGAATAATCTTCAACTTCCTGAATGGATTTCTGAAAAGTTTGAAACGTACGAATTTGAAAATGAAGGCATCCTAACCCCTTTTATTTTTGTTGCAGAATTGAATAATGAAGAGATGATAACAACTGTTCAAATAAGCGTCCACCAAGAAAACGTATTTACATTTCAGCCAAGTATATCATCGAGTGGAAATGAAAATATATTCTTCTTGAAAACTTGTATTTTGATATGTGTGATTAAATTATTGTTGATCTGACTCATTTATTATCTGGTTGAATTCAAAATACGCGGAAAGAAAAAAACGATCCAACGTTAGCAGGCATGATGCAACAGAGATGCGCATAAATATAGAGATGTTTGGGGTACCTATACTTAATACTTTTTCTGGTGCCACATTTTCAGGTCAATTCAGAATGGACATGAAAAAGATGAACAGAAAAGCAGCCATGTCATCTGCCAACATATCTACTTGACTTATTATTTTTCACCAATATTTCTGATTGTACTCAATAGGTATATAATTATCATGTTTGTTGAATTTGAGATCAGCAATCAAACATTCAGAATATCCCTGGTAGCATTTTACGCGCCGATATGTAATCGTGTTTCGATTGTCCCCGGTATTTTGTACATATTCTTTGTTGTCGTTTCTGAAGAGGTGCACCGCATACAGAGAATGACAGAACGTGCATAGTAAACGATGTTTCGATAATCCACGAAAATAACAGGGATTCCCTTTCGAGCGCTTCAAAAGATAAAAAAATAGCAAACGTGAAAGGTTTGATGAACTATAGTTTTACTTTTCGTTATTCTGAAGTCAATAGCATAATGGTCGAGGCGGCTATAATCTACCCAAAAATGATGAGACAATATTTATCCACCCTTAAATAACAACAATCTATGTAACAACTATTGTTATATTGTTATACGACTATCATCTTAGCTTCTATTTGATCACAATTATTGGGGAACACGCTGTGGTGGAACTTAATATATGGCTATTTTATGGACCATGTGGCCATATGTTCACATATTTTTATTTTGTAGAAACCAGGAGAAAAAATCCCAAATAATAATCTAGCAAATAAACGAAATGGATTAAAACTTTACCTTTGTTTACAAGGCAAGCTCTCGTCCGGTGAAGAACTCGAACCGCGCGAGCACCCACTCGGGAATTCAAACTCGCCGTCGCAACGGGGTGCGAGAGATGCTGCAATTGACATTGGATAGACTATACTAAAACTATCGATACTATCGATAAACTATCGCTTAATTATGTCCGATATGAAAATGACAATGACAGCTGTTGCTGATAGTCAGGAAGTATTTGAGGAAGTATAGCAACCTCACTGTGAACCTGTTGACAGTTTTCATTCGACAATCTGGACAGTTGACAGATCGAATCCATGAGTTCTGTACATAGACGTAATTCGAGTCCCACAACTATCGATCATTTTGAACTATCGATAGTCGGACACCTCTTGCTACTACTGCTAGTGACAGTTGACAGGTTGATAATAGAAATAAAAGAAAAAATAAAAATAAAATTTTCATTTTCTAATTTCTCGAACCCGTGGACTTATGTAGGTTTCTTGAATTATTAGTAAGTTGAATCATCTCAAGATTTAGATTTCGAGAACATCTTAAGGTATGTTAACACCTAATCTACCCAATAATCAGTGCTCCTAGTAGAAATCACTTTACTTCTTTACAACTTTACAATATTACAGAGTCTCTTCTACTATCAGAATGAGTGACAAAGATAAATCAAAGCCAGCTCAACCTAAACATATCCCAAAAGATGGCCGTGTCATAATGGCCATTATGAAAGAAATGGGCATTACTGATTATGAACCCAAAACAATAGTACAACTCACTGAATTTGTGTATAGATATGCAACTTCTATACTAGAGGAAGCTCGTATGTATGCAAACAACTCAAAGAAGAAGTTCCTTGATGTAGATGATGTTCGACTTGCATTAGAGCTAACCACTGAATCTACATTCACCACTCCCCCTCCTAGAGAAGTTCTGTTAGAGCTAGCACATGTAAAAAATTATTCAGTATTACCACCAGTGAAGCCTCATTGTGGATTGAGGTTACCTCCTGATCGTTACTGTCTATCTTCTTGTAATTACACATTGAAGAATGTTCAGAAGAAACTCAGCAAGACAAATTTTGGTATATCTGGAGGAACTGGCATGAAGTTTTCAACAAAACCTAACATAAGCTTCTTGAAAAGAACTAATTTAGGTGTTGCTAAGCAAACTGTCACTATTCCTAAGCCTGTCAGCAAATTATTGGCCCAATCTCAGAAAACCATCTTGAAGCCCAAGATACAAATCACCCAGAATGTTCAGTTAACACCTGCTAATGGAGCTGCTGAATCCAATAGTTTGAAAAGAAAACGTGAAGAAGAACCAATCTTGATGTAATTTCAAGCAATCTATAAAAAATATTGATGAGAATCAAGGTCTTTTGAGAATATCTTAGAAATGAGGACATCAAATTTATGACTGTTCTGAAAATTCCAATTTTGTCACTACTCATGGAAGCAACCCTGTATCTTCTGTATATAATATGGGCAATCTATCATCAAGAATATTTATTGGTTAATTACATTTCCATATTATCTTATTTATAGGGGAATTTGAGGGAAATTTTTGTGAAGAAATAATTTTCAGTCTCATTAGTTTTATTAAAGAAGTATAATATAAAAAGTAAAAAAGCAACAATAATATCACTAATATTGAAGAAAGAACAAGTTATTGGTGACGGTGAGTCCAAAGCAAATGAATAACTTATTTGAGAAATCCCATGAATAAAACTAATAAAAGGTAAATAAAAAACTTTTGAACAGCTATCTGATATCATTTTTTGAGAAAAGCAGTCATTTGTTTTTGTTGATGAATGTCAAAAACACCTCCTGTGAAATTGTCTGGTTTTCCAAATAAGTGATTCAAATAATGTAAAAATGTTTTCTGATTATTCAGTAGTGTAGAACAAGCTTAAAGTGAATAAAAAAAGATGTTTCTCACAAATCATTCTAATCAATTTAACCATTCTTGGATTATAGCAAGTATGGCAGATAAAAAAATCAACACATGGGAATGATGAGGCAACAAAATAGTTTAATCAATTCCCAATTCAGCAGCTTCCTCAGGAGTCAGCTCTGTACTTCTATGGATGCTCTCTGATTTTGCACAATCCCTTGGCAAACCATATTCCTCATTCTCCAAATCATCATCATCATCATTGTTATAGATGCCACTCCTGATTTTCTTATTGCTGTTTTTACTCTTTGTATCCCTCAAATTTGGTGGAGTCAATAAATCTCCATCATAATCAAGAATGTTATTTTGAGCTATTCTCCACTCCATGACCTCTGTGGAGAAATCATCACAGTTGCCAAGTTGACTAAAACCAACAACTTTGTCAATCATTATGCTTTTTTGTACTAAAACAATTGTAGGTATGGTCTTGATTTTCAGTTTCTCAGCAAGAAAAGGACACTTTTCAGCATTCAGCTTAGCAAAACGAGTCTCAATGTGTTTGGATGCTAGGATTCTCAGATGTTTGTCAACTATAGCACACCTTGGAGATCCATTTGTGTAAAAGTGCAATACAACATTTTCAGATTTCTTGATGACATCAAAGAACATTTTTTCTTCAGCTAACTCCTCGTATTTTCCATGATCGTTACTCAGCCATTCCTTTCGTTTTTCCTCTTGTTTTTTCATTTCCTTTATTCGGTTCTGTTTTAGCTGCTCTAGGTCATTGGTGTCCAAGTTGTCTATTTGTTCAATCACTGCATCCACTTGTTTCTCAATTGCTTCCGTAACGTTGAGTAAATTATTCTGCTGTGCTTCCATTTTTATTTCTATTGGTATATTTGGGATTTGGGTATTGAAAAATTTAGAAAGTTTTCGGGGTTCTGTTGACTGTTTTGAGGTGTTATGAAAAGAGAACAGAAAAAAATATATCGAAATCGTCAGTGACAGGTAACACTGACAAGATGCTGACAGATGTCGGTGTAGCTTGTTAGAGGAACGTCTCGTAACAGGAGCCAACTACCCTCTACATTCCTACTCCGAGACGACAATCTTGTACGTTGTACGAAACAATTAGATCGCGGCAGGAGTACACAGTGGCTGTCGCTGTCTATGTCGATGGCTGTCGTTCTGGTACCGAAATGAAATATTCCGACTATAATAGCGAATTCCATTGGTAAAACTGGGTCGCACTAAGTGCATATTTTGTATTCCATTGGTAAAACTGGTGTCGGGTTTTGAATTCCATTGGAAAACTGGTTCACATAGTTTAGAGCTCAGTGCAACAATTCTCGCACGAGCTCTAATAGGTCGTGCGAAGTAGGTGCAGTTTTGAAAATGGCGGAAACATTGAATATGCATAGTTTGAAAACCAAAATTAAGTGGCAATCGAATCATCATCATCAAGTAGTGATAAAAAATTGGAGGTTTCAAGAAATAAAAGAGACTACTTCCCAGAATCCATAATTTTGTTGAGTGTTTTGCACTAAAATTCAATGATGAAGAGGTTCTTATTGAAAAATAACTGCTCAGAATCATTTCCATGAAACATCTACTACGTTTTTAATTGAAGTCGAGAAAGAATTTCAGGATACGGACAAGTTATAAACAATGACAAACCAATTTATCAGATTTAACCTCCAACAATAACATTTTATTATATTATTTCGTATTCCATTGGGAATGCACCAGTTCACATTTTGGAGAGAACTAACGTAGTGCGGGTGCAAAACTGGTGCAAAACCAGTGCACCACCAGGTTTACGAATGGAATTCGCTAAGATTTTAGACTCAGCTCAGAGACGAATAGCTATTAGAATAAGATGGGCAGAACAATGGTATGAAATGTGACATATTTTTTGTTGCATTCCTCTATATAATTCAGGACATTTATGTTTTAGTTGTTATTGTTCATTATCTAATATTATACAGTTCTCTTCATATTTCTGAGATGCAAAATGATGTGATCGAACCGAACTGTTGACAGTTCTTAAGCTTATTTGCACGCTATGGTCCATAAAAGCCTATTTCACGCATTTGACACATAAATGAATATTATAATGCGTGAATAAACACCCTATTATAAGCTTTGAGCCAAAACTAACTTCAAAACATTCAAAAACTAATAGCGCGTATGCCGGGAGTTCTCATCATTTCTTCCAGAAGAATATATCACAGATTTCATTCTGGTCGCAGATCTGCAAATGCTTCTGTTTGTGGTTTTCAAACTCGTCTACATTAGGGTCCCTTGATGTAAATTGACGTTAAAGTCATCTTAACAGGGTACGGACAGATCATAGCTGCATTCTTTTTTAATGATGTAGAGACTTTAGTTTTGTCTACTGGCATCCCTGACATTGCTGTCACGTCACATCCATGGGCGCTACAAATTTCAATAATAGGTATGTACAGGGTGTTTACTTGTTGAAGATCATATGGCGAACGAGTTTTGTAATTAGAATCCGATTCTATTCAAAATTGGAAGATATCTGGGGTTTTCCGGGGTTGGAGATAATGATTGTTTCGTCAAACTTGGAAAATTCAAGATGACCAATCCAATATACAGGCTGATTCACGGTGGATGGCACATTAGACGTTTCTGGAAAACGCAACTCAGGATTAAGCGGCGTTCACAACCAAACTTTTCATGTTTTGCTTTTTACGTTTCGTGATCTGATTGGTGAAGCAAAATCTGTAATTGAAATAACGCAAAAAGCTGAAAATATTCAGCTTTTTGCGTTGCAAGAAGCCATCGTCTGTGAAAATAGTAAAAATAGACAAATGATATTGTTATAATGATGGAAAATACTACTGTTAGTTCTGATTCGAATAGAACAATACATGTATAGAATATTCTATAATGATATAGAAGTTATGATATTGTTTTTGCTCATGATTTTTTCGTGAATCTACAGAATAGTTGATAGGTATACTGTTCAATTCATTATTTTCTTGTTGACGATTGATTTTTCTCTTCGAGTATTGAATAAGAATCAATTTTCGTCACCGCCAGTTCTATGAATATTATCAATTATCTAATCAATATTATTGTTATGATTATTTACTTCATTTCAGGATGAAAAACAAATGACAAAACCAAAGCATAACTGTCCCATAAAAAGTCACGTTGACTTTTTTTGTTGTGAATGACATTTGCATATGTTTATATAGACACGTTTAATTTCAGATTCTGCTTCACCAATCAGAATACGAAACGTAAAAAGCAAAACGTAAATAGTTTGGTTGTGAACGCCGCTTTTTTCTGAAAAGTTGGTGCCTTGAATAATTAGTTGTGTTCTATCGACCTGAAATATTCTCAGCGCTGCCACCATGAATCAGCCCGTATAGCGAAAGAAATTTCTAATTATGATCTGATTCTATTTAAGATTGGTATCTGGGGGTTTTCAGGGTCGAACTTTATGATTTTTTGTCAATGGGGTCGGAGATTATAATTAATTCGTCAAAATTGGGATTTTCATGATGGCGGATCCATTATGGTGGACGAGTTTTGTTATGGAGATTCGATTCTATTCAAAATTGGTATCTGGGGGTTTCCGGGGTAGGAGATAATGATCGTTTCGTCGAAATTGGAATATTCAAGATGGCGGATTCGATATGGCGAAAGACATTAGTTTATATGATTATTACTCTACCACAAATAGAAAATATGTAGGATGCAAGAGTGAAAATAACGTGACTATAAGTTATACTGCGTATACCTACATCTTTGTTACTTTTATCAATCAATTGTTCGAAAATGACTTTTAATTTGAGGGGGACAGAAAAATCATATGTATAACATGGGGGTAAAGTATATTCTATTCTTTATATTCCTGCATATTTCACGTATTACTTTTCATCAGCCTACTTTTCGTCCTAGACAAAGTTTAATACATGATATACGTGATATTAGTCACTCCATAAATTCTTCACCGAGCTGGATTTCCAAAAATATATTGAGCACACATGAATAAGTACAGTAGTTTCGGTTTCCATCATTTCTCAATCATAAGGCTCAGCTCATTAAGCTGATAAACTTCTGCTCAGCTCGAAATCAGAATTTATTCAGTCAATTCAGTCAACCCTAGTATACAGTCTAAGAACAGTCTCTCTTAGTGGAATATATTAAGCTTTCATGAGTACAATTTATGTTCCCTGCCTCGCAAAGATTATGCTGGAGTAGTAAACTCTAAATCTAGAGGACTGTTCATCTATATCTTGGTATAGTTGAATCGGGAATTCCATATGGAAATTACGTATGATACGCCAGTGACCTCAATATAACCTAAAAAACAACGAATGTCAAAAATCTAGTGTTTTTCCCTAGAATTGAATAAGGATGGAACTATATAACTGTTTCACAAACACTTTAGAGTGAGAGGAGACGAGGATCTGTCCGTACCCTGTTAGGATGACTTTAGCGTCAATTTCCATCAAGGGACCCTAGTCTACATTGCATATCCCATATATCTATTCAATTGTATTCAAATCCGGAATACGCGGTGGCCATTATACTAATTCAATCGTAGAATGTTAACCTCGTGGGGCCTGGCATTATCTTGTATTATGAAGAAAATCTTGACCAACCAAACAGGCGAATGGTATATGATCAGCTAAACATTGTTGGATAGTTGGATAATAAGGATTTGTGGATAGACCCATTTCTGTCCCTCACCGCGTGCTTATATTATCCCAGCACACCATCTTCTCTGAAGATATAATGTATAAATAGTGCATAACATTGAAAAACTGCAACACTTTCTTTAAATCACGTCCCTTTATGAAGTTTATAGTTTTTAATGCAATATTATCTACTGCGTGTTCGCGGAATAGGATGTACTTTTCAGAAAAAAACACATGAAATTACAATAATTTATGACGAAGAATGTGTACAAATAAACAGGAACAATCAATACAACCACTTATTGTCATTATGGAAATAACCAGATCTCATGAAACTTGAACAATCTGTGTCGATATATCATCTATGAGAGGAACTCTGTTATTAACCTGCTGAATGTTGCCTTTATCAATGATACGGTTTCCCCAGTTGCACATTACAAAGTTGATGAATAATTGAACCAGTCTATTCAGCATACCTGAAATGACAAAAGTTTACGTAACTACGGGAGAATTATCAGGAATTGATCAATAAAATAAATTTCAAACTGTATGTATCCTAGGAAAGTGGTCCAACAAAGAATGTTTTATGCATTTACTACATTCATAAGAAGATATAGTAGGTGGCGCTACTTCTCAATGAATGTTCACACTGACAAACTAATTCAAAAACACGGCCATTCTGATGATTGAATTCCACTTTGAGTTCGTGTTTTTCGTGGTTTTTCCTTAGGATTTATGGTAACATATAATGTGAACATCTTTCCATGAAGAAAACTTTAACCTTTACGTCATACCAAACTTCATAACATTTGGCAGGTGTAATATTGCCTCCAATATTACCCAATCAAAGCGGAGGTCAACGCTTCCCTATGGTTTCCAAATTTCAAAGCTGTCTTTTACAAGCTTAAATGGACATAGGATTTATATTTTGTGAGTATGTGTGATATTTTTGACATTTCTTCATTGACGAACATAATTTTGGACAGTAATATATAATGGTTTATATACCACGTACGGGATAGTGACCCATTAAACTCCGTGACGGGAGAGCAATATGCCTGAAGGAAACAACCACTTTTAGTCCCACGGATTTACGAAAATTTTAACCAAAAACCAAAACACCTACCAGCGCCAGTGATTACCCATCACTAAGATGCCTAGTAAACATCTCACCCATGAGCTATACTTTTTCATTAGTATTATCGCTTATTTCAGACCATTCTCTGTCTCTTATTTCATTATTTTGGGAAGAAGATAAATGACTTTGTTTGCTGAAACATTGTACTGAATAAAAAAATGGAGACCCGAAATAAAAAATCATAATAATAAGTTATGAGTCATATTATCACTATTCAATGAGGAACATATATATTAAAAACGAATTGACTCCACTTCATGTTAATAAAACATAAGATTCTCTTGGATGGACCACCCCTACCTAGTTCAATAAGCTGGATATACCTACCCGAGCATACAAAAACTCCTCCGACAATGGAAGCCAGCCGGGCAAGAAACATGCCCAAATTGTCTCTCTCTTGTTTGACTGACACCCTTAAGGCGGACACGTCATATTTGAAGAACAGGCCAGGAATACCGTGACTTCCTTTGTCATGGTCGATTGGTCTATTTAGAACCTTAGCACTGTATTGATAAGTATTGAGTGAAGTCAGGAATGTGTTAACATTTGTTGGTACTATTTCGATGAAGTAGTTGAACAGAGTCTTGCCTGTGAATTATAAATGGTGTATCACGTTTATTAACTGTCAATAATACTGTCATCATCTCAGTCACACGCACGCAAGTCTAGTGGTAATTGGTGACAAATAAAAACTTGGATGTACCACTGATATAACCAGCTTTTTTATATTAACCTTCAACTGATATAGTGGGGTGATTCAGAATCCCACTAGTGCTAATCAATATACAACTGATTAACTTGTTAATTTTTTGTTCAAGGTATCCTCCTAACATGGTAATATCTCACACTTGCAAGTTTTTTCAATATTCGCGATAGAAAATAGCACGTTGCCCCACCTGACGCCAGCAACTTGAACACTTCTGACCGGTTTGTTTTGATGATAAGAACAATAAGCACAAACAAAAAACAAATGTTTACCAATAATGAGAACAAAGTAAACATGCCGCTTTGGCAGCTTTCGAGAACTCCGATAGGTGGCGTACGCTTATTTTCTATCATGAATAAGGTGAAAAATTGTGTTTGCTGGTTACAGATAGGGTCCCTTGATGGAAATTGACATTGAAGTCATCTCAACAGGGTACGGACAGATCATAGCTGCATTCTTTTTTAATGATCTAGAGACTTAAGTTTTGTCTACTGGCATCCCTGACATTGCTGCACGTCACATCCATGGGCGCTACAGAAAATCATTCGAAATTTCAAGAATAGGTATGTACAGGGTATTTACTTGTTGAGGAAGATCATGTGGCGAACAAGTTTTGTGATGAAGATCCGATTCTATTCGTAATTGATATCTGGCGCGGTTTTCGGGGTAAGAGATAATGATTGTTCCGTCAAAATTGAAAAATCCAAGATAACAGATCCATTATTTTATATAATTACTACTTTATCACAAATATGTAGGATGCAAGAGTGAAAATAACGTGCCTATAAGTTATACTGCGTATATCTACTTGTTTGTTACTTTCATCAATAAATTATTTGAAAATAACTTTTTATATAAGGAAGACGGAAGAATCATATGTATAACATGGGGGTGAAGTATATTCTATTCTTTATTTCCCTGCACATTTAACGAATAACTTTTCATCACACTACTTTTCGTCCTAGACGAAGTTCTATACATAGTTGATATTAGTCACTCCATAAATTCTTCGAGTTGTATTTCCGAAAATATATTTAGCACACATTACATGAGTACAGTCGTAGTTTAGATATTCTCATCGAGGTTTTCACCATTTCTCAATCATAAGGCTCAGCTCATTCAGCTCATAGATAAACTACTGCTCAGTTTGAAATCAGAATTCATTCAGTCAATTCAGTCAACCCTTGTATACAGCTGATATACAGCCTAGGAACAGTCTCTTTTGGTGAAATATATTGAGCTTTCAGTAAAATTCATATGTTCCCTTAGCTACCTCTCAAAAATTATGCTGGAGTATAGTAAACTCTAAAGGGCTCCGTACATTATGCTATTTACCAGCAAGTTCGATGCAATGCAATTTTGAATTGAACAATGCGCATGCGTCTATGATATTTCATGGCAAAAGTTTCATGCTAGTTTCGTAATAGAACCAGTCCTATTTTTCCTGCGATTTCAAGGCAAGTTATTTAGTAAAATTTTTAGTAATATTCATCGTAGCATCTTGATAAAATACTAATTTTCTCCATAACGTGGCCTGAAACACCAAATAACCTCAAAAAGTACATTGAAGGCTCAAAAAACTTGGAAATAGTCAATATATGAACAAGAAAATATGACAGAAATATCTCAATGTACGGCGACTCGCATTTTAGAAAAATTGCGAGAAAATTGCATTGCCTCAAACTTGCCGAGAAATAGCATAATGTACGGCGCCCTCATAACTAGAGGATTGTTCATCTATATTTTGGTATAGTTGAATCAGGAATTCCATATGGAAATTACGTATGATACGCCAGTGACCTCAATATAACCTAAAAAACAACAAATGCCAAAAATCTAGTGTTTATCCCCAGAAATGAATAAAGATGGAAGTATATAACTGTTTCACAAACACTTTAGAGTGAGAGGAGACGAGGATCTGTCCGTACCCTGTAGAGATGACAAATACGTCAGTTTACATCAAGGGACCCTAGTTACAGATACCTACAGATCCTTGAGGACAAGCCATGAGTCCAGCAATATTTTCACAATATTTACAGTGATTATTCTGGTTGTTGATGCCTATTTAGTTTTAATAATGAAGTTTTTTCAACAAAATATAAACATTATAAAAAATCTTGATATTGTATAAGGTCTTTAAATATACCTCAAAATACCATATGATCCAAGTTATTACATTATGGGAAAACAGGATACCAGTCAAGGGATTTTGGGCCTTCCCTCGTCCTCAACAGTGAATTATGTTGAATACTGAATCAAAAATAGAGAGGTCTTCTGTTTCTGACCCAATGATGATTTATTATGATCATATATTTTGGAAACAGGAGATCATTTGTGTCATCAATTAAAACCACTAAATCAATTAGTGACTTGAGCCAAGAACTTACCATAACTCCCAATCAACTCATCTCCCTCTAGAGGATGCACAATACCAGGGCTAGGATCTCCAAAACTGAACTTGTTAATCCTGTGTGAAAAATTATAATCTCTCTCAGACATGAAAGCATTTATGTGTACATGACCCCTGGGCAAATGTAAACTTTTACCTGCTGTTATATGGAAATTACCAGCAACTTTGTTGAGAATGAGACTTCCATGAATTCTGCATGCATCATGAGGTCTATTTGGTATTTCACTTCTAGCAGGAATATCACCAAAATTTGTGGAGAATTGACTTCTCCATAAGAGATCCTATTTGGAAAAACATACATTGAGTCATGAATCAAGTTACTGGTGAAACTCATTACTTTGATTGCATGATATTCTTCACGAAGATAAGAGTTGAAGTGTTTTTTATTGTCAAAATGTAATTTTTGGTTTGGAGCAAGTTCAAACCAGGTGTCTTCTTCCTCTAAAGATCCAAATTTGAAGGCATTTTGATTCGTTGAATCAAGAATATCTGCTCCTAAAACTAAATGCAGTATACATTTTTTTTCTTATTGTAGGAAATAAATTCATTGTTTCAGCCTGGGTCATCATCTTGATTATTTGAGAGGTATGATACTCACAATGGCAAGGCATAGCAACAGTGATATCAACATTAATTTTCAACTGTTCATCCAATTCCACATCTGGAGAAAATTTGAATATGAATTTGCTATCCAGGAAATAGTTTATCTCCAAATATATTAGCCATAAAATGAGTAGAAAGGTTATTATGGAAACTACAGAAATAAAGGGAGGTTTAGTAAATACTCAGTGAAAATAATATGATAAACTGAGTGTTTCGACTTACATGTTCCACCCACAGAAGAGCTTTCAATGAATGGTTCCTCGACTTTATGAAATATATCAAATTTTTTAACTTTACTCAGTTTAGAGCCCCTATACCTCAACATGGTAACTTTTTCTGGTTCCATTTTGTGTGTGATGTTTGGTAGATTTCTTCCACAAAAATATGGATTTTAGTCACCAAGCGAAATATTAACAATTCTGTGTTTACAAATTTTTAAAATCTTTCAACTTTTTACTTTAATAGGTTAGGTTAGGTTAGGTCTGTTATGCAGGGCTGTTCCTGACCGAAAATATGTAGTACTAGATGACATTTCGAAAAAGTACTAGTATTAGGAATCTAGTTCTGCATCAATGATGGCTAAATATCTAGACTGGGTATAACCCGTCAGACAGTCTAGATATTTAGCCGTCATTGGTCTCTATTCACAAATTCAAGTCAGCAAAAAACAAACATAAGTAGAGTCACTGTACAATTTTTTTATCGTTTTTGCTCCATAATGAAACGGCTCATGAGATTCCACTCAAAATTTGTATTTTGGCATAGCTTTATTGCGCAATGAAACCCACATATTATGATCATGATGAATGTTATTCCATGGGCGTAAAACATATTTTTTTCAGAAAATAAACATCTGAAACTCCTACGACAATGGAAAGGAAGGAATTTGATTATGAAATTTAGATTGCGTAACTTGTTTTCTACAGAAAAGGTAATCTTGAGAAAATTTGATTACTCTCATCATGATTTCGACGAAATTTGAATTTCAAGTAATTCAATAGCATTTAGGTATAATAATGTTCCTTCCTGGTTTAACTCGTTATCACATGAGGGAATAAGAGTATGTCCGGAATAATAGGAGCAAATACATCGCTGTGCCGTGGACCGTGGATTTGGGTCAGACTGAGGGGTGCATGGAGAAGGTAGGTTTTTGAGATCTACCATTAAATTGGTAACAGATGGCAAAATTCTTATCTCGTTATCAAATCGCGAGATGGAATGCTGATTTCCGCAGAGGAAAGTGCAATTTTTTATTCATTTTGCTAAGGATAGTGATTGGCATAGGTGCCGTTCGATAAACTACATTGTTTTCACATTCCTTTGGGACATATATCATTTCGTTATCAGATGACGGTATAAGTCTGCAGCCGGCTCTCCTACTAGTAGGTATTGCGTCTACAATGATTTACAACCGCATCATGCTGTATCACACCGAGTCATCGCAGTTGTTGCTATGGAGTATATTTTTGCGTAACAGCAGAAAAGAAAATATTGAATCGTCAAACGCCGCTGTCAAAAATGAAATGATTCTTTCCAAATGAATTTCCATCTGGATCTCTGAAGTGAGTATCTACATTGTTATCCACAAACCCATATTCACTTTCCGAATCATCATTTGTGGCAGTTCCAATGAGCGAAGAACGAGAGGAAGATCAGATCGCCATGGGGGCTAGTTCCTTCGGACTGGCCCCTGGAGGGACTGTGGCTTCTTCTTCGGATTTGGACATGATAATGGGGGTGGTCAAACAGATGTCGACTGGTAGTAGTCAGAAAAGACTGAGGACTAGCGCCACATTCTTGGCCATTCAAGAATCCGCTAAGGAAAAACTTGTAAGCAATTTTATTCAATATCTGCTGAGCCCAAAAAATATCGATTGTTTCAAACATCTGGAATGGGCTTATATCACAAAAAAATTTTATTTCATAATTCGATAGAACTCACCCGAACTAGCTCACCACCGCAAACCGTTTCTTACTGTGAGCTCCCTACGATTTATAAAAAATTATTGAAATCCCCGATTTTTCGGACCTCTGAAAACGAGGCGATGATGTGACGTCAAAACCCTAGTACTGAAACAAGATTATTCCAGACAGAGATGAATGATACATGATTTCTGACAGAGTGAATTAGCGCGAGATCACAGTTGAAAGAATTAATATATTAGTTGCCTCAGTCTCCCTCGGACGTTTGGTATTTTCTTTTAACTATGGCGAGATGAGCTTTCTACGTCATAAGTTAATTTTTCGATCGAATTATGTCGTCAATCATTATTTATGTATAAAAGGATCATTATAAACATGATTTGAGTTGAAAGTTCTACTAAGGTGTACACGCCCATTGATTTGTCCAACGAGCGTGCGCGAAGTAGTATTTTTTACACTCCTCCGCAAGCCGTGCGGATAAGATTTTTATCAAAACTGCACTAGTATGGAAAATTCAAAGTCATTTTAGTTGCTGTAGACTATTTTATGCAATATGTGAAGCCGTTGCAATAAGTGTATTCCTCTTTACCGTTCATCTGTATTTCCCGATAATTGTATGTATTTCAGCTTGAAGCAGACTAAACAATGTAAGTACCTTGTATAAAAATAAGCGCACTTGTCATCTTCGACATTATGTCAGATTTTTCCTACGTTTCTCTCAGCAAGAATCTGAAAAACTTTGGACATTTTTATAGCATCGGTTTCAAGTTTCACCTCACCCTGTATTATAAAAAATAATGCTTTCTGACCGTCGAAACCTTCGGCCTTCGGAATCATTTCTGGACACATGTTGCTAGGAACATTTTTTTCTTATCTCAATCTGCAGAATTACCTCCCGGAGTACACGAACGTTATTCTGGGACACCCTGTATACAGGGTGAGTCAGTTTTTTTTAGCAGGACTTCAACAGCTTGAAGGAGACATTGTTTCAAGATAAAAATCTCATATAAACATATATGCGTGGGAGCTTCGTCTCCGATATACAGGGATTCAAAGTTTGCATTTCTTTGGTGTTTTTCGAATTTCCTCCTACATTTTTCAGAATGATGGATTGAAATTTGGTACGCCTGGTACACTTTGAAAACGCAATATTCGGGGCTACCAAGCGTTCTTGAATACCTACAGGATGATACACTTTTGAGGTCTTACCCTTTAAATCCTCTCGAACTTTTTTGCGTCCGCCTTTGCATTGAATAAATCATCAGAGAGATTCTAAATTAATGATTCATCGAGTGCAATGGCGGTACGCAAAAAAGTTCGAGAGGGTTCAAAGGGTACGACCCCAAAAGTGTATCATCCTCTAGGTATTCAAGAACGCTCGATATCCCCAAATATTGCGTTTCCAAAGTGTGATAGGTGTACGAAATGTCAATCCATGATTCTGAAAGATGTAGGAGAAAATTCGAAAAACACAATAAAAATAGCAAACTTTGATACCCTGTATATCGGAAACGAAGCTCTCACGCATATATGTTTATATGGGATTTTCGTCTTGAAATAATGTCTCCTTTGAGCTGTTAAAGTCCTGCTACAAAATACTGAATCACCCTGTATATTCATGGTAACGAATTTTGAGCCATCGAACTTCGAGGTTGGTAGTTGAATGATCTGTGGCATATATAGGTGATTCAAAAAGCAAAAGATCTCTCGGCGAGATGAGGAACAACTAGATGAAGATTTGACTTATACAGGGGTTTCAGACTTTCAGACTTAAATGTACATCATAGGATATCCTTGCAGATAGAGGATACTTTGACGGTTTCAAATCACCCCCCCCCCCATTGATATGTCTACCGTCTTTTATACTTAACTGAGATATAAGACGTTATCTTGATTTTGACCAAATCTTCATCTGGTCATAATTTTTGAACCACTTTGTTCAATCTATTCATACTCAATAGAAATATTCCACTTATATTACACATCAAAACCAGAGATTATACACACTAATCTCTGTCAAAGCTAAATAAATATAGGTCCGTCTTAAGGAAAAACAGAAAACTTCTTTCATTTCAAAAACAGCACTCTGAATGGCACAATGTTTTGTAGATCTGTTTCGATATTTGGAAAAAGCGGGAAAAATTAATGAAGTGACCTACTTTTACGAGCGCATTTGACAGATGGTTTATTATTATGTTATGAAATATCCATCTCCATTTTGAGGCATTTTTATTGAACTCGTAATTCAAAAAACTATTGATAGATTTGTTTGTTTGACAGAATAACGTGTTAATGATTTTGGAAATTTTCGTGGACTCATTTTATTCTTATTCAGTATTTTTTCATAAGCTGCGGTGAAGTAGGCTGTGCAAAAAAAACAGCCGACTTCACCGCAGCTCATGAATTAATAGCAAAGAATAAAATGAGCCCTCAAAAATTTCTAAAACCTTAGACAACTTCTTTCAGCAGTACTGAAATATTCAAGACTCTCGTTATCGAAATTCAAACTTCAACGCTCTATATTCATAGAGTGAACCATTTTGAAGCATATGTTTATAAAGAGAGAGCATGAATACTTAGAGTATGAGTTATTACAGCAAAAAATGAGGGAGCAGCGTGCCTTGCGCTACCAAGAAATGCAGTTACCCCACAGACACGTGTGTGACATGGTGGGGACCAGTTTGGGATTGGAACTGAACGATGTTATGGACGGCGTTGTGGATGATTCCTACCACCTGGAACTCCTGCAAAGTTTACTCGAAAAGGGCCGAACAAAGTGCATCCTCTTTTATTATCAAGATGGACCACCGTATCCGTTAGGTAGGAAACACGGAATAACATCACAGATATGTTACTTTCTCCAGAATTCTAGCTCATCAACAAGTTGAAATGTCAGTGGTATTGGTAATTCTTCCCTGTCAATTATGCTCGTATCATGCTCTGGTTTGAATAGCGTATTCCGAATCACTAATAATAGCTCATATTGTGTCTCAGTTACGGTCAATGAATCTGGTCTGAATCTATATCCAGTTTGAATGTGTCGGTCGATGGACATTTTTTCTGATTTTACTTAGACCGCCGATGTTACAAAGGTCTATCTTGAGGCTTTCATCATCCGATGGTGAACCCCCTGTAGCACCTCTCACCTGAAAATCTTGATGGAAAGGTATTGTATTTCTGGATAATTCCTCTGAAGATCTAAAGAGACTCATATCTTCGATTTATTTCTTAAACAGAATCATCACTCAAATACCGTTGAAGAATTTTTCGGTCGATTTTTAGGTGCTAAAGTCATCAATAATGCCACAGTAATTTTCAAACGGCTAGAAATTTACCGCCAGTAAAAACTGTCGGCACTATTTCATGAGTAAGGGGCAGACCATAGCACGGCTGCCATATTGGTCGATGATTCATAAATTCTCAATTGAGTATTGGTAATACTTCTAATTATCAAAAAAAAATCACTTGTCTCAAAATGTTTCCTTTTGATTCGTGGATTATTGATTATTGACAATGTTATTTTACTCCATTCCAAAATACTGATTTCTCATACGTACCATGGGACAGACGATAGCAAATTGATCCAGAACTCACCTAGGTATACTACAATCAACTGACAATTATTGATAATCACCTCATCAGTATATCAATAATCATAATATGAATCCATAATCGTTCTCATCTTCTCATTCTCATGGTTGTAAGATACGGGATGATCTGAATGAATGAACAACTTTAAATGAATACATATGGTTTTTACATTTTTGCTTCTCAAAGTCTTAAATATCCTGGAGTGTGCCAAAGGGAATGGAAAGAGGTACCCTATATGAAACGAACATTCAAGAACAAGATAATATACCATATACCTCATTGTTACGAATTGAATTGAATTTTCTCTTTATTTCAGAGAGTGGAAGGAGTAATCCAGCTCACAAAAGTGATATTAAAAGAATATATGTTACCAGCGGAATGCAAATGGGCATGTGTGGCAAAGCAGTAGCTGTGTACAAATATAACAATGTTGCACTTGACTTGAAAAATATTAACGACGTGAGTATCAGAATGACTGATTGAACTTATATATCTCGTAAAAATGAGTGTTGCCAGAGTTCATGGAAAAAGTATATGTCTTGCAGTGTCGACTTTTGAGGTGGGGGAAGAGGGCATGCGAATGTTTATAACAATGCAAGGAGATTAGCAGTGATGCCATCCACATCAGGATTTACAATACCATGCTACGAATCTTACCAACGGCCATATACGGCCATATACGGCCCCAACCCAAATGGAACTGAGTGACAAAAAGTCGCTCTTTCTAGTTTGAAACCCAATTGGTCATTTATTACACACGTTCGGCAATGCCGTCCACTCAATTTTTTTTCGATTACAGTAACTTGTGAGACCCCGGGTTTTTTGATATAACTTCACCCACGCGACCCCCACCCTTTGGTCCACGATTTTTATTCGGCAAGTTCATATCCGTGTAACTGGAAGGTGGAATTTATGGTGTTCTTATACTGCTGAATATGAACAAATAAGACACAAAAAACACGTTGTAGGTTCCCACTCTATATTATGTATTTATTTCAGGATATATGCTTCATTCAGTTCGACATGAACGATGGTCAAGCCAATTTTGCTGCTGTAGCTTACGATCTTCTGGCAGAATTGATCAAGCCTCCCCTAGCTCTGTCTAAGGATTGGGGTGATCTACCAAAAACGGAAAATGGTCGAATGCAGAAGCTGAATTTCGAAGGGGACTTTGAATCATTCGTCACTTTCCTAGACCGTAATTATTTACATTATGTACTCAGAAGATATGGATTTGGTCAGTTCGGAGAAGTTCAATAGTATATCATCATACAAGTTTTACCACTATTTCGCACGCAGTACGAACTATAATAATGTCTCATAAAACGAATTAATTATGTTTTTTTTCTACGCCTATAACACAAGATTGCTCTTGTTTTACTCTGTGTTCGATACATCAATGACAATCTCTAGAGTCACTGGATGGTATTATTTAGATAAGAGTTCGGACACAGAAATGACAACTGCTAGTGTTAATTTGAGTGTTCAGATTTATTAAGTTACACACCTTGCATTGTGACAAGAGGAGCATAGTCGTTCGGTGCTTTTTCATTCAAATTTTTTTGCATTTGACAATAAATTTTATGAACGTCAGAATTGAAATATGATTGATGGATGAACTATTGAGAAGAAAGCATGAATGAAAATGTTCTGCTGTGTTATGAATTGTGGGAATCCTGAAAAGAATAGATTTCATTTATTCATTTAATTTGCCAAAGGAAATATCGATGGAAATACCAACCTTTTACTTAAGGAAGGAATGTATGAAACGGCTTGGATGGTAAATTAATTCGAAGACAATCAAAGTTTGTGAGGTACTTACATAAATTTGAATTCACTTCTTATATAATAGCAGATTGAAATGGAACTATATCCTAGGACCAGTGTTGAGAAAACTGGAACAATACTTATGTCTTTGATTCTTTTATATCATCCTAAATCAATTCAAGAACTTATATTCAACAGTCTCTAGAAGAGACAACATTATATGTACTATGATATGATTTAAAAATGAGCATCTGATTATCTGATTCTATTTTTTTTTTAGTTGCTCTTTCATAATTTTCCCTGCTATAAACATATATGTTTCTTGGGAATAATAAAGATTATTATTATTATAACCCATTTCTGTTTTCCATCTACGGCTATGATTGATGTGACAGAAAATCTAACCTCAAGAATCTTATCTGACAATCAGGCGCTATGAGGAATTTGAGAAGACAAATAGAAGAATGTAAAGTCATTTTTTTATTCACTCAAACCATTGTTATATAGTAAATAGGAAAGGACAGAAGTTCAGCTGTGTCCGAACTCTTATCTATTAATACCATCCTGTGACTCTACTAGAATTCGAATTGCACCCCCCCCCCTATTTTGTTTTTTTCGGTTCATCTTATAGAACTGTTTATTCTCAACTATTGACAATCATTAAACATTTTTTAATTTAGGTACCAAACAAGATTTGAAGGGTGTAGTGACTTTCACTTGTGATGAAAGCGTTCTGACGCAGATAAATGATGATAGTAAGAGACAAAGGGCTTTTTACAATAAACCACTTATACAACAAGTGGAGGCAATAGTTCGTGTATGGCATAAATTGATAGAGAGGGTAAATATATGTCTACATAATATCGTTATGTTATTTATTTCATGAATTTGGAATGAAACTCACTAACTATAGGTTTATTAGACGTACACAAATATACTCAAATTACTATAATAACATCAAGAAACTATCTAAAACCTTCATTATGTTTTCAAAAATATGTTTTGAAAATAATATTCCGTAAATTATTTGATTATTCATCAGCATCACTATATTTTTAGGAAATAATATATGATTTTTCAACAAAAAAATAAACAAAATATGAAAAATCTCAGAATTAAAAATGCATCTTTGAAACGGGCATTGCCCTAGCTTCTCAGGTGAGGCACTAGCCGTTCGATATCTTATCTTAAAGAGGCTAGCAATAACGACAAGAACACCGTTATGGTCAGGATGCTTTTTGTTTTGAGGACAAATGAAAACGAAATATCTTTATTATTATTGAGATATTTTTGGGTATATTTTTGTAGGTCCTACACAGTTTCAATTATACCTTGATTCGAATTGATTATATTCATGATTATATTCATGCTTTCAGTGTCTTGTGCAATATAGGCAGCTAAGAAGGGAAGATGAATTTGTGGGCCCAGTAGTTGAAATTGAATACTGGAGAAGACAGCTGGCCAGATTCACTTGTTTGGCGGAGTTTCTCGAAACTGAAGAGTGTCAGACATTCATCGATTTCATGGAATTTATTCGAAACAAAGAAATTATGACGGTATTTTTCTTGATTCACTTTCCAAATCCTTCTCGAATAGTTCCTATGGATGTTTTACGTCGCTCGTCATGCATGATCTATGGATGCATCGTTATTATTAATCAATTTCTGACGAGAAATAGGAGTCTCATCATCAGATGAAAATTATTTTTAATCTATCCAATGAAACTAAAGTATCGGTTTGGCCCATTTATATCAGGAAACAATGCATAAAAAAAGAACATAAAATTTTTTTCTTCGTACTATATCGGTATAGGTTCTTAGTTTTCATTAATTATTCCTCAAAACTGATATGTAGAAGAAATAACGGAAAATAAAGTTTGACCATCAATTGCCTTTAGTAGATTGCTCTAGCTGGGATATTGAAATTGAAATCTCAAAAAAGTTAATAACTGTAGAGTCATGGAAATAACGTTAGTTTAATATGTTATCGTAGAACTATTTTGAGAATTAGTAATATTTCTTTTATGGTGGAATGCTTTTCAATAAAATTTGAAATGAAAGTTAATGTATTCGATCGTAGAAAAAATGTGTTTTTATAACCGGTTTTTTTGTGTAAGGGCACTCTTGTTTATGAAGCAATCTTCTTAGAAGCTCCGAAATGAAAATGTTAAGTCGGTTCAAACACAACATAACCTCTCCAAAGACATCATAACGGATAGAAAAAATCGGTTCAATATATAAACTAAACTTTGAACCCATGTTTTATTTCAGGTCGGTTACTTTCTACTACACTCGTTCTTATCTCAACTTGTGATCGAAGATTGAGATTCATCAGATATAGATCTCTTCGAAATACAAATGATTTTCTTCAAATTAATATTACTCAATTAATAGCATGTTTTCCATAACAAATATCAACAATGATTTCGAATCACTATGAATCTCATCTCTAATCTATTGTGCTGAACCTGCAATTGATCGTTACAATATACAATGTATTTTATCAGCAAACATATGATTGTTTTTGTCCGACTAAAATTTGTGATATAGTTGAATTGAACTAACGCGATATTTTTTATGGTCAATTTCGAATTAAATCTCGAAATTTTCACCTAGCCCTTATAACTCGAAATTTGTTCAATTTCGAGATATACCTCGAAGCGATTTATCTGTCATGTATCAGAGAGAATAGATAGATAATCGACGTCACGACTTCATGTTCTTATCTCCTGAGGAGTTCAAAAATAAAAGATGTCAGGGAAGCCCTTTTTCACACAATACAGTTCATTTCGAAAATATTTAGATCTGGAAACGGCATATCGACGACGTCTATGACACAAAGAACGAATGCACCGACAACGTGAAGTACTTGTACTCGATGGAAAAGTACTGGGATCCGTTCTATAGACTGGACCCCCCCGAACTGGTTCAACATCTACCGCCCTTATTGCACGCCATTCGCATGGTGTTTACCACCTCGAGGTATTATAACAGCACCGGAAATGTGACAGCTCTCCTAGTGAAGGTCTCCAATCAGATCATCTTCAAATGTAGGAGCTATTTGGATTGCGAGGGCACCAAAAGTGTTTGGAAACAGCCGAAAAAACTGGTTCTGGAAAAAATACAGGTAAAAATGTTCGTAATACTATTGATAGTGATTCTGTCAGACATCAGCGAGGTCCACTTGCTTGATGTTACCTCAGTAGATGAGTTGTGGGAGTTCTGGACCAAAACTCCATGTATTTTCATTCTGCTCAAAATTGAACATCCGTTGGGTGGGGAGCTGAAGTTCGTATATGTAATGTAGAAGGCGTGGCCAAAGTGTGACACAGTAATAGGCAGTGTTGCCAGGTGTGGCCAATTGCGCCAAAGTGGAGGTTTCAAAATTGAAATAGCGTGATAATTTCAAGTAAATGCACCTGGCGCAAAAAGTGGCGCATTGAATTTTGAACCATCAGCGCATCACCATCTTATCTGAAGACCGTCTTTGTCTTGGAAATCATTCAGAAATACAAAATAAAAAACAATAATAATATTAGGTAGGTATAAGTTTTAATTTCTTCAGATTTTTCGAGATTTTTTTCCTTGTTTCATTTTGGCTCTCATTTTTTGAATGCAATGACTACACGAATATTAAATTATTGATGGAATATTGAAATATCATACCTACTCATATTATTCATAGAAACAAAGAGATAAAATCCCAAAAAATCTGGAAAAATCAATGTTCCACCTCCTCGATCAACCTACAGACGGTATTTAAAATCAATTATATTTTAAATACTGAAAACGGGAGCAGAACCGGTCCCGAAACGTCCAAAGATAAGTGAAAATTTGATATTTTTTCTATATACCTTTATTTCCCTTCTCCAAAGATTTTTTCAATACGGCCTGTTCGTTTGTGTTTGCTCTACCTGCTAAACTTGATTTTTTTCTATGAATTTCTCTATTTACATTATGCAATGAACAGAGACAACTATGGGAACAAAATCAACTTCATTAGGTTCAGCAACACGATTGAACAGACCTTCAATATATCTTCAGAAAATAATGATAGATATTCCTCTCAAATGCTCACAAAATTGACATTTCCTATGTGATTTAGACTGGTGATTTTGGTTTATATATGAAACGACCTTTCTGTAGATTAACAATGAAAAATATGAAGATCCTGAATACCCGTTATATTTTTATGTAGTGTTCAATTGGTACTATTTCATAATTGTCAGTATTTGATATTCAATCCTTTTGGATGATCATAACCTTATTGAAGCGTTTATAGTTTTTATTGTAACGTGTGACGCTCAATATATTTCTTGTTCTATAGATTTCGCCCTTTCATTTTGTAGTCGGAAGTTTGATTGAAGTTCAATAGTTACAGCTCAGATTAACGTCATCTATGGTTACGATGTTAGCATCTTATTTCCTCCTTTCCTTCCTTTTCTAGAAGGTAGCGATTTTTAGTAGTTCAAATTGTCAAATATGGCGCATGAAAGTTAATAATACCTGGCAACACTGGTAATAGGTCAGCTTTGACTGTGGTCAGGAGAGTAGGAGAGTAGTAGATGAGCTATGGAGGTTCTGAACCAAGAACACATGTATTTTCTTATGACGGGCGAGAAGCTGAAGTGGGCACATGTGTCATAGAAGGCGCGAAGAGATAGAATAGAATAGAATAGAATAGAATTGAATAGATTTTATTCAATATAGGATACATCCTAATGATAAAATAATATAGAAAAATAAATATCACCTTCTTGTTCTTTAATCAAAGCAAGTCTCTTTGTCTCAGGTACTTCTTAACACATTTTTGAAAGTTTCTTACAGTCTCACATTCTTTTATGCTTAGAGGAAGATAATTATATTATTTCAGTCCTTCATAAAACATTGAGTTCATACCCCTATAACGAGATTTCGTTTGGTAATCATGAATTTCTGCACTAAAAATAACAGATGATCCGGCAATAAACCCTTCAATAGTTTGAAGAAAAAAATCAATCCAAAGGTTGCCAGTCTTTCGTTTACAGATTGCCATTGTAATGTTTCCAACATGTTACGAATAGAGGTACGCCTGTTACATTTCAAAATTTTTGTTGTTGTGTTGAAGTTTCTGTAACGATGACCGAGAGTTATCATCTGATGAATACAGTGGATGGATGGATGAGGGGGAGGAGATGGATGAGGTGGATGCCCTAATTTCTCTACTTGAAAATGTTTTTTAATTTTCAGACTTGTCTTGACCTCTACTTGAAATACTATCAGTGTTTCAAGCGCACTAGGAAATCCATGGAAGAAGCAGGCGAAAAACCATTCGAGTGTTCTGAAATGTTCATTTTCGGCAAATTCGAAACATTCAAAAAACGAGTTGAGGAAATTGTCTACGTGCTGAACACCACAATAAAATACTCTATTTTGCAAAAAAGCACTATCGAGGATATAGACATATATGCCAAGAAATTCGTTGATTTCTTCAAGAAGATTTCATCTCAAAAGTACGACGCATTGAATCATCGACTTCCATATTTCGACGCTGATTATAAAGAATACAGGCAAAATGTTGTTGACACTGAATGGGAGTTGGAGGAATTTGTTGGCAGCTCTTTGTCGAAGATGACTGATGTAGACAATATTCTTCGATTACTAAAACGGTAAATTTCTCAAATAGATTTGAACTGGCATGTACAGGATGATTCAAATGTTCCACCCTTCGCTCATAACAGGAAAAGTGAAACTGCAAATGCAAATTCGGCAGAGGGGATTTGAATAGCTGTGTGTAAGGTCTATTTTTTCGTATTTGAACATATTTCAACTCTTTTCAAAATGGCGGAAATGAATTTGCTTTTGGATGTTTGATAAATTGATATTCATCATACAGGACGTGGAAAGAAATTCTGAATTGAGGACACCAAATCACGAATCTGCGATTGAAGTCTATAAAAATAACAAGTTTCCATCGTTCAAGTTTGAACCCCTTGATTGGGTGAAACTATTGAAAAGGAATTTTCTCAGATATATTTATGTACACAAAAGAATGGATATATATATAAAAAAATACATTGAGAATTCGCATTCTCCATGTGATGAAAATATTAATTCTTTCTCGGTTTATTCAACAGAAAACAACTATTTTCCTTGCTATATGCCACGACGAATATTGAATTACATCTATTGAACACACAGAAGATTTTTTTTTTCAAACTCTTATCGTGTGTGTGTGTGATAAAAATGATATGTTTTATCAGAATATGAGAAAAAAATTGTAACTTTGTGGAAAAAATAACTTTTCTGACGTCATTTCCGCCATTTTGAAAAGTATTGAAATATGTTTGAATACGAAAAAATATACCTTACACAGAGCTATTCAAATTCCCTCTACCAAATTTGCATTTGCAGTTTTACTTATTTTGTTATGATCGAAGGGCGGGAAGTTTGAATCACCCTGTACAAACAATAATTCTATGTTTAGGTTTGAGAAGCTGAATTTGGAATGCCTCCATCTAGAAGAAAGATATCTTGAAGCAATGCTCATATTTCAAGCAGAAATCGAAGTATTACGAGATAGGTATGCTGAATATCATGAGAACGAATCATTTACGACAATGTTTTGTCGAGTAATTTGTAATGTTTTGTAATTCCTAGATAAAATAGTTTTTGTCTCACTTATTCGAGATTTCGAATTTGGTACAGTGCTTCAATGAAATGTTTCATAAATATCATTTGAGCGGAATAAATCGAAGGTAGTTGGCAAATTATCTAAATAGAGTAGTTTAGTAGGTACTCACTCACGACCTGCTTCAGTAACTTCAAAACTATTTTTGTTTTTGAAATTACCAATCATTTCGGGTTATGTTTTGTCTTCTATGAAATTTAAATAAAATGATTGTTTTACCAAAATTCCAGTAGAGACTTACGGAACCATATATTTCAAATGATCTCTCTGAAACGAATCATTTTATTAGAATTTCATGAGAGATGAAACTTGATTCAAAAGGAACGAAGACAATTGCTGGGAGATCACAGGCATTGGTACTGAAAAACAGGTAGTGAAAATTGGAATGAAAAAGTCCGATTATTTTCATTCATGGAAATAATATTGTGGACGGATTGGCATCCACTTAACGAATATACTGTACATCATCAATGAAATCTCGTGGGGCGTTTTTTATCCAAATACTCATGGGAACACGTATTGAACTCTCTTTCGACAAAATGAATGCGAGATCAATAACTCTATACAGGGTGTCCGTTTTTCGAGCTCGGTTGAATTAGGGCAAAGTGAACATGTATCTGCAAGAAAATGTGATGTGTTATTTTTAGTTTTTGAATTATTGGAAGAAAACGGAAATTTATCATTATAAACCAAAAGACCTAGACGTTTCTGACTGGTACATTCTTAAGGCACTTTTTTACAAGGAACCTGAATCTGTCATTGAATTTTTCATTACGCTCTTGATGCCAAAGTTACAACACACAAGTTTGTTTTTTCTTACGGGCGCCATATTGGATTTTTGCAACGGACACCCTGTATAGTATACCATTGAAAAAATAATCATCATTCACGACGTGTTCATCACCTCTTTGATATTCCACCGCGAATGAAATTACGAATCAAGATAATTATTACAACAATTTTGGTGAAAACTATATTTCAATTAAACTCTGTATTATTTGCTAGATATAATGAAGAACGTCAAACTCCACAAATACCACGTAATATGCCACCCGTGAGTGGTAGGATAATGTGGATCAGGCATTTTTATAGTAGGATTGAAGAGCCAATGAATGTGTTCAGGACCAAACCAAAAGTGAGTCTGGTAATAATTTTCCCCCAGAAGATCCACTTAAATTTTCTCTCATGTGTAGGTAATGCGCCATAGGAAAGTTCAGAAATGTATCCAACTGTTCAATGCCATGTCCATGGTATTTGTTCATTACGAGATGATTTACCACGAAGCTTGGTTCACATTTGCTGGACAAGTCCGGAATTGTCTGATGGCTCCCATTCTAACCAAGGACGAAAAAACCAGGAGATACCGAGTGAATTTCGATCCTTACATATCTGAAGTGATTAGAGAAGCGGAGTATATGTACAAGCTCGATTTAGGTATTTCATTTATATGTGTGAAACTTTGTGTTACAAAAATATACAGTGTGTGCGATTTTAACCCGCAACACCCTCCTGATTTGAAACCTCTTGACCGATTTTCCAAAACAGAAATTCATTGAGGATACCAAAAAAATTTGTTTTGACCCAAAATTCCAATGAAATGTGAATAAGGCATCCATTGAGATTACTTATTTATTTATTTATTATTTCAGTTATTGCATTACATTCTTTTCTTCATAACCTCTATAATACACTGGCTGTCTATGACATATTCTGTGCAACGTTTTTACTGTGTATGCATTCATCAGGTCATGATTTTTATGGTTTCCAACATGTCCTAGACAGTTATCTAATTGTGCTCGCATGCAGCGGCGTCACCAATCAAATTTGAAGTTTCATTGAAAATTGATGCTTTTGAACGATTAGTAAATGCACGAAAATTATTCTTTGTTGAAATTTGAAAAAAAAATGATACCGAAATTATCAACTGAACATGTGATGAAGAGGGGTTATTGGGTAGTGTTGAACAATTATTAAACGTATGCTTTTTCGCAGCCTTATTTTTGGTGTTACTTGTATCACGATAAACTACCCAGACAACCAGATGACGTTTCAGTGACGTCTTTTTACGTCAGTTGAATGACCAAGGTGACGTCAGGAGTTGACGTCGTATGACGTGATGAATGACGTGAATAAGTCACAGCCCAATGACGTCATATTACTCACGTTTATTGACGTCATTCACTCACCAAACTGTGACCTCGGACTAACGTCGAAATGACGTCAAAATGACGTTCAAATTTGGTGATGACACGTGAAAAAGTTTCCTCGAACATGGCGCGAAAATCACCGCTGACCTGTGATGACATATAATATTGATTATTGATTATGCATTGTTGAGTCTCCTTCAATCGTCTATTCAGCAGCGCTATCCCTCAGTACGCATCTCCATCAATATGAAATCAGTTACTCGTATTTGTACCAAAAATTATGCGGTTTGTGTTGGCGAGATTTGAGCAAACCAAGAATAGTTTGATAGCAATGAAAAGAATGTTGGCGAATTTAGCTTCAAGTTGTTGAGTAACGTATATTCATGCATTATTTGTCACCCAACAAAAATCTTAATAGCAAATTATTGAAAAATTTTCTGAATGAGTTATACTTTTATCGACGTTAGAAGCAAATATATAAAATTACCAAGTCGTACATGTTTCTATATATGTGTGTAAAATTATTGAAAAATGATTTTTTCTGAGAACTTTTCGACACTGAAACCTAACGGTTTCACATGATAATGTAGGTATACATGGTTTAGATATGGTCTGGGAAACATGGACGTTGACAGGACGTCCTTGTAACGTCATGAAACTGACGTCTTATTTTACCCTTCTTCTAAGTGACATTCACTCGACGTCGAGATGATGACGTGATTATCACGTCATAGAAAGTACGTTATAGTGACGTTATAAATTGGTGTGTGACGTCTCTGACGGAAAATCACCGATTAGGGACGTCACAGTGGCGTGATCATTCCTCATCTGGTTGCCTGGGTACTTTGCATACAATCGTGGAGTCCACATGTGCTATGGTTATTTTTGAAACATATACTTTTTATGTAATCACAATAAAAGTACATAAAACACAAAAATTATCAGAAAGATGCATACAATACAAAAAACTTTGCACAGAATCTGTTATTAACGGCTAGTCAATAAGAATCATTAGGAAATTTTGATACAATGTTAGTCATCAATCGACTGGATTTTGCCACTATGAAAAATACATGGGGATCATAAAAAAAAAACAATCACAACAATGACATATTATATATTGCTTTCCCAGATGTGCACAGTACTTTAACTCTCTAAATACGAGCAGAATACCCTTTGGCTCGTTACTGGAAGAATTCTTAGTTGAATATGTTCCAACTAGAAGTAATTTCAGGTGTACCAGACGTTGGGCAGGTCCTTGTATTCTGTAAAGACAAACTCCTCAACTCCTATGAAGTTGTAAGAGCACTAATAACGAGAAACGATACAATAAGGATGAACATTCCCTCACTGTTCTTGCCTATGATGAGGCCTCAACTCATCAAAATGGAGAATTCGTTCATGCCTGGGTTTTCCACGATCACCTGGACCTCCATGAGGATCCCAGAATTCTGTGAGGAAGTCACGAACGTTTTGGACTACATCGAGATGTTCGTCAAAGAAGTGAGAGATATGAAGGAGGCCCGAATTGATGAAGTACTCGAATCATTGTCGACGACGCCTCTCGTATACTTACCTCCTGATGCTATCAGTCCTAGTGAATTGTTGAATGAAAATATAGAACATAGAATACAAATAGGTATGAGAGTTGGACTCCCTGGTGCAACAAGTCTTTACTAAACAGCCATTTGATTTTTCCGATATTCTAATGAACACACGTAAAACATCTCTGATTCTTTTGAACTAAGTAATGAAGTTTTCTGATAAAAAATATTCTCCTCATATTTTGTGGTATAAATATCTATAACAGTCTACTCCACAGAATGAAATTCATCAATCTTGTCAACTAAAGACATATATCTTATAAATTTGAATATCTTCTTATTTATATTGATTAATTTCGATTTAATTGTTTATTATTTGATAGTGGCCGACGGAGTTTCATCTGACTCTCTTATCATGAATGCTGGTGTTCCGCAAGGATCAATTCTAGAACCAACACTATTTCTTTTCCATATTAATGATTTGTTGGAAGCAACTCTATGTCCATCAGTACACAGCTTCGCGTATGATAGTACCCTCCATACCGCCTTATCTTCCAGAGCTGCAATACCAGCCAGGCAAATCAGAAACGAACGAGGGAGAAATGTTGACACCATAAATATGGACTTGAAAACAATTCTCGAATGGGGATCCAATAACTTGGTAGATTTCAATGAAAACAAAACACAAGCATACCTTTTCTCTAGGAAAGCCGATCTCACTGTGTCCAACATGAGCTTGTCAGGAGTAACCATACCTTTGTAGACATCCATTTCGATGATTGGTATTACTATCAGCAATAACCTTTCTTGGGAAAATCACTTGAGATAAATTGCTAAAAGTGCATCCCAAAAACTTGGTTTTCTGTTTCGGGCCAGGAGCTATTTCACTTCCAGTCAGCTGCTGTCCTGGAATACTGTTCTCATATTTGGAGTGCAGCACCCAAACATACCCTGTAGCTGTTGGATTCTGTCCAAAATTCGTCTCGTGGGTGATGCCTCGCTCACAAACTCACTCACTTCTCTGGAACACCGTAGAAAATTTGGCGATCTAGCTCTATTTTATAGATATTTTCATGGACGATGTTTTCCTGGAATATCAACAATTGTTCCTCCCTTGGCAGTCCCCGCGAGATTAATTCGTCGAGTTGAGGCTTCGCATCCCTTCGTGGTCACTTTGGAGACCTGCAGAACATCTTTTTCCAAAGACTCGTTCATCCAACGAACAGCGAGGCTGTGGAACACGTTGACAAGGGAGGTGTTCCCCGAGGCATATAACCTCCAGAAATTAAAGAAGAACACGAATTCCTACCTTATTTCCCTCGCTTCTCACGATGTTCTCTGAACATTACAGGGTATCCCTTTTCGTTGGAACCAGAACATACAAAAAAATCTTCCAGTGTATTGGATATTCGATTTGTTTTTTATCTTTTTGCCATAAACAAAAACATGTATGTTAACCGATTGGTAAAAATAGCTTCAGAAGCAGTTCTAGTCCCTAGTGTTCAGTAAAAACTGCCATTATAGTCATGAAATTCGTCCACAGCATATTTTCATCAATCTAGGTATGTCTCCTGAAGAAGTTTCATATTCTGATCTGGTAATAAGGAAAGAAGTATCGTATGTATAAGGTTGAATACACATTATTTAATCATGTCAAGGATCTATTGAGTACTCTTCTTTTGCTATATATGATACACACAGAAACTCCAGGCAGTGCTCTGTTTAGCACTCCTGTTAGTATACCAAGTGTTATTTTAGCTTAGACATATACATTCGATGTTTTGTGGTTATATGTAACCAGTAGTATGAGCCTGAGCCTGTATGAGACCTTGAAGATTTCCCCAGATGTCCAATCTCTGTTTAGCTCCATATTTTTTAATTTCTTCTGATACAGGAATGAAGTGAATAGTTTAGATACCTATACAATAAGCTGTGAATCGAATATTTTCAATTCTGCAGGTTGGTTCTATCGAACTGATAGCGTCGATCGAAACTTCTAATTTCCAGATTCTTCTTGTAATTCTACAAAGATTGTCGCAAAATCGTTATAACTAGAGTTTTCACAAATGGTCGGTTCCTTGTTGCATGAGGGGGTTCAATTCATTCCATTCAATTCGAATTCATACATGATAAACCATACTGGGTGACATTGACTCATGGTATACCCCTCTTTTCTCCTTTGTTTCTCTAGCTATATTTCTGAAATCTGGAACATCGAATATGCTCACTAAATGGCACTTTCCTACATTTTAGGAATCCTTTTTCATCTTTCAGTTTTCCTGGAGCTGGCATCAACTTTCGATTTTCAAATGGAACACCCTGTATTTTACTCCACAATCGGTTAAAGATTATCATAACGAATTTAACGATACTGGGTTTGTTCGGGTTATTTCTATAACGACTACTAAGATATTTGCGTTCGAAGTTCGAATTGCTTCTAGTGAGCATATTCCATGATCCAAATTTCAGAAATATAGCTAGAAAAACAAAGGAGTAAAGGGGGTTTGCCATGAGTCTGGGTCACACGGTATACGTACTAACAATCATTCGAATAATTAAATTCATAATTTTTATAGCAAAAGAGATCGATTTGAAATCATCAACAGTAGAAAGATGTGTTATCGAATTGATCAACAAATTCCTGAGTGTAATTGATCAACCAGAGCTTCAGAAAAATAAATTCAAATGGATGGATCCTGAAAAAGCCTTGAAACCTATTGGTTCAACATCAAGATTGTTGATGTCAGGAGATGCCGGTAAATATTGTATCAATATCAATTTATTCATGAATAATCAGTTTGCTTTTGATGGTCTAGAGGCCTATGAATATTTTCACAAGAAACCAGTTGGAGTAGCAGAAGTATTACAAATGGAATTGAATCAATATAAAATTGAATCATAATACTACAATTTTACGTCGCGTAATCGAAAAATATTTCAGCCATTAATCGTATTGGACAACTGCATACAATACAAAATATATATAATAAATAATAAATATTGATATTTTCAGCATTTAAAGAGATCGATAGGAATGCTCCGTTAGATTTAGCCTCGATACATGCTGATTGCATTGAAATGTTTGCATTCTTCAATATGAAACTAGTAGATTCCTTGAACAAGGCAACCAAACTATCGCTGGAAAATGTTAAAAGAAGAGCAACAAGGTACTTCTTTGAGAAGTGAAATGTTTATAAAATTTGAATTTCATTTTATTTGCTTCGAACATATGACTGTCTAATACACGTTGGTAAATATTGACTGATCTATTACAAATAATATCAGCTCTGTCTTCAATTCAGAAGTTGATATTGAATTTGTATAGATTGGAAATGAAATTGGCCCTGAAACCAATCCTTGTCGTACACCACAATCATGTGAATTTTATATTTTTTGAAGGACCAAAACAATCCGATGCAAGTAAACTTACCTCAGTACAAAGTTGCAAAGTTTGGGCGCTAGATGGTTCTGAAGTTACAATTTTCGAATCGTTTTTGCTTCATAACTTTGAAACGGCTAATGAGATTTAACTCAAATTTGGTGCGTTGGTATAGCTTCATTGGACAATGAAACTGATATCATGATGAATATCATTCGATGGTCGTAGAACTTGATTTTATAAATGAATAAACATGTGAAACTTCTACTCCAATGGAAAGAAAGGTTTTCGAATTGTTCACTACAAAAAAGTTACTCCTGATAAATTCGATGAATCTCGTGGTTTTGTCAAAATTACAGTTCAAGTTATTCAAAACATCAGTCAACACCACGATTATCTTCACGTATACAAAGATTTATATGACGAAAAAAAATTCAATGTGTTATCAGCTAATTTTTGTTGTTTATTTTGTACTTAGTAACTTTGTACTGAGGTGAGTTTGCTTGTGGGTTTTATTGCTCAATGAAGCTTTGCCAACATACAGAATTTGAGTAAAATCACTTGAGCAGTTTTAGAGTTATGAAGCAAAACCAATTTGAAGATTGTAACTTCAGAGTCGTCTTGCTTCCAAACTAAACAACTGCGGTAAATTTGCTTGGATTGTATTGTATCAATTGAATTGTTTTGGCCTGAGGATTATGTCGTAGGTTTTTGTAAAGACCTTTAAGATACACCCTGTATATCTTCATCGTTATCGCTTGTTTTTTCAGCATTGGTGAACTCAACGCACTCATGACAACCAGCATGGTCCTGCAGATTCCAATAGCAGTAATAAATCCCAGCTTGGATGAAATCCAAAATTATTTCTCGCAAGTGCTGGCTAACATTTTGGATACACATAAATACGTCGGAATGTGGGGCCAAGGAACGAAGAAAAAATCTTCCATGAAGAGGGGTTTGCCAATCGAATGCTCATCTTGATCCCTCATTCATTCTTCATATTTGTAGAAGAAACTAACGTCGACGTACCCAAACCTAAAAATTATCACAAAGTGATAAGCGATAATAAGGAAATCATCAGAATTTTCATGAGTCTCCAGGGTGTTATGTATTTGGTGCATCCAGATGTCGTGTCTCTCCTAGAGGTATGTCATCTTATTTGGTATTAGAACATGATTTTTCCTATGAAAAATGTCTTTGCATATTCTTATGTGCCAGAAACCTTGAAGGAACTATATAATTTTGTTGATTAAAAAATCCAGTACTTCTCAATAATCTCAATTGTGCGATGTTCTTGCTAGAATATTGAAGTAGATAGAAGTACGTACAATTTTGCCCTTGTTAGACATGTTTTCATGTTACAACAGTATACTGGTCAGTAAAGTTACAGCACTACTAACAATGTAGGTACCTACTATCAGTCTGAAATAATTCTTTCTCACTATTATTCAAGGAATTCATCTAGTGAGAATCCACATATTTTCGAACCAAGTAAATAATGATAATGAGTCTGGCACCACGGACTCCTCGCCAAGCTTCCATCTTATGGCTTGCCTCCCCAGCTATGTTCTCTGCTAGCTAGTTTTCTCTCAAACAGGTATCTCCATGTAGTGGTCGACGGAGTTTCATCTGACTCTCTTATCATAAATGCTGGTGTTCCGCAAGGACCAATTCTAGCACCAGCACTATTTCTACTCCATATCAACGATTTGTTGGAAGCAACAGTACACAGCTTCGCGGATGATAGTACCCTGCATACCGCCTTCCCTTCCAGGGCTCTAATACCTGCCAGGCGAATCAGAAACGAACGAGGAAGAAATTTTGACAACATAAATATGGACTTGGCATCAATTCTCGAATGGGGATCCAATAACTTGGTAGATTTCAATTCAAACAAAACATATGCATGCCTTTTCTCTAGAAAATCACTGTGCCCAAAATAAGCTTGTCAGGAGTAACCATACCTCTGAAGACATCCATTTCGATGCTTGGTATTACTATCAGCAATAACCTTTCTTGGGAAAATCACGTGAGATCAATTACTAAAAGTGCATCCAAATAACTTGGTTTTCTGTTTCGGGCCAGGAGTCATTTCACTTCCAGTCAGCCGCTGATGATCTTTAAGGCACAGATCCGACCTGTCCTGAAATACTGTTCCCATAATTGGAGTGCAGCACCCAAACATACCCTGAAACTGTTGAACTCTGTCCAAAAAAGGGCAATTCGTCTCGTGGGTGATGCCTCGCTCACAAACTCACTCACTTATCTGGAAAGCCGTAGAAAAGTTGGCGATCTGGCTCTTTTTTATAGATATTCTCATGGCCAATGCTCTTCTGGAATATCAACAATTGTTCCTCCCTTGGCAATCCCCGCGAGATTAACACGTCGGGTTGAGGCTTCGCACCCCTTCGTGGTCACTTTGGAGACCTGCAGAACATCTCTTTCCAAAGACTCGTTTATCCAACGAACAGCGAGGCACTGGAACACATTGCCAAAGGATGTGTTCCCCGAGGCATATAATCTCCAGAAATTTAAGAAGAACACCAATTATTCCTACCTTATTTCCCTAGGTTCTCACGATGTTCTCTGAACATTACAGGATATCCCTTTTTGAGGGATATTTGGGACATCTTCTTAGGGCACCAACTATGTGAGACATTTTTTCTTAGAGCATGCCAATATGCTCGTCCCATGTTAACTTTTCATCAATCCAAATACCAAGGTATTTGGTATAGGCAGTTTGTTTCAATCTTTCATTGTGTATTATAATATTCAAATCAATATTTTGTTAATTCCTTTGATGGGATTTTTTTATTTATTTATTGAACCCATATTGGTGGTGCGTTGATTTTGTTAGTCATAAATTGGAATATCGTGATCATAATTGCATACCATGATTGACCGTCTAATCTGTTCTAGCAATATCTCGAGTACAGCTATCTTTGGGCTGAAGATAGAGATCAGCAGATTGAAAAATTCTGCGACCAAGACCCACTGATAGTCGAAATTTCTGAGAAATTCCAAGAGTACGACGCTAGGGCTGAACACATAAAACAACTCCCAGAAAAACACAATATCGGAGCTATCCAAATCACGATGGGTGAGACATGTTCGAAATCAGAAAATAACTTAGATATTGAAAATTACATTTTCAGAACAATTCAAGCTCGCGCTGTTGGTGGAATCTGATGCATGGAAACACATTCTCGGCAAAAAACTTGGTCACAGGTACAATGAGAAACTGAACAACATGGTCGATTTTATTAAAACTCAGGAGAAAGTATTGAACAAACCAATCAAGGACTTAGATGACTGCAGGTAAAAATGATTTAATGATCTATTCTTGACGGAGAAGATTCTTCACATCTACTTTTCAGACTTGCCATGAATTGCTTGGAAGTCATCAGGGAAAATTTCATCGAAATGGATATGGACTTGGGCCTGATGGAGGAAGCCTATGGAACATTTGGAAGATTCAAAATTGATGTTTCTAAAGAAGATATAGAAAGAATCGAGTCGCTTCGATTCAACTTCCAAAATATGATAACTCACGTATGTCTTAATATGTTTACTCATCAAATTCAAACTGTTTTCTTGGAAAATGCACAAAAAAATCAAGTCCACTAAGTGGACTACTACACTTTTTTCAATTGTAATTCAGAAAGTGTAACTTGTAATTCAGATTAGTTAATTGTAATTCAGAAAGCGTCAATTGTAATTCAGATTAGTCAATAGTAATTCAGAAAGCATCACTTATAATTCATAAATACTATGGATCAAATAAACGTAGGGAATAGCAATCAACGAATGATATATCGTGTGGTGAACATCAATATTTTATATTTATCGACCAACGGGCATATCTTGAAATGCCAGAATGGTGAATGGTGGTGTGTTGTACAGCCCTAGCACAATCACCAACAATTGTATCTTTGACCTGGTAAATATTATGTTGTTCAAGATAAACAAGTCGTTGTTCTCAAGGAGAATGAATGCATACGAGTTGTTCGTAGCTTCTGAATCATAAGTGATACTTTCTGAATTACAAGTTATGCTTTCTGTATAACAATCGACTGAATTACAATTAACTAATCTGAACTTCAAGTAATACTTTCTGAATTACAATTAACTAATCTGAATTACAACTTATACTTTCTGAATTACATCGTATACTTTCTGAATTACAATTGAAAAAGGTGTAGATTGTTTCCGTCCTCTCCCTATCGTCCTAAGGCACGCACGATATTCCTGGAACATTATACAGATTCCCTTTTGTGCGCTCCAAAGAATGAAAAAATACTATTGACACATGATATATCCTTTCAGTCCAAATCCGTCCAAGACAACATCTGCACCGTCCAAGGCCCTCTTCTCGAAGAGCTCACCAACGGCGTGTCCAAATTCAAAGTGGAAGTGGAACAGTTCGACGTCGACTTCGAGCTGCGCGGTCCGATGGTGCCAGGTCTGCAAGCCCGCGAGGCCAGCGACAGGGTACTGGCGTTCCAGGATCGATTCGACGAGCTGTGGAGGAAGTTCGAGATGTACAGCAGCGGAGAGAAGCTCTTCGGCCTGGAGGTAAAGTATTTCATTTCCCAACACAAAAAATGCTTAATTAGAGAGAACAAGGTAGCAATCGACGATCAATCTTTTTCGCCCTGGGCAACTCACCGACATGAGCTGGATTGTAGGTATTCTCCTAGGAGTCAGCTCCCCATGACCCTCACCAGGGTTGTTAAACAAAAATCATCGGTGAGGCCTGCATCGGCCGCTTCTGAGGGCTCCCTTGGAGGGTAATTCTGTGGCGTATCTAAGTGTTCTACATTGTATGTCTACATTTTCATCATGTCCAATGTCCCCTTTAGAAGATTTTTGTTGATACACCTTTTACCTATTGTAAAAATGTTGTTATTGAATAAATGGAATTGAAACGGACTGGAGGTGAGAAAAAAATTGTAAATCGTATATCGTGTGTATTTGTATAGGTATTCGTACATTATTTAACGAACACTTGATTCATATGCCTCTTGTTTTTGAAGTATGCAAGGAAAACACACTGACCAAAGAGTTCACTGAGAAACCAGTGAAAGAAAGACTTGCTATTTTCCTAATCAAAGCTTCTGAGAGATGCAATAGAAGACTGTAAGTAAGTCATTGTATGAGGTGGGGCATAGGAAACAAGTGATTCTAGGCGATGGACGCTAGACCAACGCGTGTTCGTTATTGTTTTTTCACAAACACTTGATTCATGTTTGGTACTTTGTACCGCTTTGTACATCACTGTAACATGGCAACTTGTTGTTGTGGGGAAACAGTTGGAATAATAAATAAACTCAATAAAAACCAGAAAGAATTACAATTCTTCTTCAATCATCGATGATTGAAGTCGATGATTGAAATTGCTGATTCTTGATCCGGCTCGAAGGACCAATATGTTCGATGCCTTGGTGTGAGTGGACTGTATATTTGGTTGGTTGAATGATTTGATGATATGATATGATTATTTTATGATTGAAGAAGAATTGTAATTCTTTCTGGTTTTTATTGAGTTTATTTATTATTCCAACTGTTTCCCCACAACAACAAGTTGCCATGTTACAGTGATGTACAAAGCGGTACAAAGTACCAAACAATTCATATGCCTCTTCTTTTTGAATTATGCAAGGAAAACACACTGACCAAAGAGTTCACTGAGAAACAAGTGAAAGTAAGACTTGCTATTTTCCTAAGTGAGTAAGTTATTGTACAGGGTGCGGAATAGGAATTAAGTGTTTGTGAAATAACAATAACGAACACGCGTCGCTCTAGCGTCTAACGCTCCATGATAGCAAGTGGCAACTGAGAAACCGCTCCATGATGGAAAAGTGGCCATTGTGAAAGTGAAATGCTTCGAGTCAGAGAATGGATTGAAATAAACCGCATGCCATGCACTTTTTTAATTTCCGGAGACTACCCCACCTCCTCCTGGGACATGGGGTTCGAAGTCGCACAATTTCAACATATTTATTGAACACAAGAGGGGGAAACTCAAAGATATTAGCACAATAGTTAATAAAGGAACGAAAATGATAAATACGAGGGAAAAACAATTACCTACTTTCCTGGCTATATGCCACGCAGAACATTGAATTACATCCTACCGATATCTATGCCCACGATTCGTAGAGACGAATATAGCTGCAAGTGATTCTTTCCTAAATGCTGAGCTGTGCTCAAATTGTTCAGGAACGCTTGACTACCTACCAGTTTCGAGCTTGTGGCTCTCATCAGTGCAAATTTGGATTTTATGTGACGTACAGAGAACTTAGGTATCCAACGACGTGGGCCTCGGGTTTTGACATCGATGCGTTCGTATTTATTGAAATGAATTACGAACGTCCATTCTAATGGACGCAGGGTCCCAGGAGGTTGCTTGTATATTTGAATATTTTGAAAACTTCGTATATTGCTACAAGGTGAACGATTACCCGATTCTGCACAAGCGCAAGAAGGAGTTCAACCTCCTGAACAAGCTCTACGGGCTGTACTTGGCTGTCAACCATAGCATCGATGGGTATTTCGATATTTTGTGGAGTGACGTGGATATCGAGGCGATTTTCGCGGAGCTGCAAGACTTCCAGAACAGGTAATAGAAATTATGATTTTTTTGAGTAGTAGTATACAAACCATATTGGGTTATCTTGAAATTTACTTTACTTTCCAGACATTTTCAAACTGTATATATTCTTGTAAAAACTTCACAAACGATAAGATTTCCGCAAAATTTTCAAACACACGACATGTTTCGCTAACACAGTAGCTTCGTCAGGTGATATACTGAAGAAGAAAAAAAAATATATATTCTTGTCCATAATCTTGAAAGATATCGAAAGTTTACCAATAACCAAGGGAACCAACCATGGTACAATAATAACGATGTTATCGAATGTTTTGAAAATTGTAATGTTTTACTTCATGCAGACGATCTCAAATTCTACAGAGTTGTATCATCTCAAGATGACAGTCATTTGATTCAGAATGATCTAATTAATTTCAGCAATTATTGCCAAAGGAATTTTTTAAAAATTAATATTGATAAGTGTAAAATCATGCGTTTTTATAAAATACTCGATCCTTGTATATACAATTACAATATTGATAAAGTCGATCTGGAAACAGTAGCTAGTATCAGCGATTTGGGAATAATATTTGACAAAGAGCTCACATTCAATGATCATATCAACAATATCTGCAATAAGTCTTTCGTAATTATGGGTTTTATGAAGAGGCAAGCTAGAAATATCTCAGATCAGCATGCGATAAAAACACTGTATATTTCACTAGTTCGAAGCGTTCTTGAATATAATAGTATCATTTGGTCACCAGTATACAATTATCACAAAAGCCGTTCCGAGAGACTACAATAAGGTCGGTCCACAAATCTTCTTGTCTGGAAACTTGAACTTTCAAACGTTTTGGATAATACATTGGAAATCATCATCCCCTCACGTAGCATCAATTGAATGAAAGTATTATTTCTGTGTCATTAGATTGGATTTTTTTCTAAATAAATTTCAATTTAAATGAAATAAAGTTTCTTAACATTGATTTCAGATGTCGCAAATTGCCGAAAGGAATGAAAGACTGGCCAGCGTACCTGGAACTAAAAAAGAAGATAGATGACTTCAGTGAAACTTGTCCTCTATTAGAACTAATGGCCAATAAGGTTTGACATTCTAACTAATATACAGGGTGTTTCATAATTGAATGCTGATCCTGAAGGGCGATGATCCTTGGATGATTTTGAGGAGAGAAGTTCATATCAACATATGTCCTGAACCTCTTAGTTTTTGAGCTACTGGGTGTTGAAATCAGAAGCGTACAGCGTTTTTATAAACAAAACATACTGAATTACCAAAAACAATATCCAAGAACTGAAGGAACAAAATTCTTTGGTTTTTATTCTTTTCCGCGAAAACGGTACGTTGTATGAAAGTAAGTAGGAACCAAATTTGCTCCAAAATGAATAAGAATTGAGAAAAAAAATCTGGTTTCCAGAAAAATCAGTGGCGTACTATTTTTTTCTTCAAAAATTGTCAGTTCAAACCCCGTACGGACGCCACTGGTGAGAATTTTCAAATATCTTTCACGTAAAAAAATGCTCCTTAATAATGGAAAGGTGTATACAGAATATCATAACAATATCTAAGAGTGATAAAAAATTATGATGAAAAACTCATTTTTTCCTTGCAATTTCATCACCCTGTAGCTCAACAACTAAGAGGTTTAGGACATATGTTGATATGAACTTTTCTCTTTGAAATCATCCAAGGATTATCGCCTTCAAGGATCAGCATTCAATTATGAAACACCCTGTATACTAAACCAGCGTCCACATCATTTCTCATCTAAAAATCGATGTTCATATTTCTGTTCGTAACAGTTTCACATCGGAATGTGACATACTTGTTTTTGACGTTGCTTCAATGAATTATACAACTTATGTACAGGGTGTTATTTAATTGATGACTAAAAATTCAGGATATGGTTCCTTAGCTCATTTTGGGAATAAATGTTCATATGAACATATACTGTTACAGGTATTTCCATGAAATTCGGTAATGAATTGTATAAAATTATTCCATTATGAAATATAGATTGTTTGCCAATGTTCGACTTGAATGCATTTGCTATCATGTAATTCAATTGTCTAGTCCCATAAATATGGACTATATTATTGACTTCATTAAAAGCTATTGATATTTGATATTTCAAATTTATTCCTGACAAAATGAATGACATATTTTGAGTTTTTATAACGAAATCAGATTCAGAAATTTTCTAGGTTTGTATAACTTTATTGGTTCTAGAAAATTGAGATGAAAAATGTACTTAATTGATTTGTTTTGTAATTTCATTAGTGGTTTGAGGCGAGAAATATTTGTGCTTCCCAAAATGGAAATCGAATATTGTGAATTATAATATATGAGGCAAAAGTAAAATACACTTCAGGTATTCTACAGGAATGATATTTCGGATTTTGAATAATATGCCTATTATTGGATTTATTTTATTTGTCCCCCAATAATTTCTCATCCATATAGAGACCTAACAATTGTGTAACCTCTGTATATTTAATGGATCTATTGTTGAAAGATATTGCATTATTAGCCATCAATCAAATTACACCCTGTATTATAGTATTAGTTCGACACCATACTCCGTTCTAGGCTATGAAAGACAGGCATTGGAAACGTATGGGCAACCTAACAGGCTACTCTTTCGACGTGGAATCCCCAACTTTCACCCTGAAAAGCATCATGGAGGCACCTCTATTGAAATACAAAGACGACGTCGAAGACATTTGCATCAGTGCCGTCAAAGAGAAGGACATCGAGGCCAAATTAAAACAGGTTGAAAATGATGTTGAAAACTGGTCCTCGATTACACAAATGATAACATTTTATTGGTCAAAATCTGACGGGCTGGTAGGGTAGGAATTCATGTCAAAGTCACAGTCCACCCAACTTCAGTAGCGGCGTTAGGGTAGGGCGCGGTTGGGCATCACCCCAATATATTCTTAAAATTTTTCAAATTAATATCATTAGCACATCTCTCTACAATCAAAAGATTAAGATCTCAGTAAATGCACAGAAATGTTGAAAGAATGCTGCACTTTCTCCTTAGAATATAGAAATCGTCATTTTAACTGCAGAGGAATTGGCTACAGAGCTGGAAATTGAACCTAAGCCTGGAACTAAACTTAGTGCCACATCGAGAATTCAATTTGTTCAGCGTCAAGCTGGTGTAACTGCCCGCGACATGCCGATAACAATGGAAGATTTGAAGTTAAATTAGTCCTACAAATCTTGGTATTTATGTGCAATATCATACAGATTTCGAAAAAACCCGAGCTTTGACAAGGTATATGTTGTGTGATGAACTCACCTAATCAGAATTTGGTTACCCCTGCATATGTTTTGAGTTTTATCAAAGATCGCAACTGAGAAAACCTTTATCCAGATGTATGAATAGCATTGCGAATATTATTGACTATACCGGGTGGCTACGGAAGTATTGCCTACGGAATATCTCAGTTATTGTATGAAGTAGGTTTGTGAAATTTGGAGCGTCGATATAATGACATGAGAGCTAGAATTTGAGCATATTGACATGTCGAAGTCGACTTCCGGTCTGACCGGAAGTAACATCAACTTTCTTATTTTTAATGGAAGCCCTATTTTTTTTCTCTTCGCTTTATTCAGCTTTCAATTCCCTTTCTAATGACATATCACAAGTTGGTATCTAACCAGAAACTAGATCAGAAAAAAAATATTATTGAAATTCACCGAGTAGGCCGTGGAAGCAAAATGAAAGCCAAAAATTGAAAAGTTGGCTATGGAAACCATACGTCACTTGATAACAGTTGCTACTACTGTGATATCTTATTTTCATTCGTCGGCGTTATAAAGAGCCGCCAAATAAAATATTGGAAAAATTGGGAAAAAAACAATACTCTGTAGGTCCATAACTGAAATAGGAACATACAACTTTTTCTTACCTGTACTATTCAGCATAACCATTCCTTTCTAATGATATAATAGAAAGTCATTTTTTGAAATGAAATATCAAAAAATCCAATTATTATTCTTCAAATAACAAAAAAACAGATTTATCGGTGAATTTCAATAATAATTTTTTTCTGATCTAGTTTCTGGTTTGATACCAACTTGTGATATGTCATTAAAAAGGGAATTGAATGCTGAATAGAGCGAAAAGAAAAAAAAATAGGGTTTCCATTTAAAATAAGGAAGTTGATGTTACTTCCGGTCAGACCGGAAGTTAACTTGGACATGTTAATATGCTCAAATTCTAGCTCTTATGTAATTATATCGACGCTTTCAATTTCACAAACCTACTTCATACAATAACTGAGATAATCCGTAGGCAATACTTCCGTAGCCACCCGGTATATACCTGTAATGGACTCTTGCACTGGCAAGTATTCTGCTCACCTCATATGTCACCACTGAACAAAGGAAGCTTTGTCATTTATTCCATCAGACGAACTATAATAGATCTATATGATAATTATGATAATAATCTTTATTATTCCCAAGAAACATATAAGTTCATTGCAGGGAAAATTATAAAAGAGCAACTAAGAACTAAGAAAAAATAAAATTGAATCATCAGATATTCAACTGTCAATATAGAGGATATGATATTCGTTAGATAGGAGTTCTGACATAGCTGAACTGGTCCAGGTTAAACGTCATCAATCTTGCTAGATAATGGTACAACGAAAATGGAGTAGACTTTATGAACAAACCCTGTTGAAAAATGTTTCTTAGCAAAGATACATGGTGGAAAAGTTTCGAGCAAAAATGATTTTCTCATCATAACTTGCAAGCTATTCGAACGATTTCTATTTAATTTCGCACACAGACTAACGTAGTACATATCTGAGTGATTATTAAAATCATTCGAAAAGATTCTGCAGTGACGTATAGATATCAGGGGTCAGCATCCCCCTTTTCAAATCTCTGGCACCACTGGATATTTCACAAAGGAGATTCAATTTTTGAATTCCCTGTTTAGATTAAAAAATATATATCTTCATAATTGTTCCCTCTCTTTACAAATTTTTGAACAGAGGCTTTGTTTCTGTAATACTCATTTGAATTTGGGAATGCAAGCAGACCAAAACTTATGAGGATTTGTACAGGCTCTACATACTATTGCTTTTTTATGATCTCAAAGAAGCAACGCAGTCTGTCGAGTTTCAATCGAGGTTTCAAAACTCTGACATCATGAATCTTCGTTAGGAAATATTTTCCATCAGAGCTCTGTCACGAACAACCATTTTCTTTTCATTTCATCAGCTATCGAAATTGGGCAGATACGAGTACAGTCCCGTTCACCTGTTTCAATCCCCTTCTAAAAAATGGTATTATAAGATTCAAAATGGAGGCATCGTAGATAGACACAATTTCAACACTCAAACACATTTTATTCACTCAGGACGGCTAGTACAAAGATGACCGTTTATAAAAATACAACATCGACAAGTGATTCGTTCTGATGCTACGATGCTAATGACTAAACCTGCTTCAATTTTCGATCACACGATGATCGATGAGTCGTCGAGGCCGCTCTTGTGATAAGGCATTCTTTAGGCGTTCTTCTCATTTACGGGGTGATTTGAACATCGTAGCTATCAGTATACTACGAGTAGAGTCCCGAGACGTAGAGATTGTAGAATGTATATGACAATTGAGCGCGAGTGACCTTCGGTATTATGACAGTTTAGGGACTATTACATGGTATTATGCACAGTGGTGGTCAATTGCCCTCGGATTAAACTTGTTGATACGAAACGCTCTTAAGAAAATCGTGAGGAATGATCATAACTTAGAAGAAATCCTACCTCACTTGACCTAAATGAACCTTCTTCATCGAAAGTATATTTTTCGGAAGAAGAGAATACTATATCTTTCATGGGACCCTATTGGAACCCATGCCGGGACGCTACTCGTACTTACCCAGTATTTCAGGACAGGTAATAAACATGACTCTACTCGTCTTCGTCAGAATTAATGACGTTCAACCGGAGCCAACCCTGATTTATATCTGTTTCACAGGTCATCGCTGATTGGGCTGTGGTAGAATTGTCCTTCGGGCATTTCAAGGCAAGAGGCGAGCTTTTGTTGAAAGGACAGGAAACAGGGGAGATCATTACCACTTTGGAAGATAGTTTAATGATAATGAACTCATTGCTCAGCAACAGGTGAGTTATGATAGAGTCAGCGCGACATTTTCTAGGTTGAAGTAGAATATATGGTTTAGTCACTTGAGCTCAATAGAGTGCTCTAACTGATATCAATCTCTCCTCAACTGACTTGATGTCTCTCAACCCAGTAGACATTGATCTAGTAATTTTCATTATGAGTGGCCTTCTCCTTCGATGAGCACGGTAAGAGGATCTGGAGAAATAAAAAAAACGGAAGACTTAAAAAAGAAAACGGGGCCTTCTGGCACAGTCTTGAGGGTAATCAACTTTGGCCTCAATCTGTAACATACAGTTACATCGAATTTCCACTTATCTTTGGACGTTTCGGGAACTAATCTGCTCCGGTTTTCAACATAGAAATGGGAATTATTTATTCACAAATTGTCGTCAGGTATTAGTTTTGACAATGACAAATGGTGACGTTGGCAAACAAATGAGTTACAGAATGTTTTCACAACTTGATCTGGAATTCACCATTTTAATTTTCAGATTTCAGTATAGTGAATACCGTTTTCTATCTATATCGACTGGAACAGGAAGCAATGCTATTGTCTCCGTTCATAAGAATGCAAGCGGATTGCTTGTTTGTTATGGTCTTTTCCAATGATTTTAATATTGTTCCACTCTTTCACATGTTGTCCATCTTCAGTAAGAATATGTTCAGCTGGTCTCAATTTGTCGATATTTCTTTTCTTTATATTGTGCTTATGTTCTCTCGTCCTTATTTATATACATTGAATATAATTTTTTGATGATTGTTCTTCATTCTTCGACTTTGTTCGAGTTAGAATTGATCACCAAAACGTTTTATTTCTTCAGATATGCTGGGAATGAATTATTGTATAATATTTTTCAAAACAAAGTGTCACTGGCGAGCGAATGCATTCTTCTTTTAGGCTCTCTGATAGGAAAAATTTTAAACGCAGTGACATTTTGGGGCATACCATCTGGTTTCTTCTCACTACACCTATATCGAAATAATACTCATAATTTCATTTCATAATCTGAAATGTGCAATAATATTTTTTTTAATATTCTGGTTCCCACGAAAAGGGATGTCCTGTAATGATTAACCTACGGACAGTATTTAGTAATTCATCTATGAAAGGACACAGTCATTGACTATCATGCATTCATTCTTATTCCAGATATAATGCTCCGTTCAAAAAAGATATCCAACTATGGGTGCACAAATTGGTGGATACTTCGGAAATTTTGGAAAAATGGCTCATCGTTCAAAATCTCTGGGTCTATTTGGAAGCGGTGTTTGTTGGTGGTGATATCGCAAAACAATTGCCTGCCGAGGCAAAAAGATTCAGTGTATGTTACGACAGTCTATAAATGACTATACAGGAATCAAAAATCATGAATTTTTCTTCAGAATATCGATAAATCTTGGATCAAAATCATGACGAGAGCTCACGAGATTCCGAATGCCGTTGAATGCTGTACGGGAGATGAAACCATGGGTCAACTATTACCACATCTTCTGGAACAACTGGAAACCTGTCAAAAGAGTTTGACAGGCTACCTAGGTAACCTATCGACAACGCAAATGTTACACCAATGCCCCTATGGGTTGCGTGCAAGAACTGTCAGATGACCGACGCTGGAGGCAAAACATTGAAACACAATGTCACTTTTCTCGTTTGTTTACAAGTGATCGAAATAGTTTTCCACAATTATTTTGGCATATGAATCGTATTTTTCCGCAATTCATCAATTCGCTCATGCCATCACATTGTGCTGTTGTAAAATGCACAAAAACTGCAGCGGAAGATGAAGGAATCCGGATGGTACATTATGATTTAAAAGTAAGTACCTACTATAGTCACTCACATATTGTTTTCATTTTTGAAATTTGGTTATTTCTATGGTTTCTCATCGGAATTCCTTCTGCAATAGGAGCTAATAGAAATATACCTGAAATTCCTAGAATAATGCAAGAAGATTGGATTCATGCAATCAATCGGGAGGACTGGTCTGACATGCTGACGATCCTGTGTGTTGTAGACATTTTCAATCTATTAGCAGTATTAGCTTGTATTGCAGAAGTGGCAGAAGGCAGAAGGAATTTTAATAAGGAATGACAACATTTCATAATGATAACTGTGTGAGATTATACTATTCACCTGAAAAATCATATTCCCTAGTCTCTTGCTGCATTTTTTGTGCATTGTACAACAGCACAATGCGAAGGCATGCTTGAATTAATGAATAACGCAAGACACACGATTCGTATGCCAAAATATTGTGAAAAACTATTTCAACCTTCCGATTCCTCTGTAAACAAATAAAAAAGTGAGGTTGTGTTTCAATAGTTCACAGAAGAGTGAGGTTGTGTTTCAATATTTTGCCTCCAGGGTCGGTCATCGTGCACGCGACCTATTGGCATAATATGAAATCTGTCTGGGAACCAATAAACCAGCAACATTACTTAGACCTGTAATGTCATGGGACAAAAGCTCATCAAGATATGAGATTCTCGGAATATTGGGATAATACATACAGGGTGTTCTTTATTAATATGTTAATATTCAAGGATCCGATTCTTCGACCCATTTCAAGAATAAAACTTCATGTAAACGTATGTCGTAAACGTCCTATTTTTAACAGGTTGTCAATCTTGAGAATATGCAAAGATTATTTTTTTGTCCACCCTGTATAGCTTTTCGTGATGGCAAAATTCAGTAATGGATGTTCAGAATGGAGTACTCAGACATCAAAATTTGGAGTCTGGTCTCGTTTTTTCGTTTTTTCTCGAAAACGAAGCGTTCTATTGAGTATCAACCAGCGAATCTTTTTGGTTGGTACATAATTAAATATCCTTTTATAGCATAGTATGCAATTCGAAATGTTCTTGTCGCTGCTCACTGTCAAGTAAAAAATAAACAATAATGTTCCCGTAACGGTGCCACTGGTAGAGAAAATGAAAATGTTTGTACATCAACGAATGCAACTTGATGCATAAAAGACGTGTCACAAATTTCATCAAGATGTCCTACAATATTGTCTCAGGTTTTATCAGAAAACTAAATATTTTTCAAAACTTCATCACCCTGTATCTCAAAAGTTAGGACTTTTAGAACATACGTTCATATGAAGTTTTCTTCTTAAAATGAGCCAAAAAATCACCCCATCAAATATTAGCATGTCTTTAAGGAACACCCTGTATAATGGCGGTCTAGATAGTAGGTTCGTATCGTGAACTCAATCTATACATGGTGTTTCAAATTTCAATCCAGGAAATTTCAGAGAAAGAACTCGCAAAAAAAGAAAATTTCATTTAATTTTGTTTGTTATTGGCGAGCTTCGTTTTGTAGTAGTGACAGGAACATTTTGGGGCAAATCATCTGATTTTCAATACCTTGTGTAATGAAACTGTCGATAGTTTTGTCACGAGAAAAACAAATTTTTAGTCGGCAGTTTGCAAGTATATAGTTCTCAGACAGCTTCAAATTCACAAGTTTGTTGCTTGTCTATTTTCGGCCATACTGTACGTCAATTTTTTTTCCAGAATCGAAACGATTATGTTTTCCAAGATTTTTCTTCATATCGGATCCTGTTCTATTGGAAATTTTGGGTCAGAGCTCTGATCCAACGTCAATTCAACCGCATTTGCCGAGTTTATTCGATGCTGTATTCAAGGTACCTATATCATAACATGTCATATCATATTTCACTTGGAATGGGTAAGATATTTCGTGCTATTTTTCGGCAGCAATTACTGTCAAAGTGAATATCGAAAGCATTGTTTTTTTTCTCAGTCATTTATAGTTTGATTCACAAATAAAAAGTACAAGTAGGTGTTCTCATTATTATTTTCAATAATCAATGATACAACAGTTTTTGATTATATATGTTACCTAGTGATTCACACGAGACCAACGAGACAAGACTTTCAGAAAGTCTCGTCTTGTCTCGCTGATGAAATAATATATGAAGTCTTGTCTCGAGTCTCGTCTCGCAATTACGTCATGCATAATCTTGTTCCAGTCTAGTACGGGATATTTACCTTTACCTCCTTTTTAGGTATGATGTAGAAGTAGGAAGACAAAATTACAACAAATAGAACATTATTTATTGGGAAGTAAGTACCTTTATAGGTACATACTTACCTCATACATCTCAACAAGAAAACTGAAGTAGCCGGTATTCTTAAGATATCTCGTGCTATCAAACTCAGAATTTGAAATCCAGAAGCATGAATTTTACACCATTGCAACATATCTGTGTTTTATTACACCGAGGCACAGAATAATATTTTTGAAGCTACTGCATCCATACTCCCGTCAAAACAGAGTTATTCTTTATCTTAGACTATTTAGCACAAAATGACTTAATTAAAGATTTTCAGGTAGTCATTCAATTTGCGATCAGTCGTTATTGCAGAATTGCCTTTATTTTCCGCCGCCATGAGAGATCATGGATTGTGTTTTTAAAGTATTTATGAATGAAATGTTTTATTTATATGTGCTAAATAGTCTAGTATGTTGTATTATGAATGAAATTCCCAAATCCGCTGTCGGCACGCAGAAATATTTACCTGCGAGACTCTCGCACGAGACACGAGAAGTCTTGCACGAGACTCGAGACGAGACCAATAAAAGTCTCGTCTCGTCTTGTCCGAGTCTTGTCTCGAAAACGAGACGAGACCATGCGAGACTCTCGAAAACGAGACTTGCGGGCACCACTAATGTTACCAGAAAAACCCGATTTTAGAATGAACTAGTTTTTCCTAGGCTAAATCAGTATATCCGAAGAGCGATAGGATGAACTAGTATGTCCTAGTCTGAACTAGAGTCAGTGGATAGTATTAAAACTAATACTACATCCAGTGACTCTAGTCTAAACTACTCCGTACTACTTTGTAATTTTGAAAATCAGTGGTCTTCCCCATTATGGAACACCCTGTGGAATCATCTTATTTTCAGGTCGACTTTGATGAGAAGAAAACAGATGTCATAGTAGCCATGAATTCGGACCTAGGTGAAAAAGTACCTTTCGAAAAGGGCGTGCAGTGTACTGGTGGTGTCGAATTTTGGTTGAACAATCTTCTTCAAATGGTCAGAGACACTGTCAAGAATGTCATAGCTGCCCAGTCGCAATGTTTGGCGGATCCAGATTATGATTTTATTGCCGGGTTCGTCCAATTCTGCGGACAGGTATGCTAAAGTAGTCGAAGATATTGTTACGATAAAGCTAGGGTTCGATTTTTCACTAATTTAATTTATTTAATTCAATTTAATTAATGTTACACTGTTATACAGGTTGAACGCAACTACAGAACAGGGGAATAAGTACAACTAATAATACAGTTTTGGATATTTTGAAAAGTATATAAATATACTCAAGACCTTAGCTGAAATAATAGTATATTATTTTACTTGGTTCTTTGGGATTTTCTCTCCTCGTTTCTATAAAATAAAAGTATTCGTATTATTTCAATATATTTGTAGAGGGACAAATCAGATGATTTGCCCCAAAATGTCACTGCGTTTAACAAATTTTTCTATCAGGGAGTCTAAAAGAAAAATCCAGTAGCTTGTCAGTGACAATTTGTTTGAAAAAAATGTTTGAAGGAAAGAAATATAGATATATTGAAAAAATATCGAATTTGTACTTATCTTTGGACGTTTCGGGACCGATTCTGCTCCCGTTCTCAACATGTAAATGCAAATTATTTTTCTTTGAAATTTTTGCCTCCTCGATTAACCTACAGACAGTATAGTATATTATGTAACAAGTGTTATAAACGTCCTTTTAGTAACGAGCATTTTAAGCACGAGCGGAGCGAGTGTTTAATAAACGAGTGTCTAGAAGAGTTTATAAACGCGTTACATACTATGCTTTTTCTTCGAACTCCGAAAATTATATTAAAATATCTGCTATTCCTGCTAACCCACAAAATAATTCGAATGGAATGGGAATTGACAACATAATACATATGCAACTGCATGCAACCAGCGAGACACGTATAAGTGATATTGGTTGTAGATGTGTCCAGTCCATTGCTCACTAACCTTTGTTTCACGTTTATTGTCATGCTTAGCGCAGAATAATTGAATTGTTCTCAAAGATGGATGCTTCATTTTTACACTTCTTGGAGATATGCGAGTACCAGAACATTCTCGTCGATTTCACTTTCGTCTACATTTCGCATATATTTTTAATGAAGAATTTTGATACAAACGAATATTGTTTGAATAATTCTGATACAAAATATGAAAATTACAGTTGACAGTTAATACGATTGACAGGCCAGACATGTCTCAAATTACTGAAGCTGTGTTTAATGAACTGCGTTGCCATGGTAATGTGTAAGAAATCGTGTTGCCATGGTAACGTGTTTAATATTTGGAATAAATCACAGATCGACAATCCGTGATTAATCGATCATTTAGCGTGGTACATATCCGTATGATAAATGCCATTTTAGTTATGTGAGTAGAAAAAAAGATTTAATCGCTGAGATAGAGCAATGAAAGATATCTGGCTGATTATTTGATAAATTATTGTATAAAGAACACATTTTATGGAGAGGAGAATATTTCAAAATATTTGTTCGTGGTGTCGGAAGATTGAATGTATTGAAAACTCTAGAAGTTTGTCTAGGCACAGTGAAACTCAGCTTCTGCAAAATGTATGAATCAGTGATAATGTTATTCATCACTTTGAAAAGGAACACTGTGGATTGACAATCACGACGGCAACTGAGGCTTTTCATAACATGTCTAGCTAATAATGTATCATGAGGAAACCCGATTGGTGGATATACATTATCAGATCTATAGGAAAGAAGTTTTAGGAAACGACGTTCAACTCTCTTTATATACAGCTGATGAAACGGATTCCAAATTAAAGATGCATATTCCAGTTTTGATCTGACGAAGGCATAATATAATGTTTTTGATGTGGCTGAATCAGAAAAATCTCTAGAGATCCGCGGTATGAATCGATACATCCTGTTTGCAGCATCAGACAAAGTAGCTTCATTATACGGTGTGAATGAAAGTTTTACTCAGTAGATAACTCAAAACCATATATGCGAACACAAACACCACAATACACGATGTAGTATCACAATAGCTACTTTCCAATATAACTTGAGAAACACCTTCAACAGATTTATCAATTCACTATGGCTTTATTCTTACTAATGCCAATTTTTCATCGGTCCAGCTGCCGCAATTGGCATTTTCACAACATCCGAACTCAATGGGGCCTTAGAGAGGAACAGCGATGCGAGGAGATTTTCTTATCTCTTGGATAATGTTCGAAGTAGTAGTAGTACTAGATAATAATAAAAATAATTATAATGATCATAACTCGTCTTTATCTATTTATGAAATAAGAGAAGAAATAACAGTGAAATATCGAAGTGTCACCCAAGGGTGTTTTTAAACTTATAGCCATGATGTGTTAATAGTTGATTATGAATAGGAATAATATACAGTGTCATCATCATCATGTCAAAATCGATTATATTTTCAGGCTGGTCTTGTTGGGGTTCAGATACTGTGGACCAAAGAAGCAGAAGTAGCAATCAAAAGAGCCAAAGTGGACAGAATGCAGATGAAAATAACGAATCAAAGATTCTTAGATTTATTAAATTCGCTTATCGATTTGACATCGAAAGATCTGACGAAAATGCAGAGGATAAGATTCGAGACCATGGTCACAATACATGTTCACCAGAGGTAAATTGTTAACGTCGATCAAATAAAAACTTTCTCATAATAATTGGACACTAGCTAATTAGGCTCCTGAGCTGGTACGACTGGGTTTCACTTAGAGATTGATCAGTATTTCCACAACTTTTGTCTCATCTGATACCTTACATATATTATTATCATTATTATTATTGATTTTTCACAATTTTTTGTTCTCCAAGGTGTATTGAAAGTCACAAATATCACAACTTTGTTATTGTCATTCAAAACCTTGGGATTAGGATATACGTATATTTTCATTTGTAATGATTATCTCATCAGGTATCACTACCTGTTTCTTTTTGATAAAAAATAAATGAATTAATAAATGAATTAATAAATGAATAAATAAATGAATATAATATATTATGTAATGGTCCGCGACTATCCATCGAAAAGCAAAATAAAACATTATTGATTGATTGATTGTCTTTATTACCTACCACATGAGAGATATCTAAGTTTCGAAATTATTGTCCTTGATAAAAAAAATCTTCAGCATTCATAGTACCAATAACTAACCATCGAAAAATTATCTTCCACATGTTAATTCAGTTTCAGCAATCTCTCCTTATGATAGCAATTTTGATGAGAACGGTCGAGATTTGATTTTGAGGATTAAACGTTTGTGAACTGTAGCATTTGTCAGATTCAAATATTTCGTGCAAGAAAAGGCAAGAGAAATATTATCTGTACCTACCGATTTCATACACAGAAAGGCCCTTGGTATCATAAATTTTCACTTGGTTGTGCAAAATAAGCTTGCCAACGACTGTTCGAGATCACAATACTTAATCAGAAATTGAAAGACCTATTTATAAGTCAACAACGTCGATGATATAGGTGATATAATATGTTGTTTTTCTGTAGGGATATTTTTGATAATATTTGTAAGCTGCGAGTGAAATCCTTGTTGGATTTTGAATGGCAGGCCCAGTCGAGGTTCTATTACAATGACGAAAACGATGAGGTGTTAGTCAAGATAACTGACGTCATTTTTCTGTACCAGAATGAATATTTGGGCATAACGGAACGTTTGGCAATCACACCTTTGACAGACAGGTGTTATATCACGCTAGCTCAAGCAATTTGTGAGTATCTGATGATTAATGTTTCTCCTAACTAGAAAAAATGTGAATGGGGGACTTCGCTCCAAGTTGCCAACCTAAAAACCTCATCCAATATAGAAGCAACATAATGGAAGTTTTATCGCTCAAATACCTTCATTCAGCTCATGTATAGAATTTCTTCAGGAGAAATATTAATTTTTGTGAGCTCCAGTTCTGATCACTTGAAAATAATGTTGATGCACCTGCTCTCATTCTGAAATATGTCATATCATCGTCAATTTCATCACATTTTTTAGGGAATAGAAATCGTTCAATAAATATTCTTCAAGCAAACACTGGTCAAAGTTTCCAATAATGGAGATACATATATATTATCACAAATGTCGGAATACAACAATATCAAAATAAGATACCTTTATTCAAATAATCAGACAGAGATAGTTCATTGGTAACAGAAATCGGAAGACTATTCGAATTTTAGAATATCCATCATAGCAACAATAAATATAAATACCTAATAACAATGTTATGTTGATTACCATTACGACGAGTCGAGAGTAGCACCAGACCAGATAACTTGGAACCCTCACATCCAGTTTATCATAGCTTTGTACGTTTCTCATGAGATTTTCTTTGATCATTATTCAAAAGTTCGAACGTGATTCCAACATTACATGACATACCATTTTTAACTCGTTACACCACTGACACTATTGAAAGTATTGACATTTAAAGGTTAAAGTGTAAGAATAGCTCTTTGTAGCTAAACTTTCGCCTAATAAAGTCCTATTATTATTATTATTATTATTCCAGAATTGATGTATCACAGATGCACCAACATGATTTTCAACCAGTCAGATGTGAAGTTCACAAATTCTAATTTTTCTTCTGAATAGCTTTCATTAAAAAGCTGAGTAGACGCTTGAGTAATCAAACTTTCATAATATTGCTTCTACAATACGACCACAACGGGGAGTTACTTGGCTTGATGGCTTGAGAGGGGGGAATATTTGAATTGGCTCTAATAAATATATTTCACTTCCTGAATTAATATTCACGAACACTATCAAATACAGTATTGCATATTATGCAATACTGTATGTACATGTTTCACTAGAGTAATGCCACAATCAGCTGAAAATTTTAGGGATAAATATGGGTGGAGCTCCAGCTGGACCAGCTGGTACTGGTAAAACAGAAACCACCAAAGATATGGGTAGAACTTTGGGAAAGTTTGTGGTTGTCTTCAATTGCTCTGATCAGATGGACTTCAGAGGTTTAGGGCGTATATTCAAAGTGAGTAAGATTTCGATGCTCACATTCTGCTCTTCTACAACTACTAATAAATTTAGAGGAATTGATTTAGCTGTACCCAGCAGCGAAGTCTATTCTAATGTTTCGATGCTTATAATTACTGATATCTCTAAGAACCTCTCGCTCATAAAACGAAGCTAATAGGTTGTCAGGACTGATGATCATTCGCATACAGATTGCCTCTCGATCAGAAAACGCGAACCTATCATCGCTAAAGACTGAATTACTTGTTTTTTTTTTTCAGAAATACTACCCACTTCAGAAAAGTTCAAAAATTCGATTCCGATTTTTCAATTTCTCATACAATTTTGTTTAGGACTTTGACCCTATATAGTGATTTGGCACTTGTATTACCCTATATAAATTAACATTTCATTTATTGTTAACATGACGACGTGTTATTGAACTATAAGAATTAATCAATAAAGTTCAGGAGAAATTGCAATCGATTGCAATTCCTCTTATTTCAATCATTTCATCAGCTTTTATCAAAAAATCAAACATATACAGTCCACTCATCACCAAAGCATCGATCAAATTCGTCCTTCGAACCGGATCAATGCAAGTAAATTGTTCGTCTGAATTACATCTTGATGCGAAGGTGTATTGTGTTGTTCCTTGCATATTTTACATCTACCAGCGCTTCTACATAATGCTTAGTACTTTGACCCTATACAGGGTGTCCCTAGACCAGTGGGACAGTTGAATATCTCCTGAACCAATAGGAATTTTCAAAATATTATGATTTCACATCATATCGAATTATGAGTGCTAACTTCAGGAATGACTATATTTTATACGAGGGGCGCAAGAAAGACTCACAAAATCGAACATAAATTTTTTCAAATGGAACACCCTGTATTTCATTGCATTTTTATATTCTCCTTGATGAGCTGAATTCAACGACCTAGCACACTTGGGGTCTAGCGGAAATGATTTATTTATTTATTTATTTATTTAGGATTTTAGGTTGCATACAGTATATTGGCAGAACAATCATACATCCTGTATCAACTCCGTAGATTCAGTAATCATTATTTTAGTGGTACATGATGTCATTGTCAATTGTTTAATAAATAAAATAACTTTTCAATCACTGTCTTCAGAAATATAAAATATCATTTTTATCCATTGAAGACGTAACAGTTTTGGCGACGAGGTAATGGAAGAATTCAAAACAGCAATACTCGAAGTCATGAAGACTCAGCAACATATTTTTCTTGACCAGCAGCAAAGACTTCTGGATCAGCTAGCCCAATCATTTTCAAAAGTTAATGATAATAATGAGGTACGCATGGAGTCACTGGCGAGTGCAATCACAGAATTCGTTTATGATCCTGATAGTGGTTCAACATTTGAAGCATGGTATGTTCGATATGAAGGCCTTTTCATGGTTGATGCCAAAGAACTCGATGAAGCAGCGAAGGTTAGGCTCCTTCTACGTAAATTGAACACCAGTTCTCATAAACAGTACGTTGATTATATTCTACCGAAGGAACCGAAAGATTTCAACTTTTCTGCAACAGTGGAAAAGCTGAAGAAAATGTTCGGACGTAAGATTTCACTTTTCAACACTCGCTATAATTGTATGAATATGACAAAATCAGCTTCTCAAGATTTTGTTGCATATACAGCCAACATCAACAAGCAATGTGAAGAGTTCAAGATCAACACTATCACAGCAGATACATTCAAGTGTCTCATATTCGTTTGTGGTCTGAGATCTCCAAAAGATGCAGATATAAGAACGAAAATGTTAGCTATGATTGATGCAAAAGCAGATGGCAACATTACTATTGATGACCTAGCAGTTGAATGCCAACGGATGATCAATCTCAAACAAGATACTGCCATGGTGGAAAATCAAAATTTCACAGCTGTCAATGCAGTAAGTCATCACAATAAGTCACAGCCGCTGTCAACACATAAGAAAAACTCAAGTGTCCCAAAAACACCTTGCTGGTTTTGTGGTCAGCTACATTATGCACAGTTTTGTTCTTTCAAGAAACACAAATGCAAGCAGTGTGATAAAGTAGGTCACAAAGAAGGTTACTGCGATGTTCGCAATAAATCATCATATAGATCCAAGCAGAGGGGTCATCATCAGGTGAATACTCTTTCAAGTGTTAATCAAGTCAATGCTACGTGCAAGAGAAAATTCGTTGATACCAGAATCAATGGAAAATACGTCAAACTACAGTTGGACACAGGTAGTGATATAACGATCATTTCAGAAGAGTCATGGATCCATATAGGAAAACCAAAATACATCGAATCTGATCATTTAGCAAAAGATGCATCAGGTGATATCATCAACCTAACCAAGGAATTTTCTTGTTCAGTCAACATCGGAGGTGAAAAAGTCAACAACCTCAAATGTTTTGTAGTCCAGTCCAATCTCAATATCATAGGTATCGATTGGATAGACGCTTTCAATCTTTGGAGTAAGCCAATCACTACTTTCTGTAGCCATATTTCTTCATCTGCAATGGAAATCAAGAAAGACGATCTGAAACGTGAGTTTCCAGAAGTTTTCGATGGCAAAATGGGATGTTGTGTGAAGACCACAGTATCCTTGGTCCTGAAACCCAACGCTCAACCAGTTTTCCGCAATAGAAGACCTGTAGCATATGCAGTTTTACCACAAGTTGAAGAAGAATTGGCAAGACTTGAAGCAGAAGGCATAATTTCTCATACAGATTACTCCGAATGGGCGGCTCCAATAGTGGTTGTAAGGAAGAAAAATAATTCAATCAGAATTTGTGCAGATTATTCAACTGGACTGAATGATATCCTGGAACTAAACCGTCACCCACTTCCTCTGCCAGAAGAAATTTTCTCAAAAATGGCCAACTGTGCACTCTTCAGCCAGATTGACTTATCGGATGCATATTTCCAAGTTCCTGTCGATGAACAATCTAGCAAAATCTTGACCATCAACACTCACAAAGGCTTATTTAATTTTCATCGTCTAGCAATGGGTGTAAAATCCGCAGTGGGTGCTTTTCAACAAATCATGGACACCATGATTGCTGACTTGCCAAAAGTATATGCCTACTTAGACGACATTGTTGGACATGCAGATGTTTTGTCTAGACTCATCAATTCACATGACAAACCTGAGGAAGATTTTGTTATCGCTTGTATAAAACTAGAAGATGAAATTGAAAAAATTTTCAATATTTCTATGGAATCAATCCCCATTACGTACAAAATGATCCGAGAAGAAACAAGAAAAGATGCAGACCTACAATCGGTCATCCAATTCATGAATATTGGTTGGCCAGAAAACTCAAGAGATGTTCCCGAGAATGTGAAACCCTTTCATGCCAGGAAAGATTCTCTTTCTATAATACAAGACTGTCTGATGTTTATGGAAAGAGTGATTGTTCCAGAACGTTTCCATGAAAAGGTACTGAAGCAACTTCATAAAGGTCACCCGGGAATGGAAAGAATGAAATCTATAGCTAGATGCTTCGTATACTGGCCAGGGATAGATAAGCAGATTGAAGACTATGTCAGAAAATGCAGAAATTGCTCACTCACTGCGAAATCTCCAATTAAAGTACCTTTATCATCATGGTCAATACCAGAGAAACCGTGGGAAAGATTGCACATCGATTTCGCAGGTCCAATGAATGGTGAGGTATTCTTCATTCTCATCGACGCATTTTCAAAATGGCCTGAAATTTCACGAATGAGTTCAGCAACTTCCCGTAACACAATCAATGCTCTGAGAGAATCCTTTGCCCGTTTCGGAATACCAGAATTCTTGGTATCGGACAATGGGACTCAGTTCACCTCAGAACAATTTCAAAAATTCTGCGTTTCAAATGGAATTCAGCATTTACGGACGGCCCCGTATCATCCTATGTCTAATGGGCAAGTGGAACGCTTCGTAGATACATTCAAGAGAGGAATCAAGAAAATTCAGGGGGAAGATATAGGAGAGCAGCTGACACTGTTCCTGTCAACGTATCGTTCCACCCCGAATAGAAGTGCACCATATGGAAGATCGCCAGCTGAGCTTCTACTAGGACATCCAGTGCGCACCACTTTAGATCTGATCAAACCACCTCGGTGCAAGCAAGATATTTGTGATGGTACTAGGAAGAAACAGGATCTCCAATTTAATCAAAAACATGGTGTGAGATTCAGGGAATATTCAGCAAAAGATTTAGTCTACGCCAAAGTTTACAGAAACAACACATACCACTGGTCTCCTGGAGAAATTATTGAGAAGATTGGCAACGTGATGTATAATGTCCTTCTTGAAACAAGTAGAGGAGGTAACCTCATAAGATCACATGCAAATCAACTCCGTTCACGAAGTGAGCAACTTGAAACATTACCATCCTGTGAACCAACTAGAATTCCGTTGAATATTCTCATCGAATCATTCGGTTTACAAAATCGTGATGATAACCAGGAATGTAACGACGAAAATACCGACGGAACTTTCAATAAACCATCAGCCAGTGCTGCAAAGACTTTTCCAAGTGAATTGGTCGATATATTGGAAGAACCTGTTCAGCATGATGATCGAGGAGCTCAAGATGTTGAACAAGATCAACCAAGTAAACAGGGACCATCTAGCGAGCAAGTTAACACCCAGCCACTTCATAGGCGGTCAATGAGAGTACGTCGATCTCCTAGGATGTTAGAAGACTACAGTCTTCATTAAAAGAAGGGAGATATTGGCAGAACAATCATACATCCTGTATCAACTCCGTAGATTCAGTAATCATTATTTTAGTGGTACATGATGTCATTGTCAATTGTTTAATAAATAAAATAACTTTTCAATCACTGTCTTCAGAAATATAAAATATCATTTTTATCCATTGAAGACGTAACACAGTACAAAGTACCAAAATAGCATCCACATTGTAGCTACGAGATATAGGGTGTGGAAAATCGAGATTTTTCATTTTTGGGGAATTTTTTGTGTCAAAACTATTCATTATTGGTCAAAACGGATTACATGTCCAGATCTTAACTTTTGATTAACTATTTACTCGTATTTAATTGAAACAAATACAGGGTGGTGTAGAATTCTGACTGAAACTGACGATTCTACACCACCCTGTATTTGTTTCAATTAAATACTAGTAAATAGTAAATGAAAAGTTAAGATCTGGACATGTAGCCGTTTTGACCAATAATGAATAGTTTTGACACAAAAAATTCCCAGAAATGAAAAATCTCGATTTTCCACACCCTATATCTCGGAAATCATTCCCGCTAGACCCCAAGTGTGCTAGGTCGTTGAACTCAGCTCATCAAGGAGAATATGAAAATGCAATGAAATACAGGGTGTTCCATTTGAAAAAATTGATGTTCGATTTTGTGAGCCTTTCTTGCGCCCCTCGTATAAAATATAGTCATTCCTGAAGTTAGCACTCATAATGCGATATGATGTGGAATCATAATATTTTGAAAATTCCTGTTGGTTCAGGAGATATTCAACTGTCCCACTGGTCTAGGGACACCCTGTATAGTTATTTGGTACTTTTATTATCCTTCATAAAATAACATTTGATTTATTGTTAACATGACGGCGTTTTGTCAACACATAAGAATGAGCCAATGAAGTCCAGAAGATATTGCAATCGATTGCAATTTCTCTTTTATTATAATCATTTCATCAGTTTTTATCAAACAATCATAAATATACAGTCCTCTCATGACCAAAGCATGATCAAATTTTATTCTAATATTATAATCAGATATTTTTTTCAGGGATTAGCTCAGTCTGGGACTTGGGGATGTTTCGACGAATTCAACCGTATAGAATTGCCAGTACTATCTGTGGCTGCTCAACAGATTTATATAGTACTACAAGCGAGAAAAGAAAGAAAATCGGTGTTTGTCTTCATGTAAGATACACAAAATCGTTATCCAAATCGACGAATTGCTTTTGTCTTTCTAATTTTCAATATTCAATATTCAAGTTTTCAATTCCGAAAAATACTTATGTATGTGTAAAATAATTTCCAAATGGCGATGTCATACAGAATAGAGCCTTCTAGAAACACGATTTTTCAATATGTGCAGTGATCATGTCGAAGTTGTGTGATTGTTGAAACTCATTATTTTTTTAACCGAATAGGAAGTGCTTTGCTGCTGATTCTCAAAAATGCGAACAATACTCAAGAAATAGTCGATTTCGAACTCTGTGAAGTGTTAAAAACTGCTGAGAGGTGGCCATGTTGGCAACATTGTCATGCCAAGAAAAACTGTTAGATACAATGAAAAAAATCTTCCACATAATTATATAAACTGATGGGTATATTATTTGATGGTGATTCTTCAAACTGTTTAGGCAATAGCTTTCTCGTTGTGAAATCTATTGAACAAACGATTTAATTCACTCACTCATTTCGTGAATTCTATACTAAAAATGCGAGAGTATAATCAAACATTTGTATCATGATAATTATGTTCCAGTTCTTCATATAAAATCAATATTTGAGAAAATTAAATAATGTGGAATTCAAAATATTCTCCAAATATTTTAGTTTGTTTCTAATTCTTCACAGGGATGGAGACAACGTTTCCATGAATATTGAATTCGGAATCTTCTTGACGATGAATCCTGGTTATGCGGGTCGACAAGAATTGCCAGAAAATTTGAAAATCATGTTCAGAACAGTGGCTATGATGGTCCCCGACAGACAAATCATCATTCGAGTCAAGTTGGCCTCGTGCGGTTTCAAAGATAATGTATTTTTATCCAAGAAGTTCTTCACGTTGTATCAGTTATGCGAGGAACAGTTATCCAAACAAGTAATGATTTTTCTGAATCACATATACGGGGTGGGGTGCAGCAAGGATTAAATCTATATCTGTCATTTTTTGTTACCAGAAATTTGATTTTTCGATATCTTCCTTGACAAAGAAGTTGACTTTAATTCGCCTTGTTACTATCATATATCTATAGACAATGCGCAAGCTAACGCTTATCCACTATCGAGAGAATTATTGAATATCAAATAAATTGCCCATATAAGATGCGACTGTGAACCTCAGTTTTATATTTCAAGACAATCATGAAGATTATCCGATAGTCGTAGAGAAAGAGTGATATTGCAGAGCACTAAATATACTTTGATGTTCCAGGTGCACTACGATTTTGGTCTGCGAAATATTTTATCTGTTTTGAGAACTTTGGGAGCTCAAAAAAGAGCGAATCCAAATGAGACGGAAGAAGTTGTAGTGATGAGAGTCTTGAGGTAAATTATTTTATAAAGAAATCTGTTTATTGTGAGAAGTAAACATTTCGTTCAATTCAATGTAGGTTTACTTATATTTATGTATTATTCTTGTTAATTCAAACAATCCTAAGAAGGTACTCGTAAATTCGAATAATTTCACGCGGTTGATGATCTCTCGCAAGAAAAGTCAAATCTGAAAATTACCAAGAGCTAACGGAGGTTATTATGGTTGAGAATTCATGAATGTATTCCACCCTTGCACGAATTGATGCCAATTTTCAAAATCGACTGAAAAATAAAAAATTAACGCTCTTAATTCAGGAAGAGAGAAATAGGAAATATCGCGAATTCTTTGGACAAATGACTGATTTTTCTTCGAACATCTTAGGGATTCCCGTTCGTGTGCTCCATAAGATTGAAACATTATTTCTTCCTCAGTTTCTTACACTTTTTATAGGGACATGAATCTGAGCAAACTTATCGATGAAGATGAACCTTTGTTCCTCTCGCTGATCGAAGACATGTTTCCTGGTATAAAACTAACTACGAAATCTTGGAAAGATCTTGGCAAAGCCATAGCCAATCAGTGCGCCGAAATGGGAATTGTCAATCACCCATCGTGGAGTCTGAAGGTCATACAGTTATACGAATCATCGCTGGTGAGACATGGTCTCATGGTAATGGGTGAGTGGACTGATGGTATAGTTCATCTCGAATGTGAGTAAGGGGAACCAAGCAAAATATGGATTCTGACGCTCTTGTTTGGTGGTATATATAAGGTCCTCACGTATATTTTGAGCTCCCTATGATTATTTGGTTTCAACTTCCATAACGTCCATAAATCCAGTGTGTGAGAGGGTGTGTATGCGTTAATGGTAACATAGAAACGGACGACGAATTCATGATTGGTTCGCAAATGTATTGACAAATAAACAAAATTAATGATACTTGTCGCACACTATAATGGATATGACATGTGGTGTACCACAAGGATCAGTTTTGGGACCAATTATATTCTCGATGTATAATAATTTAAAAAACCAACTCTAAGATTGAGAAAAAAGCTTGAATTATTTGCAAATGATACAACAATGGTCCATGTATCGAAAGATTTGAATGGTATTGAATATGGTATTGAAAGTGATTTGGAAAACATTGAATTGGATGCGAATTCATAAGCTTTCCTTCACTTGTCACAAATCTTCATGAATGCATATGTAAGAGATTATATAATATTAAAAATAATGTGCATAATGGAATAATTGAGAGATATGAATGATGTAAAAATATTTTAAATCAACCTTGGAAACACAAATCGATATGTCGCATGATTGATTACTCAGAAATATAATGAAGCAACAACTTATTCCATCTGAAGAAGTGAGAATTTGTTTTCACTAAGGAGAATGTTTTGAGTAATCTCACATATTTTTTTAAAGATTTTTTATTGATATTTCTTCATGTATCATGAAAAGTTATGTTTCTCAGGTTGATCGAGATTTTCATTTGATCGGTCGAAAGTACTGGAAGGTAGAAATAAGTGAATATTTTATATTTTAAATTTTCAAATAGGTCCAACGGGAGCTGGTAAGACCAAATGTATGCACTGCCTCATGAGGTCAATGACAGAAACGGGGCTACCTCACAAGGAACTGAGGATGAATCCGAAGGTATTGCTAAATTTGTGTCTCATTGGAAACTGGGCTGGTTTGATGAAACTAGCTCAATATAATATGTTCGCCATGTATCAGACTTCATTCCCTTCTACATGATATTCGATCCTATCCGATAGATATGAACTTTGTCTGACAATAGAGGAAATCTTTATCATTATTATATGTGAAAAATCAAACCCCCTGATATCTCTCAAGTCGAGGTCAATTTTGGGCTATAATTGTTTAGTATGGGGCTAAATTGAATCAGATATTTGGAAAAAAATCAGGATCAAACTAGGGAAAACTGTCTATTGTCTCACCTGATTGCTAGCCTCGGCTGAGGCCTCGGCTATCAATTTGCAGATTCGACTATAATAGACAGTATTTCGTCCTTGGTACATGAATAAATATGTCTCCAAAACCTGGTAAGGCCAAAGTCTCTTCAGCTTCATTTGATATATTATTCATCCATTACCTAGTGAGTTGAAAAATAAAAAGGAAATAGGAAGATTCGATTTTGATTTGAGAAGATATCTGCTTAGTACCATTTAATCGTACGATGATATATCTTAATCACGATTTGAATACTTGAAACGGATGTTGTTCTTGATTATTTCATTCGATGTTCAATGATGTAAATTTTTTCTTCTCACTATTAACAACATTTTTTTTGGCGTAACATTCTCCTCGATTGATTTCGTACTACCGGTCTTGAACCATTTCGCTTTCCAGATGGAGTCACTTCGCCAATTTCTATATTATTGATTTCAGCTCATGATATATGTATTATGTGTTCGAAATTTTCTAGGCTATAACGGCTCCTCAAATGTTTGGTAGACTAGATGTTGCAACTAACGATTGGACAGATGGAATATTCTCTACTTTGTGGAGGAGAACTTTGAAATTCAAAAAAACAGATTATTGCTGGTAAGAAAATAAGAGAATAAAGACTTAACGTTCAGGCAACGGTAAGTGAATGACTTCATTGTATCTGACAACCATAATATTCGCGGTAGTCAAGGTCATCATTTGATATTGCGATGACATGAAAACAACGAGAAAACATATGTCTAATTTTCAATCTAAACCAGTAGTTGGAAATGTTTCCCGTAGTATTCATGTCATCGCAACGTTAGACTATCGCGAATAGTCACACGTATGACAGGTTGAAATAAACGCAACGCAGGACATTAAAGAGAATCAATTCGAAAACGATCGAGGAAGAAATGTTGACATCATGAATATGGACTCACCAACAATTCTCGAATGGGGATCCAATAACTTGGTAGATTTCAATGCAAACAAAACATAAGCATGCCTTTTCTCTAGAAAAGCCGATTTCACTGTGCCCAACATAAGCTTCTCAGGAGTAACCATACCTTTGAAGACATCCATTTCGATGTTTGGTATTACTATCAGCAATAACCTTTCTTGGGAAAATCACGTGAGATCAATAGCTAAAAGTGCATTCCAAAAACTTGGTTTTCTGTTTCGAGCAAGGAGCTATTTCACTTCCAGTCAGCTGCTTATGATCTATAAGGTACAGATCCGACCTGTCCTAGCATACTGTTCCCATATTTGGAGTCCAGCACCCAAACATACCCTGAAACTGTTGGGCAATTCGTCTCGTGGGTGATGCCTCGTTCACAAACTCGCTCACTTCTCTGGAACACCGTAGAAATGTTGGCGATCTGGCTCTATTTCATAGATATTTTCATGGACGATGCTCTTCTGAAATATCAACAATTGTTTCTCTCTTGGCTGTCTCCGCGAGATTAACCCGTCGAGTTGAGGCTTCACACCCCTTCGAGGCCACGTTGGAGACCTAAAGAACATCTCTTTCCAAAGACTTGTTCATCCAACAAACAGCGAGGCTCTGGAACACATTGCCAAGAGAGGTGTTCCCCGAGGCATATAACCTCTACAAATTTAAGAAGAACGCCAATTCCTACCTTATTACCCTTGGTTCTCACGATGTCATCTGACCATTACAGGATATCCCTTTTCGTGGGAACCAGAACATAAAAAAAAATTGAAATAAAACCAATGAAAGAAATGTAGTTCGATCAGCTCGTTCTTTACTTCGAACTCTTTCAGCTTGTTCTTTCATTTTTATTCACTATTCGTGATTTGGGACTGAAAGGGGGGCTCCATATGTATTCGGCGTTGATGCTAAAAAAATCTAGTTATGCCACTGTGCTCAATGTTTTAGGTTGATTCTCGACGGCCCTGTCGACGCCGTCTGGATCGAGAACCTCAACTCCGTGCTGGACGACAACAAGACACTGACGCTGGCCAACGGCGACCGCATCGTGATGGCGGCTAATTGCAAGCTGGTATTCGAACCGGACAACGTGGACAACGCCAGTCCTGCCACAGTGTCCAGAATGGGCATGGTGTTTATGAGTTCGTCGGTGCTACCCTGGTCGCCCATCCTGGAGGCTTGGCTGAAGACGCGGAGCAACCAGGAGGCCGATACGCTCAGGGCACTATTCAACAAGGTTGGTATACTTTCATGAGGAACAAAAACTTGAAAGTAACCTGCAGCCCGGATAAGTTTTGATCCTGCCTTTGAAGTGGTTCTAAATAGTCACCCTAGGTACGGTTCCGCTGAGCCTCAGCTGGACAGAGGGTCCCTTGTTTGGTACACCGATGGTTCGAAAATGAAAGAAGGGGTAGGCGCGGGTGTATATGGACCTGGATAGAGGCTGTTCGAAGCCTTAGGTCACTCCCCTACTATCGTCCAAGCTGAAATACATGCCTTCAACCTATGTGCCCAAAGGTGCCTGAGCACAGGGGAAGCTGAGGGGTGCATACCAGAGCTACAGCTTATCACAGGCTTTCTCACAGTACATTGCACTCTGAGGTACTACCTCAAAAAGATGGGCCTGGAACACATACTTTGCTCATGTAAAGTATTAGTCCGCCAAAGGCCGAATCACCTAGAACAGGTCTATTTAAGACCTGCTGAGGTGGAAAATTCAACCGACAGGAGAATTTTAGGCTTCATCAGAAGTCTAGGACCAAAACTAGATAAGGGTAATCACGATAGATCTCCTAGGTCGCAGTGGTCGAGAGGTCTCTCAGCCTATACGAGCCATCTACAATCTACAACCTCCACAAATATTCGAAAAATGAACAACATCATCTACCAGACAGCAAACAAACAACTGCCTTCCTGGCTTATTCCACGTGGAAAATTGAATTACATCCTCCGGAAATCTATACGCATCCATTCGTATAAATGGATACTGATGCTTGGGAGTCGAAAGCCTCACAGTTCTTTAATATTCAGAGACAGGCTTGTCTGGGTCACTAGGGCCATCAGCACTACACCTTCAGCAGCTATTGAAAGTTTTCTAGACCTAACTACATCTTCCTGGACAGAATTTTTTCATTCAATTTGTCCTATATAAATTGAAAATTTCGAATTCAAATTTCAATGAAATCAATTCATTACATAATCATGGAACAAGACAATCAAATTTACTAATAGCAAAAACGTTCAAGTCAAATATCGGCAAACAATCCATTTTTCACACAGGAATCGTTCTATACAACTCATTACCAAGTCAATTGAGGAATATACAGGAAGCAACTATATTCAAAATTAACTTGAAAAAATATCTGCTTCAGAGACTTTGATAATTCCATTTCCTATTTGAATACCTACTTATAAAAGACAAGGTTGATATTGCATGATTATTTGCATTTTTTTTTCACTTGTTATATCTTATTATAATTTCATAATAATTGTATGTATAAATTCTCCATGCATGTTTTCTCAATTTCACTGGCTCAGTTGCCTCTACTGAAGAGCTACTACTATGTGCGACTCGTCTACTAAATGCCTTGATGCTTTCCAACTAGAGAACCTGAGTTAAAACACTTCGCCCATTCATTACAAAACATCATATCATCTTACTGAAACAATTACACAACCACCTGATGGAATACTGAATGTCTCCATTGTGAATTCACTTTTTTGCAGATTTATGGGGATCTTCACACATTCACACAGACCAAACTCAAGGCGAAAATGTTTATAAGGGAAGCGCTATATATACGGCAGTGTTATGACGTATTGCAAGGGATTCTGGATATAGGCGATGAACCAAGTAAGGCATTCATAATATTAAGTTGATGTCTGTGTTATGGTAGTGATGGAAAGTTTGAAATGGATATAATACGTAAGAAATTTCGCATATAAGCTTATGAAACATTGTATATACTTATTTGAACTAACAGGAGAGTTCGTTTTCGCCGTAAAGAAGTATACCACAAATGAATTCACCACCTTTAACACGTTCGCTGTCCATGTCCGACACATTGTATCGGCATAGGCATGCCAACAGTAGTGCCCGCGCAAAGTACTTTTAACTCAACTTGTCCTAGATGAACCTTTTTCCTGGAAAGTATATTTTTGAAAAATCAATTGAGTGAAAAAAATAGAGAAAAAAATTGCAGCCTCGCAGGGATTGAACCCCCGTCCCTACCGTCGAAGTCAGATACACAGACCACCGAGTTATAGCTTCAATCGTAGTTTCTCAATATAAAGAAGAAAGAAATATCATGTGTTGTGGGTGACGTCACTTGATCTTGATGTTTCAATGATTCGCTGGTCTAGCTAGCATGAAAAAACTGATATTGTGAAAAAACTGATATTCTCGGCGTCACTGAGACGTGGCTTACACCTGCTATAGATCGACACTTATCAGCTACTACGAGCAGACCGAGATGGTCGGGGTGGGGGAGTGGCGTTTTTCATAAAAAATATCTTCAAATTCAAAACTATTTTTTCGCAAATATCCCCTTATCTCGAACAGCTATGGATCTCAAATACATATTACGGAAAAAAATTCACATTCGGTGTTCTATTCCGCCCTCCCTCAGGCGATATAACTCAATGTATTAACGAATTGGAGGACACTGTTGCCAACCTGTTCCCTTTGAGTGACTTTCATCTAGCAGCTGGCGATCTCAATATAAATTTCATGATAAATGGCCGAATAAACAATGAATATCCATTATTCAGTCAGCAGGCACTCCAGTTGAGTTGATGATGCCTTAGGGGCACGTTTGGAAGACTTTAAGCTTATAGTTTCTTTCACGTGGCCACGGCGGCCACGTAATGAGTTGTGTAGTAGTTCGTGCATAATAATGGAAGATGATGCAATTCCAGATATATTGGCTTTGGCTTCCAGTCCGTTTTTTTTTGAAAAAAAGCAATATACAAGAAATGAAATGAATAAAACAATTAATTTCATATTTGGGCAGCGAACGTGTTGAGAACTGAAAATTTTCAAAGTCGATTTTCTTTAAACTAAGAATTTTGAGTTATCACAACATTCAACTACGAAATGGCCACAATGCTCAAAGTGGAATGAAATATTGATTATTTCTTTTTCAGAGGTCTGGACGGACAAACAGCTGGAACGCCTGTTCATCTTCTCGATGATGTGGTCGTTGGGCGCCATCCTCGAATTGGACGACAGGGCCAAGCTGGAGCAGTTCGCTCTCGCCCACCCGTCCAGACTCGATTGGCCCAAGTGCAACGAGAACGAGACCATCTTCGAGTTCGTGGTGAACCCGGAGAACGGCAGATGGGAGCACTGGTCTACAAGAGTGGAGGAGTTTGTGTATCCGCCCGACAGCTTGTTGGAGTTCACGGGGATCTTGGTGCCAAACGTAGATAACGTTAGAACGGGGTTCTTGATAAATAACATCGCGAAGCAGAACAAAGCAGTGCTTTTGATAGGTACGTATCCATTTGGTTAGTTGATGTAATAATTAAGGGTTTCATAAGTGCGTACTCGTCAGGTTGACAAGGAAATTATCCATAATAATCCTTCATACTATTATAGTCTGTGTTTTGCGGGATAACATGTTTCCTAACTGGTTAAGTGTGGATTATGTGTGGATCCAAAAGGAATCAATGAGTACCTTATAAAAAAGTGTATTTTCTGAGCAGGTCCCAATAGGATTTTACCTTCTTGAAGACGTATTCATAAAGGAATATGTTGTGTATTACAAATATGACATGATGTGATCACATTCAATTTTTATCCATATCGATACTCTTTTCTATGTATATGTTTAGCAGTAGAATCGCTCCTGGAATATACAAATGTTATTCTAAGGCGCGGTTCTTGAAGACGTTTTGGTTCTTAATATTTTGTGATCTATTTAGGTGAACAAGGTACTGCAAAAACTGTAATGATCAAGGGATATACCTCATCGTTCGACCCAGAATACAAGTTGAATAAATGTTTCAATTTTTCTTCGGCAACAACTCCAAACATGGTACAGGTATGTAAAGAACAATACTATCACAGCTCCATTACAGTCACATTCATCTCTCGCCGAGTGTAAACGAACAAAAAGTTTGGGAAATACTTCTTCGTGTACTCGCCAATTTGTGTACAGTAGTTGGAGTTGGGAAAAATGTTCATATCGACTGTAAAATCTATCTACTCCTATGATTTTTATCAAAAACTCAGCTCTTTAGGATTACATTCATCTTTGATTTTTCCTTCTGTCTATGATACACTTCTGATACTATAAGTTACTTGATATTCATGATACTACTTTTCCTAATGACGTCTCTATTTTTCAGCGGATTATTGAATCTTATGTTGATAAAAGAGTAGGAACTACTTATGGACCACCTGCTGGCAAGACCCTCACAATATTTATTGATGACATCAACATGCCAGTTATCAACGACTGGGGTGACCAAATAACCAATGAAATTGTCAGACAATGCATGGAGAATGGAGGTACTACAAAATTATAATTAGTGAAAAAACATAGCATAATAACGCATTCCTCATTTTCTTGAATTAACTCATTTGCTAGAAGTGACCATAAGTTATAGCTTATTCTAATTTGAACTGTGAAATATCGAAAGTGACTACATTCTGTGCACCACCTCCTAATTTAGCAGAATAACGAATATCTTGTTATGGAAATGCAATGAACCTCTTATCCAATCTAGCACGCTTGCAGTTTTCTTGTTACCCCAATTGAACTCATGAGTTTCAATTTTTCATTACATTTCAGCCGTTGGGCGCCAATTCCTGCCTCTCTCCTGATATCAATATCAAAAGGATTCACGAGTTGTACCACTCTACACAAAGTCGGTGAACTATGAACCATATGTACTTAGTTTGAACTCCGTCTTTCCAAATGTCTACCATCAGAACTATATAATACAATAGGAATATCGGGGATTTAGTCATTGGAGCTTCAAAAAGTTAGACTACTTCATCGCTAAGCCTAGCTTTCGAATTTGTATTTATTCATGACTACAACATATTTGTACAGGGTATTTCCATCGGAGACAGTAGCTCACCTAGTTTCATCGTATAATATATCCTGGTTGAAACTTGATAATAAAAAATTCAGTTCGGTTCAATCAGTTACACCGACACTAATCCATAGATACTGAATTGAAGCCATCTCCTCAATCAATGATTCGGTTAGTATCTGTTCTTCACTCTGATGAAATATTCTCAATTTTCTCTTGCTGAAAACTAGATAGCTGTCATTTCCGTATATGTGAAACTGGAATCAGACAGGATACGTCAATGACAAATGACATGAGCATCATTACGTTGTTTCGATTACTCAGCACTTCAATTATAGGTACATAAAAAACACTCATAATTCAATTTCAGGTTTCTACAGTTTGGACAAACCTGGTGATTTTTCAGTTATCGTAGATGTTATGTTCCTTGCTGCCATGATACATCCTGGCGGTGGAAGAAATGATATTCCACATAGGCTCAAACGACAATTTTCCATTTTCAACTGTACGCTACCCAGTATCACGTCCATGGATCTCATTTTCAGTAAGAGGTGTTCATTATTACTATAACATTCAATAATTAACGAGATTTTGAAATTAATGCTTACACCGTTCGCTGTCTCTTGCTATGTGTTATTCGAATCGATTCTTGCTTTGCCAAACTTAACCATACCATCTGGGTCGTCCATGTTGGGACAATATAATTGATGATAATATAACTAATAACGACATTATTCGATACAGGTCAAATTGGTTGTGGTTATTTCTGCAAAGAAAGATTTAGCGCAGAAGTAGTCGAGTTCCTGCCGAAATTCATTCCACTAACCAGACACTTGTGGCAGAACACCAAGAAGAAGATGCTGCCGACTCCTGCGAAGTTTCACTACGTCTTCAATCTTCGAGATTTGTCCAGGATCTGGCAAGGCATTTTGACGGTGCAAGGTCTCGAGTGTACGAATAAAACGTCGCTATTGAAACTTTGGCGACATGAGTGTACCAGAGTTATAGCAGATCGGTAAGAAATTAATGTATCCTAGGGCAGGTTGACGAATTTATCATTCGAATTTCCCATATTCATAGGGATAATTTCAATGATTTGGGTGACCCACGTTTGAGTGACATTTTCTTCAAATGAAACATACATGACACATGGGGGGTTTATACAGTGCGTCTGTATTATTTATTATCATAAAGCACTATGTTGATAGTTAACAATATACGGGGAGAGGAAAAGAAACATTTCTCAGATTCAACCCCCTTCATTTTCTGAACTAGTCATATAATTGATTGAGTTGCTACTGGGAGAAATGGTATCAGTAGATTGACTACTATAATATACAAAAAATTTCAAAGAACCCAAAAGTGCGGTCCTTTATTGACCGACTCCGGATGATTGAGTTACTTTCTTCCAGATGTACTGAAGAAAGTGACCGAGTATGGTTCACGAACGCCTTGAAGAAACAAGCAGAAGAAGAACTTGGTGATGATTTTCAATATTACGAAGAAGAAGAATCATTCTGGGTGGACTTTTTGCGAGAACAGCCTGAAGCTACTGGTGACGAACCCGAAGATTTTTGCTTCGATGCCCCTAAAGTATACGAAGAAATACCTAGTTGGCAATTTCTCAAAGATAAACTTTTCTGTGAGTATCTTCTCAATCAAATATTTTCTAATAAGAACCTTTCAAATAAGCAGTTAGATGAGAATGACAAATGTAATACCTACTCGTTATCAATAACTGCATTTTTTCTAGCATTTATGGAGCAATACAATGAAGCAGTTAGAGGTGCAGCCATGGATATGGTGTTCTTCCGTGACGCGATGGTACATCTGATGATTATCTCGAGAATCATACGGACTGCCAGAGGAAATGCCCTCCTTGTTGGTGTGGGTGGTTCTGGAAAACAGAGTTTGACGAGACTCGCTTCTTTTATAGCTAACTATCAGAGCTTCCAGATACAACTCACTAGGTACATTTCTGGAATCAATCAACTTGTTATATAAATTGCCTGCTTCTTCTGAAGTTAGTAGTAGGTATTTCTCATAAAAAAATCATTCTTGAAATTGCTTCACCTAATTTTGTTATTCTCGGGTCATTACTATGAAGTCTAGAGTATATATATTTTTTTATATATTGTTACGATATTCGGGTGCAGAAGCGAACACTATTAATTTTCGAACTGATTTATGTCAACTAAAAGAACACTAATTTATATCGAACTTATAGCTACTATTTATGTAAAAAGATTTATATCGTGCGGTATATAACTTTCTCTTTGACACTTGCTGCTTGTCTGACCGACGACTGCTGTCCGGCCGTCCTTATATATCTGATCCCTTGGCAGGCTTTGCTTGTCGAACGTTGTGCTATTCATTCTAGAAGCTTCTAGAACAATATATCTCTATCTAATAGTAGGTAATCCGCCTATTCAGTTCAGCCCCTCTCCTCCACCTTCCTCCAAACTACGTGACCCGACTTGGAAATGTCACGGAACACTACGTAAATGTCACGGAAACGGCATGGAGTCGTCGGAAACGTCACGGAACATTTCAGCGGTGTTCCGTGACGTTCTGGTGACATTACGGTGACAAATACCCTGATACATGTTATAATCATTGGAATGTTCGGGAGTGATCCAAGACGCGTGTTACTGGGTGATTCTGGTACTCCTGCCCTCCTGATGATGTTCTAGAGCCCCTTCAAGGGAAATATCATAACAATATAATATCTGACCGGTATCAGTTGAAAATCAACCGGATATCATTTGCGCCTTGCAACTATAATAATCGAGATATCAGCATATCGGAATCATCGATTTGAGATCGATGATTGGCCTGAAACAGTTTCATATCTCTACAGGTCATATAATGTCAACAACCTAATGGATGACATGAAATTCCTGTATCGTCAAGCTGGCCTAGTGGGCACCGGAGTTTCCTTCATCTTCACCGATAACGAAATAAAAGAAGAAACATTCTTGGAGAGTTTGAATAACATTCTGAGCTCTGGAGAGATCGCAAATCTCTTTGCCAAGGACGAATTAGATGAGATACAGTCAGAGTTGATTCCTATAATGAAAAAAGTACTGCCTAGGAGACCTCCGACTGTCGACAACCTTTACGATTTCTTCTTGACCAGAGCAAGATCGAATTTGCACGTCGTACTGTGTTTTTCTCCTGTAAGTATTCGTCAACCATCCCAATTTCCTCAAATCTCAGTTGAATAAATTCGGAAAAAATATAATGGATGTCAGAAATTTTCTTGGATATACACTTTCTCCCAGATTGGTGCTGCATATATTTCTTTCGTCGTGTTATGTTCAGAGTTACAAAATTGCTATCACATTTTGTCAATTGTAATAATAACAGAGATAGCAAACGATAAGTAGAGAGAATTCGGCGTTTCTGCAGCCTCTGAGAAGAAGTCGTTGTAACCATTTTCTGAGCCATTGTCCTTTTTGAGCTATTGAAATGACTTTTTGAACTGTCGGAACTACTTTCTGGGCTGTTGAAACCCTTCACTGAGTAATTTGAACCGCATTTAGAGTCATTGGAACCGCTTTTTTAGTCATTGGAACCGCTTTTCGAGCTAGTGGAACCGCTTTCTGAGGCATTGAAAACAAAGAATTTCTCGGAGGCTGCAAAAACGCCTAGATATTCCTTTAGGAAGCAGCAGCAATTACGGACACAGTGTATACTCCACTATATCTGAACATTTTTTATGGTATTTCTAGGTTGGAGAAAAATTCAGAAGCAGAGCCCTAAAGTTCCCTGGATTGATTTCTGGCTGTACTGTGGATTGGTTCGCGAAATGGCCGGAAGACGCCCTAATAGAAGTATCTTCTCATTTCCTACAAAACTTCCAAGTGGTGGCTACAGCTGACGTAAAACAAGAACTTATATTCATCATGGCCGATATCCATGATGGAGTTTCAGATTTTTGTAATCAATATTACAACAAGTAAGTCAACCGATATCAAAAGGTGGTTAGACTGATCATTACACAGGGTTTCTATAAATGATCGTAGTGGCCGTTGAAATAGTGCTGCTCTCTACTTATGTTGTTTACAGACATTGAATAAACCAATTGTATTATAGTTTTATCCCCATGAATGGAAAACGGCAAATCAATAATATATTTCAACGGTCACTACGATGCTATGATCATGTCGCCCTATTGATTTTAGAATAAATGTCTCCTGTTCCACCATTTAATGAACAAATACCTACTCGTGATATATCACAGGGAAGATAATTTGTTGGTCTATCGAATGATATATGTACAGGGTTTTATTAAAAATTCTCGACTAGTGTCTACTTCCGATAAAACCGGAAGTGATATTCAAACGTTTTTTCATTAGGACGGAAATATTATGGGTCTTAAGGAACTTTATCTTCGATGTAAATGTCAAATGTCTAACATGAAAAACAAGTGAATGACGCCTTGGCCAATGATCTTGTTGTCACCCAGTATACGCTACTCTTTTGAGCAACATTTTTACTGGCAAACTATTCGAATGGCCAAGAATGGATTATCCATCGAAAAAAATCTTGTTGTCGGGGCGATTTGTCGATAGTATAACACCTATTAAGATTCCGACGAAGAACTTTACGTCACTTCGAAAAACTTCATATCTTTCCTGGCCGCCTACAAATACTCTACAAGAAGAAGTTCCACGAAATCGGCGTGTTAGCTCAAAGAATAAAAACAGGCCATAAAATGCTGGTCGAGGTGAAAGTTAGCGTGAAGACGAGCTAAAAAAAGAGTGGGATGTGAAAGAGAAGGAGATGACTGTAGACACCGAAGAGGCCTTTAACTGTTTCTTTAGGACCAGAATATTTTGATTAAGAGGCATGCAAGAATCCCTGATCTCCTGTTGAATGTAATCAATATATTGCGGTATATCAACTTCGAGGCCATTTACGTTTGGCACTATTCCACAATAATCTTACGTTAACAGTTCAGAGTCTTCCGAAAGGTTTACTAAATGCTACTCTCGAAGGTTTAAGATGAGGATATCCATTAGATAATCCTCTTGTCGAGACCAATTATCAATAGTACATATCTCATTCAGATTCCGGCGAAGAACATACGTCACTCCGAAAACCTTCATAGCCTTCCTGGCCGCTTACAAAGTACTCTACAAGAAGAAGCTCGACGAAATCGGCGTGTTAGCTCAAAGAATGAAAACGGGCCTGAAGAAGCTGGTGGAGGCGCAAGTGAGCGTCGATGAGCTAAGAAAAGAGTTGGCTGTGAAAGAGAAGGAGATGACGGTGGCTACCGAAAAGGCTGAGGTGGTACTCAACGAGGTGATGGCTGCATCCGAGGTGGCCAACAAAATCAAAGAGGAGGCCCTGGTGGTGAAGGAGCGCGCTGAGAACCTGGTGGCCTTGATCAGCGTGGATCAGAAGGAGGCGGAGGGGAAGCTGTTGGCTGCCAAGCCCGCTTTGGATGCTGCCGAACAGGCATTGCTGGTAAGTAGAGTATATTGTTTTTGCTTCGCGTTTAGGATCCATTTTGTGTGAGATATTTTCCCTGTTTCTACAGGGAGCTGCAGTATTTCATACATGCTAAGGAGGTGTAAGGAACATTGTCGGAATGGCATTCATCCGTTCGTTCGTTGGAATTAAATTTAGTACAGAAAAGTTCTTCATCAGCTTCTACAAAAAATTTTATGTCACGTACTAATGTACGAAATTTTTGCTGTTGTCAAATTGATCATTCATGAAATCCGATAGATTTCACAAAAGAAATGGGTAAAACTGACATATCTGATCTCTGTATCCCTTTTCACAGACAATTAAAGCATCTGATATTGCAACGGTGAGGAAATTGGGAAAACCGCCATATCTGATCACGCTCATCATGGATGCAGTACTGATATATTTCAAGAGGAAAATTGAACCCGTCAAGCCTGATCCTGAGAAAAATTTCTTGATTCCAGCTTGGGCCGAATCTCTGAAGGTATAATCACAGTATAATGATGCCTATCGTCCTTTCATCTCATGCTAGTAAAACACGATCATTATATTTATAATTTATTCAGGGATCAAATCAGTTTCATCCAGTTCTACTTTCTTCGCTGAGAATCTCGAACTTCCTAATTGAAAGAGAAAATGTTTCAATCCCGTGCATCAATCTATAATTGCAAATGAAGATCTATACACATAATACAAACAGTTTATCCCTTTCATTATATTTTTTCACACGTGTATTGAACTTCACCAAATTTATAATAGGTGAAGGAGAGGCGACATCGGTTTATATTCGGAGCTGAAGTGGATACCATTTTGACGTTTTTTGAGTTTGAGGTGCCACTGAAATTTTTTTGTCGAATAGTTGCTGTTTTATCTTCAAATCTGTTTCGCGACTTCAAAAGATACTATACAGGAGGTGCAAAAGAGTTGATTTTGATTCAACAAGTTTTCATAAATATAGTCAATATATTATATCAATTTATAAGTGGGATTCGAGGCGTTGGAAATCACATTTCTCCTTATTTTGTTCTTCCTGTAATTCTTCCTGAAATTAAGAATCTGGAAGCTGCTTCTCCTTTCGAGCTTCAAGTATACCACTTTCGATGCAAATATCAAAAATCGTGATTTCGGTGTTATATGAAATTTGAGAAAACTATATATTAATTCTGAAGAGGAAGGATCTCCCTTCCATAGGAATCCAAATAGGTAGAGGCCGTGTTTATAGAAATTTTCCGACCCAAAATCGACTCTACATTATCTATACGCAAGAAAAGTTTGTCATCTCAGAACTGGGATACGATGTACAGGAGATATTCTCACGAACTGCAACACAAAATGTGATAAAATTTGAAAAAAAAATCGATTATTTGCAGGTTATGGCTGATACAGCCTTCCTCAGAAAACTCCAAGAATACCCCAAAGATTCCATAAATGGCGAAACTGTGGATCTGCTAATACCTTATTTCAACTATCCCATGTATACTTTCGAGGCCGCTAAGACAGCTTGCGGTAACGTTGCTGGTTTGATATCGTGGACCAAAGCCATGGCAGCATTCTTCGATGTCAATAGAGAAGTATTGCCTCTAAAGGTTAGTTTGCCTGGTTTGCCTGTATATTTTCCAATGGAATATTCAAGGAAGTCAAGTGAAATCATGTTTATATTCTTTATCGGTTCTAGTATATGGTAGAGTACGATTCATTACAAATAAGATATTCTTTTGTCATCTTAGTGTGGCAGATTTTGATCACAATTGTGCTATTGATGATAAGAGCATGAAATTTGCAGCAAGTATTCATCATATTGTTCCCAGTGATTAGATGTAGGGAAGTTCGGGATAAATTGACATTCAAACCAAATGGTAGTCATGCCTTTATATGTATAATAATAATGTAACACAGGTGAACTATTATCAGAATTGCTCCTTCCATTATGAAATCATGAATCCCTCACTAATTGTTCAGTCGAAAGTTTTGAAAAAGTTCGAAAGAAAACAAAATGGCGGCCTTGTCAATTTGAATTTAAAATTTGACCGACAACGCTTCACAGCTGATAGCTCTCGCAATTTGATAAAGAATTAGGTAATAAGAATATCTGAATGATACACCCGACACTCATCTCACTATTGTTTGATTTGTCAAAAAATGATTTTGTAGATGGTCGATATTCATCATAGTCAATGACCATGTGCATTATTTGAGCTAATTTTTAATTTCTGGTGTATAGGCGAATTTGGTCATTCAGCAAGTCAAATTGAACAGAGCACAGGAAGAATTAGGCGCTGCTATGGAATTACTGAGAAGTAAAGAGGAAGAAGTAAGGCAGTGCCAGGAGCAATACGAAGAGGCGATGACTTTCAAACAAGTAAGTGTCACACTATCATTTCGATCACTTGAAACTGTAATTTGAAAATTTTCAAAAACCTCAGCTCAGGATCTAAAAACTGAGACATTTCAAGGTACTAACCTTACACATTATACAGTGAGCACGTGAAGGTTGGAACGAATTCGTTAAAAGCTTGATATACGCATTAGGAAAAAAGCTCAGATAAGTCATTTTAGTTTTTCAATTGCGCATTTTTTGAAAAAGAAAGTATTCTTGATGTTTATATATGTAATATTTTTTCTTATATTGCATAACATTATTTTGGGAAGATGAAAGATATTTCATTCAGAACAAATGATAATCAAATTTATAAAATCACAACAGGAGTGAATAAACCTACAAACTATTGTGCAACCTAAAAAAAACATCTTGTCAGAGCTTTTTTTCTCAATGGCCATATCAAGCTTTCAACCATATCAAACTTTCAACAAATTTGTTTCATACGTGCTGATACGTCCAATGTTCCATAAATTATGTTATTTTTATGTTAACGATATACATTTGTGTTTTGTGTTTATTTAGTAAGATAAAACCTGCAAAAATGCCTGACAACAATTTGTTTTTCCGCCGTATGTGGGTTAGGACGGAGAATACGAAATTAGCACTAAAATATTCGAAAATTACGTCAATTGAATAATATGGCTAACTAATAATAATAATAATAATAATAATAATAATAATAATACTTTATTTTCTTTGTGACATGCAGTTACATGTATAGAATTGGTCAAGGACGATTACTAAAGCTAAAACTAACTAACTTAAATATAACTAAAACTAAGTCTTCAAAATTCATCTAAGGAGTAAAATCCACCATTTATTAGGTATTTCCTAAGACATTGCTTGAATGCTTTCAATGTAACACATGATTTAATTTCGGCCGGAAGTTTATTGAACAGCCTTTGCCCAGTCACAGTAGGTGATCTGTATAAAAGATTTGTTCTTGAAAATGGCACATGTAGGTCATTTTGCTGTCTTGTGTTGATAGAATGAATTTGTTTGTTAGTTTTAAAAGAGGTTATGTTAGAAAATATAAAAACACATACTTCAAAAATATACAAACACGGTAAAGTTAAAATTTGATAAGATTTAAAAAAACTTCGACAACTAGTGGTACGAGAAACACCAGCGATACAACGAATTAATTTCTTCTGCGAGATGAAGACATCATTGAAACAAGTGGATGATCCCCAAAAACATATTCCGTATCTTAGTCGGGATTCGGCCTGTGCATAATATAACATTATCGTTTGTCTATATGTAGAACACCAAAGATTTGAAATTATTTCTCGAAGGAAGTTCAACAAATATACATTACCTACTTTCTCTTCCTATCCTCCAAGAGATTAAAAAAACAGTAGTAGTCGGTGAGGAAGTATAATACCTTGAAATGTACATAAACCAAAATAATCCTGATCCATAGGGCAAAATCCGTGTTCAATCAATCATCTCAAATATGAATGATTCTCTAGAAAATTTTCGACGAAGCGATGAAAGTGAAAAACAAGATGGACGCCGCCACAGCTCTGATAAACGGTCTGTCCGGAGAAAGAGTGCGTTGGACCGATCAACTAGCGCAGTTCAAGGCTGAAACGGAACGTCTGGTCGGAGACGTCGTGATGTTGACCGGCTTCCTGGGATACACGGGACCCTTCAATCAGGAATTCCGATCGATGATGCAGGCCTCCTGGCTCGAGGGTCTCAGCAAGAGGAAGATGCCGGTCACGTTGAGTTTGAACATCATCGAGAGTTTGGCGGATTCTGCCACGGTGAATATTGATCTTCTCTATCACAGCCGGCTTTGTAAGAGCCATGGTGGGGAAGATGCAACAACGCATTGCCGTGATCCGAAAGTCCTACTCTCGACTGGCGGCCACGGCGACCGCGCTGACGTAAAGTCAATTCATTGCTTTGAAATCATCAAACTTTAATGAAAAAAATAGCAAGGAATGATGGGTTAGGTCCTTAGATAAAATAAATAACTGAAAAGTCTCATTCTACATCGACCATCCAAGTTCACGAATTGCGAGGCAAGATCTTACCTATAAAAGGAATTTAAGAATATTATCACCTGGTAAAGCTAAAGCGTCCTGTATCTCGCATTCAATACCATAACGTTCATTCTACGTTTTATGAACTTTCCAACTCCAACTATCAATTTTCAATTTTCCTACATTTCCCCCAACTAAAGCTCCTGGTAATGTTATAGGTTTGGAAATAAATCTTGATGAGTTTAGAAAAATTGAGGATACTGCTGTTTTATTCCATCTGAAAGGGGAAATGTTACATATCTGATCATATCTGTTTTAACGAAATTAATTGGACACACTGCAGAATGATGAGATTGGATCCATTTTTTACGAGGTACTACAGATATCCATCTTTTCGCAGCTCTTCATCTTTAGAAAATTTAAAAATCGAAACCCACTTCTTTTCCGAAGGTAATTTGACTTACACCCTATCACACAACAATGATTTGGCATGTTGTTTTAAGAAACTTTGAAATTGCTTTCAACAATAATTCACATCACATCAATTTACACTTGAAAACTAAATGAATTGGGAGCACGACTAAATATCCCGTACAAAAATATCCTGTCAAAGAAATCCTGCCGAAAATAACCCTGCACATTAATATATTTAGACAATGATAGCCTAACCATTAACAAATGAATTAACTCCGCTGCATTAACAGGCATATATCGTGTATGTGCAAATGGCCAGTAGAGAGACCTTTCGGACAGTGTTGCCTATACTGCTATCAACACGGCTTTCTTTGAAGACGGTTATGTATCTGTTAATGTAAAAATCGCGCATGAAGTTACCCAACAAGGGCCGGTTGCATAAAGCTATCTGTTAATTCAATGAGGCATGTCAGTTTTTGAGCACCACTCTTTGCAGATAGGAGAATGGAATCTTCAAGGACTACCCACCGACGACTTATCTAGTGAAAACGGTATCATAGTCACGACAGCTACTAGGTATCCCCTTATGATCGATCCCCAAAGTCAAGGAAAAGCCTGGATAAAAGAGAAGGAAAGAGAAAACCAGTTGATCGTCACATCGTTGAATCATAAATATTTCAGGTATTAAAAAAAATCACTACCACGAATGTAATCCGGCATGATTATCTTTTCAAGTATTTCGTAAAAAGCCTAGCAAAAACGAACATTTTATAGACACACACTTCGGTATTGCGTCATGTTGCTATACATTGTTACATCGTTGAAAACACCAACGCTGATAGACCAATCAGAAATGAAAGACATCTAGTGTTTTCACTTGTAATACCACTTCTTCCATTCTATACTAACTCCTTTCATTCTATACTAACTTCGGGATACTCACAAGTGATGAGAAATTATAATTTTGTCAAGTAATTTTTCATGGGTATGAATATCTGGAAATCCTTGATTCACTAGTATTTATAAGATGAGATTGATGTTTATTTTATGTATGGAAATAATAAAGACGATATATTTTAATTATTATAACATACTAGTATAGTAGTAGAGAAAGGGGAGGCGGTCGTCTAGCAAGTAGGCCCCAGTGAGCCTTTTTTGCCGACCCCTGCTGCACACGTCATGCACATAATATCTACTATTCCTTCTCCTAATTCTCCTTTTCGAACCTCCGTGGATTTTTCATGAAGGTCAGTATGTCCGTCCACCTTAGTAATTTGAACTTCCTGTTGAAGCTTATCAGTACCAGAGATTTCGAATTTTAGCCTTCCATAACGCCTTACTCTGGCCCAGGTAGTGGTATGACATTCTATAAGATTATGCAGTTAGGACATCAATGGATTCTTAATCTAATAATTGTTGATTTCTACCCAATTGAAGAGACACAAAATCACTATTTCAGGACGTCAAAATATTATTCTGTCATTAAAACGTCATAAAAAAATTTCCGATTTCATACGCTGGTGGGTATACCCACGAGAAAAAAATTTCCACTAAAATACATACGTTGCTATGGTAATTTGTCAGGAAAAAAACAATTTAACTGTATAAAAATCACTGGTGTGGAATTTTCACGATAACACAAGTAGTCTCTGGCTTGTCAGATCATGTGATGAGTGAAAAAGTCGCTTTAATTTGCTACTGACGAATTATCAGTATGATACCGAATGATCTGCTAGAATTACGCATTGATATTCGTTGAAACAACGAAACCGTCACATTTTGACATGCGAAAAAAATAATAATTTCAATTTATTCTTCAATGATTCTATATGTTTCAGAAATCACATAGAAGATGCTGTTTCTCTAGGATACCCCATGATCATAGAAGACATAGCCGAAGAGCTGGATCCAGTTTTGGATAACGTGATGGAAAAGAACCTAATAAAAATCGGTTCCACCTACAAAGTCAAGGTCGGAGACAAAGAAGTCGATTTTAACAAAAATTTCAGGATGTACGTCACCACTCGTCTGGCCAATCCCATGTACACTCCTGAAATCTTCGCAAGGGCTTCCATCATAGATTTCACAGTAACGATGAAAGGTTTAGAGGATCAGCTACTCGGTCGAGTAATATTAACTGAAAAGAAAGAACTGGAAACAGAAAGAACGAACTTGATAAAAGATGCAACTGCAAACCGTAGGAAAATGTCAGAGCTAGAAGCGAATCTACTTTACAAACTCACCACAACTCAAGGGTCCCTACTAGACGATGACACTGTTATTGAAGTTTTGAACACAACCAAAGCCACAGCAAACGAAGTCAAGGAGAAACTGTCCATTGCAAAAGAAACCGAAATCAAAATCAACATAGCCAGAGAAGAGTTTAGGCCTGTGGCAGCTAGAGGAAGCGTTCTATATTTTCTGGTTGTGAGCATGGCTATGGTGAACGTCATGTACCAGACGTCTTTGGTGCAGTTTCTGGAACGATTTGATTTGTCTATGCTGCGTTCAGAAAAAACACCGCTCGTCTCAAAGTAAGTATTCAGTCTGGATTTTTATCGTCAATTGAAATGTGTTGCTTCACCCTTCTACAAGGAAGATGTCAAGAAGTTATATATCGCGCCTGGTATTATTACTTTGTACAGGGTTGATCGAAATGATATAGAGCTTTGTGAAGATGTCCTAAACTTGATAAAACAGTTATGAGCATAGAAGTTCATTCTCATATACTCAGTCGTATTACCTATATGATAAATGTTTGGGGATCTTGTTCAAAAAATCATTTCAGTAAAATATCTGCACATTATAAGAAATCACTGAAAGTATTGTATCGCCTCTCATTTGAAATCCCAACAAATGATCTGTATGCGATAACAGAAAAATTTACATTGTATGAATTGTATGAAATAGATTCTCTCAGAAATTCATGGTCATCATACGAGACAATTTAACTTTTTCCATCTTGATTCTGCTACTCCTATAATTGGCCAAGAAGAATTGACTCACGCTGCTCTTGCTGGATTCAATAAATTACCACATATTCCAAAATTTAAAATTGAATTGAAAAAACAGATGATTTCATTACGAAATGGATAAAATTGATACATTGCCATCTACTGATTAGTCCCTGTTGCTATTTTCATGACTTGATCGATTAGGCATTTTTAGATTTGTTTTTGTTGTTGTTATCACATTATGTAATTTTATTATTGTTGTTTGTAATCAACTTCCTCATACCAGATTTGTATTTCTGACTGAAAGCTATTTTCTCAATGAATAAACAATAGGTTGTGAGTCCGGGCCGCGATTTTCCTAAATATACTGCACGCTAGCACAAACCACGCCCACCATAATACGTCATATCTCATACTGTGCTCCAACGCAAGAACTGAAGCTTTCTCGTTGTCAATCTCTTGTACGCAGTAAATTCATACACCCAAATGGTCTACTGGTTAGCGCTGTCGACTCTCAGTCTGAAGGTTCATGGTTCGAATCGCTGTGAACTCGAACTTTTTTTTGCAAATTTTTTTTTTCACCAATGTTTTTTTACTTCATTCTGGTTTTCCTTTTTCATAAAATATTTGAAGTCAAATAGGTTAGTGCGTTTAGGATAAACAGTCTCATTTTATTCAATTTTGTTGAAGAACTCAACTTTTGAAATATATTATTAATCAATGTGTTTCTACACTCCATTCGGTTTTCCTTCCTCAAAAATATTGCAATCAGGGATAGGTTAGTTCGTTGAGGATAAATAGTCTCTGAGTTTTGCCTAAGTAAAGTACTTTGAAGATGAGATATAACGTGGTATGTGCTACTTTTTCAATCGATTTATTTATATGAATCAGCTACGTTGTGCTGTCAAAGATTAGATTTTGCAGGATTGTGCTGGGCTCGATTATATTTTGCAATGCCGTAGTAGGGGGCGTGTCTTATGCTGCAATATTTTATATTTAGTAAAATCGCGTCCGGGCCATATGACAGGCATAATGAAATTCAGGGAAAAAATGAAAGGTCGTTGGTGAAATTTCACACATCGTGAACTCTACTTTCAGACGAATCGTCAACATAATAGATTACCTAACTTACGAGATCTTCAAGTACAAGTCCAGAGGTCTCTACGAGGAACACAAATATATGTTTGTGTTGCTTATGACCTTGAGGATCGACCTCGAGCGGGAGAATATCACTCACGAGGAGTTTCAGAATTTCATCAAGGGAGGCGCTGCATTGGACTTGAACGCTTGCCCGGCGAAACCTGCCAAGTGGATCATGGATATGACCTGGTTGAATTTGGTTGAATTGTCCAACTTGAGGCATTTTCAGTACATCGTTCAGCAGGTATGTAATGCGAGATTTCAATATAAACAATAATGATAATATAATATAGTTAGATCACATGTGAACTATTATATTGTTGGATGCTTGGTATTTCTATCAGCAATAACCTTTATTGGGAAAATCACGTGAGATCAATTGCTAAAAGTGCATCCCGAAAACTTGGTTTTCTGTTTCGGGCCAGGAGCTATTAAACTTCCAGTCAGCTGCATATGCAACACTCAAACATACCCTGAAACTGTTGTATTCTGTCCAAAAAAGTGCAGTTCGTCTCGTGGGTGATGCCTCGCTCACAAACTCACTCACTTCTCTGGAACACCGTAAAAAAGTTGGTGATCTGGCTCTATTTCATAGATATTTCCATGGACGATGCTCTTCTGGAATATCAACAATTGTTCCTCTCTTGGCAGTCCCCGCGAGATTAACCCGTCGAATTCAGGCTTCGCACCCCTTCGTGGTCACTTTGGAGACCTGCAGAACATCTCTTTCCAAAGACTCGTTCATCCAACGAACAGCGAGGCTCTGGAACACATTGCCATGGAAAGTGTTCCCCGAGGCATATAACCTCAAGAAATTTAGGAAGAACACCTTATTTCCCTTGTTTCTCACGTTGTTCTCTGAACATTACAGGATATCCCTTTTCGTGGGAACCAGAACATAAAAATTACTCAGTACTCAATTCTTCGGGAATGATTTATTGAATTGAAATAGATCTTCCATCCGCGCTTACCCAAAGCGATCATCAAATCACCCTGTACAAATTGTATAATTATCGTTTATATTTCAGGTATCAGCAAATGACAAGCAATGGAAAGTATGGTTCGACAAGGACGCCCCTGAAGAAGCCATCATACCAGACGGATACAATTCTCTGGACACTTTCAGAAAGCTATTGATGATAAGGTTATTTAATTGTAACATTCATATAGGGTGTTCGTGAGTCCGTGTATAGCAATATATTGTGGACACAGTGCCATAGATTCCTCAGCTTTTCAAAATAAGTAGCTTTAACGAAATGTTTTTTTAGAGACGGAAGATCAAAATTATCTTCAACCACAACAGTGATGAAAGTTGATTTGTCGTTAGATGTCTGATAGATCCAAGATACAATAGATCATTAGATCATTTCTAAAATCTAGAAAATGCATTCTGCGTGTCCCCTTTTCTCTTCAACTTTTTTTCTGCATCCTGTGAACATGTCAAATTCACCATCATATGATTTTTTTTCTACATCGATCTGTTCTCAAGAAACGTCAAAGCATCTTTTATAGTTACCGCAAATGAATGTAGGTACTGGAAATGTACAAAGTCAAAATTCTACCTCTTTTTATCAATCATGAAGTGGATGAGTCAGGAAATTACAGAAAAAATTAACGTCGGAGCTACGGAGCTTGACTTCAGAATATGAATCATCGAAATCCTCATTATTTGTTTATCAGTGTGAATAAATTCAGGAAATCTCAATAATACCTAAGCAAACGATAACTGAAATATCTATAGTGACTTATTTCATGACTTGGTGTATCCTACGCCTCGTTAAAAGAATCAGATCTCGATCACTGAAGTAGCATTTCGCGCTCTAGATACAAAAATAACTATTTTTTCAATTCGTGAAAAACATAATCTCCAAATACAATTCGTGATTTAAGTTTCATCGGATACTTTTTTATGTTCACCACGCAGACTTCTTCATATGAGACAAATGCATTCACCAGACTATTGATTTCGAATTTGTTCGATGCTTTGGTGATGAGTGGACTGTATATTTAAGATTGTTTGATAAAAACTGATGAAATGATTAATAAAAGAGAAATTGCAATCGATTGCAATATCTCCTGAACTTCATTGACTAATTCTTATGTGTTGACAAAACGCCGTCATGTTAACAATAAATTAAATGTTATTTTATGAAGGATAATACAAGTACCAAATAACTATATAGGATCAAAGTACTAAGCATTATGTAGAAGCGCTGGTAGATGTAAAATATTCAAGGAACAACACAATACACCTTCGCATCGAGATGTAATTCAGACGAACAATTTACTTGCACCGAACATATTGATCCGGCTCGAAGGACCAATTTGATCGATGCTTTGGTGATGAGTGGACTGTATATGTTTGATTGTTTGATAAAAACTGATGGAATGATTAATAGAAGAGAAATTGCAATCGGTTGCAATTTCTCCTGAACTTTATTGATTAATTCTTGTGTTTCAACAACACGTCGTCATGTTAACAATAAATCAAATGTTATTTTATATGGGGTAATACAAGTACTAAATAACTATAAAGGGTCAAAGTACTAAACAGAATCAAAGGACTCGTGAGTTTATATCGGTTTGTTCTCACATCATTGCCAAATAAAGTAGTTTCAGTGGACAATAACAAATCACCGATGAAATTTGAAGTACTCATTATATTACTTCTGATGGTTTCCTTAAAATAGTCATAAAGGAGAATTAAACTTTCAATACATCGACTGATTTCATGTAGAGCCTGGTGTCCGGATAGAACCATCACCCAGAGCAGAAAGTACATAGCCAGCTCTCTGGGCCAGAAGTTTGCTGAGCCCGTCATATTGAACATGGAGACTCTACACAGCGAGTCGCGGCCTCTCACCCCGATAACTTGTTTCTTGAGCATAGGATCGGACCCGACTCCTTACATTGAGCAATTGGCCAAACGGCTGGAGCTCAAGAGCAAGTCGATATCTATGGGCCAAGGACAGGAGATACATGCCAGGAAAATGTTGACCCAGGCGATGTCCGAGGTGAGAAACTAATTTGAGGCTGATATCGATAAATCTACAAGGATGACTGGAGAAGCGACAACTATAGGTCGCGTGCACGATGACCGACCCTGGAGGCAAAATATTGAAACACAACCTCATTCTTCTGTGAATTATTGAAACACAACCTCACTTTTTTATTTGCTTACAGAGGAATCAAAGGATTGAAATAGTTTTTCACAATATTTTGGCATACGAATCGTGTTTCTTGCGTTATTCATTAATTCAAGCATGCCTTCGCATTGTGCTGTTGTGCAATGCACAAAAAATGCAGCAAGAGACTAGGGAATATGATTTTTCAGGTAAATATTAATCTCACATAATTATCATTATGAAATGTTGTCATTCCTTTTAAAAATTCCTTCTGCCACTTCTGTAATACAAGCTAATACTGCTAATAGATTGAAAATGTCTACAACACACACGATCGTCAGCATGTCAGACCAGTCCTCCCGATTGATTGCATGAATCCAATCTTCTTGCATTATTCTAGAAATTCCAGGTATATTTCTATTAGCTCTTATTGCAGAAGGAATTCCGACGAGAAATCAGAGAAATAACCAAATTTCAAAAATGAAAACTATATGTGAGTGACTATAGGAGGTACTTACTTTTAAATCATAATATACCATCCGGATTCCTTCATCTTCCGCTGCAGCTTTTGTGCATTTTACAACAGCACAATGTGATGGCATGAGCGAATTGATGAATAGCGGAAAAATACGATTCATATGCCAAAATAATTATGGAAAACTATTTCGATCACTTGTAAACAAATAAGAAAAGTGACGTTGTGTTTCAATGTTTTGCCTCCAGCGTCGGTCATCTGACGCAACCCATAGCCCACTCAATAACCTTATTGTAGTCATACAGATAGATCATAATTATTATTTTTGAATATATTCATTTTGTAGGAATTCGAAATATTTCGACTGTTTCGAGATGCAGGATTATAGGAAGCATGTGTTTGGCGGGACTTGCTTCGCTCGTCCCGTAATAACGTCCAATCGTTACACAAAATGACGCATCTCCCAACTGGTTACGTAAATTAAATATCTATTATCATTTCGGAAAAACAAAAATAGGCATTACAGATAATATTCATGGAATTGTAAACTTTTTCTTTCCTATTACCGTTATACCTGTGATAATTATCCTGGTGTTTGTAATGGGAACAATGAACATAATGAAGGAGGTTCAATTCATTGTGGAATCAATATAAAATGTCAATTTCAACACATAATCCTCCAATAATGGAAATAAATGATAAATAGAGAGCATAAAAACCTCAATCAATCATTTGATTTGACAATTTCATAATAATCATATTAAAAATAATTTCATTCATTGAAAACGAAACCTTTTCAATGGGGGACTTCGCTCCAATAGTTGCCAACCTAAGGACCTCTACCAATGTAGAAACAACATTATGGAAGTTTTTTTTATTTGAATTGTTTCATTTCGGTGGAATCTGATTGTAGGAGTCTACTCAGCTCACGAATAGAAGTTATTCAGAAGAAAAATTGATTTCTGTGAACTCCAGTTCTGATTAGTTGAAAATTATGTTGATGCACCTGCTTTCATTCTGAAATATGTCATATCGTCGTCAATTTTATTACTTTTCCTATTTTTGTAACGTATTTAAGATTATTTTATTTATGGACAATATTATTATTTATCATTATTAGGTAAAGAAGTTTGATCGTTGCAGTAGGAAGTAGGAATATATATTTGAGTGCTTATAAATCGATCCGGACATGACTTATAGTTAGAATAAAATGATGAAGTTTCAACCTTCTGAAATGAAGAATAACCCAAGGAAGTAAAGACACTTCCTTGGGTTATTCTTCAGTGGATGAAACCATAACTGTTTAGCAACGAAGAAATCACAGTCGATATCATAAATAAAAATACTAACATGCCTATGTAATAAGAAGCGTTCTTTTAGTAAGACCACCGACTTAGTAAGCAATAGGGAAAAGGAATCGTTCAATAAATACTTTAAAAGCTTACATCACACGTTGGATAAAAACTGGTCGAAGTTTCTAATAATAGAGATAGAGATAGAACAATATCAAAATGAGATACTTTTATTCAAATACTTAGACAGATTGTTTATTGGTAGCAGAAATCAAAAGACTATTCGAATATCACAATATTTATTATAGCATGATATACCTATTATGGGTAGTGAGGAAATATAAATAAACAGAAATGATTATAAAGACCTAATACCAATGTGGCTTCTTGTCCTTGGACCTATGTAAGGCATTTGACACAGTAGATCATACAATTTTACTAAATAAATTATATTCAATCGGCGTCAGAGGAAGAATTCATGATTGGTTCACACATTATTTGACAAATAGAAAGCAGTATGTTGAAGTGAATGATCTTTCTGGCTCACTAAAGAATATTACATGTGGAGTACCGCAAGGATCAGTTCTGGGACCAATTTTATTTTTAATTTATATCAATTCAATATCAACTCTGAAATTGAAAGGAAAGCTAAAATTATTTGCGGATGATACAACATTGATTTATATATCCAAAGAATTAAATGATATTGAACGGGATATTACAAGTGATTTGGAAAACATATCATCTTGGATGCAAATTCATAAGTTGACTCTTAATTATAACAAATCTTCATATATGTATATTTCTAAAAGATCAGTTAATATTTCGAATAATGCTATAACTTTCAACAATAGATTAATTAAATATACAGACGTGACAAAATTTTTAGGTCTCTATATCGACGAAAAATTATTATGGACTAAACATATAGACTATTTGAGAAATAAAATAAATCCGATCATAGGCATTTTATTCAAAATCCGAAATATTATTCCCATAAAATACTTGAAATGTATTTACTTTTGCCTCATTTATTCAAATTTGCAATATTTAATTTCTATTTGGGGGAGTACAAATATATCACGTTTGAAACCACTAATGAAATTACAAAACAAATCAATTAAGTGCATTTTTCATCTACATTTTCTAGAACCAACGATAAATTTATACAAACCAAGACATTTTCTGAACCTGATTTCGTTATATAAACTTAAAATATGTTGCTTTATTCATTTTGCCAGGAATAAGTTGAAAATATCAAATTTAGCTTTCAATGAAGTCAATACAGTCCATAATTATGGGACTAGACAATTGAATTACTTGATTGCAAATACATTCAAGTCAAACATTGGCAAACAATCTGTTTTTCACAATGGAATAATTTTATACAATTCATTACCGAATGAGTTAAAAAATATGCATGATGCAAGAAGGTTCAAAATCAATCTTAAAAAATACTTGCTCAGGACAATTTGAAAGAAAAATATGTGACATGATTTGATTACTTAGGAATGAAATATAACTTTAATCTTATAAGACACAATATTAATTCGTTTCCACTGAGTGGAATTCATTATAGTTAACCCTTTATTATTATTTTTTTATATGTATTTATGTATCCCTATCATAAACAGAAATGTTTCTTGGGGTAATAAAGACAATCAATCAATCAATCAATCAATCAATCAATCAATGTTATGTTGATTACCATTACGACGAGTCGAGAGTAGCACCAGACCAGATAACTTGGAACCCTCAGATCCAGTTTATTATAGCTTTGCACGTTTCTCATGAGATTTTCTTGATCATTATTCTATAAGGAAAACATGTAATGGTTTGATCAAAAAAGTTTATTCAAAATGCATAACTATGTACAAAACTATTTATTATAAATGGTAAAAGAACAATTACTACAATTTGTAATATTAATATAATGGCACAGCACAGCTCACTCACCTACTAATATTTGAAACTACATAATACTTACTCCTTTAAAAATAGTTGTCATTGTGACATGTCGAAAATGCAGTTTTTAATTTTTCGAAAATATATTGATATAAATGCCATCAGATAAAAAATTTTGTATGTAATACGAATCATAAACAATCATTATGGCACACGCCGTGTTATCGGACACAACATTCACGACTTGTACCATAATGATCGTCTTTGTGATCCTTATTACATAAATAACTATTATGTATCCCTATCATAAACAGAAATGTTTCTTGGGGTAATAAAGACAATCAATCAATCAACATTACATATGATAAATCATTTTTAACTCGTGGCACTACTGACACTATTGAAAGTATTGACATGTATTGACATTTCAGTATTGATTGAACATGATTTTCGACCAGTCAGATTTGTTCACAAAAACTATTTTTTCTTCTGAATAACTTTCATTAGAAAGCTGAGTAGACGCCTACAATCAAATTGCACCAATATAAAGCAATTTGAGTAATCATAATATTGCATCCACAGTGGTGGAGGTTGTTTGGTTGGCAACTTGGAGCGAAGTCCCCCATTGGAAGTGTACGTTGCACGAGACGACTACAATGACAAATTGACAAATGCACTTTCTCTGACCGTACTGACACTTCCCAACCTTCAATAACGTTAGTAATGACAACATTATATGAATGGTTGTAAATAAACGGTTATCTGTTTGTGAGGGTCTTGTCCAATAATCTTTCTTTCCCTAGATTATATAAACTTCCTATCAGAAAATTTCGAAATAACTTTATTCGGACTCTATCAGAATATTCATGAAATATTAGGTGCCATCTTGAACTCAATTCTAGAATAAACGATCCCGTATAATTCCAGGGTTATTGGGCTCTACTTCAAAACTGTCACTTATCCCTGGACTACATGAACGAAGTCCTCGCCCAATTCCTCGAATTGGAAAAGGGCATCGGCTCCACCCACCCGGACTTCCGGCTGTGGATAACCACCGAAGTGAACCCGAACTTCCCTATCAACTTGCTCCAGATGTGCATCAAGTTCACGAACGAAGCTCCGTCAGGAATTCGAGCTGGTTAGTACGGTAACAATAGGCGAGTAGACAATTTTTTTTCTCAGATAGAATCATCACTCAAATACCTTTCGATTTCATATTTTTTTAGAATTTTTTGGTCGATTGTTAGGTGCTAAAATCATCAATTATACCATGGCAACTTTCAAACGGATAGAAGTTTACCGCGAGCGAGTAAAAACTGACCTCACAACTAAATATTATTTATTCAAACTATGATAAATTCTCAATTATGAATTGGTGATACTCCAATTTAGCAATACAAAATCAATTGTCTCAAAATGTTTCCTTATGATTTGTGGCATATCGCTTTTGACACAATTTTGTAAATAGTAATTATATTAATTCACACTAGAGAATTTGAAGGGGTGAACGTGACAACACGGCGCGCACGACTCGTGGGCGTGGTCTTGTCCCTTCTCAGCATTCAGCACAATGTTGCCAAGTCTCCAACATTCACATGAAATTTTGTTATGGAGTATTAGAAATATTTGGACATGCTGATGGTTACTCGAAAGAGTCAATAATGAACTAAAATATCATGGGTTCCTCCTATTATGTTTTATTGAACGACAGGACTCTTACGTCTTTTTGATAACTTGATTATAATTGGTGACTCGACAACCTTGCCTCGTGAAAAAATTGTTCATTATACAGGGCATGTCACGACGAGCTGACACTATCTTCATATCAAAAATCAGTTACAATAAACTCATGAAAATGTGGATGCTTATACATATTTGAGATTACGCTCTGAAATATCTTTGACAATGCACTGTTGCCGCTTCTACTAGGAAGAAGGAATTAGGAATTACTGTCTGATCATTCATGTCATTCCTACTAAAAAATGAATCATACTTTATATTTAATTTGTATAATATGTATCAATGTAGAAAAAATGTAACGCAATAAGTGAAAATAAATTAAAACAAGAATAAATAAATAAATATTTCATTGCATTTGTAGATTCTCCCTATATCACACTTGAGATCTAGCGGGATTTTTTTGTCGAAACTATTCATTATTGGTCATAATGGCTTATGTCCCTATATTAACTTTTGATTTACCATATCTACTGACATTCAATTGAAACAAATACAGGGTTGTTCCAGATTCAGAATTCACCCTGTGAAATTTTTCATCACATTTAGAACTCATTACGTGTTCAATATCGATAAAATATGTTTTTTTAAGAAAAACATATACAATCAGATAAAATGTTTGACAAAACGATGATATCTAGAAATTTGTAACACTCCGTATGATAGTATATATATATGGTCAAATATGTTCGAAAATTCTTATCTATCGCCCCCTTGAAAATCAAAGTTGCTACTACTTGCTGATAGAAGTGGCAACACTGCATTGTCAAAAATATTTTCGCTGGGTAGAGAATATCCGAATATGCTCTTCATCAAATTCTCAAAGTGATCAGATGTCTGGTTCACTAGAAAGTCTGATACGCCATCCATTGTGAATCAGCCTGTTTACTAAACATATCCTGCAAGTATCATACTTTTCTCACCCAAATTTTCCACATTAGGTCTGCTGCGAACCTACTCGTCGATGAACCAAGACCTCCTGGACTATTCGGACGCTTGGCAATACATCCCGTTGGTGTACGCGATTTCGTTTTTGCACACGGTGGTCCAGGAAAGGAGGAAGTTTGGACCGTTGGGATGGAATATTCCGTATGAATTCAACTCGGCCGATTGGTTGTCCAGCGTTTTGTTCCTGCAAAATCATTTGGACGACATCGATCCTAAGCGAGGAATCAGTTGGCAAACTCTCAGGTATACTGCTGTTTACGTGAATCAATATGCTCGAGTAGGTAAGTTTAATCATTCGCCATCGCTCAACCAGACTCCTGCAAACGTCTTCTTGCTCCAACTAAAACACTGTGGAAGACTGCATACATATTCGAGCTCCTGTGCAGACCTCTGTTGTAACGCAGCAATGATTAGACTGATTTTTTTGTCGAGGTGGTTGAAATCCTTTATGGACAACATATGGGTCTAATCCACCATCTGTTTGGTATTGGTATTGGTAAGTGTGGATAGTGACAGATACGCTGCGACCTGATTAGATCTATTGTGCCCCATCTTCTTCTGCTATCTCAAAGTTTTCTTGTTTATAGCAGCCTCTCAAGCTTCAATTCTTTTAGGAATTTGAGGATTTTGAGGGGATCTGTTTGTGGTATTTCGTCCACGATCAGCTGGTATGCTCCCAATATATTCGAGTACAGCAAAACACTCCAGCAAGATGTGTGTTTCTGGATGTTCTCCGCAGAATCTGCAGGTGTTTCTTTAAGCCAAGCATCCTTAGGTTTTCTTTGAGTCTACAATGCCCCGTTAAAAATCCCGTTATTGTTTTGAGACTTATTTTGCTGAGATTGATCAGTTCCTTCGATCTTGCTCGGTAGAAATTTCCGAGGAGATCTTTGGCCTGCCGCAGTCCTGGAAGTCTTCGCCAGTGTGTTGCTCTCATTGCTTCGTCAGCTTTATCAAGTTCTTCTTGGAAATGGGAATTTCCAATGCCGCAGAATGGTTCTGGTCCAATCAGTGGCATTGATGATTCCCATATTCACAAGTTGTGAGCCCCTGAGGGCTGATTAGACTGATGATTGTAGGTTAATGAAAGTTATTGTTATGAGCATGGTAATTCTTGCATAATGGGGTGTTATATTGGGTGTTGAATTGATTTGAAATGCTCGAAATGTAATCACTTGTTTAGGATCGTCTATTCACGGGCATTTTTTCCATTTGATGAAGGAAACGTACACTACAGTGATTTTTAAATTTCATACCAACTCAGGAATGCCTGGAATTCATCGTTCTTTCAATATTTAACGTATGATAGTGAATACTCACTATAGAACTATCATGCATAATCCCTGATTATTTTCATAGGTACATGCTAGGAGAAGTCCACTATGGAGGAAGAGTAACAGACGACTTCGACAAAATATTGTTGAACACTTTCTGCCGTGTATGGTTCAATGATAACGTTTTCAATGATGATTTCATGTTCTACAAGGGCTACAAAATAGTGAGATTCAAGAACATATCGGATTATGTAGCACACATTGACACTTTTGCCGCTACTGACCCACCCCAAGCATACGGACTCCATTCGAATGCAGATATAACGTAAGATAATTATTTCATTTCTACGATATGAATCAGTGAAACTGCCAACGGTAATACCATGATTCCTCGCGATACTATCGGTACGTAGTAATTCTGTCAGAAATCAACGAGATCCAATTGCTTGCTTACAACACGAGTACGAAATAATTTGATCGAGTTCGAGATTTCTGACAAAATTTTGGATAGTATCATGAGCTCGAATTGTATTTATTATGGAAATTCCACGACCTATGTCAGGGTAGGAGACCACTTCTCTTAGAAGTATGAGAAAAACAATATATATAGTTCCCCCTAATATAAGACAAAAATCCCAAAAACAACTGATAAAAATGACACATTCAAGGTATCAGACCAATAGTACAATAGCAATGTTTGATCAAATGCTTGCCATCCAACCCAAAGAATCTGGTGGAGGTGGAGGAGAATCGAGAGAGACCGTAGTTGGGAGGCTTGCCAGTGAAATGCTATCCAAGTTACCGAACAACTATGACCCTTTCGAAGTGAGAGATAGGTAAACCTCCTAATATTCCGAAAAATTTTATGAATGAAATATTGTAGCAATGTTATATCAATTCAACCGCCCCTCTGTAAATATTTACGAGATAACTGGAATTTGGTCTATACGGCACGACGTTTGTTGAAATCATCTTATATTCTATCATGTTCTTTCAGATTGAGAGCGATGAATCACTTGAATCCACTGAATATATTCCTGAAACAGGAAATTGACAGAATGCAGAAGGTCATCACCCTTGTTAGAGCTACCCTCAGAGATTTATTGTTAGCTATCGAAGGAACCATCATCATGAGTGAGGTTAGCGATGTCATTATCTACATGTCGTGTTTTGGAAATGGCATCCGTTTAAGTAAATTACAAAAAATGAGACAACAGTCGACACCTAAAATGATTTTCGACTCGGTTCAACATCATCGTAATAAGTGAACCACAACGGATAAGATTTTGTTTTATCAGTTGCATTTGTTGTCTAAATCACAAGTTCATTAATCAGTTCCTGAGTGCTTTCTCAAAGTTTGGCAACAGCTTCTGGTCAAGCAATTACAAATTTTGAATAAATTGACAGGGACTCGAATGCAGTAGTACTACATCCGACTGCATCCTTTTTGAAATCTGAAAATATGAATAATTTCAAGAGTTGCGATGATTTTTTTAGGCTTTGGGTGACGCTCTAGATAGTATATATGATGCCAAAGTGCCCCATATGTGGCTGAGAGGCTCATGGGCTGCCAGCACCTTGGGATTCTGGTTTACCGAGTTGATGGAAAGAGACGCCCAATTTAGAACTTGGTGTTTTTCTGGCAGACCAGCCTGTTTTTGGTTGGCTGGCTTCTTCAATCCACAAGGTTAGTGTTATCAAAACATTTCAAACGCAATGGTAAATTATTTTTCAAAGAATCACTTATATGGAAAAATCACCGATCGATTAGCAAGATGACCTTGACAAATTTCAACCCAACAAATTTCTTTATTTTCTAGGATTCTTGACTGCTATGAAACAGGAGGTTGCAAGAGCTCATAAGGGTTGGGCATTGGACCAAGTAACCTTATTTAATGAGGTTACTAAGAATGCTAGGGAAGAGGTAGCTCAAGGACCACCAGTATGCAACCTCTCCTTGTGTTTGCCAATTTTGTTTCCTCACATGTAGTTTTTTTTTCAGGAGGGAGTTTTTGTCTATGGACTCTTCTTAGATGGTGCTGGATGGGAGAAGAAACATGCACGACTTGCTGAGTCTACGAATAAAGTACTCTACACCCTTATACCAGTCGTACACATTTTCGCTGTCTACTCGACTGATTCTAAGTCACCAAGTCTTTATGTGGTAAATATCCAACCAGTATTCCATAGATAAAGGGGTTCAGGGTTCGTGATAGGTATTCGATTCAAGAATCATCAGAGGTTTCAGTCTCGTTATTTCAAGCTATATCTCGCATTCCTACCTATAGTTACTAACTATGATCATTCATTTTAATACTCAGTAGAAGCCTTGTAGAAGATTAATTACTCTGAAAAATGGATCGATGGGACTGCTATCATGTATCGATAATCAAATATACTTTTACCTCTAAGTTGAGTATATGGCAACTTCGTTTTGCTCGTATCAGTTCAGGTTGGAGGTCACCTGCAACTAAAAATGTTTCTACATCGTATAGGGAAGCCTTTTATGAAAAAGAAATTGTAGTTGTCTCTGGCTAATTCTTTCCATCATGCTATCCGATATCAATTGAATGGTAGATTCCAAAAACATACCTGTGTCATCCCTCAGAGTCTACGCCAAATCCACGGCACATCGATTTATTTGATGCTATTATTCCCGAAATACTTTTGTCATGTGATAACGAGTTGAATTCAGTTGAAACAAGAAGCAATAAATAAAAGGATATGATGTCGCCTTTGCGAATATCCAAACGTGCTGCGATTCAAACTGATCGAAGTCAGTGGCAGAGCGGATATTATACTGATGTAAAGTAGGTATAATACGGTATAATACCCGAATTCCATGCCCCCCTTGACAGAAAATTGTGCTATCTGGATAGTAACCGAATAATGGAAGTGGAATATCTTTTCACCGATCTATAACCAGTATTTGCACAATATATCTTGCAATTCTCATGTTTCTCCCTATTCAATAATTCCTTATCTGTGTGGTGGTCGGATTAGAATAACCCCACGGTAAGTCCTGCCTGTCGTAGAAGGCGACTAAAAGGACGCCAATAGGTGGAAGATGGTTAACGCCATCGCCCGGTGCGATACCACCACATCAACCATAGGCACTGTGAAATGGGTATATTTACCCGTGTTTCAGTAGCTGGTTGATGTTCCGGCCAACCCAACCCAACCCAATTTTCTTTTCCTTTCACGCCAACCTCCCTGCTTTATACAGAATACGCGATGATGAGTTCTCCTCAAGTGAAATTATCCGGAAGTAAAATACCTCTCCATTCGGATTTCCGGGCGAGAGGTGCTAGAGGGGGTTCACCATCGGCTCAAAAAGTCCTCAAGATAGACCTATGCAACATCCGAGGTCTAAGTAAGAACATCAACGATGTCCATCGACACCTTCAAATTGAAAAGCCAGACATATTAGCTCTTACTGAGACACAGGTCAATTCATCCACCAATACGACCTATCTGCTCTGTCCTGGGTACGAACTCCACACACGTTTCAGATTCAAGGGAGGTCTCTGCCTCTACTCTAAAACGAATCTCTCATGTCAACGAGAAAAAACTTTGGAACCAAATAAGTTTGATGTCATGTGGTTCAAACTCGATAGCCAGAAACAGACCAAATACCTTTGTTGTCTCTACTTATCACCAAATGATCCATCCTATGAAGAGCTCTTCGAATTCTTGTCTCTGAAGCTTGACCAAATTCAACAGAACCATCCAGCAGCAGAAATCATCATCATGGGCGATTTCAATGTACACAACACTGCTTGGCTCGTACACTCTAACAGAACGGATGAAGCTGGGCGACAAGCCGAAGCTTTCGCCATCACTCACGGCTTAGAGCAGCTTATCAAAGAACCCACACGAATTCCCGATGCCAATAACCATTCAGCTAACATACTTGACTTATTCCTCACTAATAATTCAGCACCCTACACCATAGATGTACGAGCTCCACTTGGCAATTCTGACCACACACTCATCTCCACAACCTGCCCATTTTTCATTCCATCAACTGCTCCGGCACCCGCACGTCTTATATGGCATTACAATTCAGCAGATTGGGACGGTCTCCGCATGTTTTTCTCCGAGTTTCCTTGGCATAGAGTATGCTTCGACTTTGAGGACCCTTCACAGTGTGCTGCGGAAATATCCGAGATCATCATGCTCGGAATGGACACATACATACCTCATTTTTCGAAAAGACCATCACCTTCGAAACCCTGGTTCAACAAAAACTGTTCTAGAACTGTTGCCTTGAAACAAACAGCCTACCATCGCTGGCGCAAAAACCTTAACCTCTCGACTAGAGCAGAATACGTTGATGCCAGGAATAACTGCAGGCAAACAATAGATGCTTCGAAATAAGGAACATACAATGCCAAGATAAGATCGAAACTCATAGATTGCCCCAATGGCTCCCGTTCGTTTTGGTCCCTTGCTAAAGCGGTCGGAAGAAATTTCACTAATAGTTCATTTCCACCACTGTCCAAATCCGACGGTACATTAGCAACAACATCGCTGGAGAAAGCGAATATTTTTGCAAAGATGTTCGCAGCAAACTCTACTTTAGATTCCCAAGGAAAACTGCCGCCAGACATTCCACCCGTCGAGAGTCGAATGCCCGAAATCGTCTTCCGTCAACGCACTATCAGACGAATTTTGCTTGGTCTCAAAACGAATAAGGCTAACGGTCCTGATGGAATTCCACCCATTATCCTCAAAAAATGTGCACCAGAATTAACACCGATTCTCTGCAAGTTGTTTACCATCTCGTACAGGTCGGGTATTTTTCCATCATGCTGGAAGACAGCTAGAGTCCAACCAATCCCCAAAAAGGGGAACAAGAACCTGCCCAACAACTACAGGCCCATTGCCCTGTTATCAGTAATCTCCAAAGTGATGGAGAAAGCCATCAATATTGAGCTTATCAAATATCTGGAGAGCTCAGGAATCATCAATGATAGACAATACGGCTTTCGCCACCGAAGATCTACTGGAGATCTACTTGCCTACGTCACCCATTTATGGCAATCTTCAATAGAAAAACACGGGGAATCTCTAGCTGTCGCGTTGGACATATCGAAGGCATTCGACCGTGTTTGGCACGAAGGACTCCTCCACAAACTACCATCATACGGCTTACCACCTCAGCTATGCCATCTCTTATCGAGTTTTCTTTCAGGCAGATCGCTTCACGTGGTGGTGGACGGTGTATCGTCTGATACCATTGGCATCAATTCCGGCGTTCCACAAGGATCAATTTTGGCACCAACATTATTCCTGCTTCATATCAATGATCTGTTGGGAGTAACAACTTGTCCCATCCACAGCTTTGCAGATGATAGTACCCTCCATACTGCGTTCTCTTCCAGAATTCCCATTTCTTCCCAGGAAACTAAGAACTCACGGCGCAGGCAGGTCAATGCTGTCAATGAAGATCTTGCTGAAATCACAGCCTGGGGAACGAACAACCTAGTTGAATTCAACGCCACCAAAACTCAAGCCTGCATTTTCTCTAGAAAGGCGGAACTCAGTATGCCCGATATTGTGATGTCTGGCTCCACCATCCCCACCAAGCCCACCATATCTATGCTCGGTATTTCCATCAGCAACACCCTTTCATGGGATAATCATGTCAGATCCATCGCAAAAGCTGCTTCACAAAAACTCGGATTCTTGTTCCGTGCGAAAAGCTACTTTACACCTCAACAGCTTCTCATGATCTACAAAGCGCAGATACGACCTGTTCTAGAATACTGTTCCCACATATGGGGTTCAGCACCAAAACATACGCTGATGCTCTTAGATTCCATCCAGAGAAGAGCCATTCGCCTGGTGGGTGACGCCACACTCACTCACTCCTTGACATCATTGGAACACCGTAGAAAGGTCGGCGACCTTTCACTTTTCTATCGATACTTCCACGGGAAATGTTCTTCGGAAATCTCTGCAATCATCCCTTCACTAGCAATACCAATCAGACGAACTAGACAAGCCCAGTCAGCACATCCTTTCGTCGTCAACCTCGAAAGATGTCGAACAGCACTTTATCAAGACTCCTTCATCCATAGAACGGCTAGGCTCTGGAATTCATTGCCTGTGGAAGTATTCCCAACAACATATAATCTCCAAAAATTCAAAAAAAATTCCAATACCTACCTCCTCTCCCTATCCTCCCTAGGAACGCACGATGTTCCTTGAACATTATAGGGATTCCCTTTCGTGCGCTCCAATCGATAAAAAAAAAAAAAAAAAAAAATCCACACATCGAATTTTCCAGTTTCTGTGCGCAAAAATCCACAATAACTATCACTGACTCATGAATCATGATATATTGTGTAACAATATTGACAATAACTCTTGGAATAATTCCTCCTTAGTTTTATTACTACTTCTCAATAGTTCAGTTTTTTAAATTCTTGTTAGCCCTTCTACGATTTCGCTTTTTTTTATATTGAAGATCCCATTTCTATCCGCACTTTTATTTGCAGTGCCCTGTTTATAAAAAATCTCGAAGGACTGGTCTGAACTACATTGTTTGTTTGTATCTGAACACTGTGAAGCCCCCAGAACATTGGTGCCTCAGAGGAACAGCTCTGCTTTGTGATATTCAATGAACGTTCATGTTATTTTATAATATATTTAGGTACCTTTTTATTAATATACGGTTATTTCTTCTGTTGTTATTCTTTTCAATGAATACAAATAACGTCATATAATCTGAGAGGCGAGCGACATAAAATAATAATAATAACTCTTGAACTAGGGCCTTGATTATATACACCGATCAAGGGCTAACTCCATAACAGACTGGTTCTGGATGGCGCCTACAAAATCATCAGGAGCTCGAATCTCCTCCTGCAAATGGTTAAATCACATAAAGGAGCTGGAGTAGGAGCTTTATTTCTTTTCTTTCTTTCTCACTTTCGCTCTCCTAAAGTTAGGTGAGCTCGATTCGGAAACAGGAGGCGCCCGAAACACTCATGCACCTGCTGTCCACTTGCATGGTGTATTCAATATCGCCTACATCCATAGAGACAATGCGACATTGCGAGTGCTTTTTACTATAATTTGAGGTACTCATACGGAATCCAGTGTTGTGTTGTCATCTTGCAATATGATCCGGGGGATATTGAGTCTGTTGTGGAGAATGAGAGGTGTCGAATTTATTTACTGAAACTTCTCATTCCTCAACCTCATCAGGCGAATACAATTGAGTCAACAATAGCTTGATGTAGTCCTCCTCGACCATCAAATCAAACCAAAGTGATGTTTGTGATTGAATTTTCGGCGCCAGCCGAACCGAACATCTCTTTGAAGGAGGAGGAGAAGAGAACTAAATAGTCTTCAAACTCCGCAGGCTCTATCCAGATCATTCTTTGGAACTGGTCCTCTCCTGATAATCGGCTCTCTAGAGGTGGCTCACGACATACGCTGCTCTCGAAAATCCAGAGAATTCCATCTTGCCGTAATGATGAGGCACCCAGTTCAGCTGGTGAGATGCAGAAGGCCGTCATATTCGGCTTATTAGGCTTACTCAGGGCATATATGAAACACGGATCACTTACAACCCCATAGGCTGTGGAGAGTGGTCACTGAAATAGATTAAGCTCGACTCTGCGTGACGTCGGAGAGACCACAGAGTCGTGACTGAAATGATTATGAATTCAATATAATGCAGAAATTGCACCCTTATGTATATCACGGGAACGAGTGTTCGTCCTGGAAAAGAATTCCTGTATAAGAACCTATATTTCTTTTGAAGGAATATGCGCTCGTGATTTTTTGGCGTGTACTTTCTGAACATCTCGCTTACACATATCAGATAAAAAAAGGTCCTAAATCAAAGGAAATATGGCTGAATTCAGAGAAAAAAGTCTTAAGGGCGCCGTACATTATGCTATTTACCAGCAAGTTCGATGCAATGCAATTTTGAATCGAACAATGCGCATGCGTCTATGATATTTCACGGCAAGTTTCATGCAAGTTTCGTAATAGAAACAGTCCCATTTTTCCTGCAATTTCAAGGCAAGTTTAGTGAAATTTTTAGTAATATTCATCGAAGCATCTTGAAAAATACAAATTTTCTCCATAACGTGTCCTGAAACACCAAATAACCTCAAAAGTACATTGAAGGCTCAAAAAACCTGAAAATAGTGAATATGAACAAGAAAATATGACAGAAATATCTCAATGTACGGCGACTTGCAATAAATTGAGAAAATTGCGAGAAAATTGCATTGCCTCAAACTTGCCGAGAAATAGCATAATGTACGGCGCCCTTTATTCCAGAGATGGAATAAAATACAGAGATGCTTTGTTTCTATGCTTTCGTATAGAATTCGTACTTCTTGTGTATGTGTATATAGGTGTATACATCAGGGTGTTCCAAAAATACACGGCAAACCCATAACACTAGAACACTCTGCTTAACAGATATCGAAGAAAAGTCTGAATTCAGAGATGGAATAAAATATACACAACAGTGGCCTTTGTACGCTTTCGTGAAAATATTAACCTTGAAGTCAGCGCCAGCGACAGCCACTAAACATTCCTGCCGCGATTCCTGCTTAGATTCAGCTGTGGTGTGATTGACAGAACTCTTGGTTGACAGCATGACAGCAGTCACCGAGTCCAATTCAACCACAACTGACAGTGACAGTTTTGTGTTTTGGTTTTGATTATTGGAGAATCGCCGGAGTCGCCGGTCCAGTTCCTGAATTTTTTATTGATCAGATTTTATAACATTGTAAATTTTCAATAATAATTCTTGTTGTATACGCCCAAACACTACAAAAATGTCCCTATTTCCATTGGAATCAAACCCAGAGGTAAGTTTTACATCTTTGATATGATTGATATCATTATTTTGATCATTTGTTTTTTGTAGGTGCTGAACAAGGCGAGTATAAACGAAAATTGAATGCCTAATATAATATTTTCATTTTCGAATAAATTTTAGTTCATCCACTTGTTAGGAGTTCCTGAAAAAATTAAAATCGAGGATGTATATGGCCTTGATAATGATGCACTGGCTTGGGTACCTCAACCTGTCATAGCAATGATCTTACTATTTCCTTGCAGTGATAAGGTAGTACACTAAATTCAATTAGTTCATTTAATAATGTGCCTTCAACCTTATAGTACTATGAATATGTAGAAAAGGAAAAAGAATTGCTGAAGGAGAAAGGCCAAGTAAATTCCCCCAATTTATGGTTCATGAAACAACAGGTCTCAAATGCTTGTGGTACCATTGCATTGATCCACAGTATTGCAAATAATATTGACAAGTAATACTCAAAACAAACTCATGAATATTATGGATATTTCCGCAAATTTGATATTTGCAGGATCCAATTAGAAGATGGCATTTTCAAAAAATTATTGGAAGAATCTGAAGGAAAAACTCCAGATGAGAGAGGAGAAATGTTAGCAAAGGCTGGCAGTGGATCTGAAGCTTTTAAACTGATTGCTGCTCATCAGGAGCTTGCTAGAGAAGGGCAAACTGAGGTGAGTTTGTATAAATGTTTTTATTTATTCCTCACATCATTAGAGGAATATACTGTTGGTCTCCAACTATATGAATATACAGTTGAGAATATCAATAAAACAGCTACAAATATTCATGAATAATCATTTAATTCTGATCATTCTGATTGTGAACATTGTGGTGAATCAGATTATAAACCTTAATTTGATCAAACTACTAATTTTTAAAACTGCATGATCAATCATCACCATATGATATTTTGAGAAAATGAGTTATATTCTAAGAACTGAATAAAATTGACAAGGACTCAAATGCTCTTTCATTTTGATACTTGAAAATAAATGCACTAACAAAAGTACTGACAACTTTTAAAATTCCTGATTTTACCTAGTCAGTGGTAACATCAGGTTGCAGAGCAATTTGTTGATACAGGATGTACAAATTCACTAAAGAAAACAATTCATAACACAATGACAGAACAAAATATTTAGGGGAACTTATAATATTTTAGGATTTTGCTTTTTTGGTTATTTTCTCTTCCAGTGTCATTCCACTCTGCTATATGTTGTTCATTTTCAGTAAAGATATTTAAGACTGAAAATACTATTATATTAATTCTTACTCAAACAAAGCCAAAAAATGAAGAACTATCATGAAAATTACAATAATGGACAAATAAACTTAGATGAATAAGAAATACATGGTTAATTTCCAGGTTAATCCCAATGAACAGGTAAATCACCATTTTATCAGTTTAATTGAAAAAGATGGTGAATTATATGAGTTGGATGGGCGAAAAGAGTGTCCTATAAATCATGGCCCAACTTCAAAAGAAACATTTTTACAGGTAAATCATTTCATTATCTCAAAACTTTTCTAAGGATCCATGACAAGAGCTACTTGGTATTTGACTTATCATCCTAGCTTCATGGACTGTATGTACTTTTAAATTGACTTCCAAATAACCTATAGAATGACTTATAGTTTGACACCCTGTATATTGAACATGGGTAGAACATTATTTTATTAGGATCAACAGTGACATGCTTGTCAAACAAAGTCACTTTTGATCTGAATGAAACATGCTATTTTTTCTGCAACCCAAAGAATTAACTAATATATTTACATATATAAGTAAAGTAAACACCAATGTGACTCACTTGACAGAATATAATAATAATATGAGTAAGTAGATAGAAGCAAGACCTCAGACTACTTTACTTTCTTACAATTTTTTGTTGACATTCCTACCTATACCCTAAACGTGGATGCCGTGCCATATTTATGCAATGCAACAAAATAATCCGTGTGGTGAGAATATTCTATCTGCATTTAAAGATCAGGTTCATTCAATTTTCAAGGATGTTCAAATTATAGTTTCAATATAAATACAACCACAGGGCGTATTCTATTGAATCAATGAATTCATTTGGACCAGGTGCCACCCCTTATAGCAAATACCGCGCAAGTGTGGTGTATACAAAAAGAAGTTGAAAATGTTAGGTTAGTGAGCATAACAACAAAAATAATAGCGATAATTTATTTCTCTTCATTTTCCACTGTGTTTGGCTCGGTAATCAAATGAAGGTAAACAATATCGTTGTGTGAGACAAAAAGGTATTGCTGACCATGATTATTCAAAAACAAGTTATCCAATCAATCAGATCCCAAGAATTACGAATGAAATACAGATCAAGCAAGTATGTGGATCTTGAAGGCTTTCCTGAACAAAACAAAAATACTTACCTATATGTTGTATTTACATCTCCAGCTTGGGTATGAAATGCCAAATCTATCTAGATACAGGGTGGTCAAAAATCTTAATTCTGAACCACCCTGTATTTATTTCAATTAAATATCAATTGATAGTACATGAAAAGTTAAGATAGGGACATGGAAACCGTTTTACCAATCATGAATAGTTTCGACACAAAAAAATTTTCAAATTTGAAAATTTTCGATTTTTCACACCCTATATCTTTGTTATCATTTCCGCTAGACCGCAAGTGTGATAGATCGATGAAATCAGCTCTTCAGGGAGAATCATCTGAAAATGGAATGATATTTAGGGTGCTCCATTGAAATAACCAAAGTTGTTGCTACTTTTTAATATAAGCGGCAACGTCGCAACACTGAGAATATTTCAGGTCGATAAAACACAACTAATTATCCAAGGCACCAACTCTTCCGAATAATTCTGAGTTGCGTTCTCCAGAAACGTCTATTAATAGGTCGCGTGCACGATGACCGACCCTGGAGGCAAAATATTGAAACACAACCTCATTACACAACCTCACTTTTTTATTTGGTTACAGAGAAATCAAAGGATTGAAATAGTTTTTCACAATATTTTGGCGTACGTATCCTGTTTTTTGCGCTATTCATTAATTCCAGCATGCCTTCGCATTGTGCTGTTGTACAATGCACAAAAAATGCAGCAAGATACTAAAGAATATGATTTCTCAGGTAAATAGTAATCTCACATAGTTATCATTATGAAATGTTGTCATTCCTTATTAAAATTCCTTCTGGCTTCTGCCACTTCTGCAATACAAGCTAATACTGCTAATAGATTGAAAATGTCTACAACACACACGATCGTCAGCATGTCAGACCAGTCCTCCCGATTGATTGCATGGAACCAATCTTCTTGCATTATTTTAGAAATCTCAGGTGTATTTCTATTAGCTCCTATCGCAGAAGGAATTCCGATGAGAAATCAGAGAAATTACCAAATTTCAAAAATGAAAACTATATGTGAGTGACTATAGTAGGTAGTTACTTTTAAATCATAATGTACCAACCGGATTACTTCGTCTTCCGCTGCAGTTTTTGTGCATTTCACAACAGCACAATGTGATTGCATGAGCGAATTGATGAATAGCGGAAAAATGCGATTCGTATGCCAAAATAATGGTGAAAAACTATTTCGATCACTTGTAAACAAATAAGAAAAGTGAGGTTGTGTTTCAATGTTGTGCCTCCAGCGTCGGTCATCTGATAGTTCTTGCACGCAACCCATGTGGCATGACTGCCATTCACCGTGAATTAGCCTGTATAGACTGTTATTTCCTTCATCATCATTTTACTTATTCTCAATGTCTCATTCATAAAACTGTTTTTTAGGATGCCGCAAAAGTTTGCAAATCATTCATGGAGAGGGATTCTGAAGACATTAACTTTACTGTTATGGCACTTATCGAGTCTGACTGAATTATTTCAAACACACTGAAAGAAATGCTTTAGCTGTGTTTTGTTCAAAAAATCATTTGGTATGTTTTTTATTTCTTTATTGTTTTCGATGAGGTTGGCTTTGAATGTGCCTTGCTTTGTTTACGTTTGATTTGGTATTTTCAACAATGATTAATAAAATGTGATATGCATCAGAACCAAATAAATAAATCATCACTAGAGTTCGTTTTTTCTTGTACTAATGATAAATTAGTAGGAACAAAGGAAGGATACATTGTCAATGTTGAATCGTGAGCTCTTAGTAATTCTAAAATTAGAACACCAGTATAAGTTGTGCACAAAGAGTATGCATAACTTTTTTCACAGCCGGCTCTATTGAAAGCCGCGTTGGGAGAAATGCAACACCGCATCGCCGTGATCCGGATCTATATCTAGGAAATTTAAAAATCGGAACATATTTCTCTTCCGAAGCGTATTTTGACTTACACTCTGTCACACAGCAATTATTTAGCATCTTCTTATGAGGAAGGATGAAATTACTCTGCTTCCAGAAATGAGACAACATGAAACATAACCTCAAAAACAATTTTTGATGAGACTTTCACACACAAACACCCTTTTACTTATAACTGGATCATCAGAAGATTCTTCCCTCTTTCCACTGGCTTTCAACAATATTTCACATTGATAACACTTCAATATACTCTTGAAAACTAAAAACAATCACTCTGTTGCATCCATAACCGATATATCGTATTTGTGCCAATGGCTGGAGGTAGACCTTTTGAACAGTGTTGCCAGACTGGGCTCACCGCGGCTAGATGGCTATAGTTTTTGTGACAAATAACTGTTGTGTCTGCAAATTAGTTGAGTTGAAAAATATCGCGAGTATTCAACGTTCACAATTGCAACTGATGAATCTAAAGCAGTGCAGATAATTTATCAATTGCTCTGAAAGAAAAACTAAGGAAGATGCTGCATAACCTAAAGACAGTACAAATAAGGCGGGCTCCAACTGAGCAAAATTATAACTGGGTTCTATTTTACGTTCTTCTATTATATTTCGGGTACCATAAATGAACCTCCATTTTGATATTAGGGCTTCCAGAATCCCAGTCTCAACCATCCTATCTGTTATGTAGTCAATATATTCAAACAAAACATGGTTGAAAGGCATATAAAAGGTGGTTATGTATCTCAAATGAATGAAATGTTGCATATTTTCTTTGAAACTTGGCTGCAAAATGAACACCCCTTCATCAATGATAGTAGCAAATTTGTCTTTGTATGCATCAAAAGCAATGTCGAGGAAATACTGAGTTGTGTTCACAGTTTCTATTTTATTCATGAGTGCGTCATGAACTTTATCTATGAACAGGAAACTTAGTTTCACTGAGTCCGTGGTTTTCACACGTATATCAGAATTAAGAAGGTCTAGAACATTGGTTATTGGCTTCTGATACATGGGTTTGCTTATAAAACTGTACAGTTTTCCTTGAGTTACTGCAGATGTTATTATACCAAAAATGAGGTAGGATCCTAAAAATTAATGTATATTGAATGTTTTGTGAATTTGATAATTGCTTTGAAGTACTTACCTGCCAACATTCGTAGTCTGCTAATTTTTGGGGTTCTGTGATACCCCATTGCTATAGCCATTGTAAGGACATATAATAGGTTGTCTGAAGGAGTAGATCTTGCCGTATCTGCTTTGTGACTCAAAAAACTGAACATACATGAAACGGTGACATAACTGATCATGAGGGCTATCCATGATTGCGGAGAATAAATTAGGTAAACAGCTCTCCAATATGCTAATTGTTGGGGCTTGGGAACGATGATATACAAGGTATTATGCATTACGTTTATAAACGAAACTCTCAAATTTTCCAATAATGGTGTGATACCCAAATATAAATCGGCTTCTCCTGTATCGAAATTTTCAAGCAGCGTGTCGAATCTGAAATCTTCAAAAATTTCTTTGATGTAAACGTCGGTTCTAGGCGCAAATACTACATCGAATCCACTTGCTTTCTTAATTACATCCAAAAATTCTACGAAAATCCCTGGTTCGCTTCTGGAGTCCACGTCGATTACCCATGGTTCAGATTTACTCCAAATTATTCTTAGTGGACATTTTTTATAATACCTTTTCATATCAGGAGAGAAAAGCTGGAACGTTTTATCCAATGTTTTTCCTGTGCATTGTTCAGTCCTCGTGTGCCTAATGTTAGATCCGCAATTGATATTTTCAAAGTCTAGATTGTAAATTTCTGTTGTATCAGGAGAGACCAGCAATATGATACTTTTGTAACATCGACGTTTCCAAAGAATATCGACTAACTGCGGTAGGTCATTCTCGTCATTTGCAATTATTATATATTTACTTCTGGATGTTTGCCAGTAGAAATTTAATGATGATATTTCACTCATAGATTGTTCAAATTCAACGATATCGCCGTACGTAATAATAAAACTCCTCGGCATATTTTGAGATTTTTTCAAAAATATTACATTATTAGAACTAACCAAGTAGCTTGGCAGTTCTAACGGATAATCAAATGTTTTTGTTGAGCTTTGTATTACAGCATTATAGCTCGAAGTGTGTTTTATTATATTACCAAGGCAAGTTTCAAAAATTGCCTTACCTCCAGTTTCCTTGTAATTGAGTTTTGCTCGTGATGTATTGATAATAATTATACATGTAATGAATACAATTTTTCTCAACATTGTGTTCTTGTTCAATTGTGTGATAAATATATTCGAATAAATATCACGTAGGAGAATTTATATAGTACACGATTTGTACAAATTTCTTGTATCATTCAAATAATGATCGTATTTTCCCTCCAACATTATCCTCATTGTTTCTATTACCATTACCTCTATCCCAAAAATATTGTGCGGCCATCAAAATAATATACAATATAAGTGATTGTAATCCATACACTGCTCTCAAAATATTGATGATAGAAGGAAACATATCAGAAAGCTTTCAGCTGAAAATTGAGACTATCAACTGAAGCAACATTTCTCAGAGTATTATTTCTCGGAATGGTATCAAAATAGAAAATATGGTTAAATGAACATAACGACCTGAAACACTTCGTTCTCGAAGTACGGGTTGCGTAAAATCATATACACCATGTCCCAACAAAATAAATGTTAGTCCCCCCTGTTAAAAATCAACCGCGCGATCGAATGACTTGAAATTTGGTCACTCAGTATATTTGATGAGGCCTACTCGTAATATACTATTGAATAAATTGTATATACATACAGGGTCACACCAAAGTGCACCTACACTTTCTCATTTGAATAGGGACACCCAGTATATTTTTCCATATTCAAGTAGAGCTCAGCATTTCAAATTCGTAGTCACTGTTCAAATTATTGTCATTGTTTCATATTATTCCAATAGTTCTTTGACCATATCTTCGTAGTAGTACTTTTGGATATGCGGAATAATATACTGGGTATGCCTATTCAAATAGCAAAGTTTAGTTACACTTCGAAGTGACCCTGTATATATACGATTTATTCAATAGCATATATTTCGAATAAGCATCATCAAATATACTGGGTGATCAAATTTCAAGTCATTCGATCGCGCGATTGGTTTTTTACAGCTGAGGATACTGTGTATATTTTTTATAAATCTCTGGAGTGAAGGTTAATTTTGCTCCCATGATATAGGGTTGCTTTATTGTTTTAATGATCTTATTACAGCACGACAGTTTCTTTTATAGGTATTATTTCAAATAAAGTTATATAACTAATGATGAAACTGCGATTTTTTTTTAACGCTTGGAGCGCACGAGGAAATCCCTATAATGTTCAAAGAACATCGTGCGTTCCATTTTCAAAATTGCAAAAAATAGAATTTTCAAAAATCCTGTATGAACCAATGAACCAGCCAAATAATAATTGAAGGTTCATTATCATTAAGAGGGTCAGAATTTATGCATTCAATAGAATTTAAAAATGCACTGACATCTGCTGGTCATGAAGGTTGGTGGCTGACTAAAAGAAAATTCTATCGATTTTGTCATCAAAACAGTAGTTAGGTAGGTCAAAATATATGTACCACCCTGTACGTAAATCTATGTTTCGACATGCTATCAATTTCATACTCAATCACGTTTATGCACGAACAGGCGTAAATTAGCACTCTAGCCAGTTTTTGTTGGTTCTATTGATTCCTGGATTATTAGTCATTAAAACGTATCACCCTGTAGATGTAAATGACGGAACTATGGTCGATTCGAATGTGGAGTCTATCTCCATAATGGTGCACTCAAACCACAGAACTCAATACTTACAGACACTCAAACATGTGAGCCAATAAAAATGCGATAAAATAAGAAGAATATCGAGAAAGAAGAAAGTTGTTCTAAGAAATGAGAAGAAAACAAAGAAGGGTAGTAAGATTTGTTAATAACGAGGCTCATGGTTTTCACCTCACAGATTCATATCAAAATATAAACCAAAGAATAGTAATTGTATAAACAGTTTGACTATAATGTCAAAGAGTAATGTGATTCGAGCTGTGTTAATAGATCTGAGTGGTACTTTGCACATAGAAAATCAGGCAATACCAAATTGTGTGGAAGCTTTGAAAAGGTAGGTGTCCGAATCAGAGAGAAACATTGCTATAAAACTTGTTTTTTCCACCTCGAAATATGTCGAACAACTCTTTATCAAAACTCGTTTGTCCACTGAACGGCAAAGCTTTGGCATCATTTGCCAAAGAAAGAATTCCCTATCCTCCCTAGGTACGGGGTGATTCTATGTTGTGTCAATTCACCCCCCCGGACTACGGAAAAGAGGGGGTTTCAACCCTAGATATTTTCCCCTTGTCGCATGATTTTTTGTACGCCGTTGCGGAATAATGGATTGTAAGAGGTACTGCAACTATATGGAACTATAATGCCGTACACGATCAAATGACCCAAATTACCCTAAAACTTAGCCGGAAAATGAAAAAAATCCGACTTACTGGCGCACTATTTTTGTACGGCACTACGAGTATTCTCATTATTTTTTATGCTTCTATAGATGGCCAGAGTGCCGTACAAAATCATTTGACCAAAATGTGCTTTTCAATTCTCACCTGCACTCAGATGGACAGTTTACAAGTGACGGCATAGTGCTTAATCTCATTATTTAAAGCCCTTCTATCTTACTACATAGGTCCTCTGGTGGTTCAGATGACCCATCGATTTTTGACACGGGCCTGTAGATAAGTCTATGAGATATCAAAATGTCGTTGCCCATGAGCATATTGGGGCGGCTGGATCTTCGAACTGCATTCATATACGTATTAATAAACAATACGGATCATAAGCCAAAAATATGAAACAAATGAATATCCATAAGGATTTGGTGGCATGATACGCATGCGCCATGCACTATTATAGTAGTCATCAAAGACATGCGTTTCGGTGGACAATGACGTTTACTAGCCTTTCAATCAAAGCAGTATATGTGTCTGATCGTTTCAAAACTTTTCCTTATGGATTATGGATAGTCATTTGTCTTCAAAAATCGGCTTCATGTTTCGCTATGGAAACAGATAGAGATTATATAATTTTTTTCTATGACTGTTGAAAACTAGACCCTTTTAATGTAACATTTTTGTTGGGTAACTGGATGCATTACACAAAACAAGCCACGCCCCGTGTGTAAGAGCCTTTACACAACAGGCTATGGCCAATCAGCAACAAAGCAGATTCATTACCTACAAAACAGTTGACACCAGTTGTAATGATAATATGGGGCATGCAGTGAAACGTTTGAATCAGACTCGTCATGAAATGTCATAATTTGACAATAGCTATCTGGCGTGATTTAGAACTGACTTTTTGTGCAAATATGGATTCAGAAAGCGAAAATGAATTCAACTGCTCTCCACCATCAGAAGTTTTGAAAGCTGCCAATTCAAGTACAATCAGCTTTTTGCCCGAGGAATCTAAAATAAGGTATGAAGTGGTTTGGCGAAAAGCAAAACTTGCAAATTCGTTTTCGGATAATGTACTTACTGCTAGCCTATTTTGGCGAATTAGCAGCTAAAAAAAAAAAAAGTGTTTTTAACCGCCAGCTTAGTTGCAAAGCAACCCTCGAAAGTCAGAGACTTGTGTGAGTTAAGAAGACGGGGACCTTAGCTTTTTAAGTGTCATCCGAAGCACTACTCGGCTGGTAACCGTGGACAGTCCAAAGGATTGATATCTAGGTACCAAGAATGTTGGGTTGGCCACCTATCTCCTCCCGCCCAACGAAACTACCGAAAATTAATTCAGTGCTCGCGCCGGGGATCGAACCCGGACCGCCTGGGCAACAGCCAGCGACTCTACGCTCACGGCCACCAGCCCAGCTAAACACAAAGCATCCTCCTTGTGGTCACAGTATTCCATGCATATACTAAGAAGCTCAATTTCAATAAAAAATTATGTGAATATTGACAAATATTTGAAATTACGAGCATTTCTAACAAGGAAATCTGATGGATATATGTCAAAGAAAGCGAAGATATTCACTGCTGATGAACTCAACCAGTTCATCACTCAGTCATAGAAAAAGTATAGTATTCTACTTGCGTGTAATGGCTATTACTCATTCGAATGATTACGACGTTCGCCTGCGGCTCACGTCGCAAACTTCATTCTCATGAGTAATGGCCATCATTACACGCTCGTCGAATAATATACTATTCTCAAATTGTGTGCGCTTTTTCTGAGTATCTCATCTGTAAGGTATATTAATCTGTGGTACAACCGAGATTTGATTTGTTCAATTATATTTCCTCAGGTTATTACAAAAGAACCTCTATGTGAAGTTCGTGACAAACACAACAAAAGAAAGCAAACGAGTTCTACATGAGAGGCTAACGAACTTAGGATTTGAAGTAGATAAAGATGACATAATAAGTTCTCTAGGTGCAGCAAGATCTTTGATAGTAAAACGAAACTTGAATCCAATGTTAATGCTATCTCCTGAAGCACTAGAAGACTTTGAAGGACTATCTTGTGCAGAAAACGAATCGCCAAATGCCGTCGTTATCGGACTGTGTCCAACAGAGTTTCATTATGAAAGACTAAATGAAGCTTTTCGACATTTGCAAGCTGGTGCACAACTCATAGCCATACATGCTGGGAAATATTATAAAAGAAATGATGGCTTAGCATTGGGACCAGGATGTTTTGTGAAAGGTTTAGAATATTCTGCACAGTGTAATGCAGAAATTATTGGCAAACCTAACAAAACATTCTTCCTCACTGCTTTAGGAAATATTCCTCCTGAAGAAGCAGTAATGATTGGAGATGTAAGTGGTTTTGATACATTTTTAGTCGTTCAGTATTTGGATGCTCAAAGTAAATGTTAACTTCTACTGATTTCCTGCTCCATGATTACGGCCATGATTAAAATTTTTGTCTGCAATAATAAAAGTACCCGGGAATAACGTAATTGAAGTTTTTGTATTATCAATAATGATAAACTATATAGATATCCAGGGGATTATTTTTTTTTTAATTTTGATGTACCTACTTGTATAGTCAACCTAATGCAAATTTCGAATAAACACTGACATTCCGATTCTCCGTACCATGTACTGAAGAAACTGAATATACTATGTAACCACCCTCGTATTTTGGAGTAGAGAATGAATGATTCTAATTTTTTGAGTCTATCGACAATGGGCGAGTGGACTGAATAATTGGCATTCATTCACACTTTTTTTATTTTAAATAATGAGTCTATGCCTTGTTCCAAATTGTTGAATTTCAGAGCTCATTTCAAACGAACCTTCATGGCCGCCATTTGGCGATACGTCGAATAAATTTTGACGTCAGTTTTTATGCTGTTGCGTAATTGGTCAGATAATCTTCCATTTCTACTAATGAAGTTAGGTTGTCAAGTCCAGGGGCGTCCGGAGGGGGAGGCAAGGGGGAGCGCTCGCCCCCCTTCCCTAGCGCCTGGTCTTTACTCAGATACTTTCTAAACAGGATACATTTGCATTATCCAATTCCTACTCTGATAAGCGCTTATTATAGTGACTTTCTGAGACATTGTTTAATTAGTATTCATCGACATCTTATAGATAGATATAGAGTTGATTTTATCAACGAAGTTATTGATAAATCTGCTCAAGACTCTATAAGATTGCCATTTTTGTTTGAACAAGATTATTATTATTAACACGTGCAATTTTTTATTGTAATCTTGGCTGTGAACAGAATATCTATGTGGTGTCAATTCAATTAATTTTCTTTTTTTCTATTCCATGTTTCATGTAGAATAATAGTAGATTATATATCGAGAGAGTAAGGTGCATATTATTTTTCCAGAGGTGGTTTTGTAGCCAGAGGGTGCTTCAATGCACTGAGGGAAAAAATAACTCACTTCCGAGGTTTATATACCATTTTTCGCACAACTCGACAATTTTAATTGAAAGAATCTTATAATAAAGTCAATTATTGTCAATATGAAAATTGAAATCTGAACACAATATGACAAAATCAAGTTATTTGATTATCATGACTACCGATAAAGAAGAGTAGCCAAATTGCTTTTTGTGAACATCGAAAATGTGTGGCAGCATATTTTCTCAATTGCTTTCCAAATTTTTTTCAATAAATATTGCACGAATGTGTGGAAAAACTATTGGAGAAGCTGCTGCAAACATAGTGGTAGATCTATTGCCAGAAAAATCCCGGAAAATTTCATAGCCTAGAGAGGCCTACTCTGTATATCCTGTATTCCCGCTTTTGTTGGTGTGAAATCGCGTATAGGTCGTGCAAAAACTGTTTTTTTGATATGTAGTGAATATTGTACATCATTAATTATTGTGACTTGCCCCTCCTTGAGAATATTTCTGCGGACGCCCCTGGTCAAGTCACCAATTATAATCAAGTTATCAAAAAGATGAGACTCCTGTCGTTGAATAAAACATAATAGGAGGAACCCATGATGTTATAGTCTATCATTGACCTTTTCGAGCAAACAGCATGTCCAAATATTTCTTAATCTCCATAGCAATATATCATGTGAATGTTGTAGACTTGGCGACATTGTGCTGAATGTTGAGAACTGACAAGACCACGCCCACAAGTCGTGAGAATTTATGAATTATCGACTGGCTGTCGAATGACTTACGAAATCGTGGCGTTAGTTTTTACTGGCGGTAAATTTCTGGCAGTTTGAAAATTTACAGTGGCATTTTTGATGATTTCAGCACCTACAAATCGACCAAAAAATTCTTGAAGAATATGACATTGAAACGTATTTGAGAGATGATTCTATTTAAGAAATGAAAAAAATCAGTTCACTCGCCTATTACATAGCTCGCACATTATATCCTTCGGCAATTCGCGTCTCTGAATTTAGCAGCTCACTTCTCTCACCCTAGGTAAATAATATTCTATTTCCGTCGACCTCCTATTAATGACTAAGTTTAATGTATATGAAATCGTTCATTAATGACCCCTATTAATAAACGATTTGTCTATTAATGCACGATTGTTTTATAGGCAACCAAACGTACACCGCGTGCATTCATTGTTTATGCTATAACTTGGGGAATCTGCATTTAAATCGAAAATATGGATTTCATCAACGATTTTCCGTTAACGGGTTAGCCTTTTCGAGTTTTTGACACGATTTTAATCCCTATTTTCTAACACAAGGAACTTATTTCCTATGTTGATCATTTCGACAAATGTCAAATGTCACTAATGTCAGTAACAAGGCTACTGGGTGATTCTTAGCAGTTTCAGGATGGATGATGAATTCGCGAACCAAGTTTTCTTCATTGCAGGAGAAATGAGAAATATAGTCGACGGAAAAATTTTGTAACCAACTTATATATTAAAAGGCAATTAATGATCTCGATCATTAATCGCCCTCATTAATACACTAGTTGGTTAAATAACTATTCCAACTCCTGAAATCAGCAAGTCTTCTACTTGTAAGAAGTGCCAATATATAATTACTATTTTAGGATGTTACTGATGATATACAAGGTGCAATGAATGCAGGTTTGAAGGGATATCTTGTACAAACTGGTAAATACAAACCTGGAGATGAAGACAAAATATCACCCCTTCCAACAGCAGTTTTGCCGTCATTTGCTGAAGCTGTAGAAAAAATTCTATCGATTACTTGAATCAGTTAAGGATGCTGCTTGTATAGAAAAGTTTATTTAGTAAACAACAACAAATTGTAAATATATCGTCAAAAATAACGTCTACCTACTAAATATATAAAATTAATAGACATTTAATAAATATGGTAGATACATAATATACTTGAGTAGTTTCGTTATTTCACTCCGCTACCAGGTCTGAAAAAAATATTCAAATATATTTTCACTGTATCCAATACTTTTAACAATATATAAATACTCTTTTAACGACCATTATTCATAACCAGATCATTTTGGGTGAAATTCCTCAATAAAAGATTAGTTATTTATTGTATTAAAGTGTTTTAGATAACATTTTATTTTCGTAAGAAAGGAGAGTGAACAGCTTTTTGGACCACCCTGTACAACATGTTATTGTCATGTCATAATCTGAACATAAATATGAAGATGTTATAAAGCAGAAGTATGCCTAGAAGCAATAGAAAAGGAAACCAACTCACCTCACTAATACTGGTAAACTAGATACTTTGGCTGAATTAGTCTCTTCATTAAGTTTAATTGGCACATTACTCTTAATACTGCTATTTGGCATTGGGATATTTTCCTTGACCTCCCTTTTAGCGATTTGGCATAATTTATTACTCATCACTCCACCACTCTTAAAAGGACCCAATTTGGTTCCACTTTTACTCGTTCCATTATTATCGGCCTTCAAAGGTACTTTCAACCTTGATGGACTAGATTTATCTCCAATCTTACTGCAAACACTCTGTATGCTACCGGATTTGCTCCTCTTCATATTCGTTTCATCTTCTGCCTTTCTTATCGACCTGGAGCAAACAGGAATTTTGCTAATCTCGCTGGGACCAATATTCAAGCTTCTGCGCTTCAATAGAGTTTTGTTTGTCCGCGCATTGTCACCAGTGAAAACACAGGAATTCCTTTTGTTCCGTTTTTTCACCGCCTCTACAGGCTGTTTACTTCTCAAAGTACTCACAGAAGTACCTAATTTCTGGATATTTGCTTTAACGTCGTCCGTTATATTCGTTGACGTTTCTAGTTGAATCAAGACTTCGTCTGTCAAATTTTCCACAGAAACTGTGGATACAATGTCCTCCTCGGCAGTGATTGTCAAACGTGACATTTTACCCTCAATGCTATTTATATTTTTCGGTAAAGCTACCCCGGCATCTATGTAAAAGTGTTGGCCTAAGAAGCTCATTTTGCTAAAAAAAAATTGAAGCATTAAGCAAGGCTACAGCAGAGAGAACGAGATCTGAACTTACCTTGAACCTGCTGAGGAAACCGGTTTTTTCGCCGATGAGATTGTCCTCGAGGTTATGGCGTTGTTGCGTCTTGAACTTTCTCTTACAAGGAACGGCGTTATTGCTAAAATGAAAAATAGAAGTCATAAGAATCACTATAACATCGACTGATTATATAGTGCCCGTCTAAAGACCGTTCCCCCCCTACTAATTTTTGAGCCACCTGGTATATCGCAACGAAATTCAAAGGGCTTTAATGGGACATAAAAACCTAAAAATTAAAGCCAACAGTTTCAAAATGGCGGCTGAGCGACATCTTCAATATTTTTTTAAATAGAACACCCCACCCCGTATATTATTCCATTTTTGAAATTTGCTCATAATTCTCAACAGTTTTCTTCAGTACTCCTGAATTTAATTGTTTTCGAAATATTAACGTTTGGAAGGTGACATTTTATACATTTCAAACCCAACCAAAAACACTAATGTTGCTTTCAATCAAGTGTACATTGGAGAAAATCTTCGCGGTAACGTCTTTTGTAATGTCAAATCATCTGTAACTGTCAAATAGTCCGTTGACCGCCTCAATCATTTTATCCATACTTCATTTCATACCGAAATGTCACCTTTCAAACGTTAATATTTCGAAAACAATTGAATTTTGCCCATCATTCATGTTTTCCAGGTAGATCTCGTGAGTGGCAAAGCTCCTTCCCTATGACATTAGCGGTCTACATAGTAACTTGAGTTTTTTTGTTGGTTCACATAGCTCACTTCATTCTTTGTTGTTGTGGCATCCTGTATTGACAATTTTTAGGTCCAGTTGTTATATTTTTGATGTGTAGAATGTTGAAAATCTCGGAAATAATGCATTATATGGTCATGAATAAATAATATAGATAAGCAGCCAAAGCTAGTCGGGTGATTTTGCGAACTCTTCCGTGTGTCAACTTCAGTGGCATATAAATATACTAGTTGCGTTTTATGTATCCAATTACCCCACCGGAATTACTTCAACGAGTTGTTTTATTTGCAACTTCAACGATTCCGGTTACTTTTCATTCCGCCTCACTATAAGGAATGACGTGGAATGACTGTTGACAGTTGTCAAAAAATGAAATTAGATTGACGAAAAACGAAACTTTATGAAAGTTGAAGATATATCCATCGTGAGGTTCACGAATTTATGATTCTTTCAAGTGATAGAGGTTTCATATCTTCATTTCCAAATAAAATGAATTCTCTCGATCTTAGAGAACTTCTTCCAAGCACCACAATCACTGCTCCAAATATGCATTGATTCATTTCATTCATTTTCTGGATTCTTAGATCTAAGATTATGATATTGAAATGGTTCAAATCCCGAATATGTCAATCTATCATCTATAATATGTCAATTCTCTCATGCGAGGTCATGAAGTTTTTCGTTTTATTTGTAAACGTCAAACTGTTCCCACCACCGTTACCATAATGGAACAAATAAAACGCGCCTACTGATACTGATAATTGCTCACCGGATTTATAGGAAATCAATGCGTTGGTGGATATTTTCCCCTGCGCGATTTTTTCCTCTTCTTCTATTTTCCTCCGCTCTTCGATCAGTGCCTCCTGCTTGCTGACTTGGGAAGACCTCATCTCTTTGAGCTTAGCCTTCAGGGTGTCTATGACGTCCTTGTCCTTTTCCATCACCTCTATTTTCGACATGAAACCCTCCAATCTGAGCTGAAGATTGCGGTCTAGCGGTAAAACGAGCATCTGCTTCAATACCGGGCATAGATTCAGCACACACAGACGAACAGTCGATACGGGATCATCTACAAAAGAATTAGTCCAAGAGCCGGTTCCAAATGTCGACTGCCATCTTTTATTTTTAATCGAACGGAAAATTCGCACTTTGCTGTACGGTATTTTGCCTTATATTTAGCAATTAGATATCGAGATAAGAAGTATGCCATCTGATACCAATTTATTACGTCACGAGTTAACGAGTTGAAACAAAATGCAAACTAAAGGAAACATCCAAACGTGCCGCGATTAAAAACTGATTTAAGTTAGTGGCAGAGCGTCAATGTTCCAAGAATATTCCGTCTTTATAATATTGAAAGATTTTTTTTATGTTCTGGTTCCCACGAGAAGAGATATCCTGTAATGTTCAGAGAACATCGTGAGAACCAAGGGAAATAAGGTAGGAATTGGTGTTCTTCTTAAATTTCTGGAGGTTATATGCCAAGGGAGGAACAATTGTTGATATTTCAGAAGAGCATCGTCCATGACAATATGTATAAAATAGAGCCAGATCGCCAACTTTTCTACGGTGTTCCAGAGAAGTGAGTGAGTTTGTGAGCGAGGCATCACCCTCGAGACGAATTGCCCTTTTTTGGACAGAATCCAACAGTTTCAGGGTATGTTTGGGTGCTGCACTCCAAATTTGGGAACAGTATTCCAGGACAGGTCGGATCTGTGCCTTATAGATCATAAGCAGTTGACTGGAAGTGAAATAACTCCTGGCCCGAAACAGAAAACCAAGTTTTTGGGATGCACTTTTAGCATTTGATCTTCCGTGATTTTCCCAAGAATCGTTATTGCTGATAGTAATACCAAGCATCGAAATGGATGTCTTCAAAGGTATGGATACTCCTGACAAGCTCATGTTGGGCACAGTGAGATCGACTTTTCTAGAGAAAAGACATGCTTGTGTTTTGTTTGCATTGAAATCTACCAAGTTATTGAATCCCCATTCGAGAATTGTTGACAAGACCATATTTTATGTTGTCAACATTCCTCCCTCGTTCGTTTCTGATTTGTCTGGCTGGTATTGGAGCACTGGAAGAGAAGGCGGTATGGAGGGTACTATCATCCGCGAAGCTGTGTACTGGACATAGAGTTGCTTCCAACAAATTGTTGATATGGAGTAGAAATAGTGTTGGTGTTAAAAGGGATCCTTGCGGAACACCAGCATCTATGATAAAAAGAGTCAGATAAAACTCCGTCGACCACTACATGGAGAGACCTGTTTGAGAGAAAACTAGCTAGCAGAGAACATAGCTGGAGAGGCAAGTCATAAGACTATCGAATCTATGGTTCATCGGATATTATCTTTCAACAAGGGCGAAATATACTCGGAAATATTGATGATCCGCCACTAACTTAGATCAGGTTGAATTGTGGTACGTTCTGATATTCGTGAAGGAGACATTATTCCCTTTCATTTGCATTCACTTTTTTCCCCGGGAATAGGGAAACATGGTACCCTTCAAATCCCTGAAGTGCATAAAATATCTGGAATATGGGAACACCCGAACCTTCTTCTTTTTGTCTTTTTTTGTTAAAACCTGACGTATTTGAAATAGAGTACCTACCGTTTGGTGGCATTTAATTTTTTTTTCTACATTCATGCAAAAAACAGAACTTTATTGAACTATATTTAGTGGAAAAAGAAGTTCTTTATTGCACTTAGTGCAATAAAGTTTTTATTGCACTCATCTGTCATTCTACTTCAACGTGTTGTCATCATGACAAACATTTTCTATAATGCAACTGTGGTTATAGAAACGTCAGTCAAAAATTAATTCTGACAATTAACAGAATTGTACCTGGTGCCGCACCTCAATAAATCATGTTTTGCTTTTTGCATGAACGTAGAAAAAATGTTGTATGCAACTCGTGCAAAAATTGTTTATTGCATTCGACGTGAAATTGTCCGACGAGGCCGTTAGGCCGAGTTGGACAATTTCACGTCGAATGCAATAAACATTCACTTTTTGCACTTGTTGCATAAATAACTATTTTCGTTCTTTTTAACGTTTTACCTATCCTTAAGTGCATAAAATACACCTCAAGACTAAAGTGTTTTTAAATCCCCCTTTTTGTCTAGGGATTTAAAATACCACTTCATTCCCTAGACGTATGATGCACTATTTATACTAATTATTTTCGGAAAATTCTTCATCTGTAGATTCTGAAATTTTTGACTTTTCTGGAGTTGTGAAATTTCCATGTATTAAAAGAAATTACAGAAGAACTGATGATATCGATATTGAATAAACAAACACAAAAAATGCAATGTACAAAAAAGCATTTTTACTCACCTCCTAAAGTGAGCAAAGGCAGATAAAAATGTTCCTTGAAATATTTCCAGCTGAATAAATCAATGGCATGTACACACATATTGATGTAGATGTGTCTGGTGTAACAGGACGGTGAATTGCACAACAGATTAATGAGATTTTCTCGAATCCACTTTCTGTGATTCTCTTTGATGCTGTAGCGTAGGAAAACTAGCATCGTCTTCGCCGCTTGTGTTCTGACAGGTCTACTTCGCTGTGAAAATAGCACAGAGAATAAATCGGATGTGTTTGATTATAAAATTATACAGGGTGTTCCTCGAAGACATGCTAATATTCAAGGGGGTGATTGTTTGACCCATTTAAAGAAAAAAACTTCCTATGAACGTATGACCTAAAACTCTTTACTTTTGAGATACAGGGTAATACATTTTTTTAATAATGTGAGATAATATTGTGGACATCTTTATGAAATTTAGTACATGTGTTCTATGCATCAAGGTGCATTTAGTGATGTAGAAAAATTTTCATTTTCTCTACCAGTGGCGGTGTTTGGGGGATATTATTGTTCAAATTTTACCATTCTGAAATTTTCGCACCGTTTCAGTCACATAATAGACGGAATTTTTCCATCACGAAAAGCTATACAGGGTGGAGAAAAAAATGAAATATGCGCATTTTCAACTTTGACCCTGTATATCAGAAGTTGCGACGTTTTGCGACATACGTTCATAAGAAGTTTTATTCTTGAAATGAGTCCAAGAATCGCCCCTTTAAAATTAGCATTTCATTAAGGAACACCCTGTATATGCATTTAACGTCATATCTTTATGCATTTTAGTCTAGTTTAAATCATCAACAAACTGATAGTGAATAATTGATTCAATTACACGTTAGGGACCTTGGAACTGATCCAATATTTTGGCGGAAAGAAGGAGATAAAATTCTCCAGATCCAACTTTGAAGTCGAAATAATCTTAATTGTTCTAGAATCATAGTTGAACCTTCAACAACATAGTTGAAAACAACCATTTTTTTTTTGTACATGTTTTGTGAGTATTGTGTCAGTGGAAAATATATTGTTATACTTCCGGTTGACTATCATTAAAATCCCAGTACTAACAGGAATAAGATTCTCTTTTGGCAAACGAAATTGGCGCAAAAGTCTGTATCCAAAACTCTAGAATCTGATTCCCGCTAGAGTTCCTAAATGTACTTGACACTGCAGTTTTGACGTTCTTTGTATATAGGTCGCGTGCATGATGACCGACCCTGGAGGCAAAATATCGAAACACAACCTCACTCTTCTGTGAATTATTGAAACACAACCTCACTTTTTTTATTTGTTCACAGAGGAATCAAAAAGTTTAAATACGAATCCTGTTTCTTGCGTTATTCATTAATTCAAGCATGCCTTCGCATTGTGCTGTTGTACAATGCACAAAAAATGCAGCAAGAGACTAGGGAATATGATTTTTCAGGTAAATAGTAATCTCACATAGTTATCATTATGAAATGTTGTCATTCCTTATTAAAATTCCTTCTGCCTTCTGCCACTTCTGGAATACAAGCTAATACTGCTAATAGATTGAAAATGTCTACAACACACACGATCGTCAGCATGTCAGACCAGTCCTCCCGATTGATTGCATGAATCCATCAATCTTCTTGCTTTATTCTAGAAATTTCAGGTATATTTCTATTAGCTCCTATTGCAGAAGGAATTCCGATGAGAAATCAGAGAAATAACCAAATTTCAAAGATGAAAACTATATGTGAGTGACTATAGTAGGTACTTACTTTCAAATCATAATGTACCATCCGGATCGCTTCATCTTCCGCTGCAGTTTTTTTGCATTTTACAACAGCACAATGTGATGGCATGAGCGAATTATTTCTTCTCGAAATATTGAATGATAAGGCTGAAGGACTCGACTGACTATAGATCGCCGTTCACATTGCTAAAGGGGATTGTTGGTTTGAACCCGGCCATCGGAAGATCATTATCAAGTCTTTTTCTTTCAAAATATTTTCGAAATGAATTTCATCATCTGCAAGTTCTTCGTTTCTTGTTGGTTCTAAATTGGAATAAGGTTCTTTTCGATACTCGCTCAGTTTATAAATTGTGGGTTCGGCTCCTTCTCTCAATACGATCCTATTCTTCAATATCCAATGTACCGTTCTGAGGTGTATCTGATAAAAATGCGTTGAAAAATGTTCTATATCCTACCAAGAAATTTGAATATATCGCAAATTTTGTGGCCTGAACGTATATTCCATGCCGGCCGCATCATATTCTGTTTCCATTTTTGTAGAATGACGTTATCCGATGGAAATTCGAATAGAGTGAATTGATTTCCCATGTTTTCACAGTTGGAAACTGCACAAACTTGCATCTTTCTCCAATCTTTCAAACCTTTGATATTTATATCATGTACGTCCGTGTACTGTCAGTCCCCGCTTTTTCCATCAATTTATTTGTGGTTATGTCTGATTGTCTGTGCTAACATAATAATACACAAAAAACGTCAAAACAGCAGTGTCAAGTACATTTAGGAAATCTAGTTCTCGCCAAATGTAGCTTTTAAACCAATATTTTTCTGAAGGATGTCCATAGACCGTGGAATAACTGCATTAATTTCAATTAAATAATATAGAAAAATATCTCCTGAAAGTTCAAAACGAAATTTGAGGTTATGTATTCTTGATGAAATTACTACAATGTTAAGCGTCAGGTCATGTCGTTCATTCTTCTGATTGGTTACGGCCTGTTGAGTTAATAATCCTTGAGCTGCAACTTGGCAACATGTTCTGAAAGCTGAAAACTGACACGACAACGCCCATGATCATTGCCGTGTTGTCAAGTTCCTCTGACCAGACGTCTTCTAATATATAATAGTGTGAATTACAATTATTATTGACACAAACTTATTATAAACAACCTAACCCAACCAAAATGGGCATCCACAAGATATTTGCAATAAAGTGCGAGAACTTACGAGATTCAGCCTTACCTTAGAAACCATAATGAACAGATAGAATTTCAGAAAAATATACTTACCGCTTCCACTGTCAACTTCAAAACCATCGGAGTGAAATGTTGATGTATAAAATCGGCGGGAACAACAGTAGGAAGACACTCCAACTGTTCCAGAAAACCCATTTTTCTGCGCCAATTGTAGTACTTGAAAATCTCCGTTTGACATTTCAGCAGTGCCCGGCCGATATCCAAAGTATACTGGGTATTGTTTTCCCGAGTTAAAATTCCAGCACTGCATAATAGTTGAAGGGTGGGACCGATATTGGGTACCAAAACTTCCAGAACCTCTTCTGCGTCGTCACGGAAGAGTCTCACAATGTCAGGAACTATGATTTTACATTCTTTTCCTTGAAGAAATGACAACTGCATAATTTCCAAGCATTAAGGAGAACATCGACAGTTAATTTTGGAATAATCGCTTGAAAATTCACATTTTTGATCATCTGTATTGACTTCAAATACAGAGCAGAGAGCGTCAATGTTGAATATAACTGTTATTTGTGTTGAGTAGGCGTTTATGCGTCGAATAATGGTCCGAAGGCGTCATCCGAGGGCCATTACAGGGCCACAAATATGTTAGACGTTTGACATTTGAATCGAAGATACAGTTCATTGAAACCCATAATTGTCATGAAAAAACAAATGGATATCACTGCCGGTTTTACTGGAAATAGACCTAGGTCGAGAATTTTCGATGGAGCCCTGTAAATATTTTCATGCAACTAGTTAGAATTTTGAAATAGTGGCGCAGGAGACATTTTTTCTAAAATCAATAAGGCGACACTGTGACGTCATAGATCGAAATTTTGCCAAGCAACGTAATAAAATAACAAATAAACGAAGTAGTCTGATTAGTTTTTGATGAATAATGCAAAAATGTTGTATCTTTAATAATCAAGAATCCTTTTAGTAATCATTTCAAATGGACAAGTATTAATCAGTATCAATAGATAGATGCTTATGAATCATGTTTCTAGCTATCATAGAACTGGAGTATTAGAGCTCTCCTAGGCACTATTGCTTCACTCTGTATATGAGGAAGTAAGAGTTCTGTATTGGTTATTTCCTGATGAACTGTTTGATTAATAGCAGTGCTTGTAATTCCCGAAAAAAATATTGCATATTCTTCGGGATGCATAAAATGTGTGGAAGTATTCATTTATGTTTACCTAATACTTTTGTTATTTCATGTATGCATCCAGCCACAGTTTTTCTCACAATATAACAGGAATCTCCAGCAAGATCTTTGAAGATAGAATACCACTTGTCTAGTTCAGGTTGTAACTGATATAAAGTGAAGAAAGTGATAGCTGGTAAATTGTATGCACAATAGTCTCTGCAAGTAACAGCCTGAAAAAAATATCAGAACATCATTTATATTGTGAAAATACAAACATAGTCCAACAAGAGTTAACATATCTTGTAAACCATACATTCCAGAAGACAATCTCACTTCAGAATCAGAAGTGTTATTTTTGTAGATTTAGTTGTTGGAAATTCGAGGGTAGATGCAATAGGTAAAATAACTCACAAACGATAAGAGAACTTTCTGAAAGTGAGATACTCGTGAAAAAAATTGACCTAACATTTCAAAATTGTCATTATTTTTTCAACATGCTCATGAATGCGGTGGTTAAACATTCTACCTGTCTGACCAATATATACCTTAGGACAAGATCTCCCAACCCATTTATATGCAAAAATAAGAAATCGGACCCTTTATAAAAACACTGCACTTTACATTTGTATCAATGGCAGCACCCCCTCACCCCCAAAAAACTGGTATAGTCACATCTATATTTTTTCAAATTCGGCAAAAAACTGCCGTAGTCACCGCCTCTTACCTTTACAAAACAATGTCACCAGTAAAGCCCACTATGAACTAAACTCCTGTGATGATACAATACCGGCTATAATTCATAACAAAATGGCGCAGTCGGTAGGATTCCAATAACTATATTCACTTCATAATATATATTAACTACAGTTCAGTTATTATTAATATGCCACCATAGTGTTGTATTATAAAGTGTAATATAGTGCACTCTAAAGTGTGAATAGTCATCTACTCACCAAAGCAGGATCAATTTCCAAATCTTCATTAGATATACTGAGACCTTTTCGTGAAAGTTCCTTGAAATAGTTGAGAAACCAAGCATTGTCTGCTGGTGTGAGATGTGGTTGTAAGTTGTTCAAAAGCTTCCCAAAAATTTTTGCCACAGCTGGAAATGTCTGGTCACCTTCTTTGCTACTTTGTGAGCAAAGTCGTTTCACTAATGGAACAGCAGTCATCTTGATGGTATCTAACATTCAATTTTTTTATTGTTCTTTTCTAAAGTTGTACACATGTAAACTTCATTGAAATATTGTAAGTAATGGCAAATTTTTCTATTAATCATACAGGAGCAAAGCCAATAACTCCAGAATGAAAGAAGGTAAATTGGAACACAAAAACATGCTTCAAGAACTACAAGGAGGATATATATTTTGTAGTGTTTTTCAAATGAGTTCATAGACACCCCCATAGAAAGTTTCTATGAAAAAATGGTACTGTGCTACAAGTTCTTGATAGATACATCTGTGTCCTTGGAATAAAATAATTAAAAGTATTTCTCACACACCACTAGCCTCCTGCTCATAGTTCATAATAACTTGAATGTTAGCTTAGTTAATTCTATATATGAAAGTTTGATACATCATACACAATGATCAGTATTTAGTTTCACATTCTTACTTATATTCCATTCCAGATATTTGGTTTATGAAAAATAAAATAATGGAATTCAATTTATTTCAGTTTTTCCAAATTAATAACTGACAAGATGTGTTTGAGAAACTATTAGGTCTACAAAAATGATTCCTGAATCAATTTCCAGGAAATTTAGTCTACCATGAAAATTTACCCAAATTTTATCAAAAAACTTCTTTAGTCAAAATTACCAACAACTGTAAAGGTTGCATTTGGCCTTGAGGTCAAAAACTTGGACCAACAACAGGAATAGCTCAGAAAGAAATCAGAAATACTGGGTTTGACACAAGGAAATCTCTCTTTGAGATTACCTACTGAAAGTAAAAGTGATTACCTTTTATTTACAGTGTGATGTAGCAGAACTGGTAGACATTACCTATTAAAATTTACACTATACATCAGAATTCAAATGAAAAGATCCCTATGTAGGTACTTACCTGGATTCATAAAAGGTATCAACAAGGCTACAGCATCTACAGATGCACTTCTCACTTGCATATTTTCATCACTAGATAATTCAACCAAGCATGGCAGAAGACTTGTTTTAACAATAATATCATTAGCCAATCCACTTGCCACATTTGGAAGTTCTGCACACATAGCTGCTCTTACTTCATACAGACAATCCTGACATAAACTCTGTGTCAAGGGAAGAATATCCTTTTTAACACTAAAAAACATGGTGATAGTTATATTTCCAAAATATTGTTGAATATACCAGCTAATCCTTACTCATATGGGGTTGTCTTTGGATGAATTGCAATTTGACCAAGAATTTTGCAACTGTTGACTCTATAAAACACAGATTTGTTTATTTGTGAAATTCTTATTGCAAAGGGCAAAACCTAGAACTCACAAATAGTGAATATATTATGTTTAAAAAACTATTGAGTTGAAATACATACATCATTCTTCAATACCCCATCTGATAAACTTGGAATCACTGCTAATAGTGTTTCAATCCATGCATTTGAAACTATTGGATCTTTACTTTCAATTCCTTGCAGTACTGGTCGCATCAAGTTCAAATTCAATTTCATCTCAATTAGAACTTTGAAGATTTTGCTTGTTACAAGGTGGAACTCTGATGATGAACTTGGCAGTTCCTGCTGAATCTTGGGGATGATTCGTGATATGGTAGCATTGTTATCCGTTTGTAAAAGATCTGGTAAAGCTTGAATAACACTCAGTTTTTGTATATCATCTCCTTTCCTGAAATGATGAATAAAGATTAATGGAAAAAAAGTATTTCCCTAACAGTTAATACATGTATAAATCCTGCCATATTGTAGTGTAGTTATCGTCATCTGATTCTGTTAATTCTGGAGAATCCATTTTTTGATACCATTACAGAAATATTATGAAATTATAAATGTGTACCCCTCCTGAAAATATGTGATCAGTGGATATGATCTGGATATCCATTATGTTTGGAGAATTAAATATCATAATGTGCTGGCAGATAACTATAGCATGTTATTGAAATAATATATGTATTAAATGTATTAATATTATCATTTCATAATGAGTTTAAAAGATATTTCTCATGATTACTGAATTACTGTTGTGTTATGACTTATGTCATCAAAAATCATAACATAACCTAGTCATATGACTCATATGAAAAGAGCCTAAAGTTTTCGAACCATTCCCAAACCTCATTGCCAGATTGGTCACAGTGAATCAGGACGCATGCACATAATATATGATGCACATTCGATCGTAGAGAAACTCTGTGGTCTCGAGAGGAAGGAAAAAAAAGCCTAAATCGCTAAACCAGAATAAAACTCTCTGGCCAAACTCAGCCTCCACAATTTTAATGTTACAAATAATCATCAGAAAACACGAATTTCAACATGGGAATGGTTCGAAAGATTTAGGCACATCTATCATATATTGTTAATGTCATGTCATTGTCAATTTCACAGATCACTCGGCAAAGTCACACTTCACAAATAATACAGAGCCTTGGAACGATTTGTTCTTAGAACTAGAAATTCGAATATACAGGGTGTTCTTCTTGGGGTCCAGAAATATGATCAATTTTCGTTAATCCGGACCTGGATTATTTTCGTGACTGATGGGCAAGTCTTTGGCAAAAGTCATTTGACTCTATGTAGAAGAACTTGTGTACCTAGTTAAAAAATATATACGCATGGTCGTTCGATATATATAACAATAATGTTTTATGCGAATTCGCATAAAACATTATTGTTACTGTCACTTAAGTGACCCATTTTTAATTTGCTACGTTACTCGGCTGCGCATCGTTTAAAAAAATACGTTCTCGATCACCAAAGTAGCATTTCGCGCACTGGATACAAAATCAACTATTTCATTAAAAAAAACGTAAAAATAGTTATTTTTGTATCTAGAGCGCGAAATGCTACTTTGGTGATCGAGATCTGATTTTTTTAACGAGGCATAGCCGAGTTAAAAAAATAGTCGAGATGACCAAAGTCTTTCGCGCTCGAGTTGCAAACAAAATGTTTTCTACAAACGTCAAAAAATATAGTTCTAAAGTAAAAATATGCTTAGCTTGATATAAAAAATGGTGTTGAACTGGCTTGAAAGGCCTCCCCTATACTCCCTAGGTAGGCACGATGTTCCACGAACATAAAAGAAATTTCCTTTCGTGCGCTCCAAGAGATAAAACGAAGTTATTGTTGAACATTCAGAAATAAATGATTTTTTGGATGTTTTCTCGATCAAGGACTATTTAGTTGGTATATATTAAATATCTCATATATTTTCCATAACAATGCGCGAAGTAGGTACTTCGCGCACTGTTTTACTTCGCACATTGTTTGGTGCAAGATATCATTGTAACATAGGAAACTGAAAAAAAGTGTCACTTCGCAATTTGCTATCAATGCGCGAACCTTGTCATTTTTTGACGTTCGTAGAAAAATGTTATTATACCCATATCTATATACGTTTATGTTCGGTGTATATACTTTAGTATTTGGGATATTCCCAATAATAACGTCAAATAAAAATTCAAAATTGTATGCCTCAAGTTCGGGCGAGGTTCAGCAAGACATCTTATTATAGGAATTGAATATTTGAACATGGAAGAAGAATCAAAACTTACGTTAGGATGAATAGGCTCCTTTCAATAGGTTTGCTGTCATACTGTTCGTCCACTGTATGCTTCTGAAGTTGATAAGCAGTCTGAAAACCACTATGAAATTTTGAATGATACACCATTTTTTCAACTCACTTTTCCTGCCACTGGCTTGTCTAGCTGTAAACTTTGCAGTTCTTCATCAAATTTCGCCAAAGAATTCATATTTCAACACTTAACAAAAATACAATAAAAAACTGAGATGGTTCAAAATAAGTCAATCTGACATACTTTTGTACTGTCCAACGTGAGTGAACGTGAGATATCCAATACCACGATCCAATACGTACACTATATATACCGGGTGTCATAGAAAAACTTTCTATTAAAAGTGACTAAAAAAATGAAGTTGGCGTGAAAAATTTGAAAAATATCACGTTCTGATCTAAGAATATTCTGAAGAGCCAAAAACAACAATATATTGTTCCATTCAAAAATTGAAAATTGGAGCCTTTTCTGGTGAAACCGTGAGTGACCATCAGAAAATGAAAAAAAAAAAGGCGAAAATTAACTCTCCAGACTCTCCTCTTCCTGTAAAACTTTTGCATTCGTGAAGGAATATTCTTGAAATTTAGTACAGATATAAACAGGGTGTTTCCGAAATTGAGGCGATGAATAAAATGGGTTGTTCTCACTGAGACATATTGACACGATAAATCACTCTGATTGATGATCGCGGTATGCGCTTCCACCATATACTACATCTTTTAAAAGTCATTGATACTTCCGGTGCTTGTGATCTCGCCGAAAGCAAATACTCAGGTTTGGTGTTACTTGAAAAGTTGCATAGTTTTAGCATTTTCTTGGTAGGCACTAAAAGTGCATTTTGTACGCCTGTTTGAATTAAACGTTGATTTTTTTTGTTGTTCTACAGACGATAAGTTTTGTTTTTACATCATTTATTCTCATTTGTAAAAGACATCACAAAATCTTATGGTTTTCGAATTATATTGATAAAATGATTAAAAAATAAATAAGTTATTATTGTTTAAAATTTGTTTTGTTTAATCTCTGATATAACATCTTCAACAGACAATGTGCTGCTTTCAGTGGCATCTGTTTCTGCATCCTTAAGAAATATTTGGACTCTGAGTACATAAGTAGAGTTAAATGTTTGACCTGAAAAAAAAAAGTCAAGTCGTACCATTTGACATTGTTGTTAAGAAGACTACTTACTACTGTTTAATTTCAAAAGTAACAGTGACTTTACATCATAAACCTCAGACAGGGACTTGTATCCCAAAAGAGGTAAATTTGAATACATTTTACCATTCATGTCTGACCGAATCGGATTATCTGAAGTGATATTTGTCAAATTATAGATTGGTTTCGGACGAATCCTCACGGAGTTTGTTTGTGATTCTTTATTCACAGCTGCACAGTAAACATTTATCAATTTCAACCTGCAAACCATTAAATCAACAACGTTCATGTCAACATTTGAGAAGTTGAATAAACCGAGAAAAGATTGCTTGATATTTCTTTATATATATATCCATTTTTTTATGTTCATAATGGGTAAGTTTCCTATATTGAGGTTCTTATCTGACTGTGAAGTTTGTGAAAAATTAATATATACGTATTTCTTCCTTTTTTCGTAAGTTCTCACTTCAGAAAATATAAATAAAAGAGGAACTTGGCTCCTCCACCATTTCTATGACGTACTTTCTGAAAATCCACATTCACACAGAGTTAAAATACGATTCCCTATGCCAGTACGACGTTGCCGACATCATCAATATATGTCTAGTTTTCCGGAAATTGTTCTTTGAATGCATAATAACTTTATCATAATAGCAATGGAATATAATAGGTTCTTCAATCCTCAAGTATTATGACTAACTCTCATTGGCTGAATGAAGTTGATTACTAATAGGGAAAAATTATATTTTGCTATAGTATCTATAATTTTTCACTATCGTTATATTACAGTAAGTAATTCATAGCGTTTCAGTCATTTTTTGCAAAGGAATTCGTTCCATAATTCTATTCTTACTTTTTTTAATATGTATTTGTTTGTTCTACAATGTGTGTCACGTGATATTTTTTTACTTGAAATTTTCTTCAATATTATTTACATATACAGGGTGTCCCTAGACCAGTGGGACAGTTGAATATCTAATTTTCAAAATATTATTATTTCACATCATATCGCATTATGAGTGCGAACTTCAGGAATGACTATATTTTCTACGAGGGGCGCAAGAAAGACTCACAAAATCGAACATAAATTTTTTCAAATGGAACACCCTGTATTTCATTGCATTTTCATATTCTCCTTGAAGAGCTGAATTCAACGACCTAGCACACTTGGGGTCTAGCGGGAATGATTTCCGAGATATAGGGTGTGGAAAATCGAGATTTTTCATTTTTGGGATTTTTTTTTGTCAAAACTATTCATTATTGGTCAAAACGGCTTACATATCCATATCTTAACTTTTGATTTACTATTTACTCGTATTTAATTGAAACAAATACAGGGTGGTGTAAAATTCTGACTGAAACTGAGAATTCTACACCACCCTGTATTTGTTTCAATTAAATACGAGTAAATAGGAAATCGAAATATAAGATATGGACATGTAAGCCGTTTTGACCAATAATGAATAGTTTTGACACAAAAAAATCCCAAAAATGAAAAATCTCGATTTTCCACACCCTATATCTCGGAAATCATTCCCGCTTGACCTCAAGTGTGCTAGGTCGTTGAATTCAGCTCTTCAAGGAGAATATGAAAATGCAATGAAATACAGGGTGTTCCATTTGAAAAAAATGATGTTCGATTCTGTGGGCCTTTCTTGTGCCCCTCGTATAAAATATAGTCGTTCCTGAAGTTAGCACTCATAATGCGATATGATGTGGAATTATAATATTTTGAAAATTCCTATCGGTTCAGAAGATATTTAACTGTCCCACTGGTCTAGGGACACCCTGCATATTATACCTGACAAATATGACCTGTCTCATCTACATAATGTAGCACAAAGGACTAATAAATCTATCTATCTATCTATCTATCTATCTATCTAATAAAACGGATCTATTTTCTAGGAAAGTTGCAGATTATATCTTGCAACAGCGCCTATGATACTTCGAGTCCGTCCACACCACTCAAAATACTGACAGGCACCACAAGAGGAAGGAGCCATGGGTGTCGGCTTTATTCTGTTCTGACCGATGGCAGTAAATTAGGAAGGATAGTATCATTGAATGTAGCCGATAGTGACTCATTGATTCAATGATATTTTCGTTCAATTTGGAGCTCTATTCGAGATATTTCAATGTTTAAATAACAAAACCATAACCTGTCAGAATGAAGCCAACTGCCCTCTGCATTCCTGCTCCGAGTGAATTTGTGGTTATGTATGTTTCTGTTTGCCAGATTCACTTATTCTTCTATTTTTCATTCGTTAGATTCAGAATGTACGTCACAGTTTGCCGCTCCGAGAATTAGAGATTGCTTTAATTTGAAAATAAAAACGACTTTATCGGTCGCCATTCTGTACAGCGTGGACATAAAACTGGAGAGTTCCGAACTCATTTTATGAAAATTCATCAGAAAGAAACTTCCCCATCATATCTGAGAATAATCCTTTTTAACAGTAACATATTTTGAAAAAAAAACATAATATGTTACATGGGTGATTGGGATTTGTATTTAAGAAAAAACTCATCATATTTCGTACCTTTCAATGAAGCTCATTTTTCCCAAATTAGTATCTCCCAATCGCAGAGCATCAATAACATGAAGGCTGTACCGTAAACCCTCAACTTCTTGTCCTTCAATTTTTGTTGTACATTTTTCTTTGACAAACTCTCCAAAGAGTAAAGTTCCTTTGCACAAGTGTATGTTTTTGACACGTACCCACTTTTTTTTCTGGAGTCGAAAAGATTTAGAATTTCCGGTAGCTGAACATACATAAATTGATTAGTCTTTCGAAATATTGGGAATCATACAGGAAGGCATTGAAATAAGTGCAAATATGTCTAGCCTTGAGTAAGATCGACGTATAATATCGAGTGGCACTAATTCCATACTGTAGCAACTCTGACGTCACCACTGTTGAAGTTTTCATGCGGTAGGTACAATCAAGTTGATTTCAATCATTTAAATTGTTCCAAAGTGACATACTTGATTTTTTTCGTTTTTTGTTCATTTTTCGGGATGAAATTTCTTGTTAATTATATTCGTTAGACTGTATCATAGCCATGTGATGAGTATATGTACTTATTTCAAAAACACCTTGTATATTGTTTACCTGCATAAATATTATCATTGCTCGTTTTTTCAGAACTATACATACAGCAGTAGTGCCAGTCTTCTGCATCAGAAATTGTCAAGTTGAAATTCTCAATATTACTGATTTGTTTTGGTTGACAATGGAAGATTTCTGGAAATTTTTTGCAATATTATTATTCTGCCTAAACTCCTTGGAAAAATGGTGAAAGTAACGGAGACTGATGTCTTTTCAACGAATTCCAAGTAGTCTATGTAAAGAGTACATGTGAGAAAATCAAATAGTACATTCAACAGCGCACGCCTCGTGGGTGTGGCCTTGTCAGTTCTCAGCGAGGTTCTCAGCATTCAGCATGTAACAGAATATCCTCAGGGGGATTTTCAGGTCGCGGAATGAGTCGTTATGGAAAGTATGTGGTTTTATGTTGCCAATCACCCACCAACGTGGTTAAGTATAATGTGGTATATGAAATCTGGAAGATGTACATAAGGCACCATTAAAATACGTGAAAAATATAAATATAAAGAGTAACTACTTCACCTGGCACTAAGTCGGTGCAAAACAACACTTTATATAAAAGCAATATTCAAACACACTGTAACTAAGAGCTACCATCAATCACAAATGCTCATAAAATCAAAAAGACGAGCGTTTCGAACAAACGATACCAAGTGCGTTTTTTGCCTTAGCGCCACAAAAACAAGGGACGATCTATTCAAAGTTTTCCAAATGAACATTCTTCCTCCATCTATTGGATTACCACGAAAACAATAGCAAATCATAGGTAGGTAACTGGCTCAAACACTGATTCCTCAGAAAATGCGATACTTATACAGGGCGTTCAGCTTCAAGCACAATTTTGCCAGGTCTCCAACAACGCACGTTCGTTATTGTTATCTCACAAACACTTGATTCATATACTCCTTCTTTTAGAAGTATGCAAGAAAAACACACTGACCAAAGAGTTCACTGAGAAACAAAAGCGGAAGAAAGACTTGCTATTTTCCTAAACAGAGCTTCTGAGAGGTGCAATAGAAGACTGTCAGTAAGTTATTGTACAGGGTGGGGCATAGAAATCAAGTGTTTGTGAAATAACAATAACGAACACGCGTTGCTCTAGCGTCTTTATGGCAAGTGACAACTGATAAAATGAAATGCTTCGGGTCGAGCAATGGATTGTAAAAAACTCTTCTAATGGCCGAGTACAATCCAAACCAAAAACACTTGGTTCCTATGCCCCACCCTGTATAAAAGTAGCGGCGATAATTTTTCCATGAGAACTTTCATCAACCACCAAAATCATATTATAATGTTGCCAAATAGCTGTTATGTGCAAGCTAACAACAGTTAAAAATACAGAAGCAAATCTCACCTGGTTCTTTTGTAACAGAATTCAGAAAATCATCAAGATTCAATTGAGGTGTAAAGATTTTTGGATTATCTGGTATTTGCCAGTATTTCAGACTCCTATTTCTGATTTCTTCTTGTCTCACTTCAATCAATGTAGGATTGCGGCAAAAAGCTGCCAATTTTTCCAGAGCAATAACTTGTTTGGCACCCAACCTGAGGAAAAAAGGACTTTGTTTTGAATGTTGTTCATATGAGTTTCTGATAATGTAATCATTATTTTTTGTTGTTTCTCTCAGGCATATGCCAATTTGAACTTCCCTTGAAAATTACCTGTTGTTTGTTTCACGGATAAATTCATAAAATTGATCATCTCTTTTCAAAATTTCTAGTGGAACAATTTCCAGAACATCCACCTCCGAATTGTCTCTCAAACTCCACAATCTCTTTACAATGTTCCACAGATATTTCTTGATACTCTGGACTGCTTCACCATCCCTCAGATTAGAACAAATAAAATATCGCTCAGAATTAGCTGGCCTTGAACTATTCGGCTTCATAATGGATACTGAAAGAAATAATTCAGTGTTCTTTTTGACGGTACAACAATAAAACACTCACTTTTTTCGAAACATTTGTATAATAAATAGAGAAGGCCCACACTGAACGGCGTAAATATGTCAAAAAGTTTTGTTACGAAATGTCCATGGGGTCTAACTATTTCCAATGCCACTAAGCACTGACATGCATATATATTCTTGGAAAGAATTTCTTGAAGGTTTTCGTTTCCTTCCACTGAAAATCCCTGAAACAAATTTTACAAATAGTCCAATAAATGAAGGAGGAAAAAAAGGCAAAGTTAACGTTAATTACGCACTATTTTCATCTTCCGGTTGGAAGTAGCTTTTGGTACCTCATTAAACATGAGACAAAGTTTGACTGGAAAACGCGTGCGATGGCGGAGAAAATGGCCCCAAAAGACCAGGAAAATAGGTTTTCAGCCAATATCTCCTAAAATATGACAGTTAGAGATTTTCGGTTCAGATAAAAATTGAAGTTTAGTTAATTTTCTACAAAAATGGTCCTTATCATTTTTCTCGAAAATTTGCCCGGTTTCGAGAAAAACGGCACGAAACGCACCTCGAATAATGAGCTTCTGTTGTATGCCGGAGAGCACAGTCCGTGTATTTACACATCGGCGGGGGGACAAATTATTCAATAACTGTTAAAAATGCATATTTTCTCATGATTCAAAGTTCATGTGGAAGAGGAATTCTTCTGCTATCATACCCTGCGTGGCCGCATGATTTGTAGCAGACGACCCGAGCGCCACGTAGAGCACACACGCGGCGAACGACGGAGGAACGAAAGTAATAAATTATAGCGTGTACATTTAGATATACTGTTTTTTTCCCGGGATATCAAAGGTATGACTTATATACATCGATGGAAAGGGGGGAATTTCCCCGTTACACTAGTTAAGTTGTTAAAATGTTAGAAATAAAGAGCACGGAGAAAAAAAAACACCGAAAAAAAGTGCGTTTTTTCCTTGACCCCGCTTTTTCTAATTTTATTGAAAAATGGACGACTTCGTCTAAAAAAGTAATTGCACAATCGAAAAGAAGACCTTCTTAGCTTTCAAATGATGTATCATAGAAACCAATCGGATCATGTATACATTTTTTATTGATAGTTGTTCACAAAATTTCCCCGCGCTCCAAAAACAGCAAAAAATTGGGATTCAATAAACAAAGATTAAATGAAAATTAAAAAAAATTAGGCTATACAAATTTCAGGGATGACAAAGGACCTTATGAGGACCCATAATCAAGAGAATTTTGAGTAAATTAGTGCAATACAAAAAAAATAGGAACAAATTCCTGGCGAGAAAATGATAAGAACCATTTTTGTAGAAAATTAACTGAACTTCAATTTTTATCTGAACCGAAAATCTCTAACTGCCATATTTTAGGAGATATTGGCTGGAAACCTATTTTTCTGGTCTTTTGGGGCCATTTTCTCCGCCATCGCACGCGTTTTCCAGTCAAACTTTGTCTCATTTTTAATGAGGTACCAAAAGCTACTTCCAACCGGAAGATGAAAATAGTGCGTAATTAATGTTAACTTTTTCCCTTTATTTATTGGACTAAAATCATTAATTTTAAACCTTCCACTAGGCAATGATACTATAACATACCCCGTCGGACATCATGAAGTGAACTCCTTTTTGGTCTGTTTCATGTAAAACTTTATCGCGAAAATCTATTATATTCTCAGGGGAGCAAACATTCCCGTCCCCATCTTTGCCATACATTGCTTGAAATGTAACAGGGGAAGCACAAATAGAGTCACCGAGTTTGAAATCATTGTCATCTTTCAAGGTTAGGCCAAACCCTTTGAAATACCAATGTTTCCGCCACAGAATATATTCTGAAAATCCACCAGGACCTGCACACACATCAGCAAAGTAAAACGGACCTTTATGATCTTTGTGGTGCTCCTGAAATTTTGGAAAACTTACATACAAGGTGATTCAGTGGCAAAGTACCATGAATTGAAGGGGTTGTAAACAAAAATACATTATGAAATGAGTCCAAATACAGTTTTTTTTTCTGAAAATGCTTGTATGCACGACCGGGCATAAAGTAGGTAAGTATAGGTTATCAGATCAACAGCTGAAAGAGGTATGGGTGAGTACTACAATGAATTAACTGCGTGAACCAATAATAATGTGTTAGCTGAAGTTATACCAGACTTGAACAAGACGTGGACATTCTTAAAGCAACTTCCCAGTTTTCTCTTTTATCGATTTTACCGAAATGAATAATCCACTGAGTATCTTGACTATCTTTGTCTACAAGCTTCTCAATTCATGGTACTTGCCACTGAATCACCTTGTATACTGCATATTCGCATATTTTTTTTTCAATATTCTGATTATTTACCCACATACATTTTCATCAATATTACTGAACATGAAATCAGTAGCGGCATCGATATTAGCAATCTTTAGAGAAGCCCTGTTCATAAAAAATACGGATTTGATAGTCTCAAATGGATTTGATTTTGCCCTTGCTTGACATAGCTCCATAATGTCCAGTTCGTCGAATATGTCCTTGAAAATAAAAATAAAAATTAATTTCAAACCTGCAAGCAAAAAGAATCTATTTCTTCAGAAACACATCAATTTCCGAGGGAAATGATGGTTTTATTTCGTTCATTTTCTGGCACAAACAGGTTCACCAAGGCAGGAGTAGACTTTTCCAGATTATTAAAGTTTTTGAAATTTTGAATATCTGGATATCAAAATGTATGTAATAAAAATAACACTGAACTCATCATTCAACCATACTGTATAGGCATATATATATATATAGTTCTTTCAATATCTAACATGGTATGCAACTTAGGAATCCAACATTCGTCATGTTCATTTTTAGACTGTGAAAATGCCTAGTTCAGACATTTTTGGTAGCTTACATGACAAAGACGAGTGGACTATAATTTTTTTCATTTCTTCCAACTCCTTATTTTTTTAGAATTCTTCGGTCGATTTTTAGGTGCTAAAATAATCAATGATGCCATCGTAATTTTCAAGCCGCTAGAAATTTACCGCGAGTAAAAACTGACGTCACAATTTCGTAAGTAAGGGCAGACCGCAGCAAAGTTGCCATGTGTTGAAATGCAATTATTCAATAATTCATAAATTCTCAATTATGTATTGGTAATATTCCTAATTAGCAATAAAAAATCAATTGTCTCATAATGTTATCTTATTAATTCACACTAGAGGACATTTGAACCGGTAAACGTGACAACACGGCGCACGAATTGTGGGCGTGGTCTTGTTAGTTCTCAGCATACAGCACAATAATATTGCCAAGTTTTCAACATTTACATAATATTTCGTTAGGGAGTATAAGAAATATTCGAACATGCTATGGTTTCTCGGATAAGTCAAGAATGAACTATACTATCAGGGGTTGCTCCTATTATGTTTTATTAAACGACAGGACTCTGACATCTTTTTGATAACTTGATTATAATTGGTGACTTGGCAACCTTGCTTCATGAGTGGGAATGGGAGATTGTCTGACCAATAACGGAACAGCATACAAATTGACGTCACCATTTATTCAAAGTATCGTCAAATGTCGGTCATTACGCTAAGTTTGAAATGAGCTCTAAGCTCTAAAATTCAACCATTTTGAACAACGTATACACTCATTTACATGGAAAAAAATGCGCGAGAATTGTTGCAGAAATTAATTCTGGTTCCTAAGGACACAGTGGAGTAATTGAATGCAAATTATTCATTATGTTGATTTAATTGATGAAAAAACATGTTTTTTTCAGGATTTCACCGATTATTTACTTCATATGATTTGGAACTACTCAGAAAGTTCATATGAGTTAAGATACCTTGTATAGAGTAGCTCCACCAATCAGAAATTTAGAATTATTTCCATTTCCCTAGTAACTAATGCATATTGTTACATATAAACAAAGACAAAACTACTCAAAAAATAATCACATCAATAACAATTCGAACTTCAGAAACTTCCAGGTTATACATATCAAACTTCCTGCACAATAATTACAAATCATGAGTTCAACAGAAAAATCCTCCCGCTTATTCCAATTGTTAAACGAACACTCTTTTTAATACTTATGCAACAAGTTATCCATTTATATCCGGAATATTTTGAAGTACTTATAGTTTCACTAATGATGGAAATAAGTAGATGGTGTGCGTAGTCGGCCATTTTTATGGTGAAATTACTGATGCGCTTTTGTTTCAGAAATTTTACTCGACCTCTCGAGAGCAATGGTTCCGTTGATCTTCTAATAGATGGCGACATTGCACAATGACTTCTGTCAGTTTTGAAATTGTAGCAGATTTTTCGAATTCAGAGTTGTTTAATCCCACTGTTACATAATTATGTTCCGCGTACCTAAAATGGAATTTGCCATTTTATTTCCACTCGTCACAGCAGCAATAGCAGCATCACCATCTAGCGGGAAAATGTAGAATCAACGTCTCGCTCGTTGTGACGTAGAGAAATCATAGTAGGCCGGTCGAGTGATTTTTCTGAAATTTTAAATACGTAATAATGGCCGAATACGCGCACCATATCTTACTTCCATCATTTTGGAAACTTAAGAAAAATCACTCGTCCGCCTACTATGATTTCTCCACGTCACATCGAGCGAGACGTTGATTCTACATTTTTCCGCTAGATGGTAATGCTGCAACTGCTGCTGTGACGAGTGGAAATAAAATGGCATTTTAGGTACGCGGAAGATATGTAACAGTGGGATTATTCAACTCTGAATTCGAAAAATGTGCGACAATTCAAAAAATTGACCAATGTCATAATTGTGCGATGTCGCCATCTATTAGAAGATCGACGGAACCATTGCTCTCGCTGTTCTCGAGAGGTCGAGTAAAATGTCTGAAACAGAAGCCCATCAGTAACTACACCATCTCTTACTTCCATCACTGTTTTACTGCCGAAAATTTCCGAACATTTGAAAACAAATTAAAAAACTCAAGTCATTATTATGCTTGGGCAGGCTCTGGTTTTTCACTTCCAATGTGAATTTTTGTCATCCTTTTTCACATTTATGGAGAAGATATAATAAATTGTATTGTAAGAGGCCAAATGAAAGGAAAAGATAATACCTTAAGTCTCATGCACAATCACAACATGTCAGCTCTCATTGGAGTATTATTCATCAGTGTACTTATCACAAATATGTCAAAATTTTAATTCACCCCAAACTAGGAGTCAATTGCTGACCAGTAATACACTTCCTTTGAGTTAAATTACTAATGCATAAGAAATGTTGTGAAATGATTCCTCCATTAGAAAATTACTCAATTTAAAAAAACCAAAATGGAATTCAAGTTCACTAATTTATGAAAAAAATACCATGATCTTCATAGAAAGTCAATTATGGCCATAACCATAATAAGACAACAGACTTACAAACCCAAAGCACTCAGAGATGTTCATGTTGTCTTTGGCTATGATCTGAAACATGAAGGGATAAGGGATGATACTTTCAAATTCATTTTGCCAAACAAGGTACCAAGCTGAAAAAGTCTATAATATGATGATGTATTACAAAACTCTGGACATTTCTCAGCACAAGATATAAGAAACAATGACAAAAATCTGTAGATGTCCATGGGTCCTCAAAGTGATGTGAATGGATGAATTTTAGTAGATAAACTACAAGTCATTTCCACAATTACTGACTAATGCATAAAATTGTCTTGAAATATGTCTAGTTAGGTACTATTTCAGAGCTGATAACCAACTCTCCAAGTTTTAACTGATATGGGGTAAAAAAGGAATCATCTATGATTTTTTTCCTCAGATGAAAATGAAAAAAAACTTATGGCCCTTGTAAGTTCACTCACTTTAGCTCTGAGCACCTTATGTAAAATTTCTTGATCACAAAAGTTGACTTCATCGAAAATATCATGTTTTGGAGGGCCTTCTCTAGTCCATGATTGCATTGCTTCAAAACCCAAGTCAGATTCTTCACAATTTGACAGCCACTTGAGATCTTCCTTTACATCAACTACCTAGAAATAAAGCCTGAATATGTCTGAATTATAGATCTGTTTTCAACTATCTAGATAACCCATTTCACAAACATAGATATCATTACTGGCTCCACTGGAACTTGAGTGTTTTGTCTTCCATATACAGAGAACTGCACAAAGAATGGCCAGTGCTGTAACTACTAAATCATTTGAAATTGGATTTTGAAATTTGGTGGGTAGGAAGTATACCAAATTGCTCATGCATCAAAAAAACTATTTTTATTATTTATCACCTCTCCTTCAATAGAAGGCACTTTTTACTTGCTACCCACCAAATTTCAAGATCAGACCTTTCAGAAGTTACCTACAAAAATGAATATTGTTGTTGATGTTTTCTGAATATGGGCATGTCTGTAGCATATATTTTGAAGACTGATTTTTTTCCAAAGAAATAGTGTTGCCACAAAACCAATGATAATTGAATATTAGAATAGTTGCTAAATTTGCAAGATGAACCTTTAATGTAATAGAAACAAAACCTGGGGTATTGCCAAAACTGATCCCCTCAATAAGTTAAGCAAGTTGAGAATGTTCAGAATAAATATCAAGATAGGTTGGAGCAATTCAACTTTGTTGTAGCTTAGGTTTTAGCCAAACTTTGTCCTAACCTACTTCTCTTGTGAAATCCCAATATTCAGCAGGAGCATTGAGATTTTTGAGTTTCAACCCAAAACCTTTCTTGCCCAGTTGATATGACATATCTATTGTTTTTGTAATTCCTTGTGCATTTTTTCCCAATCCTGTTCCCTCTTTGTACCCCATTTTCACCTAAAAATAAAACTTTTATAATACTAGATTAAAGATAATTGCTGGTAATGAAGAAAATGAAGCTAAAAAATTATACCATCATCCTGAGGGCTTTATCATGATTTTTCGCACGTTCATCTTGAACAGGAATTTTCTCTTCATGAATATGAAATGTCTTCCACTCATCACTCATAATATTGGTTGGTTCACTATCTGCAACAACTATAGTATGTACAAAAATAATAAATATTGACAATTATATTTACCACCAAGTTTACCACTGTCTTTTTCTGAAGAATAGGTAATCATTATTTTTGAAATTATGGAATGAAATTTGTATTAAAGACAAGTGTATGACCGACAGGATCCAGATAAGGATAACCTAATCATAGTGATTAGATAGTGATAGGGTGTCCATAGAGAACCTCTATGCATGTGTTCAAAATTGCATAGAGAATGAATTATTAATCAAAGTATCAGATTTTCATTAAATTTTAAATATAAAACATGTCTTGTTTTGAATTATTTGAGGTTAAAGCAAAATACATGTTCTTCTTCTTTTCTTATACAGATCCTTCTACCAGCTAGGGCAAAACCACAGCCGTCTTCAACTGAGGAAACAAACGTAACGTCTCGGGACAGGTCCGTACTCCATAATATGATAGTGTAGGCATGTAACTTTGATAGGAGGTTTCTTTGCAAAAACTCCACAAACAATAAGATTTACACAAAAATGGATTTCCAACGGCCGAGTGAATTCAAAACAAGATTTTTTAATACTGAATATAGATGAATTTGAATGTGCAAGCATTTTTTTCTGAACGGAGACAAAAACATTGTTTTTGTCTAGTTGATACGACAGAATATGGTACTCACTCCTAAAATCTGAGTATGGAAGTAGTAGATCCAAAACTAATTAATGAATACAGTCTCTTTCTGCCAACTCCTGTAAGTATTCAATATCACAGGCATTTTCATCAGATATTCGATAATCTTTCCAAATGGTAATAACCATCTTAGTCAATGTCTTGATGTCCTATGAGGGAATGAAGGAAACAATTGAAGCTTGATTGAAAAATGTACAACAAATGTTTTTTATTAAAAAAAATCACGGGTACTTGAGACGAGTAAGTAAAATAAAAATACACAACTATAAAAAAATGAAATTCCAGTTCACTCCAAATTCCATCGAAATTAACGGCTTCAATCGGAATCATCAGAGTCATCGAATGTGTATTTAGACTTCTGCGCAACCCTCCCCGCCCTAGCAGGCCTATTAACCGCCGGACGCTCGCTCTCCTCCTCGCTATCACTTCTCTTCCCCTTCGATTTCTCGATATCGAAATCATCATCCGAAGATTCAGTCTTCTTCTTCCTTCCCTTCGTTTTCTTAGGGACATCCTCCGAATCACTGGACACCACCTTCTTCTTCTTCGCCTTCGGTTTCTTAGGCGACGAATCGTCCTCGCTACTCTTCTTCTTCTTCTGCAAAGGCTTCTTAGCCTTCGCGTTCGTCTGCGGCTTGCTCTCGAACATATCGTCGCTCGAGTCAGCCAAAGGTTTGTTCTTCTTCGATACCAACCCATCCGAATCCGATTCGTCGTCTATTATCTTCCGCTTGTTGGCATTTGTTTCCTCCAGTTTATCATCCTTTTTCCTTCCCACCAGCGAATCGAACATATCCTCGGACGTTTCGTGTTTGGAGGGGGGTTTTTCTTCTTCGTCCTCGGAGGTCAACAGCACTTCCGGCTTGGTGGTGTCTTTGACGGCTTCGTTGTCGAAGAGTTCGGGTTCCCCTTCCGATTTCGATTCGTCTTCGTCGGAAATACTGTACTTGGTGACTTTTGTGGCAGCCCGTCTGTTGAGAACGCGCTCTTTGACCAGCGAACTGTTTGCGCTCGAGTTGACGAATTCGACGTCCGATCCCGAGTCGGAATCGGCTTCGTCTTCGGAATCGGTGTTGTCCTTTCTCTTTCTGCCTTTCTTCTTCGGCGACCCGTTGACTGAAATAAAATGAGTCTTGAAGTGAGAAAACTCTCCGCAAGTGGAGTCATTTCTTATTAAAATTCCTTCTGCCACTTCTTTAATAAGAGCTAATACTGCTAATAGATTGAAAATGTCTACAACACACACGATCATATTTCGTCAGAATGTCAGACCAGTCGTCCCGTTTGATTGGCTGAATCAAATCTTCTTGCATTCTTTTAGAAATTTCACAAGTATTTCTATTAGCTCCTATTGCAGAAGGTATTCCGATGAAAAATCAGAGAAATTAACAAATTTTAAAATGAAAACTATATGTGAGTGTACAACAGCCCAATGTGATAACATGCGCGAATTAATGAATAGCCGAAAAACACAATTCCCATGCCAAAATAATTGTGAAAAACTATTTCAATCATTTGAAATCAAATAAGAAAAGTGAGGTTATGTTTAAATGTTTCACCTCCAGGGTCGGTCATCTGACAGTTCTTGCAAGTAAACCATATGCATGCATATACACACTACTATCTAGACCGCTAATGTCATAAGATACAAGCTATCCCACGGTATCTATGAGCAACAAGAAGAACTACTTTTTGTTGACTAGCGAAGGGTAGAGATCGGTAATGCAGAATATATTCGAGATGTTTTTATCCAACAATGCACATGCACAAGCATGTCGAAATGAACGAATCTGTGGGTAAAATTGAAAAATTTCGGAAAATGGAGACGTAGTAGCCTACCGGAGTGCAAATATTGGCAGTTAGAGCGGAAAGCTGACTTTGAGCGTCGATATCTCGAAAACCATCTTTTCTATCGGGCTGATTATGGTCTCATTCGATTCAGCGTGTCATTTTCTACTGGAGAAGCGATAATTCGCGTGAATTTCCGCCGTTTTCTGGCACTTTTGGCCGTCCGAAGATAGCTCGGTGATTATATCGTATTGAAGTCTCAGGTGGGAAAAAGAAAACTTTTATTTGGCCTATTAAAAATCTGAAAAAATTCACATAGACTAATTCAATGTCGAAATGAACGAATCTGTGATGAAAATCAGGACATTTTGGAAAATGGAGACGTAGCAGCCTACCGGAGTGCAAATAATGGCAGTTAAAGCGGAAAGCTGACTTTGAGCGTCGATATCTCGAAAACCATCTTTTCTATCGGGCTGATTATGGTCTCATTTGATTCAGCGTGTCATTTTCTACTAGAGAAGCGATAATTCGCGTGAATTTCCGCCGTTTTCTGGCACTTTTGGCCGTCCGAAGATAGCTCGGTGATTATATCGTATTGAAGTCTCCGGTGGGAAAAAGAAATTTTTTATTTGGCCTATTAAAAATCTGAAAAAATTCACATAGACTAATTCAATGTCGAAATGAACGAATCTGTGATGAAAATCAGGACATTTTGGAAAATGGAGACGTAGTAGCCTACCGGAGTGCAAATAATGGCAGTTAAAGCGGAAAGCTGAATTTGAGCGTCGATATCTCGAAAACCATCTTTTCTATCGGGCTGATTATGGTCTCATTTGATTCAGCGTGTCATTTTCTACTGGAGAAGCGATAATTCGCGTGAATTTCCGCCGTTTTCTGGCACTTTTGGCCGTCCGAAGATAGCTCGGTGATTATATCGTATTGAAGTCTCAGATGGGAAAAAGAAAATTTTTATTTGGCCTATTAAAAATCTGAAAAAATTCACATAGACTAATTCAATGTCGAAATTAACGAATCTGTGATGAAAATCAGGACATTTTGGAAAATGGAGACGTAGTAGCCTACCGGAGTGCAAATAATGGCAGTTAAAGCGGAAAGCTGAATTTGAGCGTCGATATCTCGAAAACCATCTTTTCTATCGGGCTGATTATGGTCTCATTTGATTCAGCGTGTCATTTTCTACTGGAGAAGCGATAATTCGCGTGAATTTCCGCCGTTTTCTGGCACTTTTGGCCGTCCGAAGATAGCTCGGTGATTATATCGCATTGAAGTCTCAGGTGGGAAAAAGAAAATTTTTATTTGGCCTATTAAAAATCTGAAAAAATTCACATAGACTAATTCAATGTCGAAATGAACGAATCTGTGATGAAAATCAGGACATTTTGGAAAATGGAGACGTAGTAGCCTACCGGAGTGCAAATATTGGCAGTAAAAGCGGAAAGCTGACTTTGAGCGCCGATATCTCGAAAACTATCTGTCCTATCGGGCTGATCATTGTCTCATTCGATTCAGCGTGTCATTTTCTACTGAAGAAGCGATAATTCGCGTGAATTTCCGCCGTTTTCTGGCACTTTTGGCCGTCCGAAGATAGCTCGGTGATTATATCGTATTGAAGTCTCAGGTGGGAAAAAGAAAATTTTTATTTGGCCTATTAAAAATCTGAAAAAATTCACATAGACTAATTCAATGTCGAAATGAACGAATCTGTGATGAAAATCAGGACATTTTGGAAAATGGAGACGTAGTAGCCTACCGGAGTGCAAATAATGGCAGTTAAAGCGGAAAGCTGACTTTGAGCGCCGATATCTCGAAAACTATCTGTCCTATCGGGCTGATCATTGTCTCATTCGATTCAGCGTGTCATTTTCTACTGAAGAAGCGATAATTCGCGTGAATTTCCGCTGTTTTCTGGCACTTTTGGCCGTCCGAAGATAGCTCGGTGATTATATCGTATTGAAGTCTCAGGTGGGAAAAAGAAAATTTTTATTTGGCCTATTAAAAATCTGAAAAAATTCACATAGACTAATTCAATGTCGAAATGAACGAATCTGTGATGAAAATCAGGACATTTTGGAAAATGGAGACGTAGTAGCCTACCGGAGTGCAAATAATGGCAGTTAAAGCGGAAAGCTGACTTTGAGCGCCGATATCTCGAAAACTATCTGTCCTATCGGGCTGATCATTGTCTCATTCGATTCAGCGTGTCATTTTCTACTGAAGAAGCGATAATTCGCGTGAATTTCCGCTGTTTTCTGGCACTTTTGGCCGTCCGAAGATAGCTCGGTGATTATATCGTATTGAAGTCTCAGGTGGGAAAAAGAAAATTTTTATTTGGCCTATTAAAAATCTGAAAAAATTCACATAGACTAATTCAATGTCGAAATGAACGAATCTGTGATGAAAATCAGGACATTTTGGAAAATGGAGACGTAGTAGCCTACCGGAGTGCAAATAATGGCAGTTAAAGCGGAAAGCTGACTTTGAGCGCCGATATCTCGAAAACTATCTGTCCTATCGGGCTGATCATTGTCTCATTCGATTCAGCGTGTCATTTTCTACTGAAGAAGCGATAATTCGCGTGAATTTCCGCTGTTTTCTGGCACTTTTGGCCGTCCGAAGATAGCTCGGTGATTATATCGTATTGAAGTCTCAGGTGGGAAAAAGAAAATTTTTATTTGGCCTATTAAAAATCTGAAAAAATTCACATAGACTAATTCAATGTCGAAATGAACGAATCTGTGATGAAAATCAGGACATTCTGGAAAATGGAGACGTAGTAGCCTACCGGAGTGCAAATTATGGCAGTAAGAGCGGAAAGCTGACTTTGAGCGCCGATATCTCGAAAACTATCTGTCCTATCGGGCTGATCATTGTCTCATTCGATTCAGCGTGTCATTTTCTACTGAAGAAGCGATAATTCGCGTGAATTTCCGCTGTTTTCTGGCACTTTTGGCCGTCCGAAGATAGCTCGGTGATTATATCGTATTGAAGTCTCAGGTGGGAAAAAGAAAATTTTTATTTGGCCTATTAAAAATCTGAAAAAATTCACATAGACTAATTCAATGTCGAAATGAACGAATCTGTGATGAAAATCAGGACATTCTGGAAAATGGAGACGTAGTAGCCTACCGGAGTGCAAATTATGGCAGTAAGAGCGGAAAGCTGACTTTGAGCGCCGATATCTCGAAAACTATCTGTCCTATCGGGCTGATCATTGTCTCATTCGATTCAGCGTGTCATTTTCTACTGAAGAAGCGATAATTCGCGTGAATTTCCGCTGTTTTCTGGCACTTTTGGCCGTCCGAAGATAGCTCGGTAATTATATCGTATTGAAGTCTCAGGTGGGAAAAAGAAAATTTTTATTTGGCCTATTAAAAATCTGAAAAAATTCACATAGACTAATTCAATGTCGAAATGAACGAATCTGTGATGAAAATCAGGACATTCTGGAAAATGGAGACGTAGTAGCCTACCGGAGTGCAAATTATGGCAGTAAGAGCGGAAAGCTGACTTTGAGCGCCGATATCTCGAAAACTATCTGTCCTATCGGGCTGATCATAGTCTCATTCGATTCAGCGTGTCATTTTCCACTGGAAAAAGTCAGAACATCGAAGTTGGTGATTTTTCTGGTTTGGAAAGAAGGTTGTTCAGCAACTTGCAGATAGATGGACTCGAGCAGAGAGCCGAGAGTTTAGACAAATCAGCCATATTTTGCTGAGTTTAGCTAGCCCGGCCAACGAACCAGCCATGAACTAAGGCCATATTTAGCTAATACAAGGTGGATCATCTTATCTGCTGTCTTTGAACAGTCTATGGAATTGCTGTAGGGTATTGAAATTGTGTTTTCTGAAGTATTATAGCAAATTCTCTCGAAAATTCATGTTATGTACTTCTACATTATTTCTGTTTTGTGGACATTCAATTATTTTCGATTCACACACTTCAGAACTTGCATATCGAGAAAAAAATTATTGCATTCACAATAATTATGTGTTTCAAGAAGAAGAGATATTAATAATGGTACAGCTAAGTTAGAAGACAAATGATCAGTGTTTCGGTCTAAATTTTCTTTCCTGAAAATATGCAGTGCTGCCAAAAATAATCCAAGAGTTTTTGACTGTTTGAATTTGAATATTTTTCGACCATGTTATGTAGAATAATTATTGGAGAATTGACATTTTTAGTGCATGACCATTTTTTTCACAAACGAATATTCAACGCAGTAACCGATTATCAGTTCAAATGTCATCAAAAATGGTCAACCTGTAAGTTCAATAAATGTAAAATGGTTGAAAATTTTCCAATTCTACATCAAATAGCCAAAAACTACACACTTCCATTGAAAACGCATATTGGGTCGAACTAACCTTTAGCAAAGTTGAGTTTTGTTTGTTTCAAGCCATCATTTCCAGTTTCCTTCTTCTTTCTTGGTTTCTTGATCAGTTCTTCGGGCGTGCCCAATTTATCTTTCAAGGTCTTCTTGCTCTTCACCATATCATCAAACTCGTCGACGTCATCCTACGGTAAAAAGCAAATATAAATTGACTGGCATTGATCATGAAGTATCAATTTAAGAATATTTCTGAACATTTTAAAGGATCTGAAGACTTCCTGGGATTCATAGAAATATCCATACAATATTCGAAATAAAGTGCGCAAAGAAACAAGTGGACCACTGAAATTTTCGACAATTTTCAAACTGCCATAACTTTTTGAAAAATTAATAGATTTTCAATCGGAATGCAGTGTTTGGAAGATGCGATCTTTTTGTTCAAGATTCCTTACGAGAGAATTTAGACGCTCCCGTATTTCAGGGAATTTTTTTTATTTTTCTATTAATCATTTTTTTCGAACGTTCAAGCTCATATCCCAAAACGGTTTTGTAATTTCCCATATTCCTCATACAGGATGTTGAAAATCGATAATTTTTCATTTTTAGGTTTTCATCACATCATTTCTGATTTTGCCACTCTATACGATGGAACACATCCTAGAAAATGGATTGATATTGCGTTGAAATCATCGACATCTTTAGCAGAAGAAGAATTAATTTTTTTGGAGAAATGTTCAGAATTTGGTGAAATCGTCTGTTCAGTTTAGTGCTGCCATAACCATAAGCTATGCTAAACACCAATTATTCATTTGGATCGATTGCTCTGCTCAGTATCGCGAATTGATTTCGTGAATTTTCAGATAAGGCAATGCAAGGGGGAGCAAGGAGGCCCTTCTGGATTTTTTTGAACAATTCATACAATTAACGATGCTACAATGGTTGTAAGATAATCCTGAGCTGACATGGAGTCAAGAAATATATTTATCACAAGGTTTTTATCGCGTAATCGAACATCAATCGAAAAAGTCGATTCCTTGTAATCAACAATCATTTATGCAATTAATACCACTGCAACACCCAATATGTTCGACAGGAGGCATTATATTGGGTGTTGCAGTGGTATTAATTGCTTAAAGGATTGTTGATTACAAGAAATCGACTTTTTCGATTGATTTCCGATTACGCGATGTAAAACCTTGTGATAAATAGGTTTCTTGACTTTATGTCAGCTCAGGAATATCTTAAAACCATTGTAGCATCGTTATTGTATGAATTGTTCAGAAAAATCCAGAACGGCCTCCTTGCGCCCCCTTGGATTGCCTTATCTGAAAATTCACGAAATCAATTCGCGATACTGAGCAGAGCAATCGATCCAAATGAAGTATTTGTGTTTAGCATAGCATATGGTTATGGCAGCACCAAACTGAACAGACGATTTCACCTAATTCTGAACATTTCTCCAAGAACATTATTTCTTCTTCTGTTAAAGTTGTCGATGATTTCAACGCAATATGAATCCATTTTCTAGGATGTTTTCCCTCGTATATAGTGGCAAAATACGTTGAATGTGGCATAATTTTAAAATTCGGAAATGATGTGATAAAAACCTAAAAATGAAAAATCATCGATTTTCAACATCCTGCATGAGGAATATGTAAAATTACAAAACTGTTTCGAGATATTGGCTAGAACGTTCGGACGAAACGCTTAATAGGAAAATAAAAAAAATTCCCTGGAATACGGAAGCATTCGAATTTTTTCATTTGTGTAATACTTTTTTCGAACACTTGGTGTATAATGACAGAAAAAATCCCGACGAAATTTGAACAACGAATCTTGAACAGAAAGATCGCATCTTCCAAACACTGCATTCCGATTGGAAATCCAATCATTTTTCAAGAAGATACGGCGGTTTGAAAATTGTCAAATATTTCAGTGGTCCACTTGTTTCTTTGAGCACTTTATAGACTGTTGGCCCGCGACACAGGGTTTATCGATGTTCTAAGTCGGTATGCCATTTAAGGGACCCACTCACTCAGTCCGAGTTAGCAATAAGAAGTGCCTCGGAGAGTCGCAACTCAGTCCTTGCCCCGGCCCTGTCCTCACCTTTCGGTTGGAAAAAGTTCAAAATTTAGTTTAAGAAGAAGCTCGGCAATGCAGTGCAATGATCTTATCTCACGAAAATTGGGGCTCTTGCCGGTTTGCATACGCCTAGGTCACTCCCCAAGGGCGGCATACGAACCGGAAGTGGGAATTTTTCAGTGTTATAGTCGATGATCGAAGAATGTATGCCCTTTGGCGAAACAATGAATTCTGACCCATTAATCAGTTTCCCGACATTTGCATACGATTCCGGAGAGGGGAGCTCGATTTATTCGAACATCATTTGACTGGATATTCTTCGAATAATCGATAATCGAAGAAATGTTCAAATTTTGACCATGGTTAGTGGACCACACAGTATATATGAGATGATAGTTTGCATACAATTTGCACATTCCGTACAGGGTGTTTCACCATAAATATCTTCCATTGTAACTTAGTTGTTTCTGAACCGATTTTAAAATTTCAAAAACCAATTAAAATGATTTTCCTAAGAGATTTTCCATTGTTATCAAAAAATTCACAGGCTGTTCATAACAAATGAACTATATGGGATAGTGGTTGATTTTTTTTTACTGGAACACTATATTTTATTTCACTATCGAGTTGAGATTATCATGACATATACAACTCTACAGCATCTAGCGATATCATTTACACGCAGCACTCTTATATATAGCGATCATGCGCCAAATTGTCAAATTGTGCCAGAAATATGAATCCCGGGTTTGAAGTATTTCCTTTTTTTTGCTGAAACAATTTTCATATTTGAACAATGATTTGCTGCGTCAGCCGGGTAGAGTGTAGCACGTAATGATTTAGGCATTCAATAATGTACTTCCTCTTTATCGGAGATCCGATATTTAAATATCTGAAAAACCATTTACTTTTGTATAATGTTTATTACAGATTTATTCACTTCCTACTGCCTCCCCTACCAGTGGTATGAATCGGATTACCATTAACCCTGTATTTAAGTACAGCGTGTGGATCTTATCGCTAAACGCCAGTCAACTATACTGGGTTTGATGAAGTTATGTCATTGTCAGTTACATAAAAAATAATGAAGGGGGCTGGGCCCTTGATACTTTTTTGGGTACGATTTCAATTGGTACCTTGGTGAAGCTCTTCCAGCAGAGGTTGGTGATATCATAATCTCTGAGACTTCAACTGAGAATGTAGGTATCAGGTATATCTTTCGAGCATGCCAAGATTTTTCAATCATCAAATGATATTCTAACTATAACAGGTACTGATGACAACTCTGGAGAATCACTTCAGACAGCGAGAGCAAAGATGACTCTGGAGATAATGATAGAGAGGACGACGTATAATTTTTCTTTTGAAACATTATGTTGTTTTCATTTAATATAATTTCATTTTCAAATAATTTTTTTTTTTCGTGAAAAACAAAGATGTAGATTAAAGTTCAGGATACAGAACCCATACTATACCCAAAACATTCAACAAATTGAATGTACATTCTTTATATATTTTTCAGACGCCAGTATTATGATAAGCAGTCCCATAAGCCCCAGGGAAAAATTTCAATTCGATTTATTGTTTCTATCATGAGCAATAATCCCTGTACGAATTCTCTTGATCATCCTGCGAGTATCTTGTTGTCATTTCTTTTCATCATCTTTTCAAAGCCCTGTTTTCCAAATTAAAATCACCCAAAACAATTTCTTGGTACTCAACCTCACACAAGTAATTTTGTTGAGCTGTAAATTTCTGATGAATAAATACAAATATATCTGCAATTTGCGTCTTCCAATATCCCCATCACTCCCAGGAAGTTTTTCTTTAACCCGGTTTCATGTGAAGTGAGATTATGAGACTTCCCGATTATCTAGTTCGCTTTCGGTGAACCTCTGGCCTGAAATGCGGGGCGCCGCGCCGGACCGAGGCACGCGCTGGTTTGCCCGATTATTACAACGTATGCTCACATTGAATTCGTATGCAAATAGCAGCCAGTTATGAAGAATATCCTAGTTTGGTCTGGAGATTTGCATACGAACTTAAATCATCGATTATTTGAAAGATGTCTAGTCAATTGATGTTCGAATAAGTCGAGCTCCCCTCTCCGGAATCGTATGCAAATGTCGGGAAACTGATTAATGGGTCAGAATTCATTGTTTTGCCAAAGAGCATACATTCTTCGATCATCGACTATAACACTGAAAAATTGACACTTCCGGTTCGTATGCCGCCCTTGGGGACTGACCTAGGCGTATGCAAACCGGCAAGCGCCCCAATTTTCGTGAGATAAGATCATTGAACTTCATTGCCGAGCTTCTTCTCAAACAAAATTTTGAACTTTTTTCCAACCGAAAGGTGAGGTCAGGGCCGGGGCAAGGACTGGGTTGCGACTCTCCGAGGCACTCCTTCCTGTTAACTTGGACTAAGTGAGTGGGTCCCTTAAATGGCATACCGACTTAGAACATCGATAAACCCTGTGTCGCGGGCCAACAGCCTATTATTTCCTATGTTTCGGACCCAACAATTATCAATTTCACCATTATATTGAGAAAAACATAATTTTGGTCCCAACATAATTTCTTGATATGTGTTTGTTTAAATCTACTAAATGATCTACTTACTCCTTCCGTGATTACTTCTTTTTTAACTCCCTTCTTCAATCTTGACTCTTTAGTTTTGGCGGCGGTCTGGATTTTCTTCTTTATTTCCTCAGTGATGACTGGTTCGACCCTTTGAGCGTTAGCAGAAGGCATGATTTCGAAGAATTTCGTTTTTGCCTTACCCTAAACAAAAATATTGTATTTCGATATGACGATTTTCATAAAGAAAAGTCAATTCATTTAATTAAAAATTCTACAAACCTTAACGAAACAAACCTGACAAACATAAGGCAACAAATACTAGTAATACAAAACAACAATATCACAATGATAGTCAGGGATATTTAAATTCGTATTTTGGCAACAAAGTATTTTTCAAGATATTCTCCAGAAATTACGCAGCTTAGTTGCCAAAATACATATTTAGATAATCCTAAATATTTTATTATTTTGATTAGTATTTGAAAAAATCATGGTGAAGGTGGTTTCAGCTAGAGTCCCTGTATATACCTTAGACAAGAGTCCGGACACAAAACTGAAAGTCGTTGGGGTTTTCAATATTTTGTTTCATTTGGTTCGCCCACCTGACAATGTGACGAAGCACCATAGGCGTCCCGCCCGCTTTTTATAATTATTTCGAATTTCTGTCACTGTCACTTTGAAATTTTATGACCGCCAATATTTAGCATTTTGAATTATTTCAAAGTCCTGCTGTGTACATTATTGCGATAATTCATTAGAAAAGGGATTCAATTTTCCGAATGATCCTTTTAAGATGATGTCATGGAAGAATGCAATGAAACGTCCAAAATGGAAGATTAATTTCAAGAAATCCGCGATATGTGAGGTAAATATTCAAATTTACTTGTAAAAACGGTACAAAAAAAGATAAATTTTAGGCCCATTTTGATAGAGATTCTTTCAAGCTAATGGATTTCAAATTGAAAGAGTCTGCTGTGCCGTCAATTTATAAAATAGAGACGTTCAAAAAAAGAGTTCCGTTGTCATCGTATTGGGAATTACTGAATGATACGACCGCAGAGAAAAAAAATGAGAATGAGATGATGCGCAAAGAAATTGAAAGTTTGAAATAAAAACTAGAAGATTTAGAGAAATTGCAATGTGCTATGTCATCAGTCCACGGTGTTTTTAATTCAGATCAAATTCAAAATGTACAGGTGAATGTAGACTGCAGAAAGAGGTGGGAAACTGACACAATTAATAAAGCACTGGCTATCAAATTCTCTTGTGGTACCACTGGATATGAACACCTGTTGAAATTAAAATTATATTGAAACAATTATATATCTTCTATTTTTTTATATCCCAACAGAAAACAACTATATTTTCTTGGCTATATGTGATACCACGTAGAACACTCAAATTATTTTTCTTATATCGGATAAAGTGAAGGAATATCTGATAACGAAAATTTGCAATAGCAATCTCAGGAATTGATTATGAAAATTATCAATTCGAAATTTGAACACCCTGTTGTTCATTATTTGAAAATCTATTAGTTATTCTAGTGAAAATACGGCTATGAACGGTTTGGCAATTAATCTAACCCTTAAAATTGTTTCTGACAATCATTGATACTAGGGGAATTGAAAAGACAGAGGTCGATGTATATGTCTTCATCAATACATTTTTTGAAAACAGAAAAGGACAGAAGTATAGCTGTGTCCGGACTCTTCTCTAAGGTATATACAGGGACTCTAGTTTCAGTTGCCCCTGAAGGGATATATTCTCGATATTGCTTGCAAAAGGTATATATATCAAATCGTTGACGTATGTCGGGAATGTTTATAAAAATAATCACCTCCCCGCTAACGAATTTATTCCAGTTAACGTCTCCACACTGTATATCTAACTACGCATGCATTTTGTCTTAAAATATCTCACCCTTCCCGATTTCGTTCCATCCTTGGTAGCATAAATCAATGAAACAATGATTGACAATAGCAGAAAATTTCAAAATATAATGCTAAATAATAATAATATGAACATCGTTCGTACCTAGAGGATAGGGAGAGGAAGTGGGTATTGGAAACTCTTGGGGATTATAAGTTCTTGGGAATACTTCATTTGTCAAAGAATTCCAAAATTTTGCCGTCCTCAAGACAAACGAGTTTTGGTAAAGAGTTGTTCGACATATTCCAAATAATAATTTGACTTATGTTAGCATCTAGCAACTAGATGCGCTACTGCTCAGTGGAATATACTTAGATCAGAGCCTATGACAGACGTGTGTGAAGACTGGCTCATACAATGTTCGGCGGGCAGTCGAGTTAAGAGCAAGTGTAACCCTTGTCCATGTCATTTGTGCTCGTGTTCATTGAATTATATCATAATATAACAACTTACTAGTCCCTTTTTCGTCCGCTGTTTCAGTTCTTCCGCCTGTGCTTCTTTTTCCTTCTTTTCCAGCTTGTCCAACTGAACGATGAACTCGTCCAAATCCTCCCGCCACAGATCGGAAGGCTCCTTCTTTTTCAAAATCTCCAACACGGCCAACTTCTCATCCCTCTGCCTGAGCAATTCGTTTTTCTTCTCTTCCGTCAACATCCACATCGACATACTGAGCAGGTAATCGAACTTCTTGGCTTCCGGACCCATGGCCTCCGGTTTAGTCTTCTTCTTCTTCTCGTCTTCCTCTTGAGATTCTTCTTCTTCCTGCTCCGGCTGGTCGCTTTCATCGTCCTCATCTTGCACCCTCGATTTCCAAGTCTGAATCGGATCAGGATCGTAACCTATCGGAAACATGGGCTTGAGACGAGATATTCATAGATATTGTGACATTCCATCCCTGACAATCTACACTAACAATGTTTAGTACTTGTATATAGTTTGGTACTCATATTACCCTATATAAGATATATCAATTTGTTGCAAGACGACGATTTGTTGGAACATAATATTTGAACCAATAAAATCAATAGATAAAGAAGGCATCGAACATATTGGTCCTTCGAGCCGGATTTGGCCATAAAAACAGGTATAGTCGATTCCAAGTCAGTTGTTATATTTCATGTTATGCAATATCGTGAATTTCAATAATTATTTAAAAAAGTTAGAGCTCTGAGGAGTTAGGGTTAGTACTTTGAAAAAATGAAATACAATTTTTTACTGAAACAGACTCATTCATTATTTTATGACATAACCCCAACCTGAATTTGCCCTCGATTCACGTGAGTCACGACACAGCATATTTCCGAGAGAGATGAGAAAACGGGAAAGCGCCGTTTTATCTCGTTTCAAAACTATCACAGACTTTTTTCGGATTCAATTTGATGCGCACCTGATTCTGCGCAGTCCAAGTACCGTTTCAACAATTTGGAACACGAACAAACCTATCGTCAGATCGTATATCCCACCACATGCTTTATTCTTGACTGGAACATTCCATAACCTGTATTGACAAAACTTACCTCGCTTCAATAATTCGTCAACGATTGTTTTCCGTTTCTTGTTCTCCACTGTGAGCTCCCCATTACATTTTTCCAAGATGAATCTCGCTTTATTACTCAATTGTGCTGCTTCTGACCCAAGCATACCTTCCAAATAGTCTTTGCGTTTCTGGTACATTTTCAGACGTAAGGTGTAAAACTCTTGAAGGATCGTCATTACTGAATCGTACCTAGAATAATATTAGCTTTTCAGCCAACGATCCGAATTGTGCCTATTTCTTCGAACTACGAATTCAGTGCGCCCGTTTCCAAAGTTGATATTCACAAAAACTTATACGGGATGATTTATGAGGAATGTCACACAGCAAAATAGTGAGTGAAAGAAATCAAGACGAATTGTAAAAAGAATTATGGCCATTCATACGTTTTTGTTCATTAGATTACATACACTCGATAAGCAGTGACAGTGAGACATAACCAAAAACGTTTTGAAGTAAATCATATGTTTTGTCAGACAAGGACAAGAATATGTTTTTCTCCTAGATAAAGGCTTCTTGAATCTTCCTTCCTCTATGTTCAGGGAAGAGTACATCCATATATCTTTATTTGTCTTTAATTTTTGAATGAGTGTTTAATGTCTCCTCGAGTGGGAAAAAGGGTACGATAAATTGATTGGAAAATAATTTCTTCTTGAAATATGGAATGATAGGGCTGAAGAACGATGGAGGTCGATGGCCAGTTGGTATGTTTCATCATTGAAGTACATATACTATTACTATGAAATGATAAGGAACTGAAAGGAAAATATCTATGCCTACGTTTGCAGTTTTTCATTTGAATAATATTTGTATCACAAGAGTTCAGAATGGCGTTCAAATTGATAAATTACAACCAATAAAAAATATTTTTATTTCAGATGGAACATTTTTGCTTATGCAAGAGTGGTAGCAACAATAACATGATAATAGCTACATATCAATATGAAGTAATAGTACGATGGATTCATGATATATACGGAATAGGAAACCATTAAGTATATCTGAACACTTTACAGCGCTCAACTCACTAGAGATCGCCGTTCGTTGTTGGTTCGAATCCAGCCATGGGAAGATAATTTTCCCTGAGTGTTCTTGTCCAGTCACCATATTTTGGCACCACAGAAGTTTTACAAAATTCACTATAAGCTGTAGAGGTCCCGTAGCAAAAGTTCAAACTTGGGATTTCAACTTCCAAGGAAGTGATACACAAGTAATTCAATTTGACTAACCTTTAAAATTTATGTCATGTACTGTCAGTTCCCGTTTTTTTCATCAATTTATTTGTGGTTATGTCTGACTGTCAGAGCTTGTCAGTGTCCATATACAAAAACATCAACACAGGGGCTCCGTGGCCGAGTTTGTCTATGCGCTGAAATTCGCTAGATAGCCGTTCACGATGCAGAGGTACTGTCGGTTCGAATCCGGCTGTCGGCTGAGCATTTTTCTTTAAAATGTGTTATTCATGGTTGTAATCCTGGCAGCACCTCGATGCCCTAGAAGTGGTTCGAATTCCACTATAAGCTGTAGGTCCCCGCTCTTCCTAACCCCGCACAAGTTTCGACTTCTGGGGAGTTGGTTCCCAACTTTGAAGTAGCGATATACAAATTTTACAAAAAAAATTTACAGCAGTGTCAAGTACATGAAGAAACTCTTAACTTTGATGACCGATATTTCAGAAATGATATTTGTTAATAGCTTAAATTTGCAAACAGTTTTTCTCTAGGAAAAGTTGACTTTGTGATCGCTTTTCACGAAAAATTGTCAGATACAGAAAGATTAGACAAGACGCCAATGGAATTAGTCTTCAATTTGCAGGATACACTACGACCGGTTCAATAAAAAATACCTGTAATGGATTATCAATGGTAAATTGATTTCTCGAAACATTATGTCAACTTAAACATAAAATGAATGAAAAGATAGATAGTTACTGAGGTGTTAGAAAATGTGTTCAAGGTGTGATCACTCCTTATTATCGCTAGAAAAAAAAATGCCGGTTTGCGATAGACTTGCCGGGACAAAAAACCGATCTTATTTTATTTCACCTTATGTTCATTTTGTATTAAATCTTCTGTATGTTTTGACAATTGTGACACAGTATTTCTAAAGCCTGAAATGCTTGAGGGTTTGTTTTGCATTGTGCAGGGTAAACAACCAAGTACGGCTGTCATCAATCATTCTTCCAACTTTGATCATTAATATCTTCCGTTAGCTGCGGTTTTCGTTGGTCTGTTGAGATTTAGTTTCGTTATACTATCAAATTTTTTTTTGTTAAATCACGATATCCATTGATACTCTAGATCACGTCCTGTAGCGGTAAAGGTGATATGAATATGAAACCAGTTCAAATCACATTTGATAGAACGGGAAGAGACATTTACAACAAGCCCAAGATTGTTGAATTCTGTTGAAGATAACAGACGTTTTATAAAAAACATAATTTGACGTTCACCACCACTAAATCTTTTCATATGGGACAAAGTGTGAAACAAAAAACTAGGAATTTATAAAGGATCAAACTGCATATTGAATATATACATATACACCTTGTTACTACTGAATACGGAGAAAATTTCTATTTTCTCTCTATTCATAGCCGTTACGCCACCTAGCGGTTATTTTAGGAACCTAAAAGTATCTTCCAGCTATTTTTAGGGTCACTTTTCTAGATTAATTTTGTTTCAAAGCTGTACCATTATTCGTTGCTGAGATATGGCCGACAGCCATTCTTAGTTTTTCACCCTGTACCTATCCTTCAAGGTGGACATTTTTTATTTATATTTGCGTTTATGGTTTTTTTTTCTTGACAGTTTAAAGTTGTTTATGACTCTCAGCAATCCCACTGGAAGCACTGATACTGACTTAGATCTCCTTCAAGGTTATGGGAGCTAGAGTCCCTGTATATACCTAGGGTATATACAGGGACTCTGGTGGGAGCTAGCTTGAATCCAATAAATACGTCAGTAAGAGAAAAACAAAAATTATATTTATGCAGGACCGGGCGTAATGAAGTAGCAATTTATTACTTTATTTGAGTACACACAGAAAAATTTGTTTAGAATTCTCACCTTCTGAGGCATCCATACTCATCAAACGCACACATAGAGCTAGTGTTCACTAAATTTTGTAGCTTGAATGTTTTGTGCAATCCTTCCTTTTCCATAACTTCCATTTGCCCATTCTGAAGTTTGACAGTGAATTTGATAGTGGCATCCGTACTATAGTCTTTGTATTCTACTAATACTGCTTTGATTTTGTCGGAACCTAGAAAAAAAAATGTCTTTTTTTTACCTAAATTATTGCAAGACACCTTGTTTTTTTGTTCAAATTCCACTGAGTGATCGGTCAAAATTAGGTGAGTACCAAAGGTACTACGATTATTTGGTATTAAAATCAAAAGATTAGAGCCAAACGTTTTCTAATAGGTAAAATAGCGTTGACATTGTAATAAACTTGTCTTGCCTTTCGCTCAACCTACGCGACTGTGTGAATAGCGTGAATAGTGTGAACATTGACGCACAATTTACAGCTTTGTCTTTTTTCAAAGCAATCTTTTTCAAACTTATTTCAAACTTTGGGAGTACCTACTGAATAGGACGTAATAAAATTAATAAATCTTGTCCGATTCCAATTTGTACCCCAAAATTAGCAAAAATGATATTTTCAGCACATAATATGAAGTTAAAGTTGTATGTGCACGAATAAAAAGCACATCGTTGAATAGACATTTTGATGCTCTTTACAGATATCGCAAAAAAATTGAGATATTCAAATGTATAGGATGTTGTTTTTGGGCAGAAAGAATTTGTAAATTTTGAGTGAAGCCGGACCAGGAGGGTTCTGGGCCGTTCAGAGCCTTGTTTGCTCCTGCTCGGGCAAGTGAGTCTGCCTCGTCATTGCCCTCGTACCCTGTATTTGCTGGTACTCATGCTAGAGTCAGTCTGTTCTGACTGCCCAGTTCATTTAGGGTTTCTATGCAGTCCCACACTAGTTTTGAGTTAACTTGCATAGATTTGACTGCTTTGATGGCCGCCTGGCTATCTGAATAGATTGCAATGGTTTTGCCTTCAAACTCTTGCCTTATCAATTCTTTCATGATGTATTGCAATAACTTCTGCCTGAAACACCGTCGCGTATTTACCTAAGCTCAGTGAGATTCTAGTCTTTGGCTTGGCCCCATAAATACCAGCTCCTGATCCTTTCTCAGCTTTGGAGCCGTCCGTATAGACAGCAATGTCTGCATTGATAGGAGGTCCTTCCTTCCATGCCTCTCTGTCCGTTATTTATTTTGATTGATGCTTTTGATTGGGTGTTGTTTTTGGACAGAAAGAAACTCGGTTATAAGATGTCGAAGACCCATCAAACCAGGGGTTTTTGATATCACCTCAGTGACCCCTATCCACAGTTGAATTATTCACGTTTCCCAATGAAACAACCTGTAAAGCTCACCATTCGTCATCGGTTCAAGAACGTTCTCCTTGTAATTCTGCGTCCACGTGCCGATGGGCAGCTCGGTGATCTCCACCGTGTCGTTGTCCAAGATGGCGATCTCGCCGCTCACCACGTACCGATGATCGCCGCCGTACTCCACCGTGCCGATGAAGTCCTTGTACCAAGGCGTCAGCTCTTTCGGCTCTTCGCCGTCGAGCATGCGCCTGATGTTCTTGACGATGTCGCGGGGATTGTAGTTGGGGATCTTTGTCATCCAACCGGTGCCTGAGGCCAGAAAAAATGAATTATGTCAGGGTTATTTGGCTTTGAGGAAAATAGAAGTCGAACAGCCAGCACATAAGATTTTTATATATTCGATTCCTTCAAACGTCTCTCAACAAGGACAGGTAGTAGATGAGAATCCAACAGGAGTTACCAAATTACAAATTAATTCGCGGTAAACTGAAAAGAAACAATAGGCACATAAAAACACAATCCACAATACATCCAGACTCTTAGAATAAGTCATTAATTTCACAATGGGCGTGTACATCTTAGTAAAACTACTAACTCAAACCATGTTTATAATGATCCTTTCATACATAAATAATGATTGACGACATAATTCGATCGAAAAATTAACTGGAATGTTTTATTTTTGGACATAAATAATAGTACCTTCTGAAAAAGGACCCTCTTATGACGTAGAAACCTCATCTCGCCATAGTTGAAAGTAGAGTCACTGGATGGTATTAGTTTGATAAGAGTTCGGACACAGCTGAACTTTTGTTCTTTTCTATTTTCTATAATACAATGGTTCAAGTGAATAAAAGAAATAGACATATATTCTGCTCTTTGTCTTTTCAATTTCCCTAGTAGCGCCTGATTGTCAGATACGATTTTAGAGGTTATATTTTCTGTTAAATCTATCATAGCCGTAGATGGACAATAGATATAGGGTACAAACACCCACTTCAATTTATAGTGATACACTTCTAGCAGAACAACTGTTATATAAATGAAGAGAATACATGTAACAACCTTTTAATTTTAGAAAATATAAACACATGGATGAACTTATAGCTATAATTCCTTATCCTTAAATCAAAGGTAGGTATTTTCAATATACAGGAAGTAACATGAGAACGTTCAAGTGAAGTATTCCTGAGACAATTTTAAGAAATAAAGTATATATAAGCTTGTGTCCGGAAATGCTTCATTTCGGAGATACAGGGTGTTGATATTCAGAGAACAAATCATTTTTCGAAAAACATTTCATAGGAAAAAAGTAGTTCATTTTGACGAGACCTACTAAATACTTGATTTTGTAAAGTTCTCAGCAACTTCAATTAGGAGGTAAGTAACATGGATCGATATAGAAAATATCTCCAAAACGATAACCTCCAGCGTAATTAAGGCCCCTATAATAATTCCCTTGATACATTCATAACTATTCACTTTTCACTGTTAAATTTTGAATTTGGTCGGCACCAAAAACGCCATTCAATAATATATCACGTTGTAGTTTACTTGCTTAACTTAGTTTCGTTTTCAAATTTTCAATTTCATTATGTATATTTGCGATCATTTCCTCTGTTTCCTTGATTATTTTGTTTTGTATTTTGTGTGATAATAATAATGGAATTTTGTTCTTGAATTCGTCTGCTTTCTAAATTGATGGAACAGCATATTCTCTCAAAGATTTTGAAATTTTGAAATCTTCTGTTTGAAAATAGGCCTAAAACATAGTTTCATTTTAAGTACTATTCTGAGTACCTCACATATTCCGCTCGTCTTAAAATTGATTGTTTCAGTATTAGGGTTTTGACGTCACATCATCGCCTCGTTTTCAGAGGTCCGAAAAATCGGGGATTCCAATAATTTTTTATAAAACGTAGGGAGCTCACAGCAAGAAACGGTTTGCGGTGGTGAGCTTGTTTGGAGTTCTATCATTTTTTTTTGTGATATAAGCCCAATACAGGGCATTTCTGTATGAAAAGGAATATGAAAACTCGCGCATGCCGGTTTTTGAGGTTAACAGGTTACATAACACGATAATCTTCGTAATTTCTGAGAATGATGACTTACCTGAAAACGCAGGCCACATACACTAAATAAATAGGCACTCAAAGCCAGGAAGCATTGAGATTCACCGAAATAGAATTGTAATTTAATAGGTCTCGAAACACAGATCAAGTTTCATGAAAACAATACTGCCTCTCCGAATTCCTTTTCGCATGATTTTTCGTTTGGAAGTTGAACTTTTCATCATTTTTACTTTTCCACACGATATCGAAGGAAATACCAGGAGACATGTGGTGATAACTGTTGGCATCAGAACGTACCTATAGCAACAGTAGTGGTAGTCAACAAATAAGCATTTCAAGGGTCAGTTTTCCGTTATTCCAATTGAAAATGGACAACTCAGGAAACTTTCAAGATCTCCCCCCGGAAATAATTGATGCAAACACTAACCAATCAAATTCAAATAAGAAACGACGTTCTTCAAGATGTTGCGGCATCTGCTATATTACAGCATGCAACAAACACAAATTACACTTTCAATTTCAATATTTATCATCGTTAATGTTTTAGTTATTGTTATTAAAATGTTCTTCAAATAAGTTTCCTATTATATCAATAGAAAACATTTATTTTATGATTCCTCAGTGCATGAAAATATCGTGCGGAAAATTTACTTTACCGCACTAGTACTGAAAAGTTACAATTCAGCACGATTTTTGTATTGTTGAAAATATAAATATTTACGACTAACTAAATGATCCATGCAGCTGTTCTGTCTTATGTGTCATTTTGTAGCATCATTATAAAATATTGTTCATTAAACATCAAATAATATGGACAAAATTACTTCTAAGAAAAACTTTGTACCTAACCCTTGCGGAAAACTACTACTTTTCGCACTTGTTAGGTAAATAAGTATTATTCTATCAAACGACACCTGTGCCAATCACTATCCTGAGCAAAATGCTTGAAAAATAGCCCTTTCATGTGAGGTAATTTGCACTTAATTGCGCGATTTGATAACGAGATAAAAATTATGTCATCCGAATTACATCCCCCAATGTTCTGCGTGGCATTAGCCAGGAAAGTAGTTGTTTTTCTCCCGAAATCTACCATTGTTGTTCATCGTATGAACATTGTGTGGAAATGACTGAGCTTTCTGTATTTATTTATTCAAATAATGTATATTCAACTTGAATAATTATATGGACACATAAATTAAATGATGATTAATCAACTTACCTATACCATCAGCCCCATTGACCAGTACCATCGGTATAATGGGGATGTACCAATTCGGCTCGATTTTTATGTTATCGTCGTACTCGTACTTTAGCAGCGGATCGTCATACTGATGGAAGAGCAATCGAGTGAGAGGGGATAGCTTAGTGAAGATGTACCTGTGAATAATCTTTTATTAGCTACAGCATTTCCGATTTGAAATGATAATACAAATCAGGAGGGGTGAAAGAACTTACAACTACAGGCCCATTGCCCTGTTATCAGTTATCTCCAAAGTGATGGAAAAACCCATCAATATTGAGCTTATCAAATATCTGGAGAGCTCAGGAATCATCAATGGTAGACAATACGGCTTTCGCCACCGAAGATCTACTGGAGATCTACTTGCCTACGTCACCCTTTTATGGCAAGCTACATTAGAAAAACACGGGGAAACCCTAGCTGTCGCGTTGGACATATCGAAAGCATTCGACCGTGTTTGGCACGAAGGACTTCTCCACAAACTACCATCATACGGCTCACCACCTCAGCTATGCCATATCCTATCGAGTTTTCTTTCAGGCAGTTCGCTTCACGTGGTGGTGGAGGACAGTGTATCGTGTGATACCATAGGCATCAATTCCGGCGTTCCACAAGGATCAATTTTGGCACCAACATTATTCCTTCTTCATATCAATGATCTGTTGGCAGTAACAACTTGCCCCATCCACAGCTTTGCAGATGATAGTACCCTCCATACTGCGTTCTCTTCCAGAATTCCCATTTCTTCCCAGGAAACTAAGAACTCACGGCGCAGGCAGGTCAATGCTGTCAATAAAGACCTTGCACAGCCTGGGGAACCAACAACCTAGTTGAATTCAACGCCACCAAAACTCAAGCCTGTATTTTCTCTAGAAAGGCGGAACTCAGTATGCCCGATATTGTAATGTCTGGCACCACCATCCCCACCAAGCCCACCATATCTATGCTCGGTATTTCCATCAGCAACACTCTTTCATGGGATAATCATGTCAGATCCATAGCAAAAGCTGCTTCACAAAAACTCGGATTCTTGTTCCGTGCAAAAAGCTACTTTACACCTCAACAGCTTCTCATGATCTGCAAAGCGCAGATACGGCCTGTTCTAGAATACTGTTCCCACATATGGGGTTCAGCACCAAAACATACGCTGATGCTCTTAGATTCCATCCAGAGAAGAGCCATTCGCCTGGTGGGTGACGCCACACTCACTCACTCTTTGACATCATTGGAACACCGTAGAAAGGTCGGCGACCTTTCACTTTTCTATCGATACTACCACGGGAAATGTTCTTCGGAAATCTGTGCTATCATCCCTTCACTAGCAATACCAGTCAGACCAACTAGACAAGCCCAGTCTGCACATACTTTCGTTGTCAACCTGGAAAGATGTCAAGCAGCACTTTATCAAAACTCCTTCATCCATAGAACGGCTAGGCTCTGGAATTCATTGCCTGAGGAAGTATTCCCAACAACATATAATCTCCAGAAGTTCAAAAAAAAATTCCAATACCTACCTCCTGTCCCTATCCTCCCTAGGAACATACGATGTTTTTTGAACATTATAGGGATTTCCTTTCGTGCGCTCCAAGCAATACAAAAAAAAATTACCTGGGACTGGCGGCATCCTTGCCGCCGGAATACCGCGTGCCGAACTGGCCCCGAGGCTCCAGCAGATTGATGTTGTTGGTGCCGGTGAAATTTTGCGCCATCGCGATGATCGTCATCGCCAGAGAGGTGTCGCCGTGATGGTATGCCGCCTTCTCCATCACGGATCCGACCAGCTGGCCCACCTTGATTTCTCGCTTGTCGTTGCGTTTCATCGCCACGTACAGTACCTGGAATGACAATCGATCTACTTTTTTCATTATTCCAGATTTTTTGGGATTTTCTCTCCTCGTTTCTATTTTTTTTTAATATCGTGAGAACCAAGGGAAATAAAGTAGGAATGGGGGAGACCACTGATTTTTTAAAATAACATTATCGTGAACTCTATACTGAAAAACTACCAGCGAATTAATTTTGAATTTTGTCATTCATGCTAAGACGATGAAAATAATAAATTAGAATATGTCTATTTCAAAACACACAATTCCATCGCCATTTGAAATTCTGTCAATTCATTGCGGTTTGACTGGTGCGACGTCTTATTCCCAACACGCCTATTGTCCTTGAACTGACCAATCACACTGCAACACTGCAGAATGACGAGGTATCAGAGAGAGATAGCTACAGTTCGGGACTAATATGTCACGACTCCACCATCATATTTGACTGTTTGAAATATCGAATGAAATATCCTGATTTCAAAACGATATAGATTCGATTCCCTTCAACTTTAACTCATAATATTGATTGTACATCAATAGTAAATCATGATTCGTCGATTGAAAGAGGTTTGCACGGATTTCTTCTCTCAGTGGTCTTCCCCATTGGTGTTCTTCTTGAACTTCTGGAGGTTATATGCCTCACTTAGCTATGGACGTTTCGGGAACGAATCTGCTCCCGTTTTCAACATGAAAATGGATTTTTTTCGTATGGCAAATTCGTATTTGTCCTGACACATTTCAGTTCACGTTGGCAATCAAATGAGTTACAGGATGTTTTCATTAATTTATCTTGAATTTACCATTTTCATTTTCAGATTTCAGTACAATATAAAGAAAAGACACATCGACAAATCGAAACTAGCTGAACATATTCTTACTGAAGACGGACAACATATGGCAGAGTGGAATAATATTAAAATCATTGGAAAAGATAACAACCAGAAGAGAAAAATCAAGGAATCTGCTGGCATTCTTCTGAACGGAGACGATAGCATTGCTTCCTGTTCAGCTGATATAGATAGAACATAGTATTCACTGAAAATGAAAATGGTAAATTCAAGATTAATTGATGAAAACATCCTGTAACTCATTTGAGTGCCAACGTCACCAATTGTCACTGAGAACTGAAAAGTACAACGCAGGTGTCCCTACTGTTAAAAACTTGAAATTTCACGTCGATAATTTTCAGATTTCAAAATAATGTAATATCTTCTCGATATTGATTCGTCCTTTCTTCTGTCATAGAAAATAATAGTGTATGATACACAGGAAAAATATTAGATTTTAGCTCACGGTTTTTTGTCTCCCTCCTCTACGCTTCGGGAGACAACACAACCTGGAGCTAAAATCTACAACTATTTATGTTGAAAACGGGAGCAGATTCGTTCCCGAAACGTCCAAAGCTAAGTGATAATTTGGTATTTTTTCTATATACCCTTATTTCTCTTCACCAAAACATTTTCAATACAAATTGTCACTGACAACTTAGTGAATTTTTCTTTTAGGCTCTCTGATAGGAAAATTCTTTAAATACAGTGACATTTTGGGGCAAATCATCTGATTTGTCCTTACTACACGTATATTGAAATAATATTCATATTTTTATTTTATAGAAACGAGGAGAGAAAATCCCAAAAAATTTGGAATAATGAATGTACCACCTCCTCGATTAACCTACAGACAGGATCTACTTTTTAATTCCCATGGAACAAATCAAATATTTTTCACTTGTCCACCTCGTAAACGTTGTTTTGCTATATACATTTTTTCTATAATATATTTTTTCAGTTCGATGTTCATCAAGACACTATTATTCTTTTATTTTTTACTTCTATTTAGTTTCTTTAGTTTTTTAAACTACCATTTATTTCAACTTCTTTCTAGTTCACTAGTATTTCCTAATTTTGACGAAAGATTCATAATATCCGACTCCTAAAACCCCAGATGGAAATTTTGAATAGAATCGGTCTCAGTTAGTGAAGTGTGGGTCCCTCAAGGATCTGTGCTTGGAACAATCTTATTTTTAATATATATAAATGACCTAGCAAATATCACTATTAGAGGAAAGTTTACTATGTTCGCAGATGACACCACAATACTGTGGCATAGCAACAATAATGACGAACTGAGTAACTATGTCGCTGAAGATATATTGGAAGTAAAAAATTGGTGTGATGCGAATAAATTATCATTCAATATTTCTAAAACATGTATTTTGACGTTCAAGTGCACTCTTAATGATATACTTCTGGAAAACTCAAGAATTTGTACTCAATCCTCGGCTAAGTTTTTAGGGCTCTATGTGGATGACAGTCTCTCATTCAACACCAACATTGTTTTTGGGGGAATAGTTCTCAATTTCTTTTGAACTCTGTGTTCATTTTACAAAAGAGGGCGGTTAGATACCTTAGTAAAGCTAAATTCAGAGAACCATGTCAACCCTTATTTGTGGCTCAGAAAATACTGACATTGACTTGCATCTCCATTCTAGAGAGTGTATGTATGATCCACAAAAAATATACCACGAACATTCATTCGATGTCGGTATACAACACAAGAAATGTTGACTGTACGGTTTCCCTACTAATTCCTAGAAGTACATTAATAAAAGTATTTTATTTATAATGCCAAAAAAATGTTTAATCACCTGCCTTCACATATTCGTTCATTGCTAACACATATTGAGTTTAGAAAGGCAGTAAAAGAGCTACTACTGAATAAAGCCTATTATACATTGCAAGAATTTTATGAAGACGCATTTAATTAAGTTTGTCAGTTTGTACAATTCGTTTTTAATTGTTCAATATCTTTTTTTATAGTGTGACTTTTACTAGTATATGTTCGACTTGAATGTTTTGTTCCTTATATATGTGCATATTTTACATGATTTTATGTAGTTTTAATATTAGTCATAGCTTATGATACACATGCTTTGTCAACAAAAACTTTAGGTTTTTAGTACAATAAAGACTTTCTTCTTCTTCTTCTTCTTCTTCGGAACATAATTACAAAACTCGTCCGCAATATTGGATCTACCATCTTGAAGTCCCCAATTTTGACCAAGGAATCATAATTTTTTATCCCGAAAACGCCCACTCACAAATTTTGAATAGAATCGGTATATAATTACAAAACTCGTCCGGTATATTGGTTCCACCGTCTTGAATTTACAAATCCCACCCTTTCCAAATTTTGTCATAAGAATCATAATCTCCGACCCCGAAAACACACAGATAACAATTTTGAATAGAATCGGACCATAATTACAAAACTCGTCCGATATATAAGATCCGCCATCTTGAATTTCCTAATGGAACCGGGATGAAAAGTATCCTATAACCTTCTCCTGGTTCTAAGCTACCTCCCCACCAATTTTAAGCCAAATCGATCCAGTAGTTTCGGAGCCTATTCAATACATACAAACAAACAAAAACTTGAAATCTTTCGTTGTCATATACAGGGTGTTTTATAATTGGATGTCAATATTCGAGTAGGCGATTCTTGAGCCCATTCTAAGAAGAAATTTTCATATGAAAGTATGACCTAAACGTCCTAACTTTTTAGATACAGGGTGGTAAAGTTCTCAAAAATTAATAAAGCCTATTACAATAGAAAGTTATGATTCCAAAACACCAAATACGAATAGAAAGATCATAAACTATGGATTGTATTACTGAAATTTGATCTAAAAAATAAAATCTATTTCTCTGCATTGTGATATTGTCATATTAACGATATTGCTATAAGCATGTAGTGAAAAGCTTTTTATTTTTTCAAGCGAAAACCGTGCATCAGATTGAAAAAATTGTGGTGATAAAATTTGCTTAGAAATGATTGAGAATTTCAGGAATGATTTCAATTTCGAGATTAATCAGTGGAGTACCATCAATGTCTGCCAAAATAGGTATGTAAAACTCCATACGAACGCCACTGGTGGCAACCAAAAAACATGTGGCACACTAACTGATGCCTCTTGATACATAGTACATGTATGCCAAAATTCATTAGAATATCTGAAGTATGTTTTACAGATATTAATAAAAAACTATTAATTTTTGAGAACTTTACCACCCTGTATCTCAAAAGTTAGGACGTTTAAGTCCTACGTTCATATAAAACTTTCTTCTTAGAATGGGCCCAAGATACGCCTCCCCAAATATTGACATCCAATTATGAAACACCCTGTATACAGGAGTCTGGATTTCTCCGGCAATAAATTAATAGAAGCGTTGTCTGAATTTTTGACGTATACTTTTTGACGTATACTTTTTAACGATTCAAGACTGAATCGCGGTGTATTTAATGATCGAAGTCACTGATTCACTCACCTTCCTTTGCCCAGGCTTGAACCCGTCCACCATGCTGTGATCTAACATTGTCCCCGTTCGAGAACACCAGTTCCATGTTGATGAAGTCCGTTAACGACACGAAAGTCATCTCGAGCCCCGATTTATTAAATACCTTTATAAAATATTCTCTGACAACGATTCCGCATAGTTATTATCCCCACCATTCGTTATTTTATTCCTTCATTCATGTTTTGCGTTAAGGATTGGTGGCGTATACTTTTTAACGTTTCAAGACTGAATCGCGGTGTATTTAATGATGGAAGTCACTGATTCACTAACCTTCCTCTGACCAGGCTTGAACCAGTCCACCATGCTGGGTATCGACCTTACATTGTCCCCGTTCGAGAACAGTACCAGCTCCATGTTGAACTCCGTTAACGACACGAACCTCATCTCGAGCACCGATCTATTAGATACCTTCATAGAATATTCTCTGGCAACGATTCCGCATAGTTATTATCTCCACCATTCGTGATTTCATTCCTTTATTCATGTTTTGCGTTGAGGATTGGTGGCGTATACTCTTTGAAGATTCAAGACTGAATCGCGGTGTATTTAATGATCGAAGTCACTGATTTACTCACCTTCCTTTGCCCAGGCTTGAACCCGTCCACCATGCTAGGAACTAACATTGTCCCCGTTCGAGAACAGCGCCAGCTCCATGTTGATGAACTCCGTTAACGACACGAACCTCATCTCGAGCCCAGATTTATTAGATACCTTTATAAGATATTCTCTGACAACGATTCCGCATAGTTATTATCCCCACCATTCGTGATTTCATTCCTTTATTCATGTTTTGCGTTAAGGATTGGTGGCGTATACTTTTTAACGTTTCAAGACTGAATCGCGGTGTATTTAATGATCGAAGTCACTGATTTACTCACCTTCCTTTGCCAAGGCTTGAACCCGTCCACCATGCTGGGATCTAACATTGTCCCCGTTCGAGAACAGCACCAGTTCCATCTTGATGAACTTCGTGAACGACACGAACCTCATCTCGAGATATAAAGTGTATTTATAAATAATATCAATTCTCTGGCAATGATTCCTCATAGTTATTATCCCCACCATTTGTGATTCCATTCATTCATTCATGTTGGCGTTTAGGATTGTTGGCGTATACTTTTTAACGATTCAAGAATGAATCGCGGTGTATTTAATGATCGAAGTCAGTGATTCACTACTTTGCCCAGGCTTGAACCCGTCCACCATGCTGGGTATCGACCTAACATTGTCCCCATTCGAGAACAGCACCAGCACCAGCTCCATGTTGATGAACTCCGTTAACGACACGAACCTCATCTCGAGCCTCGATTTATTAGATACCTTTTTACCTTTATAAAATATTCTCTGACAACGATTCCGTATAGTTATTATCCCCACCATTCGTGATTTCATTCCTTGAATCATGTTTTGCGTTAAGGATTAGTGGCGTATATACTTTTTAACGATTCAAGACTGAATCGGGGTGTATTTATTAATCAAAGTCACTGATCCACTCACCTTCCTCTGACCAGGCTTGAACCCGTCCACCATGCTGGGTATCGACCTAACATTGTCCCCGTTGGAGAACAGCACCAGCTCCATGTTGATGAACTCCGTGAACGACACAAACCGCGTATCCTTGCCGTACAGGTACTTCTCCTGTAGCCCGATCTCTTTGCGTCTGCGCGTCTCCACCATGAAATTGGTCAGCCACTCTTTGCGCAGGTCGATGTGCTTCTTGCTGAATGCCAATAGGATGTGGTCATCGTCCTGCTGGCCGGAGTAGCGGAAGCGGATGCGGTGGCGTTCGATGTTGGTGAAGTATTCGCGGCCCTCCTCTCGACTGGAGGTACCCAAACCTTTGATAGAGAGAGAGAGGGGGAGAGAGAAAGAGTATGTGATTATTATCCATGATCAGGGTTCTAATATCATGATTTCATGAAAAAGTCACTTAAAAACTGACTTTTTTATTTCTTCAAAAATCTACAAGTATATAACAAAATAGACAATTGTTGAAGAACGAACTGGAACTATTGATAAAAAAAATATATACCGGATGACACAGGGAACACGTAACAGCCTGTAGTTTTTTTTATTTGAAGAGATAAAAATTTTAAATTCACAAGGGTTATATTATCGATGATAGCGCTTCCCTTGAACCTAGGGTCCCTTGATGGAAATTGACGTTAAAGTCATCTTAGCAGGGTACGGACAGATCCTCGTCTCCTCTCACTCTAAAGTGTTTGTGAAACAGTTATATAGTTCCATCCTTATTCAATTCTGGGGATAAACACTAGATTTTTGACATTCGTTGTTTTTTAGGTTATATTGAGGGCACTGGCGTATCATACGTAATTTCCATATGGAATTTACTCAACTAAACCAAGATATAGATGAACAATCCTCTAGTTTTAGAGTTTACTACTCCAGCAAAATCTTTGCGAGTTAGGGAACATATCAATTGTACTGATGAAAGCTCAATATATTTCACCTATGATGCCTAGAGACATCTCAATTTCACCAAAAGAGACTGTTCTTAGACTGTGTACCAGGGTTGACTGAATTGACTGAATGAATTCTGATTTCAAGCTGAGCAGTAGTTCATCTATGAGCTGAATAAGCAGAGCCTTATGATTGAGAAATGGGGGAAACCTCGGTGTGGGTAATCTAAACTACTGTGCTCATGTCATGTGTGCTGAATATATTTTCGTAATTTCAACTCGGAGAAGAATTTATGGAGTAATATCACACTATGTATAAAACTTCGTCTAGGACGAGAAATGGCTGAAAAAAGAATATACTCCACCTTATTTTTCCCTCTCCGTTGAATAAAAAGTCATTTTCGAATAATTCATTGATGAAAGTAACAAAGAAGTAGGTATACGCAGTATATCTTATAGGCACGTTATTTTCACTCTTGCATCCTACATATTTTCTATTTGTGGTAGAGTGATAATAATTATATAAACTAATGTCTTTCGCCATATTGAATCCATCATCTTGAATTTTCCAATTTTTACGAAACAATCATTATCTCCTACCCCGAAAACCACCAGATACCACATTTGAATAGAATCGGATCTTCATTACAAAACTCGTTCACCATACTGAATTCGCCATCTTGAGTATTCCAATTTTGACGAAATAATTATAATCTCCGACCCCGGAAATCCATAGATACCAATATTGATTTTTGAATAGAATCGGATCATGATTACAAAATTCGTTCGCCATATTGGATCCGCATTTCGAATTTCACAATTTTGTCAAAAAATCATAAAGTTCAACTCCGAAAACCCACAATCTTAAATAGAATCAGATCATCATTAGAAATTTATTTCGCTATATATTGGATCCGTCATCTTGAATTTTCCAAGTTTGACGAAACAATCATTATCTCCAACCCCGGAAAACCCCAGATACCTTCCAATTTTGAAAAGAATCGGATCATAATTACAAAACTCGTCCGCCATATGATCTTCCTCAACAACAACAAGTAAATACCCTTTACATACCAATTATCAAAATTTTGAATGATTTTCTGTAACGCCCATGAATGTGACGTGACAGCAATGTCAGTGATGCCAGTAGACAAAACTCAAGTCCCTAGACCATTAAAAAAGAATGCAGCTATGATCTGTCCGTACCCTGTTAAGATGACTTTAATGTCAATTTCCATCAAGGGACCCTACTTGAACCCAATGACAATTTTCTTCAACAACCTTTTCGATCGGAAGTAGACCCAACTTTTTTTTCTCAAATGGAACACTGTATATTTCTGTAGCCTATCTTATTTGCTTTGAAGTGATGATCTTTGGATTTCTAAGCCTATCAAGCATCGAAATGTCATTGTATTCGGGCCCCAGCCAACTTCATGTATTTCATAAAATGCAATTTAACAGCCAATTAATGAACAGATATTGAATTGTGATACATAGTTGAATAGAGAATTTTAAGGCGGATATGATAAACTACAGAAATATACAGGGTGCCATTTGATATGAGAAAGTTGGGTCTACTTCCAATCAGAGGTGGTTGAAAAAAATTGTCATTGGGTTCAAGGGAAGCGCCATCATCTATAATATAACCCTTGTGAATTTCAATATTTTATCTCTCCAACTAAAAAAACTACAGGCTGTCACATGTCTCCTGTGTCACCAGGTATATCTGAAATTTGGAACATCAAATATTATTATTATCATTTATTCATTTAGTTAAATATTGTCAAAAGCATTCAAACTTTGGTTTTCCAAAGTAATAGTAGTGACCACAACCATACAACTAGAGAAGCAGATCATTTTTCTGTCAAGAAAATTGAATCAGATATTGGTAAAAATTCCATCTACCACAATGGAATAATGCAATACAATTCACTACCAAATAACTTGAAGCTGATTGGGATTGAAAATTTTGAAAAAGAATTGTAGAAACACCTACTCCTGTAATATTGACATCTTATCTCATTTTCCCATTCCTACTCTGCTACTCCATATTTTAGTTTTCAGGTCTACTAAGGATACCAAATTAGTTACAGGAAAATGTATTCAGATGAACAATTTCAAGTCGTGGTTATTCTATATGTTGTAGATCACTTAATGTTATTAATTACCTTTGTAGTATTTGATGGAGTATGTGTGATGATTTGGAGTATTTCCCTTCCATTCTTCAAACTCAGGCAATGAATAAAACGACAACACCTCCTTGTTCTTCCTCGCCTTGACAATAGGTGTGATGAACTGTTCCAGAAAGTTCTGCTTCAGTAGCTCAGGCCAGTTGTGATGTATAAAATTAATGAGTAATCCCTTTATATGTGACCCGTCCTGATCCTGATCAGTCATAATCATGACTTTGCCGTACCTCAAAGTTCTCATGTCCTCCGGAGTATTGTACTTTTTTTTGTACTGCAACCCCAGAATTTTGATGATGTTGTTGATCTCGGCGTTTTCCATGATTTGTTTGTGCGTCGCTTCGCGCACATTCAGCAATTTACCTCTCAGCGGAAAAATACCATAGTGATCTCTACCGACAACGCCCAATCCGGACATGACCGTACTTTTGGCGGAGTCTCCCTCGGTCAAGATCAGGGTACATTTCAATGCGTTCTTTGTTCCTGCATCATTGGCGTCCTCGAGCTTGGGTATGCCTTTTATCTTGCTCTGCTTTTTACCGCTGGTCTTCGCAAGTTCATTTTGCGCCTTAAATTTAGCCCAAGACAAAACCGATTCGACTATACCGCTCTTTATCACTTGTTGAATGAACTTGTCACTGAGGGTGCATTTGGAACCGAAACTCTTCATCTGGAGGGTCATGTTTTCCTTGGTCTGCGAGTCGAAAGTCGGATTGACAATTAAACAATTTATGAATACCCACATGTGATTCTTCACTTGGAAGGGCTTGATATTAACTCCTCCTTTATTTTTCTTCTTCAAAACTTCGATGAGTTGTTTGACGATCATGTCGACGATATAATCGACATGTCGGCCACCTTTTGTGGTGGCAATGCTGTTCACGAATGACATCTGTTGAAAACCTGAATCGGACATTGTCAACGCGATTTCCCATCTTTCGTTAGCTTGGTCGTGAATCACCTTCAGAGCATTTCCAGTCATGCTGTCTTCCTTTCCTTTGATGAATAACTCAACGTAGTCTTTGAACTGTTTCACTGGTAACCTTTTGCCATTGAGGAAAACCTTGAAAAAATAAAACTATTTTTAATAGATAAAAGACTCATCTGGAACGTCCACATGGCAAAAACTATTAACAATGCCAGATTTTCCCTCTGGAACCTCAGAAGGGTATGCGGCAAATCATGGGGAATGAACCCCAAACAGATTCACTGGATTTACCAAACAATGGTAAAACCAATGGTCACGTATGGCTCGGTAGTCTGGTGGACTAAAGGTCTGCAGGGAACAGCCAGGGCAAAGCTTGCTGGTCTCCAGCGGCTGGCGTGCCTGGCCATTACAGGGGCGATGTCCTCTACTCCAACGGCAGCGATGGAAAACCTCCTGAACCTCACTCCCCTCCACATTGTCTTGGAGAGGGAAGCCAGGATGGTTTCCTACAGATTCCTGTCATTGGAAAATCAAATCAGAGGGGGGCGACTGCTGGACCACTCCGGGATACTGTGTGAAACAGAAAATCACCAAACTCTAGGAATGGTTTCCGACATGTTGGCCACTCAGACACACGTGAAAAAGTCTTCCAAAGTCCTCTTCCCGAAGAGAGACGAATGGGCAATGTACACAGATGGTTCGAAAACCCCTCGCGGAGTGGGAGCCGGTGTGTTCAGCAGAAAACCGAAGACGGAAATTTCCGTCAATCTCGGCAAATATGCTACAATCTTTCAGGCGGAGGTATTCGCAATTGCATTGTGTGCTAGAGAGTTGTCGAATGAACCTCTAGTTAACAAAAATATCAGTATTGTATCAGACAGTCAGGCTGCTCTGAAAGCACTGAGCTCCAGCAAGATGAATTCCAAGCTTGTATGGAGCTGCATTGAATCCCTAGAAAGCCTGGGTGCTAACAACAGAGTCACTTTGCTGTGGGTGCCTGGACACCAGGGGGTGGAGGGTAACGAGAAAGCCGACATCCTCGCCAAACAGGGAACCGAATCTGTGTTCATAGGACCAGAACCATATGTGGATTCATGCCAGGGCGTCATTCAGTTGTTGATTTTATGTTAGACCCTCAACATTTGTATCGTTGATATAATGGGGTCGTACACACTAGTCGAATTAACGCCACATGCCTATTTCATATTCATCGTTCCGTGTATAAATAGACTTTGATGCAATCATTCGTTATTTGAAATCATCGCAAATATTTTTTTCAATAATTGAATTCGGCGACATCGAAAAACGCCAGGTTCGATGACGTCATGAACCGAATGACAGGTTGAAGTGGGACAAACATATTGATGTTCTGACAAAAAAAATATCTCCAATTATTGGTGCATTGAGAAGATGTCCCAAACTTGATATTAAAATTGCAAACATGATTCTCTACTCTCATATACTGAGTCGTATCCACTATTTAATAAATGTTTGGGGATCTTGTTCAAAAAATAATTTCAATAAAATATCAACATTGTATAGAAAATCGTTAAAAGTATTGTATCGTCTCCCATTTGATACACCAACCAATCAATTGTATGAAATAACAAATACGTATTCTTTAGATGAAATATATAGAATTGAAACTCTCAAACATCATATAATATCATAAATAAAAAATTGAAGTCGAATATTATTTTGATACGGAATTCTGAGATTTATAATCATGAAACTAGACAATATAACTTGTTCCATCTTGACGCCGCTAGCTCCCTAATCGGACAAAAAAGATTCACTCATTCAGCCTTAACTGAATTCAATAAAATACCTGATAATATAAAAAATTGCAGAAATATAGGTATATTCAAAAATGAAGTAAAAAAACTGATTATTTCTGAGCGGACTGGATAAAATTAATCATGCCATTTTTCTTTTTTTTTTCTTTTTTTTTACAAATATTATTCTTTGTTTGCCAATTTACAGTTGTTGATATATTTTGAATGATGCTATGTTTACCTATAGGTATATAATTATGTACTTCCTTATACCAGAGCCTATTCTGTCTGGAAGTTATTTGTTCAATAAATAAAATAAATAAATAAATAAATAAATTCTGGCTTTCACATAAACAGTAGGACCACATATTTCGACACTGCCAGATTTGTATCTAGTAATTACCTAATGAGATTTAATTTGACCAATGACAGTTCCCAGAAATACAAAGAAAAAAGAAGACAAACTACATTCTCAACCTAACATCCTCATGTTAATATCGGCTGTCACCTTCATCGTCAAATCCTTGTTTGATCTAGCGAAGATGCAAATGTTCAAAGATAATCCTCATATTATCTGATTCTTCAGTTGTGTTTTGGTTCAATTCATAAAATTCTTTTCATATTCTGATTGAAATGACAATCAGAAATACTCTTGCACTTGTCTATCAGAAATAGAGAATTGAAATGTAAGTCGAATCCTGCGTTTTTCATGTTATGAAATATCGTGAATTTCAATAATAATCCAGTAATAGCGATTGTTTACATGTTGTTAGGTTTGGGGTCCTTATGAAAAATTCAAGTTTTCGACCTCGAGGTGCATGAGCTCGAACCACCATCTTGGATTTTATGTACAAGCATTTGTTTTTTTGAAAATAACTCAAAAACTGTGGTTTCCACGACAAAATATGTTCAACACACAGTTAAAGAGGACAACATTTCAACAATCTTCGGGAGTATTCGGAATCTTTCAAATTTCAAAACGGCATTTTGTTAGGCAATTTTGCCTCCATTTAACCCTCTCTGTAGCTCTTTAACTGTTTCCGAAATCTCCATGTATCTACTTGAATTGGGAAGTTTCCTTCAGATGAATTTTAAAATAATGAATAAAATAAGTTCGGGACTCTCCAGTTTTATGTCCATGCTGTACAGAATGGCGACCGATAAAGTCTGAGTCGTTTTCATTTTTAAATTGAAACAATTTCTAATTTTCGGGGCGGCAAACTGTGACATTCTGAATCTAGTCTGAAAATAGCTGATGGTGAAGAATATAGCTAGCGAATAGCTAAAGAACAGCTAACGAATTAAAATGGAATGAAAGTAATAGGTCGCGTGCACGATGACCGACCCTGGAGGCAAAATATTGAAACACAACCTCATTCTTCTGTGAATTATTGAAACACAACCTCACTTTTTTACTTGGTTACAGAGGAATCAAAGGATTGAAATAGTTTTTCACAATATTTTTGCATACGAATCGTGTTTTTTGCGCTATTCATTAATTCGAGCATGCCTTCGCATTGTGCTGTTGTACAATGCACAAAAAATGCAGCAAGAGACTAAAGAATATGATTTTTCAGGTAAATAGTAATCTCACATAGTTATCATTATGAAATGTTGTCATTCCTTATAAAAAATTCCTTCTGCCTTCTGTCACTTCTGCAATACAAGCTAATACTGCTAATAGATTGAAAATGTCTACAACACACACGATCGTCAGCATGTCAGACCAGTCCTCCCGATTGATTGCATGAATCCAATTTTCTGGCATTATTTTAGAAATTTCAGATGTATTTCTATTAGCTTCTATCGCAGAAAGAATTCCGATGAGAAATCAGAGAAATTACCAAATTTCGAAAATGAAAACTATATGTGAGTGGCTATAGTAGGTACTTACTTTTGATCATAATGTACCAACCGGATTACTTCGTCTTCCGCTGCAGTTTTTGAGCATTTCACAACAGCATAATGTGATGGAATGAGCGAATTGATGAATAGCGGAAAAATACGTAGAATTCTCAGTTTCAGTCAGAATTCTACACCACCCTGTATTTGTTTCAATTAAATACGAGTAAATAGTGAATCAAAAGTTAAGATACGGACATGTAAGCCGTTTTGACCAATAATGAATAGTTTTGACACAAAAAATTCCCAAAAATGAAAAATCTCGATTTTCCACACCCTATATCTCGGAAATCATACCCGCTAGGCCCCAAGTATGCTAGGTCGTTGAATTCAGCTCTTTAAGGAGAATATGAAAATGAAATGAGATAGAGTGTGTTCCATTTGAAAAAAATTATGTTCGATTTTGTGAGCCTTTCTTGCGCCCCTCGTAGAAAATATAGTCATTCCTGAAGTTAGCACTCATAATGCGATATGATGTGAAACTATAATATTTTGAAAATTCCTATTGGTTCAGAAGATATTCAACTGTCCCACTGGTCTAGGGACACCCTGTATATTTATCTGCACCAGTTGGCAGTGTTGCAAGTGAGCAAATGTTTTCAGAAGCTGGAACCGTAAATTCGGCGAAAAGGAATCGGCTGAATCCAGTAACAACCGAGACATATATTTTTTTACATGATAATTTGCCAAAACTACAGTATTCATATTAAATGTTCTTCGGAAATCTCTGCTATCATCCCTTCACTGGAAGTATTCCCAACAACATATAATCTCCAAAAGTTCAAAAAAAATTCCAATACCTACCTCCTGTCCCTATCCTCCCTAGGAACGCACGATGTTCTTTGAACATTATAGGGATTCCCTTTCGTGCGCTCCAAGCGATTTAAAAAAATGCCATAATTTCTTAAGATTACCTTATTTCAAATATTACTTTGAATTTAAATATAAAAAAAATGTTTTAAGCTGCTATGGTTGTCTTTATTTATACATCGGCCGATATAGCCGATACATACTCACATCTATCGGCCGATACCGATAATCGGCCCTCGGCCGATATATCAGCATCGGTATCGGTATCAGTCGATCACTACTAATCACTTGATTTTTTAATAATTCACTTTAAATTGAACCTGCTTAATTTAAAGTGAATATTCAACTGAATAGTTGTAGATGTAGTTTAAGTGCCTTCACAATTTCAATTATAATAATGTCTTTATTTGGACCTTCTCTTTAGCAAAAATGTTAATGACACAATGAATAAAAAGGATCTGACACCAGACTAAACTGGGCTCAGTTTGGGGCTCAGTTATATACAGAGAAATGCCCTATGTCCTTTAAAACAAGTATGGAATATCCAATCTTCAAACACCAGAAATTTGCCCGTGAAAAATCTGAAAAACAAACCAAAAACCTATCTCATAGATGAAATCTATTATAATATTCCAGCCTTCCTCCTGGATCAACATCTTATATCCTGTACATGAATAAACCTTGTATATTGTATCCTATTTAAATTTCTTTTTTATTTTAGCCATGTTGTATTGTAGGTTTGTGGAATGTGGCATAGATTATTTATTATTATTTTGTATGTATTTTTTTATTCTATATTTTTAGCAAGCCCAACACCCAGTACAGTACAGTGTTGATGAGTAAATAAATGCTATTCTATTCTTATGAAGCAGTTTATTCATTCTAATCTTTGAGTCCTGTTCCTGCTATGGTGTGAACTTGGGTATGACTCACAAGAAGTATAAGAGTATCATCTCCATAATATGACTTTCCTGAAAATTGGTTTTGGTTGAGCTTTCAACAGTATTAGTATGGGCCCCAAAACTGTGCCCTGTGACACTCCAATTTCCAAATTTTTATGATTACTAACTCTTTTCAATTCATTGTATTATACTTAGGCAAGAATAAAAAATAATATATATTTATTATTGATATTATCATATTCCTCATATCAACAATATGTGATAAATATTCATGCATAGCATCACCTGTAAAACCATATGCGAAATTATAAAGGGAATAAGTAATTAATTCAAGAAAGATACTAGTTTTACATTAAAACACTTTTCAATTTCTCTTGGCACATTTCTAATTGAACTTATAGGTCTAAAATCACTAAATTATCAAATTATGGTTATTAGTCTTGTGAATTGGGTTCCTTATGTTAGTACTCTTCTCATGTTCTATGTTTATTGAAATTATCTCAGCATATGTATTAACCAAGAAACCAGGTTAGAATGTGATAAACAACTTACCTTGACACCTTTGCTGGAAGCAGCAACATCATAGGCTCTTCTTGACATCAAGGAAACAATCCCATCATCCAATTTATCCATTTTGAATTTTTGTAAATCAGGACTAAATATAATTTTTGTATAATCCTCACCACTTGAAGGTTTCACTTTAGGTTCTGAAGCTTTGGACATGTTATTGGCCCATGTTTGCTTGAATTGTTTTCTGTATTCATGTGATGAAGTCTCAACAGTGAACTTGGTGCTGAAAATATTACATAGTTTTGCACCATATCCATTTCTTCCTCCAGTAACTTTTTCTTCCTCATCATTGTAGTTTGATGAGGTAAGAAGATGTCCAAATATCATAGTTGGGACAAACATATTTTCATCCTTATGCATTGCCACTGGAATACCTTGGCCATTATTCCAGACAGAGATGATGTTGTCTTCAGCATTTATATCAATTTTGATACAATCCATTTTCTTGTCTCTCTGCTTGTTATCAGCAGCATTAACTAGAATTTCATCAAATATCTTATATAGTCCAGGAACATATTCAATTTGCCTTTGAACCATAGTTTCTGACTCTTTGTCAAACACCCACATGGATTCTGAGACTTTTTCAACTGAACCAATATAGGTATCAGGTCTCAAAAGGATATGCTCTAGCTGAGATTTTTTCTGGTAAGTCTTTTCAATGGTATTTTTGACTTGTTTTTTAGACTTATTACTGGAAGCTGAAACCACCTCTGGTTCATCATCATTTTTATTAGTATCACCATCTCCATTTGTCAATGAACCCATTTTAGAAAACATGCTCTGAAAAGGATCAAAATACTATGAGATAGTACATAAATAATAGCTCATTGAAATGCCAGATTTCATATCATTTCATCAATTTATATAATAATAGATCTTTGACCACCACCAAATTAATTGTTCTCATCAGTCAACTAAGTAGGCAGGTATAAATAAGTACTTCTTCTATCAATAATATCAGATATTCATTCTTGATTGTTTCCTCTTTTGAAATTACAATCAGTAGGTACTGCCAATTTGCCTACTGATTGCTGTTAGTTAATTGGGTAATTTAAAGATCCATGCACATGCACAAGATTTTGCAAAGAATTCAATATACTTCTGTTCAAGTTCAAGACATTCCTCAAACCAGTAGCGACTACTTCTATAGCAATTTTCTGTTTTCAACATAATTGTATACTTCTATTACCCTTATATCAGCCATTTCTGAAGATTTACCATACACCTTATCGAAGTATTCACAAATCTCTCCTCACTAAAACACCATACTTTTTGAACAGTGAGATTTACTTTCTTCAGTTTCTTTACGAAAGACAAAAATCCCTTACAAAATGTAGAAGACATTCGCTAACGTTATCCTAGCGTCGTTATGTCGTTATACTCTTAGCATTTGTTTTCTAGTTTTCTACAAAGGAGATCACAAACACGAAGGTCAAAGAATTAATGGAGGGGTAGAATATATTTTCTGTTTTGAGCTATTCGCAGCGTTGCCAGCCCATCAACTCAAAATGTACTAAAAAACCACCGAAAAACGTACTAGTTTTTTGAGAAAAGTCCTACTTTGGAGTCATTCAAACATCCTACTATTGAGTAGGGATAGGGAGGAGGGCGAAATAGACAAGGAAAAAAAAATAATGACAACTTATTTACTGAATATTGTGAATATGTGAATTTGTGTCATTAATTTTCATTTATAATCATAACTTTGAGCAACGTGAAAAAAATTTACAAATAACGATATACAATATTGACACGTGATATGAACTGCATAGTAAAGTATTGTACAGACATGAGACATATAACGACAAAACTCAAAACTAGATATCTAGCCGTCATTGGATCGGCGTACTAGACAGAGTGAAAAGGAACTAAATCTAGCACGAAAGTACCAGGTCTGGCATCGCTGGCTATTCGATTCGATAATTCCGGCGAGTTCGTTATTCACCGGTAACCAATCACAACTGAATATTTCAAACAGTGTCCCTAGCAACCAATCGAAATGAATGGATGGAGAATGATCGAAGGATGTCAAGCATATATCTACTACTCATATATGAATCATCGCTGTCCTCAAAGCGGGACCTACTTCTGTTGCCGACGTAGGGAAAAAATAATACGACAATATGGCTACTTATTTCCAATGTTCATTGCTTATTTCAAATTTTCCATCCTTCACTTTCCGTCCTTATAGATTCAGATAGTACCTCTCATTTTGGTCCCATTTCTGTTGAGATATCATATAGGCGATGAGTCATATATGGAAATTGTTATATTTGCGGGTTCTTATAATTCATAAACACATCTTTTCAACTTGGATGTTTAATGATAAAATCTTATGTTAAAAATACATACGTCGTACATGTTAAGTTGTCGAGCGGAAAGTGACGAAAGTGGCAAGTGCCGTCGCTGTCATTGTCAATCGTAATTATACACAGAACATAGACCAATACATAATACAAATAATGACATAGAACTCAGTACATAATCACATGACACAACACGTTTCCTTTTTTTTTTTATATAATTTTCAAAATTTCTTTAAAAAAAAACTACCTCGTACAATTATAATAAGCAATGAAAATACATGTTACAGTTCAGTCACTATCAGTTGAATTTGTTGAGGAATAAGGGTTACAGACAAAATCTTTCAAATATCTAGGTGGTTTGTGTTTACGTTTGGAACTATTTGGGATTAGATGATTTTCAATCAAGTTAGGGCTACTATCACTATGAACAGAAAATTCAATATTGTCATTTACATTGCCAAGTTCAATAATATTTTCGACTTCAGAGCTAGCAGATAACATTTCTTCAGAGTCATCATTATTCTGAGAATCAATGTAAATTTCAGTGTCATTAAAATTTTTCAAAGTATCACTCAGGGTATCTTCGATATCAGATGAATCTGGTGATGGTGTAACACTAGATAGTAAATTATCATCATTTACACTTATGTTGTCATTTATTGATGTAATAGGTGTATTGTCAATTGGATTTATTTCAATGTTAGACTCTTTTGAGTATTCAGGAATTAAATCAAAATCGTATAGAATACAGTCATTCTTATGAAAACTTAGATTTGATTTGTTGAGAAATCTTCTATTTCTTCTATATATATTTCCATATGAATTTTCAACAATATATGACCTTTCATCAACTATGTCTTTTACCTTCCCTTTTTCCCAAGATTTTCCTCTCTGTATTAATATGTTTTCATCTATTTTGAGTTTCGGAAGATCTTTTGCATTCTTATCATAAAAATTTTTCTGAATCAATTGTTTTTGCTGTAATTTTGATTGAATTTCAATAGGATCGATTAAATTTGGAATCAACAAGTTTTCAGAAATAGGCAATTTAGTTTTAATAATTCTTTGTAGAAATAATTGGCATGGTGAATATTTCATTTGGGGTATGGGTGTTGAATGATATTCCATCATGAATAAAGGTAAATCTGATTCATTGTTGCATTTTTTCAGCATATTTTTGACTATACCTACACATCTTTCAGCTAGACCATTCGATTGGTGGTGATAGGGACTGCTGAAAACTAATTCAAAATTCCATTCTCTTGCAAAATCATGAAATTTTTTGGAATTGTATGGAACATTGTCTGAAAAGAATTTATCAGGAATTCCAAATTGTGAAAATTTATTTTTACAAAAATAAATAACTTCATCAGCTGTCTTATACTTTGTTTCAGAAACCTCTATCCAATTAGAATAGGCATCTACAATTAGCAAATAATTTTTACCATTATACTCAAAAAAATCAGAATGTAAATATTGCCATATTCGCTTAGGTTGCTCATGACTTTTCAATGTTTCTTTCTGATTAGAATTTCTATGCAGTTGACAAGTTGTGCACTTATTTATGTATAACTCTATATCATTTGCCAAATTAGGCCAATAAAAAATTTGACGAGCTCTCTGCTTTGATTTTTCAATTCCAAAATGTGGCTCATGAATTAACTTCAGCATGTCTTTCCTCAAAGTAGTTGGAACAATAATTTTAGAATTGAGAAAAAGTAAATTATTAGAGAGGTAAATATTCTCTTTCAATTTAAAAAATGTTTTTAAATCAAGTGATAAATCTTTGGAACTATCTGGCCAAGAATTAGAACAGAATGTTTTAACTTTTGACAAAATTTCATCAGAATCAATTTCTTTGCGAAATAAATCTTTTTTTTCATCTGACATAGGTATGTCATTTGACAGAGAATGAATTATGTATTCCATCTCTGGATCATCATCAACATAGTCTTTAATGTAAGCACGAGATAACACATCTGCAACTAACATATGTTTACCAGGTAAATATGTAACTTTTATATTGTATTTTAATAATCTTAGGAGCATTCTCTGTAAACGTACACTAATTTTCTCTAAATCTTTCAAGAAAATGGGTATAAGAGGCTTATGATCACTTTGAATTGTTATTTCGTAGCCATAAACAAAATAGTGAAACTTTTCAACAGAAAATACTATAGCTAATAACTCTTTTTCAATTTGTGCCCATTTTTTCTCAGAGTTGGTTAGAGATCTAGATGCAAAACTAATGGGATGTCCAGATTGAATCAAACAAGCACCTAAGCCTTCACTACTGGCATCACATTGAATTACAATTGGTAATTTGGGATCAAATATTTTGAGTAATGGTGGTTTAGAGATTATGGATTTGAGTAAATCTAACTCCTTTTGATGATCAGAGGTCCAGGAAAATTGTACATTTTTTTTCGTGAGACCTCTCAGTTTTTCTGTTAAATCCGACAAATCTGGAATGAAGTTTGAAAAGAACTTCAATAAACCCAAGATTCTTAAAACTTCTGATCGATTTTTTGGTGGTTCAATAGCTAACAAAGCTTGAATATTCTTCCTATCAGGTTTGACACCTTCAGAAGAAATAATTTGGCCCATAAAAACTACTTCATTCAGTTTGTACTGCAATTTTTTAAAATTAAATTTCAAGTTGTTCCTCAATGCACGGTTTACAACTTCTGTCAAAGCTTTATCATGTGATTCTTCATCAATACCAGAAATTATAAGATCATCAAAATACAGATCAACTCCAGGAATATCTCCAAAAATTTCATAATTCTTTCTTTGAAAAATTTCAGGGGCACTAGATATTCCAAATGGGACTCTATTAAATCTATACCGTCCAAAAGGGGTATTAAATGTACAAAGATCAGCACTTTGACTGTCCAACTCAAGTTGCCAAAATCCATCTTTCATATCAATTACAGTAAATATACATTTTCCAGATAATCTACTTATGATGTTATTGCTAGTGGGAATCAAAAAATGTTCTCTACGAATATACTGATTCAATGGTTTTGGGTCAATGCATATTCTAAGGCTCTTATCGGGTTTCTCAACTAACAACAGATTATGTACCCAACTAGTGGGATAATCAACCTTCTGAATTACATTTTTATCTTCCAAATTATCTAAAGTTTCTTTGAGTTTATCATGTAGTGAAAAAGGGACTCTTCTTTGATATTGTATGACTGGTTTTGAATTTTCTGCTAATTGAATGGAACAAACTCCAGGAATTTTACCTAGACCATCAAAAACTTCTCTATAATGATTATAAAAACTTTCCTTGGTTTTCAGAGGTGTTTCAACAGAATCAATTCTACAAATCAAATTGAAGTTCATGCAATCTTGAAGACCTAGCAATGCTTCTGTTTGAAAATCAACAATTAAGAATTTTACATTTTTTGTTATATAATGGTAGTTACACACTAAAGATACTTCTCCTATAGGTTTGAATCTAAAATTTCCATAAGAAATTAGCGTTACTGGAGTATTTTTAACATGACCATTGTAATCTAATTTTCTGAAAATATAATTTGGTAATACATTGCAATCTGAACCTGAATCGAGTTTAAATTTAACCAGTTTACCTTCTACCAAAATATTTTCAAACCATGATTTGCTTGCACCTTGATTACATTCATTAATGTATAATTGGATACTGGAATTTGAATCATTCTCATGGGCTTCTTCTAAACTTCTAACTTGCTTTTCTTCATTCCCTTGCATATTCACATCTTTCTCATCTTCTTTATCATGTGGTTTTCTGCTATGTGTGAATTTTTTTCTGTCTTCTAATACATTATGGGGATCTTCATTTTCATCTTGTTTATTCTTCATTTTGAAACACGCTTTTGCAAAATGTCCTATACCTTGGCAAGATGCACAAGTTTTTCTGAATGCTGGGCATCTTCTTGGTGCATGTTCATACAAACATCTTGAGCATATTGATTGTTGAAATGATTTTCCATCTCTTCTCAGAGCATTCACCTCTTCTTCTGGATTAAGAGTTTTTAAATGTTGTTTACTCAGAGCAATTGACTTACAGTAATCCAAGATTTTTGCAATTGTTATGTCTGGCTCTCTAATAAGTCTGGCTTGTATTTGCTTATCATTTATACCTAAGATCAACCTATCTCGTATCATACGTTCCTCGTAACTTGTATTGCATTCTACGTTTGCACATGTAAAATTGCATAATCTTGCTTGTGTTTTAAGCTCGGTTAAATACTGTTCGATTGTCTGCATATCTGATTGTACAAGATTATTAAACTTGAATGTCTCCATTGGTATGACCTTCTTTGGTATAAAATGCTCATCGAATGCTGTCAACACATCCTCTAATGACTTTGCCTGTTCTGATGGGATTGTATTAAAGATATCAAGGCCTTCATCACCTACTGAGTTCAGAAAAATTGCAATTTTTATATCTTCGTCCACATTTTTCTTGTTCGCTGCTCTCAAGTATATATCGAATTTTTGCTTCCATAGTGACCAGTTTTTCTGATCGTATTCTGTTAACGGATTTGGTGGTCTGAATGCCTCCATTTTATAATTTACAACCTCTGCCGGGTATGAGAAATTCTAGGTCTCCTTATTCTTGATTTTCTGCGTTGTGAGCTAACTAGCTGCTCTGGTCAACACAACTGACACCATGTTATATTTGCGGGTTCTTATAATTCATAAACACATCTTTTCAACTTGGATGTTTAATGATAAAATCTTATGTTAAAAATACATACGTCGTACATGTTAAGTTGTCGAGCGGAAAGTGACGAAAGTGGCAAGTGCCGTCGCTGTCATTGTCAATCGTAATTATACACAGAACATAGACCAATACATAATACAAATAATGACATAGAACTCAGTACATAATCACATGACACAACAGAAATAGTACATATATGATGTGAAGACTCAAGAGTCAAAATCATATCAAAATTTTGACAGTTTCACTATTATATCGTTTATTCAAAGAATAGTATGTTAGTCACCCTGTTTGATTGTTCATTGCTCGCAGCAGTCGCGGCTGTTCCGAAACATGAGCAAGAGTAAATCATATAGAGTAAATAAGATATATGACAGGTCCTAAATGCGCAGTATTCAACTTGACCAGTTCTATCTCGTAAGTGGATCGCCTTTCTTCTTTTATGGAATTAGCAGTCTAGATTATAGTGTATGTTGGTGGTTGAAGGTCGCGGCAGGAGGGTGAAGGATGTAATGGCTGATCGCTGGAGCTGAAAAATTAGTACAGTGACTCCATAGGTCTGTTCGTTTGTATTGCTAAACTTGCTAAAGTTGATTTTTTGCTATAGCTGTCTCTGTTCATGGCATGATGTAAACAGAGAAAGTTGTAGAAAACAATCAAGTTCAGCAAGTAGAGCAAGCACAAATGAACAGGCCTTATACTAGTTGACACTTAAGTATATGTCAATTATACCTGTCAATTATACCGCCAAAAATAATCGAATGAAGTCGACCCCCATGTTACGGTTTTGGCCTGTGGCTTGTGCTCAAGACCTTGGCTTGTGCTGTGGGTAGGCAATCCAAACCACGTGACATTTTAGCTGACAAGATGGCGTCTGGTTGGCAAACAAAGATTATACATCACTTGTAATTAAATTGTATTTTGCCCGAATCACCCTATTATTCTGGTAGTTTTATGTGTCAGGTGTTTGAGGGAGTCTCAGAGCTGAATTGAACAGTGCTTCAATATGCTGAGCTCATATTTCCAGAAGTTATTGCAGGAAAACCCAGAGGTTGGTCAGAGGTAAACATGAATATTTATTGTTTTTTCGGCTATTTTTCTCAAATAACCAGAATTTTCATTCCTGAAACTATCATACAACCATTATTTGTTTGTAGATATCTGATGAAGCTGATGTTGATCAAGGATTTGAAGCCCTTCACATCTGAAACTGCTGACTGATTAGACTACCACATAATTATACTCTCCTACTATTTATAGTGACCCACAGTTTCTACCCTCATGAGCAAATGAGAGCATTCAAAACCCTCATTTCTCAGCAACTTTTGTCCAGGAAGTAGACAGGAAGATAGATGATTTTCATGTCATAGTTGAAAAGGTAACTTTTTACTTCTATACCTACCTAAATAACTTTCATGATAGGAACATTTTGAATGATGAAATTATGTTATTCATATATTTTTGAATATATTTCCTACCTCATATTCATGTATATCTCATACAAATTTTTTATAGGTAAAATATTCACAATCAGATTCTGTGCTAATAAATAAGTGAGGCTTGGGCAAGTAAATAAGGAACAGTTTCATGTACTGATGTATGTGCTTTGTGGCCCATGCCACCACTCTCACCATGATTGTGCCCATCATACCAATAGCAGAAATGGCCATAGGTACAGTTGCTCTGACTGGTTCAATACAAAATCCCTACTATATCTTCAATGTCCAAGAAACAACATTCACAGATTGCTTTGAAGTTTCATGCTGAAGTTATAATACCTGGACTTTTGAGTGGATATTAATTTCACCAGAAGTGAACTATTGGTGTAAGTGTTCAAGTGCTGATGATGGAACCCCTATGACTAGTTGTGACAGTGATAAAGGGTTCTATTTTGAATGTGTAGATATTTTAGGTACACCAGAATCAGCATGGTTTTGTGAATTCTGATTCAATATGTTCTATAAAAAAATATGTACCTATTCATAATAAATATATCATTCAATCATTGTTTATTATTGTTTCAATCAGATCACTGAATAACTATAATGTTCTATGAAGATTTTTTTCATGACTCATGTAGATCTTTTGTAATATAGTGGAATAATACAATGTATTTTTCATTTAATGAATATTACAATTATTTTGATATACTTACTTTATTTGTCTTACATTTATAAATGATAAAAATAAATCACAACAAACTGTAATTTGTAAAAGTACTCATAATCTTGTAAATTTTCACCTTGTTTTCACCAATTTTCTCTTCTATTTTTTTATCTCCCAGGACACTTTCTTCATTATACTAAAATAAATAAAAAAAGATGTAGTAGTAGTATTAGGTAATTAGGTGTTTTCTTGAGAACATACCAGGTCTCTCGGTTCTGATGCTTGATTCATGATTTGAACCTTTTGTCTGCTCTCAGTTTTTGATCCACATCAGTCTTGCATATTTTGAATGGACAAGAGATTGGTGACCCATATTATATTGCAATGGGACCCAAGCTGGATATTCTCATCTTCCAGGCACTACGTTCTCCTACAAGGTAGATGATTTATTTATGTATTAGAAACATGATGTTTCCAAACTATGTAAGTCCATTAAAAGTAATGAGTATTGGTTTATTTCATCAAAATGAAAAAAAGATAAGTTTTCCATAGGATGAAACACTAAACTCATCAGTTCTAGAGTAGGTAGATACATATAAATAATATTAAAATCCTTTTTCTTAGGTACCTACCTGTTATGAAAATAGTGTCTGACACATATCCTCTGGTTTATTATGATTGATTCTGTTGCTGATTCTTTTTCTTGATGGCTGCTATCCACATTTCCCTTATTTTTCTTGATAGATCCTTCATCTGTGGGTAATGCTCAGAGTTTTTCACAGTATTACAGTAGGAATGTGACAAAACAGCAAATGGTCCCGATCTGCACTGCTTCCACAATCCACCACAATTCACGTTACTGGCAATTTTTTCTTTGAAATCATACTGAGTTTTCATTATTCACAATAAATCTAGCCGAAACTCGATGAAATAATACTGTAAGAGGCTTCCAAAACCCACAAAATTCTCAAGTAAACAAACTTGACTTTGGTTTATTTGCCAACCAGACGCCATTTTGAAATTATTTGACAGGTCGTTGGATTGCCTAATATTGATTGAGGTTATGATATTGTTTTGATGATGATGTCAAAAAAGAAGCGAATTTTCAAGTGCTTTGAATTATTAAAATGTTCTGATGATTTTGATTCAAATTTGAAATCGATTATCAGATTTAAGTTGTTCGAGAATGTTTGATAACACGAATAGTGATAACCAAAATGAAAAAAATGAGAAATTAATTATGTAGCCTGAACTTTTAGTCAGTTTTATTATGACTACTGAAACGTCTTACATTGAAGGAATAATAGATCAGATCAATTCGAAGAATGCCAAGAAAGTAGCTTTTCTTTTAGTAGTGGGATTTGCTTGCTATCATGGTATTCTCCATTTCAGATATGGTAGGGTTCCAACATTAAATCACCAGAGTAATGATTAATTTCGAATTTTTTTAGGCTCAAATTCTTGTAAATGGTTGCTATCTGATGGTAGGTACAAGGCCGACCAAGAGTGGCAACCCTATGGATGTATGCTACACTTTTACACCAAAATGTAATCATTGTTTTTTGCTTTGAATCTTCATTCAATATTTACTGAATCTGACTTTCAGTGATACTAGAAGGTGTCTTCGATATATTGCTTATTATGACTCTGACACACACTTTGTATTCATTGGAGATACAAGAATTAGAGAAATGTATATAGCATTTGTAGAACAGTTGGTACAAGATGAGACAACCAGTCAACAATCAGCTAATCCTTTCACAAATTTGTCCCATCTGGACAATAAACTGAAGATCAAAGTAGATTTCATATGGTCACCATTTATATCTGCTGATATTATAGATATTTTCAGGTGGGTACAAAAAATCTGAGAAATGGTGTAAGCTAAAACTTATTTGTTTTTGGTTTTATTTTTAGGAGATGGCAAATATCTGTTAATCCTCCTTCAGTTGTGATTTTAGGATGTGCTTTATGGCCTATAATCACCTCTAACCAATCACTATCAGCATTACAGGAATATCAGATTAATGTAACTAGACTAGTACATCCTATGGATAGGTTACATGAAAAAAAAACAAAGATATTATGGGCATTACAGGAACCTGTGTATGAAGCAAAACTGAAACCAGAATACCAAATGGTTGATAATGATCTTATTGAACTTTACAACAAAGCTGCTATAGAGGTGCATAAACATAAACAGGGTGATTCTTGACAAGGGCTTATTAGATGTATTTTTGAAAGTACTCCTAATTCAAATCTGGAAATTAAGTTGATATGATCTTCCTATTTTTCTATACTTACTAGTAGTTTGCACTTACTTTCTTGTTTCCATAAGAACACTATATAGTATATCCCAAATGGAATTGGATTTATTTTGTTATAAATGTTGACAAGTACCGAAGAAAGATCTCCATCAGTGAATATCTACCAGTTTCTGAGAGCAATGTTCTATAAAAATCAGGTTAGATTTCAATTTGAGTCAAAACTCTATCATTGATTCTTTCTTCTTATATATTGATTACTTATTTTTCTAAATTATCATTATATTTTATTGATTGAATAAGTTTTCATTGAAATAGTTTGAAAATATTGAGAGAATTATCACAATTATATCAAATAATGAATCAATCAAACATTGGAATAGGGAGTTCACATATATTTTCATACTCCTGACTCCTTGTAAATTATTCAATCAAACAACCCACATATTCCATATTTGGTTAGTATTTTGAAATCAAATTAGATGCGGATGGTAAAGGGTAAACTGGCCAACAAGATTTTTAAAATTTTATTTTTGTACTTTTTTTTCATTATAGGGTGTGCCATCCCTTTTGTGTGGTTCATGATATATAAAGACCCATATAGCAAATATCTGAACTGGTATTGAATTTTTCACATGAAACAAGCCTAAGAAGTGTCCAAAATTGTTAAAACCCATGTTTCATCCACAACATACCAAGTAGTAATCACTAGTCCAGAAAATAATCAATCATAAAGTTTTCATTGGCCCACCCTGTATTTTTGTAATGGGAAAGACCATCCAATTGATGCATCATGATTCATATTTAATGTACAATCAATATTATAAATTAAAGGGAAAGGGATCTATAGCTTACTGAAATCAGCATATTCCATCTGATATTTCAAAAAGCCAGTCACATAAATTTTGTGGAATTTGTACAAGCATGCACATATACTTTAGTCCATATTTTCTGCCCTGTTTCTTGCATAACTCTCTACAGTCCCAGATTTCAGTTGTCTTTAATTCAGTTTTCTGGGGAGACTTGTTCCACTTTTCAGGGTGTATTTTTTGAAATATTTTTAATTTATCCCCATTAAGAATCACCCAGTAATAATGATATACAGATACAGGTATTATAGTTTTTTTCTTTAAAGGTTTTGTCTCATTCTTCTATAGATGTCTGGTGGAGTTCAAGGCTAGTTGGCCAGGGAATGATCCAGGAGAGTCCAGATGGCATTCATATGGCTCAAAGACCACTGAGACATGATGCACAAATATTGCTAAATATGTACTGCAATGATAATATGAACTTCAATGATGGCACATGTTGTAGTTCTGTGGAAACAAGAACAACATTGCAGATTGTCACATTTGCAATATTGGCAATATGGTAAGAGTATGTCTCTTCATAATATGGAAAATGTAATCTGAATTTCACTTTACATCAATTCATATACTCTGTTTTCTACCTACCTCACCAAATTTTTGCTAAATAGAGTCATGCATGAGAAAAAAAAAATAAAAACGACGTCATGCCTTAAATTAGACACATTATTTTGCAAAATTCTGCCAAAAAATTCCCCAAAGATTTTTTCAAAATATATTTCTGTTTGGAGATAGGTACTGATTTCCATCATTCCACACTGTATACAGGTAGAAAGGGGACACTTTAATATAGATATAGGATATTATCTTGATTTTGACAAATCATTATCATAATTTTTGAAGCACTTTGTATAATCCATTCACACTTGGTAGATATATTTCACTTGTATTACCCATGAAAACTAAATTGAAATCAAGGCTTCTTGGTTTTTTTGATTCCTTGCAGTATCAATTCCACCAGATCCGGTATTTTCCGTACTTCCTTGGTTATTTTGAGAAGTTTTTGGGAAATTTTAGGATTCATTTATGGCAGGTATATTGTTAGATCCCATTTTTAGTAGGAAGGATTCAATTCTAACTTCTTCCAGCTCATTTATCTGCTATGACATTCACAGATCCATAGTTTTGAAGTGTATTATCATACGAACGAATGAAGATTTTTTGCAAATCCAGGATTTGAAATTCTGAGACATCAGAGATAGTTTGTACCGTCCCAGGAATATCCTGAAAAAAACTCGATTTGTATCATTGTTGATTGCTCCATATATTATTTACTTTATCTATCTGTTTCAAAGTGAATGGTACTGCAAACAAATATGAAATTTTCCCATTATTCTGAGAAATCTGCAATAATTTTCATTGCTCCTGGAATATCCTGGAAAAAACTTGGATTAGTATTATTGGTTTCTAATTGTGCTATACTTCACATTGAATCACAAATGAGAAAAACCTGGTTCCACTCTTCTGAGAGCACTGCTCCATTGAAACAACGACTGTTCCTTTTTTATAGTGCATGATAAATTTGGAAAAAAACTGGTATCAAACCACTGTTTATACCTGACTCTTGAAGGCGACACCCTCCTTTGTAAAGAGGCATTTCGAACGCCAAAGTTGACACACTCCCCTCGTAAGGGTACTCGACGTGATTCCATACACTCACATAATTTAATGTCGACTAATTATTCGACTGATGAAATGGATTTAGTGAGTCGATGAGAGCCGTTTTTTACAAGAGAATGTTCTATTTGTATTTATGGAAAGATAAATTCAACGTTCATGAAAACTTATCTTAAAAATCCCCTCATTTCATTTATCTATCTATCTGATATGACATTCACAGATTGAAGTGTTCTGTCGTACAAACGAATGAGGATTTTTGGCGAATCCAGAAGTTTTAAATTATGAGATCAGAGATAGTTTGCATCGATCCAGGAATATCCTAAAAAATAACTTGATTAGTATAAAGTGTTGTTAATTGCTAAATATTCTATTTACCTTATCTATCTGTTCCAAAGTGAGTGGTCCTGGAAACTAATATGAATTCTCCCAAGATTCTGAGGAATCTGCAATAATTTTCATTGTTCCTGGAATATCCTGAAAAAACCTTGGATTAGTATTAGTTGTTTATAATTGGGCAATATATAATATTGTATCACATATGGAAGAAATCATGGTACCACTCTTCTGAGGACACTGCTCCATTAAAACAACGACTGTTGCTTTTCCATAGTGCATGATAAATTTGGAAAAGACGCATAAAACCACTGTTTATACCTAACTCTTAAAGGCGACACCCTCCTTTGTAGAGAGGCATTACGAACGCCAAAGTTGATACACTCCCCTCGTAAGGGTACCTGACGTGATTTCATAATAATTGAATGTCGACTAATTATTCGACTGATGAAATGAATTTAGTGAATCGATAAAAGCCGCTTTTTCAAGAAGGAATGTTCGAAGAAGAATAGAACTATGATTTGTATTTATGGAAAGACAAATTTAAAGTTAATGAAAACTTATCTTAAAAATTCCCTCATTTCATTTATCTATCTCTGATATGACATTCACAGATGTAGAGTATTGAAGTGTTCTGTCGTACAAACGGATAAGGTTTTTGGCAAATCCAGAAGTTTTAAATTATGAGACATCTGAGATAGTTTTCATCGTTCCAGGAATATCCTAAAAAATAACTTGATTAGTATAAAGTTTTGTTTATTGCTAAATATTCTATTTACCTTATCTATCTGTTCCAAAGTGAATGGCCCTGCAAACTGATATGAATTCTCCCAAGATTCTGAGGAATCTGCAATAATTTTCATTGTTCCTGGAATATCCTGAAAAAAACCTTGGATTAGTATTAGTTGTTTATAATTGGGCCATATATAATATTGTATCACATATGGATGAAATCATGGTACCACTCTTCTGAGGACACTGCTCCATTAAAACAACGACTGTTGCTTTTCCATAGTGCATGATAAATTTGGAAAAAACGCATAAAACCACTGTTTATACCTAACTCTTAAAGGCGACACCCTCCTTTGTAGAGAGGCATTACGAACGCCAAAGTTGATACACTCCCCTCGTAAGGGTACCTGACGTGATTTCATAATAATTGAATGTCGACTAATTATTCGACTGATGAAATGAATTTAGTGAATCGATAAAAGCCGCTTTTTCAAGAAGGAATGTTCGAAGAAGAATATAACTATGATTTGTATTTATGGAAAGACAAATTTAAAGTTAATGAAAACTTATCTTAAAAATTCCCTCATTTCATTTATCTATCGCTGATATGACATTCACAGATGTAGAGTATTGAAGTGTTCTGTCGTACAAACGGATAAGGTTTTTGGCAAATCCAGAAGTTTTAAATTATGAGACATCAGAGATAGTTTGCATCGTTCCAGGAATATCCTAAAAAATAACTTGATTAGTATAAAGTTTTGTTTATTGCTAAATATTCTATTTACCTCATCTATCTGTTCCAAAGTGAATGGCCCTGCAAACTAATATGAATTCTCCCAAGATTCTGAGGAATCTGCAATAATTTTCATTGTTCCTGGAATATCCTGAAAAAAACCTTGGATTAGTATTAGTTGTTTATAATTGGGCCATATATAATATTGTATCACATATGGAAGAAATCATGGTACCACTCTTCTGAGGACACTGCTCCATTAAAACAACGACTGTTGCTTTTCCATAGTGCATGATAAATTTGGAAAAAACGCATAAAACCACTGTTTATACCTAACTCTTAAAGGCGACACCCTCCTTTGTAGAGAGGCATTACGAACGCCAAAGTTGATACACTCCCCTCGTAAGGGTACCTGACGTGATTTCATTATAAGTGAATGTCGACTAATTATTCGACTGATGAAATGAATTTAGTGAATCGATAAAAGCCGCTTTTTCAAGAAGGAATGTTCGAAGAAGAATATAACTATGATTTGTATTTATGGAAAGACAAATTTAAAGTTAATGAAAACTTATCTTGAAAATTCCCTCATTTCATTTATCTATCTCTGATATGACATTCACAGATGTAGAGTATTGAAGTGTTCTGTCGTACAAACGGATGAGGATTTTTGGCAAATCCAGACGTTTTAAATTATGAGACATCAGAGATAGTTTGCATTGTTCCAGGAATATCCTAAAAAATAATTTGATTAGTATAAAGTTTTGTTTAATGCTAAATATTCTATTTACCTTATCTATCTGTTCCAAAGTGAATGGCCCTGCAAACTAATATGAATTCTCCCAAGATTCTGAGGAATCTGCAATAATTTTCATTGTTCCTGGACTATCCTGAAAAAAACCTTGGATTAGTATTAGTTGTTTATAATTGGGCCATATATAATATTGTATCACATATGGAAGAAATCATGGTACCACTCTTCTGAGGACACTGCCCCATTAAAACAACGACTGTTGCTTTTCCATAGTGCATGATGAATTTGGAAAAAACGCATAAAACCACTGTTTATACCTAACTCTTAAAGGCGACACCCTCCTTTGTAGAGAGGCATTACGAACGCCAAAGTTGATACACTCCCCTCGTAAGGGTACCTGATGTGATTTCATAATAATTGAATGTCGACTAATTATTCGACTGATGAAATGAATTTAGTGAATCGATAAAAGCCGCTTTTTCAAGAAGGAATGTTCGGAGAAGAATAGAACTATGATTTGTATTTATGGAAAGACAAATTAAACGTTATTGAAAACTTATCTTGAAAATCTCATTAAATTTATCTATCTAGTATGACATTCCCAGATGTAGAGTTTTGAAGTGTTCTGCCGTACAAACGAATGAAGATTTTTTGCAAATTCAGGATTGTTAAATTCTGAGACATCAGAGATAGTTTGCATCGTTCCAGGAATATCCTAAAAAATAACTTGATTAGTAGAACGTTTTGTTGATTGCTAAATATTCTATTTACCTTATCTATCTGTTCCAAAGTGAATGGTCCTGCAAACTTATATGAATTCTCCCAAGATTCTGAGGAATCTGCAATAATTTTCATTGTTCCTGGAATATCCTGAAAAAAACCTTGGATTAGTATTAGTTGTTTATAATTGGGCCATATATAACATTGTATCACATATGGAAGAAATCATGGTACCACTCTTCTGAGGACACTGCTTCATTAAAACAACGACTGTTGCTTTTCCATTGTGCATGATAAATTTGGAAAAAACGTATATAACCACTGTTTATACCTAACTCTTAAAGGCGACACCCTCCTTTGTAGAGAGGCATTACGAACGCCAAAGTTGATACACTCCCCTCGTAAGGGTACCTGACGTGATTTCATAATAATTGAATGTCGACTAATTATTCGACTGATAAAATGAATTTAGTGAATCGATAAAAGCCGTTTTTTACGAAGGAATGTTCGATGAAAAATAGAACTATGATTTGTATTTATGGAAAGACAAAATTGACGTAAATGAGAACTTATCTCAAAAATTTCCTCATTTCATTTATCTATCTGATATGAC